GTTAATGAAAAGAAGTTGTTTAAAGATTTTAACATATTTGACCCCTGTGACCTTGAAAGTTGGTTGAGGTCATTCATTTGAATAAACTTGGTAGCCTTTCCTCCCAGCATGCTACAGACCCAATATCGGCACTCATAGACTTTTGCTTATTGAGATGAAGTCCTTTGTATATTTTAACATATTTGACCCCTGTGACCTCGAAAGTGGGCCAAGGTCATTCATTTGAACAAACTTTGTAGGGCTCCATGCCAGCATGCTATGGGCCAAGTATTAGCCCCCTAGGCCTTCTAGTATTTGAGAAGTTATTTAAAGATTTTGACATATTTGACCCCTGCGACCTTGAAAGTTGTTCAAGGTCATTCATTTAAATAAACTTGGTAGCCTTTCCTCCCAGCATGCTACAGACCCAATATCGGCACTCATAGACTTTTGCTTATTGAGATGAAGTCCTTTGTATATTTTAACATATTTGACCCCTGTGACCTTGAAAGTGGGCCAAGGTCATTCATTTGAACAAACTTTGTAGGGCTCCATGCCAGCATGCTATGGGCCAAGTATTAGCCCCCTAGGCCTTCTAGTATTTGAGAAGAAGTTATTTAAAGATTTTGACATATTTGACCCCTGTGACCTTGAAAGTTGTTCAAGGTCATTCATTTAAACAAACTTGATAGCCCTTCATCCCAGCATGCCACAGGCACCATATCAGCAATCTGAGCCTTTTGGTTATTGAGAAGAAGTTGTTTAAAGATTTTAACATATTTGACCCCTGTGACCTTTAAAGTGGGTCAAGGTCATTCATTTGAACAAACTTGGTAGTCCTTCATCCCAGCATGTCACAGGCCCAATATCTACACTCTGAGCCTTTTGGTTAATGAGAAGTTGTTTAAAGATTTTAACATATTTGACCCCTGTGACCTTGAAAGTGGGTTGAGGTCATTCATTTGAATAAACTTGGTAGCCTTTCCTCCCAGCATGCTACAGACCCAATATCGGCACTCATAGACTTTTGCTTATTGAGATGAAGTCCTTTGTATATTTTAACATATTTGACCCCTGTGACCTTGAAAGTGGGCCAAGGTCATTCATTTGAACAAACTTTGTAGGGCTCAATGCCAGCATGCTATGGGCCAAGTATTAGCCCCCTAGGCCTTCTAGTATTTGAGAAGAAGTTATTTAAAGATTTTGACATATTTGACCCCTGTGACCTTGAAAGTTGTTCAAGGTCATTCATTTAAATCAACTGGGTAACCTTTCCTCCCAGCATGCTACAGACCCAATATCGGCACTCATAGACTTTTGCTTATTGAGATGAAGTCCTTTGTATATTTTAACATATTTGACCCCTGTGACCTTGAAAGTGGGCCAAGGTCATTCATTTGAACAAACTTTGTAGGGCTCCATGCCAGCATGCTATGGGCCAAGTATTAGCCCCCTAGACCTTCTAGTATTTGAGAAGAAGTTATTTAAAGATTTTGACATATTTGACCCCTGTGACCTTGAAAGTTGTTCAAGGTCATTCATTTAAACAAACTTGATAGCCCTTCATCCCAGCATGCCACAGGCACAATATCAGCAATCTGAGCCTTTTGGTTATTGAGAAGAAGTTGTTTAAAGATTTTAACATATTTGACCCCTGTGACCTTTAAAGTGGGTCAAAGTCATTCATTTGAACAAACTTGGTAGTCCTTCATCCCAGCATGTCACAGGCCCAATATCTACACTCTGAGCCTTTTGGTTAATGAAAAGAAGTTGTTTAAAGATTTTAACATATTTGACCCCTGTGACCTTGAAAGTTGGTTGAGGTCATTCATTTGAATAAACTTGGTAGCCTTTCCTCCCAGCATGCTACAGACCCAATATCGGCACTCATAGACTTTTGCTTATTGAGATGAAGTCCTTTGTATATTTTAACATATTTGACCCCTGTGACCTTGAAAGTGGGCCAAGGTCATTCATTTGAACAAACTTTGTAGGGCTCCATGCCAGCATGCTATGGGCCAAGTATTAGCCCCCTAGGCCTTCTAGTATTTGAGAAGTTATTTAAAGATTTTGACATATTTGACCCCTGCGACCTTGAAAGTTGTTCAAGGTCATTCATTTAAATAAACTTGGTAGCCTTTCCTCCCAGCATGCTACAGACCCAATATCGGCACTCATAGACTTTTGCTTATTGAGATGAAGTCCTTTGTATATTTTAACATATTTGACCCCTGTGACCTTGAAAGTGGGCCAAGGTCATTCATTTGAACAAACTTTGTAGGGCTCCATGCCAGCATGCTATGGGCCAAGTATTAGCCCCCTAGGCCTTCTAGTATTTGAGAAGAAGTTATTTAAAGATTTTGACATATTTGACCCCTGTGACCTTGAAAATTGTTCAAGGTCATTCATTTAAATAAACTTGGTAGCCCTTCATCCCAGCATGCCACAGGCACAATATCAGCAATCTGAGCCTTTTGGTTATTGAGAAGAAGTTGTTTAAAGATTTTAACATATTTGACCCCTGTGACCTTTAAAGTGGGTCAAGGTCATTCATTTGAACAAACTTGGTAGTCCTTCATCCCAGCATGTCACAGGCCCAATATCTACACTCTGAGCCTTTTGGTTAATGAGAAGTTGTTTAAAGATTTTAACATATTTGACCCCTGTGACCTTGAAAGTGGGTTGAGGTCATTCATTTGAATAAACTTGGTAGCCTTTCCTCCCAGCATGCTACAGACCCAATATCGGCACTCATAGACTTTTGCTTATTGAGATGAAGTCCTTTGTATATTTTAACATATTTGACCCCTGTGACCTTTAAAGTGGGCCAAGGTCATTCATTTGAACAAACTTTGTAGGGCTCAATGCCAGCATGCTATGGGCCAAGAATTAGCCCCCTAGGCCTTCTAGTATTTGAGAAGAAGTTATTTAAAGATTTTGACATATTTGACCCCTGCGACCTTGAAAGTTGTTCAAGGTCATTCATTTAAATAAACTTGGTAGCCTTTCCTCCCAGCATGCTACAGACCCAATATCGGCACTCATAGACTTTTGCTTATTGAGATGAAGTCCTTTGTATATTTTAACATATTTGACCCCTGTGACCTTTAAAGTGGGCCAAGGTCATTCATTTGAACAAACTTTGTAGGGCTCAATGCCAGCATGCTATGGGCCAAGTATTAGCCCCCTAGGCCTTCTAGTATTTGAGAAGAAGTTATTTAAAGATTTTGACATATTTGACCCCTGTGACCTTGAAAGTTGTTCAAGGTCATTCATTTAAACAAACTTGATAGCCCTTCATCCCAGCATGCCACAGGCACAATATCAGCAATCTGAGCCTTTTGGTTATTGAGAAGAAGTTGTTTAAAGATTTTAACATATTTGACCCCTGTGACCTTTAAAGTGGGTCAAGGTCATTCATTTGAACAAACTTGGTAGTCCTTCATCCCAGCATGTCACAGGCCCAATATCTACACTCTGAGCCTTTTGGTTAATGAGAAGAAGTTGTTTAAAGATTTTAACATATTTGACCTCTGTGACCTTTAAAGTGGGTTAAGGTCATTCATTTGAACAAACTTGGTAGAGCTCCATGCCAGTATCCTCTGTGCCAAGTATTAGCCCCCTAGACCTTCTAGTATTTGAGAAGAAGTCGTTTGAATGAAAAGTTTACGGACGGCGCACGGCAGACGGCGCACGGCGCACGGCGGACGACGACGGACGAAGCATGATGACTATAGGTCATCGGACCCTTCGGGTCCAGATGACCTAAAAAAAGGAAAAACGATATGAATTAGTATTGTGGATTGATCTGAAGTCAACTTTTAAGACTACAGCCACTAGATTGTATAATTTCATTACATGATAAATCATCATGCATCCATGGTGCGACATTGGTGGCACAAGGTCAACAAATATTTCCATGATAAAGGTCAGTCATCTAATGCTGTGTGTAACGCACCATCATCACATGGTGTGACATTAATGGCACAAGGTCAACAAATATTTCCATGATAAAGGTCAGTCATCTAATGCTGTATGTAATGCACCATCATCCCATGGTGCGACATTGGTGGCACAAGGTAAGCAAGTATTTCCATGATAAAGGTCAGTCATCCCATGGTGGGACATTTAGTCGCGAAAAAAGAAAAGATATTTTCATGATCAAGGTCATATTCAAGGTCACAGTCACCTCATTTAACTACTATTGAGTCAAATACCACCATCTAAAGATGCACCCATCATTCTACATTGGTAGCATTGGATCAAATAGTATAGCAAATATTGTTTGAACATGTTGTTTACGGGATTGATCTAATTATCAAGTGCCGTCCCCTAAATGCAATCGTGGTACACAGTACAACATCGGTTGTACTAAATCATGTGGTATCCAGAATAAGGCCAACGTCAACCCATGATCAGGACAATTTAGTCCATGAATCTTAATAATTCATAACTAGGTATTTAAGAATATCTGTAGACCTACATACTAGACATCAGGGCATACATGACAATGTGTCATTGGTCCTTTAACTAACCCCTGTGATCAATCTACAGTTTATTTTCATGAGTCCTTTTCAATGTTACTGATAAAAACCATGGGTCCCACAAAGTAAAATTTAAGGTATTAACACTGGACTCGCTTATAGATTTATCACAGCTAAGAGTTGAGCTTCAGCTAGTTATCTGACCATCCCTGATCGACCCTGTCCTGATACTCTCATCATTACTTAAGAACAGGTAAATGATCTTGGCTTCATGACAGTCGATGACACCAAATTAGGAATATGTAAAAGTTGATGTAACGCATCAATAATGATTCTTGATGTTCTCTCTACATTTTCTTTGATATAAATAATAAATCTGTAGAAATATTTTTATTTTTTATTGTCAACCCATTTGAAGAAATCACAACGAGCCTCTGGATTTGAGCTTAGACCTTCTGCCCTACAACAAACAAAGAACTGTTTCCCTTTATTGGGCCCCTCCTTTTTGACTGTCCTTAACAAACAAGGTTCTTTATGACCTTTACACAAGGGAGCAGTTGGCGGTCCCTTCAATAAATTTTTCCAAGCAATTGATGAGGTCTTCTTCACAGTGACTTTACCAGACTTCTGTTCCTGAGAGCTGGACGGTGAGTCAGTATCATCAGAACTAACTAAGTCAACCTTAGTTTCATTTGTCAAATGAACACTTTCACATTTTTCACTTGTAGATTCATGGCCATTTTGGCATGCATTTATCTCTGAATTAGTTTGACTTCTTTGGGAGTTATCTGAGGAAATGTTATTTTTAGATGTTGATTTCCCGAAGAAATTCATCAGGTTGGACTGTTTAGGAATTGACAAATTTTTCTTGATGTCCCCTTTTCTTCTTTTTGCTTCAGGTCCCAAGTATTCTGAACGATCACTATCAAGTCGTTTTAGACCACATCCAGGTTTATTAGGAGATTTTTTATCAAGTCGTTTTAGACCACATCCAGGTTTATTAGGAGATTTTGTTTTTAACACCTTTTCAGTTTTCTTTTCATCAACTGAAGTTTTTGAGGATATTGTCTTCTTTGGTGATCTTCCACAATCCTGTTTTGACAATGAACTATTTGATTTTGCGGATTTCATGAAGAAAGATGACAATTTCTGTTGCTTGCCAACAAACTCTGGCATATATTTTGTACACAGAGCAGGACATTTGATTGCTGGTAGAAATGATGCTGTGAATTCTGTCTTAACAGGACAATGATCAGATCCTTCAACATCTTTCATCACCCAACTCTCCTTCAGGTCACTTTTAGCCATAGGAACATCACACATTATGTAGTCAAGCCGACGGCCATAGTTGGTTTCCCGCGCAGATGTGAGGGTACACCAGTTGGAATAGGCATCAGTCTTGTTAGGGTACAGGTGTCTGAATGTGTCCACAAACAATCCACCTTTGACAGTGGATGTGGTACCCAGAAATTCTGCTGTATCATCTACAGGATCTATATCAGGATCTCTTCCAGGCTCCCAAAGGAACTGGTTCATCCACATTCTGCTGGGAGCCTTACCCCAATTCTAAAACATCAATAGTCATCCTGTTATAATTGAAGAAATCCAAAAATACATCCCAAACAGACATTGCAGTTATTTTTAAGTAAAAATATTTGAAATTACACATTATCTCAACTGGTCTTAAGATTTTTTCAACATTGGGTACTTAAATTTCAATTGTATCTATTTTTAGCCCACCATCACCAGATTGTGAGCTATGTAAATCACCCTAGGTCTGTGGTTCATCAGTACATCCATAAACAATATTTGTTATTTCTTGAGAAGTCCTTGATGGATCTTTCTCAAATTTCAGATGTAGTTTCCCTTTGGTCCCTAGTTGTGCCCATTTGATTTTGGGTCTGATCAGGAAAACAAAATGACCAAAAAGCAACTATCTTGGATTTGCCTAATAAAGTTTGATATTGTTACTTTTGGAGAAATACTCAATGTATCTCTGTCAAACTTTCTATGCATGTTCCCCTTTGGCCCTAGTTATGCATGTATACATTTGGGACTGATCAGAAGAAAAAATGGCCGGCTGATGGCCATATTGGATTTTTTCAATGAAGTTTGTCATCACTAAACTTGAAAACTACTGAAAAGATCTTTCAACTTTTCAGATATAAGTTCCCTTCGGTCCCTAATTGTGCCGGTTGGATTTTGGACCTGATCAGAAAAACGGCCGCCTGGTGACCATCTTGGATTTTTCTATGACATTTGTTATTGCTATTTCTTTAGAACTATTTGATGGATCCTTCTCAAATTTCACACGTATGTCCCATTGGTCCCTTATTGTGCCAGTTTGATTTTGGGTCTGATCAGAAAAACAAAATGGCTGACAGACAGCGATCTTGTATTTCACCTAGTAAAGTTTGTTATTGCTATTTCTTGAGAAGAACTCAATGTATCTCTCTCAAACTTTCTATGTAGGTTCCTCGTTGTCCCTAATTATACCTGTTCACTTTTGGGACTAATCAGACAAGTAAAAATGGCCAACAGGTGGAAATGTTGGATTTCTTCAATGAAGTTTGTTATCTCCATTTCTTAAGAACCACTAGATGGATCTCTCAAATTTCAAAGGTACGTTTCCCTTGGTCCCTAATTGTACCATTATGATTTTGGGTCTGATCAGGAAAAAACCAAATGGCTTCCACCTGACCATCATGGATTTGGTATTATATAGGTTTAGGACCACAGATATTCCAGGGTCTGTATTTGTGTATTATATCAGTTTAGGACCTGAGATACCTCAGGGTCTGTATATGTGTATTATATCAGTTTAGGACCTGAGATACCCCATGATCTGTATATGTGTATTATATCAGTTTAGGACCTGAGATACCTCAGGGTTTGTATATGTGTATTATATCAGTTTAGGACCTGAGATACCCCAGGGTCTGTACATGTGTATTATATCAGTTTAGGACCTGAGATACCTCAGGGTTTGTATATGTGTATTATATCAGTTTAGGACCTGAGATACCCCAGGGTCTGTACATGTGTATTATATCAGTTTAGGACCTGAGGTACTCCAGGGTCTGTATAGGTGTATTATATAGGTTTAGGACTTGAGATACCCCAGGGTCTGTATATGTGTATTATATAGGTTTAGGTGAGATTCCCCAGGGTCTGTATATGTGTATTATATCAGTTTGGGACTTAGGGTTAAGGTGAGATACCCCAGGGCATTTGGGGTTGAGGTTTGCCCCACAGATTGGTCTTTGATCATAGGTTCCTGACAATACAAACCGTTCCAGATTGGAATCAATGAACATTCATTATCAATGAGTAATTGTTACTACCTTTTTCCCTCTTCCTTGGTCTTAAAGTGTGACTGAAGTGACATGTGGCTGAGTCGTACGATTACTTCATTAATTTGGAAAACAATCCTCCTTATACTTTCTGACTTATAGAGATACCAATCTAAGATGGCCAACTGTTGTCCATGTCTCAATCTGTCTTTTAGTTCAACAGGCACAACTAGGTGATGGATAACAAACACTAAACACAGTATGGGCGGACTGGTTCTTCGTACTAGATCTAATTTGCTTTTTCACTCACCTCTAAATCTGGATCACAGTTGTCAATCTTTTTATGATTCAAATTGATATCTCCCAGGACAATCACATGACTGAAAAGTAAAAACAGATTGTTTACCAGACATACAGAAACAAGTATATCACCTACCTGAGACGGGACAGCACTTGTTACTTTTACATATATAAGATAATGTACGTTTGTACAAGTTATATATATCTGTTCCCTGTTGCTACAAGAATGAATCATCATCTGATAACGTTTAATCCACTGACATAACATACATGCAGGAGTTGAAAAATATTCCAGTAAATTACAGCTGCTGGAGATACACTTCATGCAATAAAATGGTGGATGAAAATGCAAAAAATAGACAATCACCTCCCGCTCTGTAAAAGAGCCTCTGCTCTCGTCTGAAGGAGTGCGAGAAACCTCATCTTGTAAACTTTTCTGTCTTCTCGTTCAGGATCCACCCTTGGGCAGTAAACATTGATGATTGCCAGATGAGCATCCTTACCATCACCTGTCTGTATCTGATGCTGTGTGATCACAGTCCGCCCTTCTGCATCCAAGGCCTCAAGCTCATCTGTTGAGAAATGTGTCACATCACCATAGCTTTCCACTTTCCCATCATCCTTCTGGTTCAGCAATGATGTCAGGCCTTCCTCAGCACTGTATGGTGTGGCTGTGTCTCGACAGAAATTGGCAACTCCTGCATCACATGTTTATAGAAGACTATAGATGGGTTTCAAAACATGTAAAAATATTTTCATGGACTGCTCAGTCAATCTATTCAACCTGGTGTAATCAAGAGGTCTATTGGGCATGTATCAATTTACTATCGAAATTTTTCAATATTTGATTGTAGTTTTTACTTTTTCTCCATTTTGGACTGTGGAAGCAAGGGAGAAAGTACCTTTCTGTTACATAAAATTGATTTTGGATTGTAAATGAATTGTTGGGTAGCACAGTGGTAATACACACACCTTTCACTTATGTGTAAAGAGTTTTATTCCAAGAACTAAGGTGAAAAGCATGGGGCCACCTGTCCCAGGTTCTCCGGTTCCCTTCTACAGTCAGACTTCTTAAAAACTCCCAATTGGGCCAAAAAGAGTGAATGATATAAGTTGCAATGACATGGTTCCCAATTGTTGTAAAATGAACAAGCTCAAACTTAGTGTTGCAAGCAATATACGTCCCCTGTCATGCCATGATTAGTATTTTTGAAGCAAGTTTTCATCTGGAAACTAAACATTTATTTCTAGCCATAGTGACCTTCATTGTTGACCTTTTGACCACAAACACAATCCCACACCATGTGTCCTACTAAACTTACACCGTACCAAGTTTCAACCTAATTGGTCATCCCTCACTCAAGTTATTATCTGGAAACCAAAAATCTGTTTTTAGTAACAGTGATCTATGTGGTTGCTTTTTTGACCCCATACACACACTATGTCTCCTACTAAACTAACACTACATCAAGTTTCAACTTAATCAGTCATCCCTAACTAAAGTCATTGTAACACAGACAATGTTTGGTTATTATAACACAGACAATGTTTGGTTATTATAACACAGACGATGTTTGGTTATTGTAACACAGACGATGTTTGGTTATTGTAACACAGACGATGTTTGGTTATTGTAACACAGACGATACTTGTTTATTGTAACACAGACGATATTTGTTTATTGTAACACAGACGATGTTTGGTTATTGTAACACAGACGATACTTGTTTGGACGATGTTTGGTTATTGTAACACAGACGATGTTTGATTATTGTAGCACAGACGATGTTTGGTTATCGTAACACAGATGATATTTGTTTATTGTAACACAGACGATGTTTATTTATTATAACACAGACGATGTTTGTTTATTGTAACACAGACGATGTTTGGTTATTGTAACACAGACGATGTTTGTTTATTGTAACACAGATGATATTTGTTTATTGTAACACAGACGATGTTTATTTATTATAACACAGACGATGTTTGTTTATTGTAACACAGACGATGTTTGGTTATTGTAACACAGACGATATTTGTTTATTGTAACACAGACGATGTTTGTTTATTGTAACACAGACGATGTTTGGTTATCGTAACACAGACGATGTTTACTTATTGTAACACAGACAATGTTTGGTTATTGTAACACAGACGATATTTGTTTATTGTAACACAGACGATATTTGTTTATTGTAACACAGACAATATTTGTTTATTGTAACACAGACGATATTTGTTTATTGTAACACAGATGATGTTTGGTTATTGTAACACAGACGATATTTGTTTATTGTAACACAGATGATGTATAGGTTATCACAGACGATGTTTGGTTATTATAACACAGACGATGTTTGGTTATTGTAACACAGACGATGTTTGGTTATTATAACACAGACGATGTTTGGTTATTATAACACAGACAATGTTTGGTTATTATAACACAGACAATTGTTTATTGTAACACAGACGATGTTTGGTTATTGTAACACAGACGATATTTGTTTATTGTAACACAGACGATGTTTGTTTATTGTAACACAGACGATGTTTGGTTATTGTAACACAGACGATGTTTGGTTATTATAACACAGACAATGTTTGGTTATTATAACACAGACAATGTTTGGTTATTGTAACACAGATGATATTTGTTTATTGTAACACAGACGATGTTTGGTTATTGTAACACAGACGATGTTTGGTTATTGTAACACAGATGATATTTGTTTATTGTAACACAGACGATGTTTGGTTATTGTAACACAGACGATGTTTGGTTATTATAACACAGACAATGTTTGGTTATTATAACACAGACAATGTTTGGTTATTATAACACAGACAATGTTTGGTTATTGTAACACAGATGATATTTGTTTATTGTAACACAGACGATGTTTGGTTATTGTAACACAGACGATGTTTGGTTATCGTAACACAGACGATGTTTGGTTATTGTAACACAGACGATGTTTGGTTATTGTAACACAGACGATGTTTGTTTATTGTAACACAGACGATGTTTGTTTATTGTAACACAGACGATGTTTGATTATTGTAGCACAGACGATGTTTGGTTATCGTAACACAGATGATATTTGTTTATTGTAACACAGACGATGTATAGGTTATTGTAACACAGACGATGTTTGGTTATTGTAAAACAGACAATGTTTGTTTATTGTAACACAGACGATGTTTGGTTATCGTAACACAGACGATGTTTGGTTATTGTAACACAGACGATGTTTATTTATTGTAACACAGACAATGTTTGGTTATTGTAACACAGACGATGTTTGTTTATTGTAACACAGACGATGTTTGTTTATTGTAACACAGACGATGTTTGGTTATTGTAACACAGACGATGTTTGTTTATTTTATTTTTTCTATTATTCCAGTACATCAATATATTAACCGATGACTTTGTAATGTTATAGATGAATTTCCCTTTTTGGCCTCGTAATTTGGTTTGGATATTTCTGTTTTTGTCATTGGTCAGTTCTTAAATCGTTCCTATTAGCAACTCTTCTGTTAGCCAATGGTCAGGGTTTCTTTGTTCTTACTGTGCTTTCCATCATTTTGGTGCGGTATTCAGCATTCCACTATTAGACTTTTGAGTTAACAGACCCTCATTATAACATGTAAGAAATTTACTAACTTGCACTAAATTTATAATCTAAATTCAAATTCTTTTACTTCCTTTGATATTTTCACACATTTGCTGTTTTGTGATATGATAAATGTGTACTGGTTACACTATATTGTTTTAATGATTTTTTTAGGAGTTTGTATTCACCTGTTAAACAGAAAAAGTTTGATCATAGCAAGGTGCACTCCTTACTAAATGGCCCCTGCTCCACAAACAGGTATGATTGCCATATTGATTATAGATTACTTGTGATGATTTATTCAGAATGGATATTTATTATATTCTCTTTGTATCCATATATGTTGAGAAGATAAATTCACATGTATATGTTGAATATATCGTATATGTATAGAATTCTTTAAATGTAAATCTAAATGTTAAAAATAATCATCATTTCAATCTAACATGACTAGTTGTACATTTTATATCTAAATATAGTGTGCTAATGTAGAACTGCAGGGAATTGAATAATCCATTTTTCTTCATAATAAATCAGATTAACTCTCATCAGTTTATTTTTGGTATTTTACTCCACAAATTTCAACAATGCTACATTATCATCTGGAAACTAAAAATTTATTTCCAACAACAGTGACCTTTGAAGCTGACATTTTAACCCCAAACAAATTACCACAATAGATCTCATGCTAAACTAACATTGAATCAAGTTTCAACCTGATCTGTCATTCCTTATTCAAGTTATCATCCGGAAACCGTCTGTTCGTCCGTCTGTCCCTACTTCCGTCCGTCCATATACATATGGTACTCAGTGACTAACAAAGAGGATCTATAATATTACATAAAATTAATCAAACATGAATCTACAACATATCAGCTGTGGTGTAAAATCAAATTTTCAAACTGCTTTTTTTAATCTTTCAAATGTCACGTGTAAATCATTAAATTTGAGCAACTGAAAGCTGATGCAGTCATTCAAAGCTGATAAAGAGTTAATTACCATATATGGTACAGTATCCATGAAATATTAGTAATACAAAAAATATAAGGTGTTTGATTCATACCTGAGTAACCACTACGTTTCCGGGAAAAACTAAAGTAGGAATTGTATCCTTCAACTATAGCTGTCGGCTCATCAAGTTGATCACCTGTGAAAAGCAGAAATAAAACAGAGGTCTTATGACAGATCTTTTAGAAGAAACAACATCTAGATGGGAACAGCTAATATTTCTAAGACCTAATAGTCAGAATGACCCACATTCTAAAGGCATTATAGCCTGAAATTTTGATAATCTAAAGACCAGATAGTTTGAAGGGCCTTTAATCCAAAATTATGTTGTATAACTCAATGTGGCAATTTAAACTGTTGTCAAGTTGCTTCAATATAAATTGTTCATAAACTTTGCTGTGCTCCATTTTTTCACACGGACTGTAATACTGACCAGAATTTCGCCTGGATTCACCTAGTTTTACAACATATTGCCTTCAGAATGAAATAAGAGTGATTTTTCTGGGGCCTGAATCTATCATAGACAAGTATTATCCTGTTTGATGCCACCCATTATGCATGAATGTGATAAGAATTTCCCTGCATGATTTTTCCTTCGGCTACCCTGGTGAATACCAGCTGCATTACACTGCTTGGCTATAGAAAAACTTTCCTTAGCTCCATCAGCTGAAGGTCAAGACTAGTCAACCAGAGGTCCAGGATTTGTATCCTAGCAGAGGTATTAAAATAAATCATGACCTCTGTGAGAACTTCTCTATAGCTCAATCTGTTTAACGTCGGTGTCTTGCACAGAGGTCCTTGGTTCAAATCGTAGCAGAGGCAGAGGTACCTGTGTTACTTTGCTTATTTGTGCCATTTTCGGCTGAATTATTCATGTAACTTATATGCAAGATTTCTACCGAGTACACTGCTTGTACTGAAACCAGTAACAAACTATTTACCTGTTAATGAGTTATATTTATTAGACCTTCACACTAACAGGCTTTCCACTCATTTTTCCCCTCGACAACTTTATTCTCCAACATATCTTTAACAACAACCACCATGTGGAATCTATCCACCCGTATAACCATTTGTAGAACTGGTGTCCATTCTTGGTGAAGAGCATCAGCAAGCTCCTGTTGGTTGACAGGAAGCCACTGACGATCGGTAATACAATGCTGTAAGTTGTCCCAAGCATGCTCAATCTGTTAACGGTCAGGTGAAAGACTAGGCCAGTCCATACACTCGATAGATTCTGCTTGAAGGTACTCATTCACAAATCTAGCTCTATGTGGTCGAGCACCCAAATGGTCATGCTAATCAGATGCTTAAGTGACGCAGCAGTCAGGATACCTCTCACCTACCCTACACCAAACACCTCTCCTGTTATCATGAAAGTCCATACAAAACCTGGACTCGTTCGTTAAAAGAATCAGTAACCACTGACTCTTGTCACAAATTCACATGGTCAGCTGCCCAATGCTACTGTGACAGTGTGAGTCAAGGGCATGTAGTGGTTCTATGAGCACATAATCCAAAGCTGTGAAGTCTATTCTTCACTATTTGTGCAGGAAATCATCTTCTAGTTGCTTTATTGAAGTTGTCATTCAACCTAGTGACTACTGCAAATCAATATCACCTTGTAAGGGTGCTTAAATAACAATCCTGGCAGGCTGTCGCACACCAAGGTCTACTCGATCAAGATCTCTCTGTGAAGTTTCTGGTCATCTGGAATTTATTCCAAAATCGTAAAATTACTCTTTGTGATACATTAAAGTTTGCAGTCACAGTTGTTTGTGATTTTCCTGCTTGCTGCATCCCTGCTGCTCGTCCAGCCTCTGCAACTGTTCTGCGACTTTCCATGCTAACGAATGACATTGTTCAAAACAGGATGCAAAATGACAGGACACTTGAAAGAAACACAAACTTTTGTTGCATGATTTGACGTTAAGCACACACATTCTTTCAATAAAACCGCAACTGGCAGCTTGATTAAAACCCTGTGTAACACGGTGTATTGCCGCACGATTACTGTAGGTTGAATGTTATTGTGCATACATTGGTGATAAAATTTTCTTTTAATGACAGAAAAAAAACTCATATAATTATGATCCCTAACTTTTGTTGTTCGGTACATATCATCACGGACTAAGAATCTATTCTAAGTCCGTAATATTATGTATACAATATAGGAGAACTCGGTTGTTAAAAAGAGTTATCACCCGTGAATTGCTGTAACTAAAGCACTGTGCGATGAATAACCTACTTCTACATGCTTACGTACGTGTTACTTTGGTCTCCTGAAGACAAATCACGTCCGCATCGAGAGAATCAAAAAGTGTCTTTAAATTTATCTTGCTGGCTCGGATGCCGTTGATGTTCCATGATACGATTTTCATTCTTGTGTTCAACTTTCACTTCGACGATAACTACATAACAGAGAATTGGATTGGTCGAGAATGAAAAGATCACGCTAAAATAAAATAAAAAACGAAAACATTATTTGATACGGATTTGATATTGCATTAAATCATAGTGATACTTATTATATTCAGTATTTTCAATTGATATTTTCCAACTGCAAAATATTTCTTTCTGAAATAAATAACGTATATTCTCAACCCAGCACTCAATTAAGATGAATATACTGGACAAAAATCTGATGACTACCTCCAGTCATTTGGTTCCTTTATTATAGTAAGCAACCAAAAACCAATCATATGAGACGTAACAATTTGGTATTATTTCCCGCTATTTTTTTCACAAGGTTAAGGACACGTGAATGAGTTGTTGAGCTAATAATAGTATGTCTGATCCATCGTTGCTGACTAAAGCTAAACTGAAAGAGGAATTAATACGCCACAACATACCGTTACCGAAGTCCGACGCTAGAAAGCAGGCATACGTTGATTTATATACAGAACACGTGCTCAACGAAGCGTCAGACGACGACGAAACAACGGACCTGAATGCTGATCATCGAGACAGCAGTGATACAGATGGTGAAGTTGTTATAGTTTCACAAAAGGTGCGGAAAAGTAATTAAAGTCACTTTTTCACTTCTTTAAATTTGATTTTGACAGCTTAATGTCACTCTGTGATTGAATAATCAGACATTTACAGTGTATTTTCACATCTTTTTTTTGTTAGTCAACAACCAAAGCCGGGACAGAAGTTTCTAAAGGAAGTGGAGACTTTTCCCGTAAGGATAAAGAAGCCCCTGTCATGACATCAGTTAAAGACCTTACAGATGCTGAATTAGCACAAGAGCTGCGATCAAGGGGTGCTGCCCCTGGTCCAATTACTGGTAAAATGCATATATATTTTTCTTTATGTGGCAACACATACTGGCTTAGAAACTTGGGGAAAATTCTTTCTGGTGTAGCATGTTTGATTTGTTTGGCCAGTTGCATAGTTTTAAGAATCTGGATTCATTTGTCTATAAGTTATTTCAGATTCATATAAATCATTTTGACAAACATGGAAACAACTTACTGAAAATTTTATTAGGTCATCTGACCCGAAGGGTCCGATGACCTATAGTCATCATGCTTCGTCCGTCGTCGTCCGCCGTGCGCCCCGACGTGCGCCGTCCGTAAACTTTTCATTCAAACGACTTCTTCTCAATAATTGGAAGGCCCAGGCAACTAATATTTGGCCTGTAGCTTGCTTTGATGAAGCCCTACCAAGTTTGTTAAAAAGAATGACCTTGACCTTCATTCAAGGTCACAGGGGTCAAATGTCTTAAAATCTTCAAACGACTTCTTCTCAATAACTGGAGGGCCCAGGCAACTAATATTTGGCCTGTAGCTTGCTTTGATGAAGCCCTACCAAGTTTGTTAAAAAGAATGACCTTGACCTTCATTCAAGGTCACAGGGGTCAAATGTCTTAAAATCTTCAAACGACTTCTTCTCAATAACTGGAGGGCCCAGGCAACTAATATTTAGCCTGTAGCTTGCTTTGATGAAACCCTACCAAGTTTGTTCAAATGAATGACCTTGACCTTCATTCAAGGTCACAGGGGTCAAATGTCTTTAAATCTTCAAAGGACTTCTTCTCAGTAATCAAAAGGCCCAGGCAACTAAAATAAGGCCTGTAGCATGCTGGGATGAAGGACTATCAAGTTTGTTCAAATGAATGACCTTGACCCACTTTAAAGGTCACAGGGGTCAAATATGTTAAAATCTTTAAACAACTTCTTCTCAATAACCAAAAGGCTCAGATTGCTGATATTGTGCCTGTGGCATGCTGGCCCATGAAGGGCTATCAAGTTTGTTGGGAGGAAAGGCTACCAAGTTTAATGAATGACCTTGAACAACTTTCAAGGTCACAGGGGTCAAATATGTCAAAATCTTTAAATAACTTCTTCTCAAATACTAGAAGGCCTAGGGGGCTAATACTTGGCCCATAGCATGCTGGCATGGAGCCCTACAAAGTTTGTTCAAATGAATGACCTTGGCCCACTTTCAAGGTCACAGGGGTCAAATATGTTAAAATATACAAAGGACTTCATCTCAATAAGCAAAAGTCTATGAGTGCCGATATTGGGTCTGTAGCATGCTGGGAGGAAAGGCTACCAAGTTTATTCAAATGAATGACCTCAACCCACTTTCAAGGTCACAGGGGTCAAATATGTTAAAATATACAAACGACTTCTTCTCAACAAGCAAAAGTCCATGAGTGCTGATATTGGGCCTGTAAGATGCTTGGAGGAGAGGCTACCAAGTTTGTTCAAATGAATGACCTCAACCCACTTTCTAGGTTTGGCTTGCTTTTTGTCAGATGACCGTTAAGGCCCATGGGCCTCTTGTTTTGTTTATGTACATTGTCATCCTATTCATTATCTAGGATAATATTTTGATATGTACAAAAGTTCATAATTATGAATATGTGGTTTCTAGGTGTGAAACCATCCAGTGCAATTTGATACATATCACAATCACAATAAGGGCCCTAAGATTCAATTTTCCAATTCTCTGCTTTTTCAGTGTGATAAGATATACCATACGATATAATCAACCAGCCATAAATATCACTAACAGTGAATGTATTGTATTGAAAATAATCAAATAATCATTGTTTGATATATGCAGCAACTACAAGGACAGTTTATGAAAAGAAACTGTTGAAGCTTAAGCAAGCAGAGGGAAGTACAACTGAGAAACTGATAGAGACATCACAGTATGGTATGTGGTAAATATTTGATACAAAATTTTCCATTAATACAAGTTTTAATGTAGACTTAGTCTCTCTGAAATCCCCATGTGTTTATATTTAGCTCACCATTGACTTTGATCTGAAACATTGTTGGGTTTACATAAAAAAAGTGTGTGGTCCCTTTTGGAATGTGTTGAGTGATCTTAATCATCTCTTAAACATCTCTTTGTTGTGGGAGCTCAGCTTGTGAAAAGGAGGAAGGCCTTTTATCAGACAAAATGCTTAAAAGAACTTCTAAGAGATATTTTTGTTCATTTTGGAATTCTGCTCTTTTTACACATTTTTTGAAAAAGATCCCTACTGCCATTCTGTCTCTATTTCTTGTAAATGGGTTTGACACTTTAAATTTTTGAAAATTTCACGATGGGAAATTTAATGTAACTTGCTGTTACTTTGCGTTACATGAAAGACAAATCCCAATTTAGTTTTTAAAGATTCCAAATATAGAAAACACCATTCCAGAATCACAAAAGCATTTGAAACAAAGCAATTTAACTGAAATATGTTTTTATCCCTGATTGAGTCGGTGGAGAGGTATCAAATGTTGTACATGAAATATGCAAAAGGCAGAACAAAAAATTAGGATATTATGGAAGATAATTGAAATTGCATCTTAACTTTATAGACTATGAAATATGTATACTGTTTTCTTTCAGAGGAAGTACCAGATGATGAAGAAAGATCGTAAGTAAATCATAAAACAAAAAGTCAAATTCTACCATTATAAACAAACATTACAAACAGCTGAAATGGAAGAACATGTTGCATAGAAACCGAACTCCAGGAGTTACTAAGCTGTTGTTTAATTTTGAGATAAGAATTAAATTATTTACCTGTTAATGCAATCCAATACATATAGTTAACTGGTTCAGATCAAACAATTTTCTGGTTGAAGATACCTGACTTTGAATTATATTGTTAACTTGGAAATGATATGAATATTTATATTGTAAAATTCAAGAATCAGATGGTTTGCCTCATTTTATCTTAAATTATTCAGACCTCCACCAAAACTGAGGACTCCTACAAAGAGAGCAACCCGAGCTAGCAAGAAGGTTGAGCCAGATTACTTTGGTGAAGAAACAACAATCACTCACAGAGCACCAATCCATTCGGAACCAAAGCCAACGTAAGTATGAATAGTCAACCAATAACATTTAAAAAGATGGTATAGAGGATTGATACCTGACTTCATAAATTTGAGGATTTAGGAAAGTTTTGCTGCATTACAAAGGATATAGAGTTATAACTCAGTACACTAAGATTATACGCAATACACAAAAATAATTTATCACGGTACAAAAAACACATTTTTAGCATTTCATATTAATTTCTTATGGATTCTAAATGAATAAAAGCTGTAGCTTAAGGTTGTTGTAAAAATGAAGCAATTGTGTGAAATTCCATAAGTTGGTATAAAAAGATGTTATTCAGTTTTCCCTGTCTATTTTCCTTTTTCCCATTGTAGTAGTTTTCTGCATCAGAACAGAGACGCAATGTCAAATGTTGGGATATATTGAATATATATCTCGGTTCCGTATCAAGATAATCACTAGAATAAGTGACTGTCTTAGCTGATTTTTCTGTTGCAGAGAGATATTTGCCAATTTACCATTAGTAAAAAAAGTAAATATCTAACTCTTTATTTCAGGCCGATTGTGACCAGTAAACCAGCAGGACCACGGACACCCTCTTCCACTGTCAAGCACACAGCTTTACCCAGATGGGTCAAGTTTCTTGTTTTTGTTGGTGTTTTCTTCTTTGCATATCTTGTCTACCTAAACATGGAACCCTCTGGAAGTAAAGTCCCCAAAATAACAAAGGGCACAACTTCTTAATACTGGATGAAGTGAAAAGCTTTTTCATAACAAGCTTAAGGAGGCACCATGGTGTATCTGTGAACTTATGTCAGATAGTTCTTCAACAATTGCTAATGTAACAATGCAAGGGATTTAAGCAAAAACATCTTGTATCTTTGTTGATTGATGCTAGAATGAAAACAAGCAAACTGTTTTGTTCTATTTCAAGAAAGATGGTTACTAACTTTGTTAAGTGTGCATACCAGTAATACTATTTACTGAACACTTACAGTTGTAAAATGATAAGTAGAAACATCATTATAAATATTTACATGACGATTTTGAATGACTAGGTGACTTTAGGAGTCTCTGTATTATAGGTCATTATTTCAATGCCTGAACTTGGGATTGAGCTTGATACTTTTGATTATTTGTCTAATGTCAACCTATCAAGCATTAAAAGTTATATTTAGTTGAGCTGAAAATAATGTAGCCAGTATTTTCAGGGTAACACTTGAGCATTCTATTCAGAATTCTGATTTTCAATATTTTAAAATTGTGAAGTATTGATACACTGTATTAGATGTAACGAAATGATAGAAAATTAGGTATTGGGACCAGTAAGTGAAATAATTACTATTAAATCTACAAAAGTGAGGGGGTACTGTTAAGGTGCTTATTTTCAAGGGTTTCTGTTTCTTTACAATATTACAGGATTTAATGAAATGGTTAAAAATAGATGAACAAAAGGAGACAAAAAGTCTGTTTCATTTCATGATTTTTGAGAAAATTTGACCATTCTGCTTTAAACTGTCTACTGTCTGTAAAACTGCAAAAAATTAACCATCTAGGAAAAAATTATAGTAATTTTAATTTCAACATTTATCACTTGAGACGCATTTTCAGATCAGAGATGGCAGTTATCACTAGTTACTTTAGATAGATGTTTTTTTCTCTGTTTCTATTGTTTGGATTATTTTTGTATATATTGAAACTTAGTTTTACAATACGTGCATCAACATTATGATTAAGGCTTTCCCAGATTTTAGTGACTGATGAGAGAACATCTACCACTCCTTTATAATTGATAATGATCTATTATCAATTATACAACATCTGGTTCAGCCTTTAGCTTGGATCTTTTTTGTATTAATATGTATGATACATACTTCTAGTGCTGAAATACATTGTTTGATATCACTTTGAAAGTATATTTATCACTTATGATACTCCATTTAAACAGCACCTATTCACCTTAAATATTCTGTATCTTAACACTAGAAACTGTGGAAAATCTCTCTCTTATCCATTATCACTGTATTTATTTAAGTCTATTACAGTAGAAATCTCTAGGTGGAGGAGGGGCTTTACACTTGAACCCTGAGTATAGGGTTTACAACCCAAATGTAAACATAAAAATCATTTGTCTATGTACCTGACTTCATGTGGGTGCTAATAGTGGTAGTACTAGCCAGTCCAAGAATACTGAACAGAAATAACCTTGTTATACCAGGCATATTGAAGTCAGATGGGTCTAATATTTTCAAACACTCTAAAGTCATATGAACAACAAATGATCTGTTAATTTGTATCTGAAAGGTGATATGGATCTCAACTTTTCCTATAAACACTTCAGTGTGTGTCCCTCCAGTATAAAACTTGTGTTCAAATAAAATGCGTTTTATTCCTTGGAGTAAATGAAGTTACAGTCTTTCGACAAAGCTCAGTTGGTCATATTGATTAAATTTGGCCTGTATTGTTTCATTGCTCCGAAGATTAATATTTAACTTTTAATTTATGCAATCTCTGTGACTTGTATATCTTAATTTATTTTGCAAATAACACTGAAATATAGATCTGTTTGCATATATTTTGAGCCTCTGAGAGATAAGGTGGCCAAGGTTTGGTCAATCACTTGTAAATCATATTGTTAGTCTGATGTAACCTTGTTATACCATATCTTTACCACATCATATGTGCTTAATTTGTAAACATCATATAATGTTCAACTTTACCACATGTGCTTGAAACATCATATAAGAACTTGCGATTCCAAACATTAATAAATCTGCTATTTTGAAATGTTATGTATATGTGTAGTTGTGATTTGCTACCACTGCTGTTGTTTACGTCCTATCAGAGCTTCAGAACTGCATCTTTTCGTAGCCCAGAATATATTAACATGAGAGTCATATCTATGGTATGGTAAACCTACAATACTCAATATGAAATCAACAAAATCAAGGCAGGTATGAAGACAAGCCACCAATATGTGTGACATGGATACTAGTATCAGGGTTACAGCTACAGACATACAATATGTGTGACATGGATACTAGTATCAGGGTTAAAGCTAAAGCCACCAATATGTGTGGCATGGATACTAGTATCAGGGTTACAGCTACAGACATACAATATGTGTGACATGGATACTAGTATCAGGGTTAAAGCTTCAGCCACCAATATGTGTGGCATGGATACTAGTATCAGGGTTACAGCTACAGACATACAATATGTGTGACATGGATACTAGTATCAGGGTTACAGCTACAGACACCAATATGTGTGGCATGGATACTAGTATCAGGGTTACAGCTAAAGCCACCAATATGTGTGGCATGGATACTAGTATCAGGGTTACAGCTGAAGCCACCAATATGTGTGGCATGGATACTAGTATCAGGGTTACAGCTGAAGCCACCAATATGTGTGGCATGGATACTAGTATCAGGGTTACAGCTGAAGCCACCAATATGTGTGGCATGGATACTAGTATCGGGGTTACAGCTAAAGTAACCAATATGTGTGGCATGGATACCATTATCAGGGTTACAGCTAAAGCCACCAATATGTGTGGCATGGATACTAGTATCAGGGTTACAGCTAAAGCCACCAATATGTGTGGCATAGATACTAGTATCAGGGTTACAGCTGAAGCCACCAATATGTGTGGCATATATACTTGTATCAGGGTTACAGCTAAAGCCACCAATATGTGTGGTATGGATACTAGTATCAGAGTTACAGCTGAAGCCACCAATATGTGTGGCATGGATACTAGTATCTGGCTTACAGCTACAGACACCATTATGTGTGGCATGGATATAAGTATCTGGGTTACAGCTGAAGCCACCAATATGTGTGGCATGGATACTAGTATCAGGGTTACAGCTGAAGCCACCAATATGTGTGGCATGGATACTAGTATCTGGCTTACAGCTACAGACACCATTATGTGTGGCATGGATATAAGTATCTGGGTTACAGCTGAAGCCACCAATATGTGTGGCATGGATACTAGTATCAGGGTTACAGCTGAAGCCACCAATATGTGTGGCATGGATACTAGTATCTGGGTTACAGCTACAGACACCATTATGTGTGGCATGGATACTAGTATCGGGGTTACAGCTAAAGTAACCAATATGTGTGGCATGGATACTAGTATCAGGGTTACAGCTAAAGCCACCAATATGTGTGGCATGGATACTAGTATCAGGGTTACAGCTAAAGCCACCAATATGTATGGCATAGATACTAGTATCAGGGTTACAGCTGAAGCCACCAATATGTGTGGCATGGATACTAGTATCAGGGTTACAGCTGAAGCCACCAATATGTGTGGCATGGATACTTGTATCAGGGTTACAGCTAAAGCCACCAATATGTGTGGTATGGATACTAGTATCAGGGTTACAACTGAAGCCACCAATATGTGTGGCATGGATACTAGTATCTGGGTTACAGCTACAGACACCATTATGTGTGGAATGGATACTAGTATCAGGGTTACAGCTAAAGCCACCAATATGTGTGGCATGGATACTTGTATCAGGGTTACAGCTAAAGCCACCATTATGTGTGGAATGGATACTAGTATCTGGGTTACAGCTACAGACACCATTATGTGTGGCATGGATACTAGTATCGGGGTTACAGCTAAAGTAACCAATATGTGTGGCATGGATACTAGTATCAGGGTTACAGCTAAAGCCACCAATATGTGTGGCATGGATACTAGTATCAGGGTTACAGCTAAAGCCACCAATATGTATGGCATAGATACTAGTATCAGGGTTACAGCTGAAGCCACCAATATGTGTGGCATGGATACTAGTATCAGGGTTACAGCTGAAGCCACCAATATGTGTGGCATGGATACTTGTATCAGGGTTACAGCTAAAGCCACCAATATGTGTGGTATGGATACTAGTATCAGGGTTACAACTGAAGCCACCAATATGTGTGGCATGGATACTAGTATCTGGGTTACAGCTACAGACACCATTATGTGTGGAATGGATACTAGTATCAGGGTTACAGCTAAAGCCACCAATATGTGTGGCATGGATACTTGTATCAGGGTTACAGCTAAAGCCACCATTATGTGTGGAATGGATACTAGTATCAGGGTTACAGCTAAAGCCACCAATATGTGTGGCATGGATACTAGTATCTGGGTTACAGCTACAGACACCATTATGTGTGGAATGGATACTAGTATCTGGGTTACAGCTAAAGCCACCAATATGTGTGGCATGGATACTAGTATCTGGGTTACAGCTAAAGCCACCAATATGTGTGGCATGGATACTAGTATCTGGGTTACAGCTAAAGCCACCAATATGTGTGGCATGGATACTTGTATCAGGGTTACAGCTAAAGCCACCATTATGTGTGGAATGTATACTAGTATCAGGGTTACAGCTAAAGCCACCAATATGTGTGGCATGGATACTAGTATCAGGGTTACAGCTACAGACATATGATATGTATAAAGAACATTGTCAATTTCACATTGACGAATTGTTGCACAGAAACTTGAACCACTGTAAAACAAAACCGTAAAAACAATTACTGTCAAAAATGTATCTCTTGCAATACATAAAAATGAGGTACAATGTATTGTGTAAAATATGAACATCACACCTATAGTTCAATATATTCAGATCAGAGAAAAAGAAGGAAACTGAAAATACACAATCTGCAAGTTTACAAATGACTTCTGCTGGGCCCAATTTGCTGTAACTATAGGGTGTCATTTTACTTCACTTCAGTGATATCACAAACAATTAGGTGATATTACCAATTCAACTCAAACTTTCTGAGCAATAGCTTTGACCAGTATCTTTTAATATAGTGAATATAGATATCGGCTTTCAGTTCAATATCTGTGCCCATGATATAGTAAGTATGTGGAAATTTAACTTTAAACAGTCTATAGCAACACTCCAGCTTATTTATTGTAGAAGCATAAAGAATAATCAGGCACAGATTGAAATTGTTTAATTGTATATAATAAGATAACAAGCCCATCACCATGTGCTGACAAAAATAAAATACTGTATATCATTCACAAGTTTGTCTGCTCAAACAGCAGGAACTTAAAATATAATGTATTGATATTGTCATGATAGGATATCTTGATAAAGCAAATATTTTGTATAATCATTGAAATTTTGGGTAATGCTTTATTTATCTTTGAAAGATCATTTACTAAAAACAATCAAGAAAGTTGAATCATGAACATTTTTCATCAATTACATTGAATCATCAGTACAAAATTATTCTGCATTGTTATAAAAGTTTTAACAACTATTGTCAACAAAATGACTAGTCCTTCAGTTGCAACGTCAGTAATGACAATGTTGGAAACTTTATTGTTTTAGTTCTTTCAGCATCTTTTCACACATCATTAGATAGCGAGGAACATGGAAGCATCCTAAAAAACAAAAATAATATGTTATACAGTGAAAACGGTTGAACTTTTTCTCAAGATATTAAAGTTTCCTTTATTTGTTATATGAGAACATGACATTACCTACTTGGATTCACCAAGATTTACGTAGTTGTTGTCAAAGAAGCAGAAGATGCATATTCTTTTGGAACATCTGATCTTATTCTTGTACTTTTTCAGGAGTCAGAGTTTAAATCTTTCTTTTGTTCATATTTTGCCCTAGCTTTACTGAATTTGAGTTTTTATTATGATTATGTTCATATGTTGATATTTTCTTGTTGTTTTAGCATTCAATAATGCAATGTAAATATTTTTGAAATGAATACAATACCATCTTAATTGTTAATATTAGTTTAAAGTAACCATGGCAAAAGCAACTGTCATAAAAATAATTCTCAAAAAATGTGTTCACTGACAAATTCACACATAACTTTGTACCATACTTTCTCAAGTTGTAAAGGTTGATGGTTAGTTGAATATAAAAACATCAAATAATAGTAATGATTGTATTGTATGTTATGAATGTCCCATGATACTTTGTGGATACTCGGGTTCCTCAGTAACAATATACTTAGTTCATGGAAAAATTCCATCTCTAACTTTGGATGTATTGCAGGTATTCATTTTATGTTTCGAAATATGCTTCAACTATCATGAGACCACTCGACAGAATTCACACAAGGCAGATTACCTTTCCAAGGGCCACCCTTGAAGTCCATGCTGATTTCACCATTTCGATTGAGGTAACCATACCATTCACCATTTTCCTCATCAACAAACTGAACAAAATTGACAAGAAAGGTATGGTCATTTGCTACATGTATATAAAATGCTAATTACTGCAGGTTTATACCAGGTATGTTAATATACATGTGATTTATTCTCCAGGTTCATGTTTATGATAGGAACACTAAATGTAAACAATATTTATTCTATCATCTATTTTACATTCTGCACCTCTGCCTGACAATGTTGATGAAGAGATAGTTAAAACCTGCCTATAGGTGGTATGCTGTGGTAAACATATGGCATGAGAATCTGTTAACATTTCATCCTTTAAAGTGTTACTAGTGTTAATAAGAATGGATTATCTAAAGATCTTTACCTAAGAAAGTCATCTGACCTGTGACAACTACCAAAATGTTCATGGTGTCCATGGTGAGGACAAATGTAATAGTGACTGGTATTGTACTGAAGCTTGTGAAATCTAAAAAAACAATGCATCACTGGGCCCCCTGACCATGAAAGTAGGTCAAAATCATGTATTCATAGAAACTACAACACTCCAACCCTGTTAAGTCAAGTTCAATCACTATAGCAACTTTGTAACAATCCATCATAGGAGGGTCAAGTTCAATCATTATAACAACTTTGTAACAATCCATCATAGGAGGGTCAAGTTCAATCATTATAGCAACTTTGTAACAATCCATCATAGGAGGGTCAAGTTCAATCATTATAACAACTTTGTAACAATCCATCATAGGAGGGTCAAGTTCAATCACTATAGCAACTTTGTAACAATCCATCATAGGAGGGTCAAGTTCAATCATTATAGCAACTTTGTAACAATCCATCAAAGGAGGGTCAAGTTCAATCATTATAACAACTTTGTAACAATCCATCATAGGAGGGTCAAGTTCAATCACTATAGCAACTTTGTAACAATCCATCATAGGAGGGTCAAGTTCAATCATTATAACAACTTTGTAACAATCCATCATAGGAGGGTCAAGTTCAATCATTATAGCAACTTTGTAACAATCCATCATAGGAGGGTCAAGTTCAATCATTATAACAACTTTGTAGCAATCCATCATAGGAGGGTCAAGTTCAATCATTATAGCAACTTTGTAACAATCCATCAAAGGAGGGTCAAGTTCAATCATTATAACAACTTTGTAACAATCCATCATAGGAGGGTCAAGTTCAATCATTATAACAACTTTGTAACAATCCATCAAAGGAGGGTCAAGTTCAATCATTATAACAACTTTGTAACAATCCATCATAGGAGGGTCAAGTTCAATCATTATAACAACTTTGTAACAATCCATCATAGGAGGGTCAAGTTCAATCATTATAGCAACTTTGTAACAATCCATCATAGGAGGGTCAAGTTCAATCATTATAACAACTTTGTAGCAATCCAGCATAGGAGGGTCAAGTTCAATCATTATAACAACTTTGTAGCAAAGGAGGGTCAAGTTCAATCATTATAGCAACTTTGTAGCAATCCATCAAAGGAGGGTCAAGTTCAATCATTATAGCAACTTTGTAGCAATCCATCAAAGGAGGGTCAAGTTCAATCATTATAGCAACTTTGTAACAATCCATCAAAGGAGGGTCAAGTTCAATCATTATAACAACTTTGTAACAATCCATCATAGGAGGGTCAAGTTCAATCATTATAACAACTTTGTAACAATCCAGCAAAGGAGGGTCAAGTTCAATCATTATAGCAACTTTGTAAGAATCCATCATAGGAGGGTCAAGTTCAATCATTATAGCAACTTTGTAACAGTCCAGCAAAGGAGGGTCAAGTTCAATCATTATAACAACTTTGTAACAATCCATCATAGGAGGGTCAAGTTCAATCATTATAACAACTTTGTAACAATCCATCATAGGAGGGTCAAGTTCAATCATTATAACAACTTTGTAACAATCCATCATAGGAGGGTCAAGTTCAATCATTATAACAACTTTGTAACAATCCATCATAGGAGGGTCAAGTTCAATCATTATAACAACTTTGTAACAATCCATCATAGGAGGGTCAAGTTCAATCATTATAACAACTTTGTAACAATCCATCATAGGAGGGTCAAGTTCAATCATTATAACAACTTTGTAACAATCCATCATAGGAGGGTCAAGTTCAATCATTATAACAACTTTGTAACAATCCATCATAGGAGGGTCAAGTTCAATCATTATAACAACTTTGTAACAATCCATCATAGGAGGGTCAAGTTCAATCATTATAACAACTTTGTAACAATCCATCATAGGAGGGTCAAGTTCAATCATTATAACAACTTTGTAACAATCCATCATAGGAGGGTCAAGTTCAATCATTATAACAACTTTGTAACAATCCATCATAGGAGGGTCAAGTTCAATCATTATAACAACTTTGTAACAATCCATCATAGGAGGGTCAAGTTCAATCATTATAACAACTTTGTAACAATCCATCATAGGAGGGTCAAGTTCAATCATTATAACAACTTTGTAACAATCCATCATAGGAGGGTCAAGTTCAATCATTATAACAACTTTGTAACAATCCATCATAGGAGGGTCAAGTTCAATCATTATAGCAACTTTGTAACAATCCATCATAGGAGGGTCAAGTTCAATCATTTATAGAATCTTTTTTACTCCTGCACCAAGGTAGGTCAAGGTTAATCATAGAAACTCTGTAGCACTCTTTCCAAGGTAGGCCAATTATAGAAACATTGTAGCACTATGCAAGGTCAGTCATTTATAGAAACTTTGTAACATTCCATCCAAAGTAGGCCCAGTAGAAATGTGTCATGTATTTTATAGTTCCACAGAAGAGATTGAGGGCTCCAAACCTGGGACATAGTGCTACATAGTACTGTGAACAAATCCTGTCAAAAAGTCAAAATACTGAACAAACCGTATAATTTGAATAAGGAAACAACACGTGTAACTTTATCATTGATTGATAAAACTGTTTCCTGCGAAAAGACGACTGGTCCTACACCACCGTATGTCAATATAACGACTGGCCCTACACCAACGTATGTCAACATAACGACTGGCTCTACACCACTGTATGTCAATATAACGACTGGCTCTACACCACCGTATGTCAATATAACGACTGGCTGTACACCAACGTATGTCAATATAACGACTGGCTCTACACCACCGTATGTCAATATAACGACTGGCCCTACACCAACGTATGTCAATATAACGACTGGCTCTACACCACCGTATGTCAATATAACGACTGGCTCTACACCACCTTATGTCAATATAACGACTGGCTCTACACCACCGTATGTCAATATAACGACTGGCCCTACACCAACGTATGTCAATATAACGACTGGCTCTACACCACCGTATGTCAATATAACGACTGGCTCTACACCACCGTATGTCAATATAACGACTGGCCCTACACCAACGTATGTCAATATAACGACTGGCTCTACACCACCGTATGTCAACATAACGACTGGCTCTACACCACCGTATGTCAATATAACGACTGGCCCTACACCACCGTATGTCAATATAACGACTGGCCCTACACCACCATATGTCAATATAACAATGGAGCCAATGAACATCATAAAGCATCACTGCATGTGTGGGTTTGACTATGCCACAAAAAGCTCTGTCGAGTTTAATAGATCACAAATAAACATGCAAATGTGATTGTTGCGCAATTAGTAGTTTCCAAATACATGTACTAGCATATCACATGTCAAAACAAGGTCAATATGGAATAAGCCAAAGAGTTTAGAGACCGATCTTGAATACTGTTTTATACAGTGAAATGTCGTATGAAACGACAAATTTCCATTCATCTTAATAAACCAAATGTATACTGGACAGGTACACATTATACTGGTTCTTAAAGTATGAAATAAATACCAATATGATATATCAAAGTAAAAGGTGTATATCTTACGTGAGTGTAACTGTAGTCGAATATTTTTGCAAATATGTCGATCATTTTAACGTCGCCGGTTTCTTTGTACACCAAGAGGAAGGCAATGAGAGCCTCGTTGTGAGCCCACCATAGTTTCATATCCCACTCTAGCTGTGTAGGTGACCAGTTGTCCACATCCAGGAAGTAAAACAGTCCGCCGTGAATTTTGTCCCAACCATAATTAAACGGATTTAAGATGAACTTGTCGATGGCCATTTTCTTCACATCGTCCTTTCCCTTGCTGATGGCATGCTGTAACAGGAACCAGCCAGCCTCGATTGAGTGCCCCGGTAACATCAGTCTTCCAGCACTGCCTGGGAGTTCTTCTCCTTCTGGACTCACATTCTCCAGGATAACAGTGCCGTCCCTCTATAAAACATCGTCTTCAATGATTCACCAGTATTTGTAAAAGACCACAAAGATTCTTCATATAGATTACTATATTTAACTTTACCTCCCTAGTTAAAACTCCACTACAAACTTTACGTATTCTTCCGAGTACCGTGTCATCGACCAACCTACCTGAATGTGTTTCTTGACTTCGGTCAGACACCAGCCCGTGAGGTCCCTGTATCTTGTTTCCAGTGTTGGGTCCACAGTTTCTAGTTGATCAATTAAACACAGAAGCATCATCGGTACAGCAAGAGTGCTAGTGGGCATGGCTCCTTCCATGGCCGGTCGTCCTAAATCTGTGTCGTCCTCTCGAACCCAGTACACGATCTTGTCCATCATTTGTAAAGCTTCTGTCTATGAGGACAATGGTTATTTAGCATATTTATTAAAATCTGACAATATACTGCATTACTAACCGATCAACATAACTCTGCGAGGTTTAGCTCGTCAATTTCGAAATCCAAGGTTTCCGCTCAAAAACGAAAATCACGAACTTAGAAGTATACAAATCAGCTAGCTTTCTACGAAAGAGATTCCAATGAAATGAAAATGCATTTCACCATATAAGCCTTGTCCCCGCTCGCCCTGCTGGTCTCCGACAGAGCCATGAGATAGAAACACTCGGAGAAGATGGATCGCTGGGTTTTCACAGCTTTGCCATCCTCTGTCAGCACCAAGTGACACTTACAAGTCTGAGGATCCTTGGCATACTTTTGAAGGAAGGCCATTCCTGTAATCCCAGAGTTTACCAAATTAGCATATACACACATGACTACAGGCGTCGGACATTTCTGATGTCTATGATGAAACTATTCGACCTTGAAAACATGAATAAGTTGATATTTACAAAGTCATTTAGGTAATTATTTAAACATATCCAGAAATTATGATTTCCTATTATTATTTCTATTTTCATGTCTTGTTTTTCTTCTGACATCAAAAGGTCATGTTTTAAAGAGCTACATCTTAAATGACATGTATATGATGTTTTCAAAGAGCAAAACCCAAGGTAATTAATTTGAAGAATCCTGGTTTCCCTTTATCTCGCATTCTATTGGCCGGTTTAATATTGAAAAGAAAAGTCGTGTAAAGATTGTTACCTTGAAAGTTGATAAATATCATTAACTTCAACAATATTCATCCCAGCAATCTACAAAGCCAATATCACTGCCTTGGGGCTATTGGTTATTCAGAAGAGGCTGTTTGAAATATTTGACTATGACATTGAAATTGGATTAAGGTTGACAGACGGACGTCGAACGTCACGTCACGACATCAGCTCGCTTAGCAGTGGTATCACCAGGTTAGTGGTGTATGGATAGTGGTATCACCGGGTTAGTGGTGGCTGAATAGTGGTATCACCGGGTTAGTGGTGGCTGAATAGTGGTATCACCGGGTTAGAGGTGGCTGAATAGTGGTACCACCAGTTAATGGTGTATGAATAGTGGTATCACCGGGTTAGTGGTGGCTGAATAGTGGTATCACCGGGTTAGTGGTGGCTGAATAGTGGTATCACCGGGTTAGTGGTGGCTGAATAGTGGTATCACCGGGTTAGTGGTATCTGAATAGTGGTATCACCCGGTTAGTGGTGTATGGATAGTGGTATCACCGGGTTAGTGGTGTCTGAATAGTGGTATCACCAGGTTAGTGGTGTCTGAATAGTGGTATCAACGGGTTAGTGGTGTCTGAATAGTGGTATCACCGGGTTAGTGGTGTCTGAATAGTGGTATCACCGGGTTAGTGGTGTCTGAATAGTGGTATCACCGGGTTAGTGGTGTCTGAATAGTGGTATCACCGGGTTAGTGTTGTCTGAATAGTGGTATCACCGGGTTAGTGGTGTCTGAATAGTGGTATCACCGGGTTAGTGGTGTCTGAATAGTGGTATCACCGGGTTAGTGGTGTCTGATTAGTGGTATCACCGGGTTAGTGTTGTCTGAATAGTGGTATCACCGGGTTAGTGGTGTCTGAATAGTGGTATCACCAGGTTAGTGGTGTATGGATAGTGGGACAATCAAATTGGTGATGTCTGGACAGTGGGATATTCGAATTAGTAGTGTCTATAGAAGCAGTAACTTAATTACGTGTGTTTATCAGTGCCAACCTTTCAAAGCTGCCTGTAGGATATCTTGTCTTTGGAATCGCTCGACTTCGTTGTAAAGGCGACAGTAAGTCCACACCTGATGGAAATATACAAACAGAAATGTTATTCCAATTAACACACTTACATCCCTCTTGTAATCACAATATATCTATATCTCCCACTTCCATCCCTCCTGTAACCACAATATATCTATATCTCCCACTTCCATCCCTCCTGTAACCATAATATATCTATATCTCCCACTTCCATCCCTCCTGTAATCTCAATGTATCTATATCTCCCACTTCCATCCCTCCTGTAATCACAATATATCTATATCTCCCGCTTCCATCCCTCCTCTAATCACAATACATATCTCCCATTCCATCCCTCCTGTAATCACAATATATCTATATCTCCCGCTTCCATCCCTCCTGTAATCACAATATATCTCTCCCACTTCCATCTCTCCTGTAACCACAATATATCTATATCTCCCACTTCCATCCCTCCTGTAATCACAATATATCTATATCTCCCACTTCCATCCCTCCTGTAATCACAATATATCTATATCTCCCGCTTCCATCCCTCCTGTAATCACAATATATCTATATCTCCCGCTTCCATCCCTCCTGTAACCACAATATATCAATATCTCCCACTTCCATCCCTCCTGTAATCACAATATATCTATATCTCCCACTTCCATCCCTCCTGTAATCACAATATATCTCTCCCACTTCCATCCCTCCAGTAATCACAATATATCTATATCTCCCACTTCCATCCCTCCTGTAACCACAATATATCTATATCTCCCACTTCCATCCCTCCTGTAATCACAATATATCTATATCTCCCGCTTCCATCCCTCCTGTAATCACAATATATCTATATCTCCCACTTCCATCCCTCCTGTAACCACAATATATCTATATCTCCCACTTCCATCCCTCCTGTAATCACAATATATCTCTCCCACTTCCATCTCTCCTGTAACCACAATATATCTATATCTCCCACTTCCATCCCTCCTGTAATCACAATATATCTCTCCCACTTCCATCCCTCCTGTAATCACAATATATCTATATCTACCACTTCCATCCCTCCTGTAATCACAATATATCTATATCTCCCACTTCCATCCCTCCTGTAACCACAATATATCTATATCTCCCACTTCCATCCCTCCTGTAATCACAATATATCTATATCTCCCACTTCCATCCCTCCTGTAATCACAATATATCTATATCTCCCACTTCCATCCCTCCTGTAACCACAATATATCTATATCTCCCACTTCCATCCCTCCTGTAATCACAATATATCTATATCTCCCACTTCCATCCCTCCTGTAATCACAATATATCTATATCTCCCACTTCCATCCCTCCTGTAATCACAATATATCTATATCTCCCACTTCCATCCCTCCTGTAATCACAATATATCTATATCTCCCACTTCCACCCCTCCTGTAATCACAATATATCTATATCTCCCACTTCCATCACTCCTGTAATCACAATATATCTATATCTCCCACTTCCATCCCTCCTGTAACCACAATATATCTATATCTCCCACTTCCATCCCTCCTGTAATCACAATATATCTATATCTCCCACTTCCATCCCTCCTGTAATCACAATATATCAATATCTCCCACTTCCATCCCTCCTGTAACCACAATATATCTATATCTCCCACTTCCATCCCTCCTGTAATCACAATATATCTATATCTCCCACTTCCATCCCTCCTGTAATCACAATATATCTATATCTCCCACTTCCATCCCTCCTGTAATCACAATATATCTATATCTCCCACTTCCATCCCTCCTGTAACCACAATATATCTATATCTCCCACTTCCATCCCTCCTGTAATCACAATATATCTATATCTCCCACTTCCATCACTCCTGTAATCACAATATATCTATATCTCCCACTTCCATCCCTCCTGTAATCACAATATATCTCTCCCACTTCCATCCCTCCTGTAATCACAATATATCTATATCTCCCACTTCCATCACTCCTGTAATCACAATATATCTATATCTCCCACTTCCATCCCTCCTGTAATCACAATATATCTATATCTCCCACTTCCATCCCTCCTGTAATCACAATATATCTCTCCCACTTCCATCCCTCCAGTAATCACAATACATATCTCCCACTTCCATCCCTCCTGTAACCACAATATATCAATATCTCCCACTTCCATCCCTCCTGTAATCACAATATATCAATATCTCCCACTTCCATCCCTCCTGTAATCACAATATATCTCTCCCACTTCCATCCCTCCAGTAATCACAATACATATCTCCCACTTCCATCCCTCCTGTAACCACAATATATCTATATCTCCCACTTCCATCCCTCCTGTAACCACAATATATCAATATCTTCCACTTCCATCCCTCCTGTAATCACAATATATCAATATCTCCCACTTCCATCCCTCCAGTAATCACAATATATCTATATCTCCCGCTTCCATCCCTCCTGTAATCACAATATATATATATCTCCCACTTCCATCCCTCCTGTAATCACAATATATCTATATCTCCCACTTCCATCCCTCCTGTAACCATAATATATCTATATCTCCCACTTCCATCCCTCCTGTAATCACAATATATCTCTCCCACATACCTGCCTTGCCTGTAACCAGACGTGTTTCAGACGGTCGTACACTTGTCCATCTTTACTGATACAGTTGAAAAATCCCCTAAAAACACAATGAAGTCAGGTTCACGGGAATAATTATGTCCGATAAAAACTGTATTCTGATATTATACTGGTAAGAAATATTTCACTTGTCTTAATACTTTCATCAAAGATTGCTTATCAGACACACAAGACTTCGTGAACATTATATTTTAATAGAAAAACTAGGTAGCAAACCCAAACATAAAGATAACGATGAATTGACGTTTTGTGTCCTGTAGATTAACTTGTGTTCATTGTATATATACATAAATGAAGATGGATAAATTGTTGCTGGGCCCTGTGTGTTACCCGTGAGTATCGTCGTGTGAATGGTTTATCCAGAAATCCATGGAGCGGTCCAGATCTTTGGTTATGCGTTCTGAAAACTCGTCAAGTCGGTTAGCCATTTTGACGACTCTAAATAAAATATGAATAAAATTTTGCAGTATTTGATATCACAAATAACGCAGGTTTGATCAAACAGAATTAATTTGTAACACGGACATTTCTTGACTTGATGTATCGGCGATCATTGATAGACTCTGTACAAGTAATATTTTCGTTTTTTGTGATATAGACTCTGTACAAGTAATATTCTCGTTTTTTGTGATGCAGAGCAAATTAAAATGGAAAATAGCATTTATTTACGAATTGTTATATCTTTTCAAATCCTTAATTACTAGGCGTAGTGGAATCAAGTAGAACAAAGTTGTTGATTCTTCATAAACAAAATTTGTACAAAATGGAAGAACATGCTAACCAATCTGATTAAAATACATAATTTACAACTCTAACGGCAAGTATTGGAGTCGTAAACTATGATTTGTATCTTAATCAGATTGCATGCTAACTAAAGTAAATAGTTCTCTGTTTAGATAAAAAAAAATCCGTTAATTATGGTAAGCCGTTTCAACATTTAATCCCGATTCCTCTTAATGTGTACATTTAGTTTATTTAAGTGAAATTCATTTTGCCTTAACTTCGTTTCGCATTATATTTTATTTTACTTAAGTGAAAAAGAATAGAGTGCATGGGTACAACTTCACAAAACCTAGACAATAGCCATAGTGTAACGCGCCAAGATTAAACCTTTTTTATTTTACAGCTGAAAAATACTGTTAACATACACGTAGAATTAGTAGAGGAAATGGCGAAACTTACAATTAATTTGTTCTTGGTCTTGATTAAGAAATCATACCTCCAAAATACCTCCTAAATTAAAGAAAACAACGACCAGGAGGAATTTTCTACAGGTATTTTTTTTAAGCTAAGTAAACTTAAGATACCTACATTGTCATATCGGCGCGGGGAAATGATTGAAGTATACACTTGAAATGATAAACTGGATCTGTGATAAAGAATGTTGTACTTTATTAAAAGTATGGTCAGAAGTGGCTTCTAAACACAGCGGAAGAGTGAATACCCAAAAACTCTTTCCACAAAGAACAAATTCTACAAAAAGAAGGAACTCTTTTACTATTAGATCAGCACGCATTTGGAACTCTTTACCAAAATCTGTTTTATCAGCACCAATCACTAACTGTTTCAAAAATCGATTAGATAAATTTTGGGAAAATCAGGATATTGTTTACAATTATAGAGCAGAACTTTCTTTTGACCTTTAAATTTAATTAAGCGAAACTGACCCGTCTTTACCACTGTATTACACTATACATTTTGTCTAACTTTTTAGTATTATGTACTGTGTATTCATATGTTTGGAGTCCGGCGAAGAGGATTTTCTAAATCCTGGCCCGGAAATAAACTTAACTTAACTTAAAACGTTTAATGTGAGTATACTGCGAAATATGCTATAAAATACTGTCCTGTGTATGTTAAACAATGAATAAAAACATAAGTTAATGAAATAAATGTAAGGCACACACATCCTTAAACATCACTGCCATATTCTGACGTATATTACTAACGAAGACTTGCCGAAGGGGCATGTGCAAGTCTACAAAACTCAGAGTATGTAGCAAAGTTGTTTGACACATAAAAACATGGATAATTTTGATATTTATTTTCTCGAGTACAGTGTTAACAAATATTTTCATACATTAAGCTAACATTGATAATTGTTGCGATCATGTGATTAAACGCCGGAAATTGGCGAAAATTACCGAGTGTAAAGTCAACGGTAGATTTAAATTGCCAATCCTGTCACGATCCGAAATAATATCGTATATATTTTGTTTTATGTATTGCATTTGGAGAAGTAGAAGGAAAAACACACACTTAAAACTGATAATATATTGGTTTGTTTGTTATTCTATGAAATATGATTATATTAGCAAAATTATGCAAACCCCAAAACTGTGTCCTGATTTTGTAATTTTACTGAACCAAGCACATTGGCGCGCACCGGAAGCACCGTTAGGCGTGGGTTGGCATTGTTCAAGACGTTTCCCGGAGCCACGCGGTGAGGTAAACTGTTATTAACTATTTGTTTCTATACAAATACCGATAAGCATGGGGGACCGTGAAAACGAACAATTTAGAAAGCTTTTTATAGGTGGATTGAGCTATGAAACGACAGAAGATAGTCTAAAAACCCATTTTGCACAATGGGGAAATATTATCGACTGCGTGGTAATGAAAGATGCCCATACCAAACGATCAAGGGGTTTTGGATTCATCACATATTCCACTCCTGAAGAGCTAGATGAAGCTCAAAAGAGTCGTCCCCATCGACTAGATGGAAGGCAAGTAGAATCTAAACGTGCTATGCCTAGAAACAAAGATGGTGGCGAAGGAGAATCTTCACAATCGTGCAAGAAAATGTTCGTTGGTGGGATTGCCGATGATGCTACGGAGGATCAACTTCGTGAAGTATTCGGTGTATACGGAGATATTGAGAGAGTTGATTTGATAAAAGACAAAGTAACCGGCAAAAACAAAAGATTTTGCTTTGTGACATTTTTCGACTACGATCCTGTTGATCAATGTGTATTGAAAAAGAAACACGATGTAAACGGTAGATCAGTGGAAGTTAAGAAGGCTGTACCTAGGGAACAAGATGGTGGAATGGGGGGACGCGGTGGCGGTCGAGGTGGAATGATGGGAGGACGCGGCGGCGGTCGTGGTGGAATGATGGGAGGCGGACGAGGAGGTCGAAATGACTGGGATCAAGGTGGTGGCTATAACCAGCAGGGTGGCTACAATGACTATAACCAAGGAGGTGGTTATAATAGTGGTGGAGGTGATTACAATCAGAATTGGAACCAAGGAGGTGGTGGAGGCTATGACAACTACAACAGTGGTTACAATCAAAACCAGAATAGTGGTGGAAACTGGGGTGGAAACCAGCAGCAGAACTTTGGACAAAATTATGGTGATGGATATGGGGGTGGAGCAATGAGGGGTGGTGGTAGTGGCGGAAACTATCAGCAGCGATCAGGACCCTATAGTCAGGGTCAAGGAAATTACAACCGAGGAGGTGGTGGTGGCGGCGGCGGAGGTGGTTACAACAGGCGCTAAGATCACCAGCTAATATGTCCGCACACCAGACTTTAAAATATCCGATCAGTTGAAAGAATGGTTTTCAAACCTTGCAATCAAGATCTGTAAAACTTGAGACACTACTTTATATGAAATTCGTGATAGATCGTGGCAAACATAAGTTTGCATGTGACATTCAGGCAAACTACATTGTAGTAGTGTAAATATTTGTGTTAAACTTGTGACTGTACATTGTCATTCCGTTGTCATTTTAGTATCTTGCTGGTCATGAGTAGTCATTTTCATTTGATACATCTCCAGATCAACTCGGTTACATTACTTGGTATCAACAGAAAGTAGTCTTCATTATATAATTGTCATTTAACTAACATATTAAGTTGATTCTGGCATTAAAATGGCCCTATAATAGGCCTAAAAGATTCATTTGGTATTAAGATAACCTTTTTTTTTAAATGTGATCAACAATGAAATTTAACAAATGCAGGACTAATTTTCCAATTCTCAGAATTTTATTGTTAGACTTCTCACATCATGTTCATCTTGTCACCAAATATTATTCTTTTTTTTTTCTTTTTTTTTTCATTGTAGTTATATTGATACCATATTTTTGTATATTTGTTTTAAGTGTGAAGTTGTTGACAAGGAATTGTAGTTGATACTCTAATATCACATCTCCAATTTTTAATCTTGTTTTGGCAGTATATGCCATTTATTTAGTTTGGTAATTTACTTGAAATTTAAGCATGTGATGTGTAAACTATAAATAGAGCGATTGGTTATTTATTAACCAATATATGCTGTGTGTTTAAATTATGTACAATAACAGAAGTTTTCTGATAGCATAGGAAACTAGAACATTATTCAGTAAACTATTGATGTCGTGTACTTTACTTTACAAGAGGCCTTTTCATAATCATAGGGGTTGTTGATCAAAGAGAACTTGCACACTGAATAACAGTATGTTGATATTCTGTTTGATCCAAATGAAAAATATTATTGGCAGTCTAGAATTACTGGGAACAGTCTATATTTTTCAATCTTTATTAACAATATTGTGGATTCTTAAAATAAATTAACCTTGTCATTAGATGTTGTTTATTTTCTTTCTCTTGTAAGGGATACTCCCACCCACTATGAAAAGAAATAATTGATAAATGAAAGAATATTTTCACGCTATCACATTGTAAGCTTTTACATTATCCATCATCTGTGGTCTGTTTTCAAATTTGCTATCATATAACCAACTTCTTGCAAAGTGAGACAAAAGGCACTTATATTCCATCAGCAATGTCATACTAAATTCCAAATTGTTCAATGAAATGACAAGAACTACCATCACCCGTCCTGCTGAGTGGTCAGGATCTTGTTACGTTTTCAGTTTAAAGGATATTCTGCCCCAAGTTAGGATTTTATCAAAAATTTTTTTGAAAAAGTTGTACAAAAGCATCTACTTGTAGACTTATGGAAATCGCACAACTCTATTTCCTCTAAAAATCAACTCGTGATATATATATTTGAGGAAGTTCTATTTAGGTATATCTGTTTACAAATGTTCATGTTGCCCTGATGACGTCACAGCAGGTTTGCGACTACAATACAATAAACAAATGAAATGGCGACTCCAACAGAGACACGTTTGTAACCACACTTAATTTTTCTTACATGAATATCAATATCTGTTGTCATTTCAACATGGTTTGTGTTGTCATTGACAAATATGATGGGGATGTCTCTTGCTGCTAAACTTACTCTCACTGCTTCTTCAGACATCATGGTTTCGTTTAGCAGCATCACTTTGGAAATGATCATGTGATAATCATGCTAAGTTTACACATTCTAATTTTATACTTGTCAGGGGTTGTTTCGCAGAAATTTCACCTGTCAAAGTCACCACAGGAAGGATATTTTAACGCTTAATAATTTGAAAAGTCATAAGAGATACATTAAAAACAAAATATTTGCAACTTGGGCGGAATATCCCTTCAAGATTTTAAAATTTTGTTGTCAGTAAATTTGGTGTGGCTTCACATTTAATTTCTAATGAAACGGGGTAAATATATATTTTTTTTATATCACCTTCCCAACACACATTTCAGTTTTCCATTTAGCTCCGTGTTGAGATTTCTTTCCCTGGAATATATTTATTTCTTGGTATGACCATCACAATGCACATTTCATATTCTTATTTTTCTATAGTTTTGTCCAGGCTCTTCTATGCTACTTGTCACTGGTGCTGAATAGTCTTTTATACCGTAATACCTATAGGGATACTGAGGTGTCCTCCATCTGTCAACTTTTTAGACCAAGCCCCAGGGTGACATTATAATACCCTTTAAAAAATTCGACTTCTCAAAAACTCATGATTCATTTTCAATGCAATTTTGCAGAAACCGTCCCTAAGATGAACCAAAATTGTGAATTATGCGGTCCCCACCCCACATGGGCCTTAGGGGAAGGGATAAAAGGGGTCAAATTGACTCAAAAGTCTTCTCGAGACCCAGATATGGTCGAATCAAATACATTGTACATGAATGGACGCATCTTAGGTGCTTTACCAAAATTGTGAAATTCATGGCCCCAGGGTCTCTCATATCCTTGTGGGGAGGGGATAAAGTTTACTGTAGTTTATATAGGAAAACTGGATTTTTGAGCATAATTTGTTTAATTTCCATTGGAAATATTTCAAACTTGGTTGGAATTATGAGTGAAGGATGACAGCTTGATGGTATGCCCATTTTAAAGCTGATGGCCCCCAGGGACTGATGGATTGTACCATAAGGCATCAAATTGACTTTAATTAAAAAATTTACTTAAGACTCCGATATGGTAGAATCGGTTGTTCTTCATGAATGGAAGCATCTTAAGGTGCTTTAATTACCAAAGTAAGTCATTTCTTCCTGGGGAGGAATTTATTTTTACTGTAATTTTCATAGAAAAATTGTATTTTTGAGCATAACGATGGTTATTTCCATCTGGAAGTAACCTTATAAGAATTATCAGTATAGGATGACAGTTTGGATAGTATGCATGTATTAACAATGTCTATATTCAGTGTCACAATTTCTGTTTCATGACACTTGATAATGAAAATAGAACAAATTCTTCTAAATCAAATTCCTCCTGAAGGAATGGTTGGATGTTGTTTAGATATAGCCTGAAGCATCTTTGGTTGAAGGGAAGTATATTCTGTATTAACAGTGGATCTTGGCCCCCTTGGGCGGGAGAGGCAGGGCCAGACAGGGGAAATAAAACCAATTCTTTAAAATCCTACTCCTCTTGTAGGTATGATTGACTTTTGTCCAAATTTGTTTTGAATAAAGTTTGGGTGAAGGGGAATCAACTTTGTATAAATGGTGGATCTCTTCTCCTAAGGCAGGAAAGGAGGGGCTTAATAGGAGAAATGTGTTTGAAAACCGTGTAGATCACCATCCCATAACTATGTATAGCATTGCTGGGCATAAAGAGATAAACACAATCGTCATGTAAGAATTGGCCCTTTCAAATGGTGGAGATCCCCATCACTAAACCATACATGGCAATGCTTGGTATTAAGAGATAAATGTAGATATAGATGAGATACCAACCCAATAAATTCTCACTGGGAATCAAAGGGGAAAAAACAGTAATATATGAATTTGGCCATTGGTCTTGCCCCATTAAAGAGGTTAAATTACATTGCTGGGCTTTAAGATGTAGGTAAGCAATTCAGGCCCTATCAGCCTCTTGTTTTTATTGGGTATGGGCAGTATATCGAAAGTGAGTCACTGAACTACATCAATGGATAAGTTCTGGCTCAATCTCCTACAATACTTCTACAATAGAACTTTATACATGTGATATGGGAGCACCATGGTAAGGTGATGCGTCATGTTTCAAAAGTAGGTCACTCTGATCCTCATTTTGATATTTTTAACTTACATCAATAAAAGGTCATGCATCAAAAGTAGGTCACTCTGATCCTCATTTTGATATTTTTAACCTACATCAATAAAAAGTCATGTGTCAAAAGTAGGTCACTCTTATCCTCATTTTGATATCTTTAACCTACATCAATAAAAGGTCATGCATCAAAAGTAGGTCACTCTGATCCTCATTTTGTTGATTTTAACATACACCAATAATTTGGCAAGGGTTCACCTTGGTGATGTGGTGTATGTGTAGAGGAGTGTAATTTTCAGAATCGTCTTTTTCTTTGTGAAGTAATTGCAAAATTTATGTCACACATCAGTTACAGTTTAGATAAATATCCATTTTCCTCCCAATATCCATATTCAACTTGTGAAATGACATTCTTATTTTTGCTATTTTGTTAAAATCAGAATTTCCTTTAGATTTTGGAAGATAATTTGAAAACAAATGTCCTCACCAATATATTTATACAGGGAACATTTAATATAACCAATTGTCACAGTATCATTTTACCATATATACCCCACAACCAATCTAAAAATATCATCTCTCAATCTTTGATTTTGACAGCACATTGCTGTTTCTTGAATAATTATCTCCCCTTACCCAAAAGAGCCAAGTGAACTTAAGCAAAATAGATGTTTTTGGCATGCCACTACTACATCCATGGTGATTTTGACCGAATTTGGTCAGAAGCATCTTAAGCAAATTCTTTAGTTTTCTGCAGGAAGGATTAAAGTAAATCTAAACCATTCTTGGGTGAAGGGGATTCAATTTTGCGACTTTCAAAAGTGAGTTTATGCAACTTGGACAAGAGAGCTTTTGGCATATCATTACTGCATCCACGGTCATAATTTGGTACTTAAGGAGGGCTAAGTTGATTTTGAGTAAATTTGGTCAGAAGAATCATTGAGGAATATGACAATTCTATATAAATGACAAATCTGACTTCCTCAAGGCCTGAGAGCGGGTGCCCAAAAGTGTAAGTTAAGCAAAGTCTCTAGAATTCTGTAGGAGTAATACGATTATGTTTTAATTTAGTTTGAACTCTTCTTGGGTGAAGTGGATCCAATTTTTCATCTTTCAAAAGTGAGCATATGCAACTGGGACAAGAGAGCTCATTATCAGTTATGAAGGACTGAGTAGATTTTTATCGAATATGGTTGGTAGCATCATTGAGGAAAACGACACAATTCTGTATGAAAGGTACAGTAGGGGAAATTATGCGAAAGATTTAAATTTTTTGCTGTAGGAATGAAAAGATTTTGTCCAAATTGGGGATCCTTGGGTGATGAGAATTCGATCTTATATCGGCAGCAGGCCTCGTCCATGGTGGAGTAGGAAGGACAGGGTCCAATAGGGAGAATAGAACAGGAATGCCTTGTTTTGATCTGAAGCATCTTGGTTAGGACAATTGCTGTACAGGTCCCTATAGATCAACCTGACTTAAACCTCTTGATCTTTGCTACCGTTTCGTAAACTTTACTTCACAATTTCGCAGTGAAGTTCACGAAACATATGCTTATGTTCTTTTATCATATTGCAATGGAAACTTCAATGAAAACTATGACTGCGCCATCATGTTACAAAAAGACTAATATTGAAATTTTGAAGAGTCTGTAAATGTGTCCCATCAAGATGTATGCCATAATATTGGATTTCGGACTGTCCCACAAAATATCATAATGGCCATTTCAGGTAAGTTTCAGCCAATTTCTACTGTTGGTAATGTGAAAAAATGTTAACACGCGGTGGACAAAATCCGTCTTAGATTTTGAAAGTAAATGTTTGTAGATGTATCTTACTCGATTTCTTATGTAGACTCGTCTGTAGTCCCTGGTTATCCAAGGCTGATATTGGAACTGTTTGGGAAAACAAAATGGCAGACAGGTGAGGTGGCCATCTTGGATTCTGGTAATTAATAACTGTTGTCGCTATTTCTTCAGAAGTACTTCGTGGATCTTCTCTTAAATTCTTGTAATGCATGCTCATTTTCGGGACCGGTAGGGGGAACAAAAACAGCGAAGAATTACATATAACTTACACATAACCAACAAAGCCAGTAGTTGGTGGAAGCCAAGATCTCTCTGGGGCACTCCAAGGATAAATTAAGTCTATAAAGAATCAGTTCAAATGATCTTAATGGGCGCCAGGATCCCCTAGGTCACGCACCACGGATAAATTATATAGAAAGATCCAGTTTGATTATCCCTCTGGATAACAGACTAGACTCCTTGTGCATGGACGTCCGTGACCAGTGTGATTTGAATCTTGTTAAAATGTATTTAAAAAGTGGCAAGCAGGCACGTGCAGCCATCGTGGTTTAAAATCTGTCTCATGCTCTACTAAATGCTTAGTACTTTCGTTTGTCTGAACACTCAGATGGCTGACAGAACGCCAATTTGGATTTTGATGATAAAGTAATGGCTTTCGATGTGGAAATTGCTTGTGGGATGTTGTGTATCGATGGCTTATTTTGCCAATTTGATTTATAGACTGGTCACATGATCGATATTTACATCTTACTTTGATTAGTACTTCATTTGCTAATCTACATAACTTCGGAGATTTATTTAAATCTGGAATTACGTCCAATTATGCCTGGGTATATCGTAATTAACATTACTAAAGGTTGGTTTTGTATGTCCTATCAAATTCCATTTGAAGTGCAAGGGGCGAGAAAGAGAATATTTATCTCACATACCTGAAACAAGTTACCTTTCAATGTCGCTGACGGCGAGATCCGAAAGGAACAAAATATTGCTTCCTGTAAATATGCAGACAATAACATATACACTAGTGTTTTTAATATGATGTGATAGGATTTACGAAAGTGAAGTGCAAAGAAATTGTATACGATGTAGTTGGTACCGGTTAGTGTTATTGCCTCGTGCGAAACTTAAGGTACACAATATGAGACGACAACTTGAACGTTAAGTGTGGTGCGTCTATACGTTTTTCTGCATTTTCAATAAATATAATCTGCGTTAATTGAAGTCACCAGATGGTCTTAAAATAACAGAAAAAACGTTATTAATTGCACTTTGTAGAACACGAAGTGACGTTACTTTTAGATCTGACCTGTAGCTCATATGTCCTAGAACTTGATTCAGTGAATCACAGTATGTATGGACATGCTGTTCAACGTGTTTGGTGTGACGAGCGTTTAATTTGGTATGATAAGCAAATATGGCCACAGAACGGCGCTTCGGAAGTCAACGGTGAGTACAATAACCTAGATATCTCGTGTATGTAGAATGCAAGATTCTCAGGAATATCTCGTTTCGGTGAAAAAAATTTTGCTGTTTACATTTGTGACAGACATTTACTGACTCATTTTGGTTTAGAAGTTGTCAGATTACACGGTATTCAAAGACAGAAAACAGTACCCTGCATTCGCTCCCATGACGTTTACGGCTTGACATGCACTTTGAATCAGTTGGAACAACAGTATGCCAAACACAACTACTTAATACAACACCTGTAAAAAGTCCCATAAAACTACGAATTATCGCACGATTCAGAAATCCAATATGGCCACTGGCAACCATATAGATTTTTCATCGACTAAAAATAGAAGCTGAACTGTAGTAATTGATATTATAAGGAGTTTCATGTCTCTCAAATCATTCCCCTAGGAAATATTCGCAGAAACCTCGCCGACACCGACCGATTTCTCTCGTCTGCATATATATCAGTAAGTTCAGGCACGCTACATAGATCTGTTTAGTATTCTGATAAAATGAGCGAGATAATGTACATGTGGTCACGCTGTTTGTAGAGATGTTTGGAACGACCTATGGACAAGTCTATGATACGATAGTTCGTTGCCACACTTAAAGTAAACAGTGATAAAATCATATCTGATGACGTCGGTTGCTTAAGACATTTGATTTTCACATTTTGGTTCAGATTGAAAGAGTTTGTATAATACATGTACGGCCCTAAATGGACGCAAGCTGTTGACCTACTTTTCGTAAACAATTTCTGAGTAGGGATGTCTATAACTTGACAACAGAAATAACAGTGTTGCAGACTCTATTTGGGTACCTTATCTATCTTAAGTAGTTAAAGAAGATATGTGTTTGCATAAACATGTTATTCCTACCTTCAGTTGTACAATGTCCTTTTCGCTACCAACACCCCCATTCGCCGCGTGTAACACCAAGTTACTTCCCTTCCCTCATCAACTGATAGTGCTACAATGCCACATGCGATAAATATGTTGATATTAGGCTGTTTTCTTGATTTTCGAAGTCTATAACATGCAAAGTTTACTAAAACTTAGACGAAATTACATTCACAATAACTAATACACATGCTTTTTATGTTGATGTTTACATTAGCACGGCTATTCCACTGTGTAAACTAACCAAAAAAATGTGATTTAAGATACAATCAATTCCATTAATAATACGTCATCTTCGGGGTATAAAAACGGCAACAGTTCGCCGATTAGCATGCCATACCTTTGATAGACTACATATACTGTCGATGATAATACGTCATTTATTATAATAAAAACCAAGTTGAAATCGGCATAAGACATCAACATGAGTTTGGCATGTACATAGAAACATTGATCTGTCTTGTAATGGCATTAACGGTCGTATTAAATGACAAATCTTTGCAGACAAATAAATTACGCGTAGTGTCAGTTTGCGAAGCGCTGATGATGATGATGATGATGATGATGATGGTTTATCGTCTCCGTGACTCTGCCCGTCGCCGAGCATTGACCAATCGACAGAAGTCGATACACTGGCGACGCGAGAGCGGTGCTCCCCTCATGGGTTGGAGTCGTCTGGGAATTGGCTGGTCTGTAATTTGGAGACGAATCCCTGGTCTAAAGGTAGGTCTTGTGGCGATGTGTCTGGACTTCCGGTGGTGGAGGGAGTCCTTGTCTGCTTTTCCTGCCGAATCTCCAGACTATCTTTCTATTATTAATTTTTAGATTTGGGGAAATTTAGAAGTCCTTTCCTAATAGCTTTAAAAATACATTTGGGCCTAATATCGTTTTATTTAATTTGGGCTTATTGGGGATCCTTGGCGGCGTTAAGCGCCTACTCTTATTATCGATAACCACGGGAGGATCTTTTTCGTGCGAGGTTAATACTCACACAGGCCACCGTTTAAAGTCCCGTCCGCCGGACTATGATTAGTTGTTAGTTTGGTGCTGGTGTGAAAATTACGATTATACATTTCATCTGCTTAACCTTCCAACCACACTGCCAGTAAACTGCTCTGCTTTACGAAATCTCTAAGGCACATAGCGAAACGCTGTCCTTTACACAGTGTAAATGCCATAACAAAAAGTAAGTTAATTTGACATTTATATGAGTAACTATAATTACCCCATCAATTTGCATGAAAACTTACTGAATTGAATAAAATTTTCAACCACAGACACTAGCCTCGTCTGTCAATACACTCATTCTCAAGAGATTCTACCACAGATACAAGCCTCGTCTGTCAATACACAAATTCTCTAAAGATTCATTCACAGATACTAACCTGGTCTATAATGCACCTATTCTCTAAAAATTCATGCATAGAAATTAGCCTTGTCTGGCAATACGAAAACTCTGTAAAGATTCATTCACAGATACTAGCCTTTTCTTTCAATACATTCATTCTGTAAAGATTCAACCACAGACATTAGCCTCATCTATCAATACACACATTCTGTAAAGATTCATTCACAGATTCTAATCTCGTCTGTCAATACATTCATTCTCAAGAGATTCTACCACAGACACTAGCCTCATCTGTCAATACCCTCACTCTATAAATACATGAATGTGGTTAGTACGAACGCCTCACAAGAGGTACAATTCCAGCTTGATACAACAATTTCTGTGGGTTAACATAAAACTAAATAATGTGGTCTTCATTGCATGCCATTGCTACTGTTATTAGTAGTGTTATTGTTGCTGCTGCTGCTGATGATGATGATGATTTATGTGTTCATGCATTATTTTGCAAAATCTTGAAAATGAAGTGTGCTTATGTGGTCCTTATTTACCGTGTTAGATTCATGCAATATAAATAGCTAATGGTCTCCCTGTTTGTCATAAAAAATAATAAAAATCAATTGATTATTAATAGATTTTTATGTCAGTAAAGTTGTAATCAACGATCAATTGGTAATGAATAACAGCAAAATAGTAAATAAACAAACATCAAACATTTTCAATAAACCATAAACACTTTTGTAGCCGAATGGACGAATTAATTTGATTAATTTATACACAAATATACAACTATATCAAAAATTTAAAAGAGGCAATAGGAAATATGTCCCCTTTTAAATGTTAAATTGGTGAACAAAGATGAGAGTAGACAGTGCAAAACATAAAAAAGTGAATACCATGTTTAGATAGTAATGTAATAATAGAATTCATATTGTAGTTCACAATAATATTCACATGAAAATCTTAAAATCGCACTTAAAATTATGCATATGAAAATATCCATTATTATATCATCACAGTCATCAATATGATTATTTAAGCACCTAAGTATAACCATTCATTGCTTCATCCTGAAATTGCTTGTCAAGAATCTCAACAAATATCACAATAGAGTTACCAATCAAATGTTGTCAGTGAAATTTTGCTACAGCAAACAGATGTTAATAGCTATCTTTATAATACATGGTAGTTGGATGATGAACCCTACGAGTCACCATATGTTTAGTGAGTTACTTCCTGTTCTACAACTTTGGTCAAATGTCCATAGTAGATTCATGATTAATCTGACTTAGTATATGAATTCTCCATTATCAGAGAAAACTACATGACAATTTACAATATTGTCAGTTACTAATTACGGACAACGCGGAACATTTTCACCTGGTTGTTTCTTTTTTCAATTATGAAAGGTGATTCCTGACCTACAAGAAGCATGGTTCTCTGTTTGTTTGACGCTACGACTCGAGCAAACTGTGCTTCATCCTTCCCCATGAGGACTTTCGTGTACATGTTATCGTTTGTAATTGATCTGTTGTCTCCAAAAATAATAGTAGACCTCGATAACACCAGCCCAAAAGTCTTTGGCATGCTCCGAACGGCCATTATGAGGCCGCACTTTACGCCAACCATTCCCCGGATTTGGCCAAGCATTATATGCTTGTTATTTCTGTCAGAAAAACCAAGTATCTTCTTACAATTACCATCGCCCGGGTAACAAAGGAGTTGCTGTGGCGAAAGGAGATTTTGTGAAGTAGCGTACATGTATTCTGATACAGGGCAATACCCTAAATATTCTCCAGCTGAGAACATTTCCATGAAAACCTTTGTGACTAAAGTCCGGCTATAATCATATATTCTGATACACGATGGATTGAGCCAGGAGTTTCCACAATACACATAGAGTAAATCGCTACCAGACGACATACCGTAGCAAGGCTGGTCTGTTGAAATAGACTCATGTTCATATGGAAGCTTATCATTCACCTCGTAGAAATGAATAACATTTCTTTTTCCGAATGTAACAGCAATATTGTTGCATTCTGTTTCAGCAATATCGAAAGGCGGTGCCAAAAGGCTGATACAATTCAAAAATGCAAAATTGGAAGAAAACAATTTGATGTTGCTGTTATTTGTGTCTGCAAGCACAACTCGACCATCAGTGAGTATGGCTGCTCCTGTGATAAGACAGTTCCTCAAGTCTGATGGCAGCTTAGCATTGAAAGATTCATGTAATCGCAGAGCAAATACACTTGGAAAATTGCTTCCTTTTCTTTCAAACTCTATCGAAGAATCTTTTGGTTTCAAAGGAGAGATAGCACAAGATATGTAAGCACTGGTTCTTGTTTTGATGTCTGCTAGAGAGTTTGGTAGCCTCGTAAGGTGTCGGCGTCGATCTGCAAGATTTTCAAGCGTCACTTTGAGTACATCTGAAGAAGTGCACAACTGACATGTTGATTGACTTCCCAATGACATTGCTTGCTTTAACTGATAATGTGCGTCTTCAATGATCATCTGACATTCTTCCTTTCGTTTACTCATGTTTAAGTGATGACTTTTCATGATTCCGTCAACCGTTGTCTCAATGTTGTTTTTTATTTTGCTGTGGTTTATCTGGCGATTTCCAACAAAGGAATGTCTGAAATGTGTTGTGTCAGTACTATTTTCACTTCTTCCAAGATCATTTTGTTCTTTTTCTAAAGTTTTTATCAAACCCTGGAGCTGCTTAATGTCTCTATCAAATTCCATTTTTGCCATGTCTTTAGAAATGGTAGAGCATTTCCGATGGGAGTTTGAAGCGCAAGTCTTACAAATGTCGTGCAAGTGTGTTCGACAATACACATCAAGAGGGGCCTGCAGACAGGTACAGCTTGCTGAACTACTGACAGAGGACTCTGTAACATCTGGAAGCGATTCCAACATACTAACAAATCGAAAGTCTGTCAAGAAATCACTCGCCCACTGATGACGTGGAGATTTCTGATTCAGCGCTGCCGTAAATGCACGGCAGATGGGGCAATTGAATCCAACCAAACGTTTAACATGTACAGGTGGCTTTGACATGATGTAGAAATGAAGACATTCCTTACAGAATCCATGACAACACGGTAAACTCTTTGGTTCCCGTAGGTCCTCTGTACAGATAGGACAGCACAGATTTTCCTCTTTATATGCAGCAAGAGCCATCTGTCCAGTGTGTCAGCTATTGGAATAAAAAAAATACATGTAATACATTGTTGATTTATTAATATCCTAGAAAGTGTCACATATAAAAAGTCATTAATGTTCATCCAGGACAAGAATTCTAGTTTACCCTGACGCTCTTCCCAATACTATGTGCCTATTGCTGAAAAGGCTTATGATATTAATTCAGTATTTTATTCCAGATATTTTGACAAAAACTTCCAACATGAAGCAAATAGATTTTCTCTTGGAATTACCTTCATGCTAGAAAACTGCCACTTCTGTATACATATTGTACGATATAGAACAGGCCTAGTTTGATTGCTTTTGACAGCCAAAAGTTGTTTGTTGACATACAACCATTCTGTACTTTGTAAACGTTTCCGTTTGTCATAACACATATTGTGTGATTTCAATGGTTTATCACACACACTAATCTCTGAGAACATTTCATGGGAACAGAAAGCACATTTTAAGCAATCTCTTAGCAGAAGCATTTTCCAAGAAGGATAAGACATGAACAACCAGGTCCAACTCGATAGTGAGATAACTCTTGATTTGACAAAACTATCATGAAGTGATGAAAGTTGGCATCTCGTTACAACTGTTTTCCTAAAGGAAAGCACATATTTAAGAGGTTATTAAATATCACAAATTATCGTGTCCTATACAACTCTTAATTTCCAGCATTTGATTAATTATCAGAGACAAACATCAATGGTCAAATTTTACTGATCTTATAACCTGTCACATCGAAAGGTATCTACTTTCCGGTCTATCTATAACACCCCTCTTATATTGGGCAAGAGTTGTAGGTAGCTATCGTTGGACTGGTCGTACCGCGATATCATTTCGTAAACACTTACTTCCTGATCCGAATCACCAGGTCATGTTCTTTGATCCTTATTATCATTTATAACATACCGTTGAATTAGGCCATTTTGATTATTAGATATACGTTGCGTTACTAGAGGTGTACAAAGTCCACATCTGTCAGTCTACAGCAATAACATTCTCGTGCTCCATGACAGCGATGGTCACCGGTTTGCTTACCTTTACTTGGCCACACTGATACGACCCACAGAACTTCCGTACTGGGAAAGCACAGCACTCAAATTGGCACGTTCTACCTACTTTCACTTTACATATGTACATGTATAGTAAGTTGTAAAATGTAGTTCAAAACAAAACAAACAAGTTTAAAAATAGATTAATTGTTTACAGAGTACAACATCATTTGAGAGATTATTTACCTGTACAATTTGGAATCCAACTATATTTTAAATGGGCCAATATCAAATGCCATTTATTGAAAGAATGAAAGATTGCAGTATTTAGCTAAAGTTGTGGGATCAAACAAAAATTTCAGTCTTTTCTCTCTAAAATAGTTTTTTTTTTTCAGACCAATACTTGAAATGAGCCACTTCTCCTTATTTAGCAATAGTGACACTGCAATCTCAATAAAAAAAAAAAAAAAAACAACATGGCGGCATGCCATGGTCAGGCCAAATGCATCTTTTTGACTGACTCTACAAGGTCAACTCATGTCTAATTTATTAAAGCATGAAATCATTTGTCAACAGAAGAAGATAAAACATTCAACCCCATGGTCTGTCATTTTTAGTTCTTGATGTACGGAAATCTCGTATACACTTCTGAAATTCAAGTGTATCTTGTTTTTAGTCTACAAACATGTTTGATCTCTGACCTTACAGTGATAGCAGTGCAAAGTTTCATACTAAAATTGTTGATGATGAAAGTGGAAAGTTACATATAATTACCATGGTAAATGGCAACTGTGAATTGTGTATATATTCATTATATACAACACGACAAATAACAGTCTCCTACTGAAAGTGAACCTATGCCCCAAGTATTGAGGTTTAGTAACATGTAGTTTAGGAGAAAATGTCAGGATCTACTTTTTTTATGTAAGTCAAAGGTCAAAATGAAGGTTAGACATAAGAGTGACCTACTTTCAATACACATCTTAACCCAAGTGGGCCCATTACCCAAACATGAAGTTCAAGTGACTAGCAGTGTAAGAGATGGAGCACCTAAACTTTTTCTTTGATGTAGGTGAAAATGTAAATCAGCGTGACCTACTTCTGACACTACACACACCACCTCAACAAGGCAGACCTATAGCCCAAGTATGAAGTTCCATATACTAAAGTAACTTTAGGATAGATCCAGACAAATATTCTCTTCTCAGTACGTCAAATGTCAAAACTTCTGATACATGGCACACTAGATTGTAGTTTCAGAGACCAATAGTGTTGGAGATTGATGTAGAACTTTTTGTAGGTCATATTTTTTAATGTAGGTCACGGTGACATTTTTTAATACCTTGTTCCTGATAACAAGCAATCTATACAAGATTTAAGTGAAGCACAATTCATTGATTCAATAACAAAGTAGTAAAGCTGACACAAACCAATAACTGCCAAGCAGAGGCATTATGTAGGTTCCAGAAGAGAATGTCCTGTACTTGATCTATTTTAGCTTCTGACCTGGAAACACTTGGTCAGGATCATCTCAGGCAAGTTTGAGCTGAATCCCACAGGTGGAATTAGGGATGAATTTTAAGATCTTAAAAGTATGCACAAATTGGATAGCACACAAAGAAACACAATGGCCACAGATCACCCTGACCATTGAAGTAAGGTGACCTAATAAACCAGATGATGGACTATCTTTGTAGATGCCCCTGGCTGGTATTGGCCATCCCCTGGGAGAAAGGAAAATAAACCAGGTTATGTATTGCCTTTGTTAAGATTTATTTGTGTAGTCACATACACAATATATACAACTTTTGATATTTTTGCATTATTCATTCTATACACATATATCATATGTACAATAAGAACTTGAAATGTTTCAATACAAAAAAATGTGAGTTAGCAAAGTAAATAGCATTCTTCAACCAGTAACAATTGATAAATAAAAATAACTTGAGACATAAACATTTCTTTCCTTTAAAACTTAGAATCATTGCTTTTGAATAAATCATCAAGAAATAAAAAAAAAAGTAATATCAACAAATGAGAAAATATCTCTGTCAACTGGAGCTATACAATTGGTACAACTGCATATCTTTAATGGATTATTAGCAGAAAGAATCAATACAAAAATTATTATCATACAGAAAATGAGAAACAGCAGCTAGGTGTGCTAAAAGTATGGAAGACAGTTCTCATGCCTGTTGGGACCACAATGACTGCGCAACCAAGGCAGACAGTTCACAATACAGCTCTAGCACTGCAACGGCTTTTATAAAACAAATTAGAAAAGGTTACAAAAATATTTTTTATATTTAAGTTTTAGTGTAATACTTCTCTTGCTGGAATGGTTGATATAACGTAGTATTCATATAATATTTCATGCATTATAGCCTTCATTGTGTATATAATTAATAAATACTGGTCAGATTGTATCACCTGTAAAAATACACAGGTATTTAGATTGATATCTAAACACATTTTAACTTTGGAACATTTTATTCTCTGACCATACCATGAACGTAAGCAATGCTCTCATACCAAAGCTCATCTTAGCTGTGAAAAGGTGGCAGCTCTTTAAAAAAACTTGTGAAAACAGAATCAAATACATTTAAAATCCAAAGAGAGATTTGGTCCGGACTGACAATATTTAATGGCACTCGGAAATGGAGATCCTGAATTTTGTATTACAAGTCCCTGTGGCCTGGTACAATGATAAATACACCCCACAATAGATACAGATATAAAATACTACAAATCATAAGCAGGCTTCCAGCAATAGAAAGCCATAAAGATAATTTTAGAAATCAACATTAATGTAATATTGTTAATTCATTCTGAAAGTACATTGAAGTTTTTTCTTAAGAAATTATTAAATAAATTGAATATATCATAACTTATTTATTTTGCAAGTACATGAAGGTAATTTTAGAAGTTAACTTAGGATATTATAATTAGTCCATTAAAAGGTAGAAGTTTGTCTTAATTTGCAACATAAAATTTAACAGTGAATTTCTCAGCAATAGTTTCCGATAGACAGTCTATTACAAGATAGAAAGACAGAATTCTGCGACTGAATTATCTAAAAAAATTTAAGGTAATCATGATCACGAAGAGAGTCTTTACTTTCACAAAAATTAATGTAGAGGACAGAATTATCTCCATTCAATGTTTTTTCTCTTTAAATATATACCTCGAATGTACTGTGAAATAATTGTATGGTAGTTTTTCAATCAAATATTTAATTAACACATTTGTATTCTTAGATTATCTCTGTTTACAATAAAATAACTGATATAGAAATGAACCAATATACAAACATATATAATGAATATATACAGATGAATCCAATTTACAACTGATGATCAGATTTCAAACAATCACAAAATCTGTACACTATTTTGACACAGAAAAAATATACAAATTTCACCTATTTACAATTTTATATACAATTTTCTTACAATGCTAGAACATACACTGTTTCAAACAATGCATGATGTGACAATAACCGTCACTGCTGCCTCTGATATAAACGATGAAATGTGAGCAATTGTTTATGATACTCTTATACACAAACACATCATGTGTACAGCATACAACCTCTAAAACAAGTATTCATTACACAGCACTCAAACAACGCATGTAATGATGATATTTCTGCGAAAACTACACTGAATTACTGTTTATCTTTACATAACCCTGGTAAATACTGGCTGCAATATACTGCTTGGCTAGAGAGAACTTCTTTTAAGCTCAATCGGTTGAGCATCAGACTAGTAAGCCAGAGGTCCTTGGTTCAAATCCTAACAGAGGCATTGAAATAAATTATGACCTCTGTTACATTTATTTAATTCTTTTATAGTAGAAATAGTGTATAGCAAAACTTTGGTGTTATGGACTGGATATTAAAGAGCAAGAAGATCAACAACATATTTGTTTGGAATTGTTTGTTATTCAATCAGTGAATATGTTGTATTCCAATCTACCAATTCAATGGAAAAGATAAGACTTGTCTAATTGATATGAGAAGTGTATGGTACAACGTACACCTCTTTTAGGTTCTATTGCTTTACAGTACATTTCATGTGTTTTCATATACATCATTATCACAGCTAAGGTATGAGATGATTTCAATCAATTCCAGGCAAAATGGAGTTGAGCTGGGATCTTGTTTCTCAATACATCTACTCTAAAACATAAGCATAGTTAGTTTTAACAACAATTGAACCTTAAATAAAATATGAAATTTAAAACACATAGATGTACCTGTTGAAATAATTTACACCTGCATGTTTTCTTATGAATATCCAATACACAGAACACTACGGCATAATTTAAATATCAGAAAAAGATATAAATAATCATATATGAATGGGTAGACCAGCATTTTTTGTGACAACCCATAGCACTTTATTGATGTCTTCCCGAGCAACACTATTCCTATCACTCTATATATCAGAAACTGCAATTTAGAATGGCCTCAAATGTATTTGTGAATATCAAAATGTTTTTAGGAAGTATCAAATATAATACTGGTAGTTTAAAATTTAGGCTACACCAAAAATATAGTTATGCTTTTTTTTTAACAGAATAGTATTTTGGAGCATTTTACTGTTTTCTCTAACATGAAGGAGAAACCAGTATTCCCGAAACTTATCATTGCTTAATTTCATGTAGGATTTGGGAGATGATACAGCAACACTGACCATTCACAAAAACAATCTGGGTTTGATTTCCCAAAGTGACTAAACTCGGAGTATAACCATTGTTATTTATGGAGCTGTGAATCCCCAAGAAGAAGAAATGTTAAGCGGTCATCTATCTGACCATGTACGTTTTCTGTGGGTACTTAGGTATCACCCATTCCCTGCTTTAACTCCTACTTACTTAAAGATTTATAACATAGATTCATATACATGTATATTCTTTAACAATAATTTTAAAACAATTATTTTCCACAATCAAGATGTTGTTTTCAAGGCTTAAAATTCCCCTTCTACAGTCCAAAACTTAGTTATTTTTAAAATGACTCATTTGAGATCAGTAAAGAAAATTCCATGGTATTGTGAACGATTAATCTGAAAGCCTTTCTGTACAGTTGACTGGAAATATGTCAAAGTAAATAATATACAACAAACTAGAGTGGCACCATGTCTATACACTGGAGAAATAGATATCTGTACATATCAACTATCAGATTTTTATTGGGGTATATATATTCTCTGTGCTTAAATATGAGGTAAAATGTACACATTTGTCAGTGAAATAAGACTAGATTTGCAATAAAAATAAAGGATAAAAAATGTCATCTTGGTACATGAATTTACAGAAATATTGTTTTGAAGTAGAATGGAAAATTTAAGTCAACATCCTTGGAATTTCATTACTAAAATAATTTCGAAGTAAACATTTTGAATTGAATTCATTACAAATCCTTAAAACTTGACATTCACACTCTATCTTATGCTCATGAGAATGGAATTGAAGTAAAGGCATTCATGGTTTCCAAATAAACGTGATCATATTCCATACCTTCTCTGGCATTATCATCTTTTAACACTTTTCTTCTCCATTTTTTTTTTTATAAAATTAAGAAAAATAGGACAACTGATATGAGATTTTGGCATAGGTGACTGATTGGCAGTAAAGTGGCTGTACAACAATAACTAGAAAGAAACATGTCCGATGTCAAAATATTTTCATTTTGTGCATTTTGAGAATTTTTCCAAGTCGTTGCTTTGCTGTTGCCTGTCCCTTCCGAGGCTTTTTTGCTGAAATGAATCAAAATTCTAGATTAATAGATAGCAACATATATGTCATTAAGAGAACAATGAGTGAAAATTATCCACTTATTAACTTGTGTCTCTTTTGTACAATACTTAACAGTGTGATTCCAAGTTACATAAATAATATCAAACTTGACCAATAAACACAGAAGAATTAGATGAAGTCTAAGCTATTGAACATTCTTTTTTTGAAGGGGGATTGGGGTGAGAGAAGTATTCTCCTAAAGATCTGATGGGACCAGATCAGAATTTTGTGAGATATACTTGTGCAATCATCTTCTGGTGATACTTACGTTTGGTGGGACTATCTGGTGTAGGGTTTGCTGGCCGGGAAGATAAGTTTGGACGGAATGCTGAACCTTTGAAAGAGATGTAAAACTTTTAGTGAACAATTATAAAAGACATGTATTTACTTTAAAACTAACTGAATATCAGGTTATTGTGTTTTTGTTTAAATCTCCATTTACACATACAGTCAGTTGTGTTTAAATTTCCATTTACACAGTCAGTTGTGTTTAAATCTCCAGTTACACACAGTCAGTTGTGATTAAATCTCCATTTACACATACAGTCAGTTGTGATTAAATCTCCATTTACACATACAGTCAGTTGTGATTAAATCTCCAGTTACACACAGTCAGTTGTGATTAAATCTCCAGTTACACACAGTCAGTTGTGATTAAATCTCCAGTTACACATACAGTCAGTTGTGATTAAATCTCCATTTACACATACAGTCAGTTGTGATTAAATCTCCATTTACACATACAGTCAGTTGTGATTAAATCTCCATTTACACATACAGTCAGTTGTGATTAAATCTCCATTTACACATACAGTCAGTTGTGATTAAATCTCCATTTACACATACAGTCAGTTGTGATTAAATCTCCATTTACACATACAGTCAGTTGTGATTAAATCTCCATTTACACATACAGTCAGTTGTGATTAAATCTCCAGTTACACATACAGTCAGTTGTGATTAAATCTCCAGTTACACACAGTCAGTTGTGATTAAATCTCCAGTTACACATACAGTCAGTTGTGATTAAATCTCCATTTACACATACAGTCAGTTGTGATTAAATCTCCAGTTACACATACAGTCAGTTGTGATTAAATCTCCAGTTACACATACAGTCAGTTGTGATTAAATCTCCAGTTACACACAGTCAGTTGTGATTAAATCTCCAGTTACACATACAGTCAGTTGTGATTAAATCTCCATTTACACATACAGTCAGTTGTGATTAAATCTCCATTTACACACACAGTCAGTTGTGATTAAATCTCCAGTTACACACAGTCAGTTGTGATTAAATCTCAAGTTACACACAGTCAGTTGTGATTAAATCTCCAGTTAAACACAGTCAGTTGTGATTAAATCTCCAGTTACACATACAGTCAGTTGTGATTAAATCTCCAGTTACACATACAGTCAGTTGTGATTAAATCTCCATTTACACATACAGTCAGTTGTGATTAAATCTCCATTTACACATACAGTCAGTTGTGATTAAATCTCCATTTACACACACAGTCAGTTGTGATTAAATCTCCAGTTACACACAGTCAGTTGTGATTAAATCTCAAGTTACACACAGTCAGTTGTGATTAAATCTCCAGTTAAACACAGTCAGTTGTGATTAAATCTCCAGTTACACACAGTCAGTTGTGATTAAATCTCCAGTTACACACAGTCAGTTGTGATTAAATCTCCAGTTAAACACAGTCAGTTGTGATTAAATCTCCAGTTACACACAGTCAGTTGTGATTAAATCTCCAGTTACACACAGTCAGTTGTGATTAAATCTCCAGTTACACACAGTCAGTTGTGATTAAATCTCCAGTTACACATAGTCAGTTAAATATAAAGGAGAACTCCAGTCATACCTGGTGCTGATGAGGAAAGGGATAAGCCTGCTGATGTACCTTGACCTTCTCCCTCTGAGAAACTTTCGGACTTTGTCCTCTTTTTGGGGCGTCTTGGTTTCTGAAGATACAAACAATACTCTTATTTTCATACTTAGCTGCTGAAACTTTTCTATTAAGTCAGCGAGTGCAGAAACTAGTTTCAATACTTACTCTCACAATAAGACTTAAATGTATTTAAGAAAATGACAATAAAAAATCAGAAGGTAAATTTATATCTTCTAGCATCTTTTAATCATTTAATGTTTTCGTATTAACTTCATATACAATAGAACTTTAATGTTTCTAAGTTCAAGGGACTACCAAAAAAAAAAACGTCAATATATCGAGACTTTGAATCATTTGATATTTCAATCTGACACACAAAACAAATAGCAAAACACAAGTTTGAATGAAAAGATGCAATTTAATCTTTAAACAAAACAATTTCATTTATTGAAAAAACATAATTTCAAATAGAAGTCAATGAAAAATTGATCCTTCATGTCACACAGTACAATGTATATGCATGTCAGTTTTAAATGAAAGGACATGCAGCATTAACATAGTCTGCAAATGTTACAGTAATTATTTTAAGACTGATCCATAAATGTTAAAGGCACTAATGAATTTAAAAGAAAGTAAACTAATATCTTAATGTATTTTGTCAAGAAATGAGAGCGCTAACATCACACATCTCTGATCATAGGAATTACAAGAGTGTTTGCCAATGTTCTGACGACAGCTTGACTGAATCAATCATAGAATGCATGATTGGCAGATAAATCACTATATTTTGTTTATGCTTAAAACTAAAAGGTAACTTTTTGGGAATGAGTGAAATCATCATGCAAGTGATAGGATTTTCTCAAATTGTTTTCAAAATTCTGTAAATTAGACCTAACGAAATGTCATTACCACAATGGCAGCGGTGAATATCACATGACATCCTATTATCTTTGATTAAATATCATGGCTTGTAAGTAAGCAATTAAAATTTAATCTGTGTCCAGTCATTAACTGACCTCATAACACAGATCTAATGATAGCAGGCTATCGTAATCCCATTGTCAGGTAGCACTCTTCATTGAAATGTGTGAAATGTGTGAAAAATGGCTCAATGAAATGAGATAAGTATGATATAGAAGCTAATCTTTATTTGCCAGGATTCAGAATAGTTTTAAATCTCTTTCTAATCAAATCAAACTAAAAGAAATAAATGCTGTTATCTAGTTAAAACTGGTTCTAGTAATTAAAAGACATCTTACAAGAGAAGCAGCCGGCTTGGCTGCAGTGGCTGCCATGACTTGCTCCATCGCCTCCTTCTTCACTCCCTCACGATGTGGACGGTCCCCTTTAGGTATTGTTACCTGAACACGAGCTGGAATAACATAGGTAATAAAAGTGTAAAGAGGATAAACGATAAGATTATTAAAGATAAATGGGCCAGTAATGAATAAGAGTCAAGATATAGGTCAAGGACAGAATTGTACACACTCGTTCAATCTTACTTATATACATACTCCGACATCCTTGATTATGGTACTTTCATAAAAGCATCATAACCTTTTATGTTTTTCTGTTTCGTTTCAATGCTGAATGTCACATCAAAACAATTATCTGACAAGGACATAGTCATCAAGATCCCCCGCCCATGTTCATTTGTAAAATATATACATTTAAAGTGAGCAACATGGAAAACTGGAAAATATATCGGCTAATAAGGTCACAGAAGCCTCTTTAAATATGAACAGAATATGCCGATAATCAAACTTGGAACAAAAGTTTAAGGTAATAAGTCTACCAAGCAAATCTCATCACAATTCATTTGTTCCTTTAAAAGATAATGTGCAGAAAGCATTCAGTTAGAGTGCCAAAAGATATCAGCCAATCAGGTCACAGCAGTCTCATAAAATATCCATAGAATTTGCCGATAATCAAACCTGAACAAGGAATTAAGGTAATAAGTCTACAAAGCAAGTTTCCTTAAAATCTTGTCATTCCTTCATAACATGATATACAGAAAGATTTCTCATAGAGTGATTAAAGAAATCAGCCAATCAAGTCACAGTTGCCTCATTAAATATGCATGGAATTTGTCGTTAATCAAACTTGGGCAAGGGATTATGGTAACAAGTGTACCAATCAAGTTTCCTCAGAATCTTACCAGTCCTTCAAAAGATACCATGCAGAGAGAAGGACAGACAGATAGACAGATGGATGGATGGACAGAGTGATGGAGGGATGAACAGATGGATGGAAGGGCTGAAGGACTGACCGACAGAACCCATTTGAATATCTCCCACCAACTTTTTTGGGTGGGGTATAAAAATAACCAAAACTAAAAAATGCATGTAAGTCTTAAATAATCCCATGAAAATCAGAATCTGGTCAAGCGTAGAACTTGATGTTATGATACCATTAGGTAATTATAAATATGATCCCATGCTGTTGAGAGTTTGAAAAGACATTAACTGTAATGGGAGAGGACAGACATGGTTAACACTATATGCCCCCTATAAAACATTAGGGGTTTAAAAATAGACATTTGCTATGAAACCCATGATAATGATGAAAGTAAACTACACTTATAATTTTTTTATCCTTGTTAAAAGGTTATCACACATCTATAGTCATACCTTTTGGATTCCAGGTGTCATCTTTATTGCCTTTACTTTGAGCTTTGAAGATCTGTTCTGCTTCTTCATCCGACAAGTCTAATGTTGGATAAACTGTACAAACAGAACATAAATGCATGTAAACAATGACATATTTAAATATAAAGGTCTTGATGCAATGTATATAAAAATATTGATAGAAACAGATAAGAGTATCGGTGAAACTCATGAATGCTCCATGTAAACAACTTCCTTGAACATAAAATTTATTTTAACAAAGGCCAATGATTCTGTAATGAAGGGGTTTCTGGCTCTGAATTTGGTGCAATGAACATCCTCTTTTTATGACCAATGTATACACCCAGTTCCATTATTCTAGAATAAATGAAAGCAAATATAGGCTTCAGACATAAAATTTTAACAAAGGGCAGTAACTCTGTAATTAAGGAATTGTAGGCTCTGAATTTGGAATACTGCACATCATTTTATTGTGACGAATATATACATGAAGTTTTGTTATCCTTGTTTTAATGAAAGCATACTTGTGCTCTAGACATAAATTTTTAACAAAGGCCAATAAGTCTGTAATTAATGAGTTTCAGGCCCTGAGTTAGGTACATTGAACATCCTCTTAGTATGACCGATGTATACATAAAATTTCATTATCCTAGCTTAAATGAAAGCAAAGTCATGCTCTGGACACAACATACACAATAAAGCCCTGTTATGTCAAACTCCTCAAGACCGTGTCAATAGTTCAAGGAATACTAGAGTCTTTGAGTAATGAGAGGTTGGTTAAAGGCACATTAGGTACTGATTATACCGTAATCAATACTTAAGTCTTTAGTCAATTAATGATTGAGCTGCAGTTCTGGTTAACTTATAAAGTTCAATGTCTTAGATTTTCACAATTGTGTGAAATTCATCATTCAAGGCACTGTTTGAAAGCATGTGGCTGAAAATAATGGTAGAATGATGAATATTTTTACATCATACTATTTCAACGATGTTGATTCCATAAGCTTATTGTATAAGGTGTTATCAATTAACCTCATCTACAGAATTTTTTTTTTTAAATGCACATGGAGAATTGTGTTGGCCAGCTCAACCATACTCTCCAACTCAATATGTGCCATTCCATAATTTTGTTTTCCTTTAAAAACAAAACTTCTGTTGGAACAATGGTTGATTTTCAACTTAATGAAAAACACAAATTGAGATACAATGTCCTATCCGCTGTCCTGTCCAAACCAGTTCCCTGTAGTTGGATACAGTCAGGAGTGACAAAGGTAAATTTTAGCAAGTGTGAAATGTGTTTGGCGAATAAAGGGGGAAAATACTAAAAACATCTAGTGGACAGGGATAAACAGGAGTTTGATAAATGCAGGTTATTCAAGGAATAATGGTTCAAAAATTTTAAGGATCAATAACATGGAACGTATAAAGAAATATTTAGAACCAAGTCATCAGCTCAACAAAGAGGAGGTATTTAAGTAATGCAGGTTCAAGGAAGTGGGATTTTACTGTCTATTGCCTTTTGAAGTGTCATTGACAAGGTACAACTTATCAATATTAGGATTATACATAGACTAGATGACACCTAGATTTAGACTTTGGCTCTTGAATGACAAATTTTGGTTTGGCATTGTGATAAAAAAGACAGAAGTTAGTAATGCATCAACAGAGAATATTTTTCTTGAATACTTTACCAAATTCTTCATCTTTGTAGCAAGAGTCAAGTTTTTCTTCCTCTTCCATTGCTAGCTGTGACCGCTGCTGCAGGCGTATTGTTCGTCGGCCCTTCCCTTTAGAGAACAACTCCATCCCACCCATCTGACTCATCGACAGCATTCCTTGGATTGCGTCTCTCATGCTAGGTGAAGGAGCTCTCCTGAAAAGATGACAGGAATCTAGAAACCTGATCATAAAGAATATTTGTAGTAGCCATTGTATTTCAATTTCGGTAGCTTTTTTCATATATTCATTTGTCTGTTTTATCAGCAATTTGGTTGTACACCATTTAATGTATGTCACAAGAAGAAACGTTATATGATATTGTTAAGCTCCGTTGTTCAATAATCTTTATCTGTCTTCACCAATCACCACATCTTTACTTCAAAATTTTCTGAATGTTTAGAATGAAGAAGATGATACATGTATTAAATTCATGCCTCAGTGATGTAAATCCCCAAAAGATTTCTTCATACCATTTTTAAGAACTCTTGCAAACCCTCCTTATCTACTCCTTCTCTCCCCCTTCTCCCTCAACAGGTTTTGCTTCATTTCAATCAACCAAGGAATGCAATTTGATGAGAAAAACAATTGACAGATGGTCGGCTAAAACATCTGAGTCAACAATACTTCATATTAACTAAATATAACAAAAGAGTTAAAGACACACCCGATGTCATCATCCACTTTGAAGTCTGTCTCTGTGCCATACCCGCTAGCCTCCAGAATGTCTGCTATGCTACCATTTAATCCCCCTCGTATCGTTGGTAAGTTGGCACGGTTAGTCTGGTCTTCCCCTTGACTTTCGGAGTCACTCTGACTAGCTGTTACATCTGACTCCTGACTACTCTCTTGACTTGTAGAAGACTCTGGTTGCGATGATTTTCCAAGGACTAAGAGAAGTTGTAACAGTGTAAATCCACAAGTAGATCAAAATTCCTCATTTCTCTCATAAAATATAATAAATGAATTTTTCCATCAAAAACCAAAGAGACTAAGAAAAATACATGTTTACTGCCTTTCATTAGAGTAAAAATAGGAGCTCTCTGTACCATTGTTTTGATGACAACAAGCAAAGCTAGCTGAAACATATAAACTATAAATGAAGTACAGAATCAAAACGTTGATGCTATATCGTCTTTATTACCTGTGTTTACCTGTCAAGTAAATGTGGTTTGGCAGTCATTAAAGATTCCTATAACATTTACTATGACTGATAAACAATGACCAGGATGTTGGCTCTCCCTCATTTATTAGAGAATCTTTTCCAACTTTTTCCAAATCTACTAAGGTTCCCCAAAAAAAAAAAAAATCTCTTACATGAGAGTTTAAGCTTGAGTGACCCTGGCTTTAGTGTTGAGGCTGACTTGGATCCGGTTCCAGCTGCTGATTTAACTGACCCTCCTGTCTTTTTTCCTCGCTGTGGATTTTCATCCACAACAAGATTGTCTGTATCACTGTCAACTTCTTCGCCCTCTCCTCCAACCAATGGCTGGAATTTCCCACCTACTTTTGTACCTTTCCCATGCTTCTTTACGTCACTGCAACACAATGTGTAGTCAAGTAAGGAATGTACTCGACAAAATATTGGAATAAGAAACAATGACTTGTAAGTTACAAACTCTGATGATGATTTTGATCTTGGGATACATAACTCCAACCTTCGAAAAATAATGTGAGATTCTGATGATGGGTAATGTAACTAGAGATTCTGATGATGGGTAATGTAACTAAAGATTCTGTTGATGTGTAATGTAACTGAAGATTCTGTTGATGGGTAATGTAACTAAAGATTCTGTTGATGGGTAATGTAACTGAAGATTCTGTTGATGGGTAATGTAACTAAAGATTCTGTTGATGGGTAATGTAACTGAAGATTCTGTTGATGGGTAATGTAACTAAAGATTCTGTTGATGGGTAATGTAACTGAAGATTCTGACTAGGGGTAATGTAACTAAAGATTCTGTTGATGGGTATTGTAACTGAAGATTCTGTTGATGGGTAATATAAATAAAGATTCTGTTGATGTGTAATGTAACTAAAGATTCTGACTAGGGGTAATGTAATTAAAGATTCTGACTAGGGGTAATGTAACTGGGTAATGTAACTAAAGATTCTGACCAGGGGTAATGTAACTAAAGATTCTGACTAGGGGTAATGTAACTAAAGATTCTGACCATGGGTAATGTAACTAAAGATTCTGACTAGGGGTAATGTAACTAAAGATTCTGACTAGGGGTAATGTAACTAAAGATTCTGACTAGGGGTAATGTAACTGGGTAATGTAACTAAAGATTCTGACCAGGGGTAATGTAACTAAAGATTCTGACTAGGGGTAATGTAACTAAAGATTCTGACCAGGGGTAATGTAACTAAAGATTCTGACCAGGGGTAATGTAACTAAAGATTCTGACCAGGGGTAATGTAACTAAAGATTCTGACTAGGGGTAATGTAACTAAAGATTCTGACCAGGGGTAATGTAACTAAAGATTCTGACCAGGGGTAATGTAACTAAAGATTCTGACCAGGGGTAATGTAACTAAAGATTCTGACCAGGGGTAATGTAACTAAAGATTCTGACTAGGGGTAATGTAACTAAAGATTCTGACCAGGGGTAATGTAACTAAAGATTCTGACCAGGGGTAATGTAGCTAAAGATTCTGACTCTGACTAGGGGTAATGTAACTAAAGATTCTGACCAGGGGTAATGTAGCTAAAGATTCTGACCAGGGGTAATGTAACTAAAGATTCTGACCAGGGGTAATGTAGCTAAAGATTCTGACTAGGGGTAATGTAACTAAAGATTCTGACCAGGGGTAATGTAACTAAAGATTCTGACCAGGGGTAATGTAACTAAAGATTCTGACCAGGGGTAATGTAACTAAAGATTCTGACCAGGGGTAATGTAACTAAAGATTCTGACCAGGGGTAATGTAACTAAAGATTCTGACCAGGGGTAATGTAACTAAAGATTCTGACCAGGGGTAATGTAACTAAAGATTCTGACCAGGGGTAATGTAACTAAAGATTCTGACCAGGGGTAATGTAACTAAAGATTCTGACCAGGGGTAATGTAACTAAAGATTCTGACCAGGGGTAATGTAACTAAAGATTCTGACCAGGGGTAATGTAACTAAAGATTCTGACCAGGGGTAATGTAACTAAAGATTCTGACCAGGGGTAATGTAACTAAAGATTCTGACCAGGGGTAATGTAACTAAAGATTCTGACCAGGGGTAATGTAACTAAAGATTCTGACCAGGGGTAATGTAACTAAAGATTCTGACCAGGGGTAATGTAACTAAAGATTCTGACCAGGGGTAATGTAACTAAAGATTCTGACCAGGGGTAATGTAACTAAAGATTCTGACCAGGGGTAATGTAACTAAAGATTCTGACCAGGGGTAATGTAACTAAAGATTCTGACCAGGGGTAATGTAACTAAAGATTCTGACCAGGGGTAATGTAACTAAAGATTCTGACCAGGGGTAATGTAACTAAAGATTCTGACCAGGGGTAATGTAACTAAAGATTCTGACCAGGGGTAATGTAACTAAAGATTCTGACCAGGGGTAATGTAACTAAAGATTCTGACCAGGGGTAATGTAACTAAAGATTCTGACCAGGGGTAATGTAACTAAAGATTCTGACCAGGGTTAATGTAACTAAAGATTCTGACCAGGGTTAATGTAACTAAAGATTCTGACCAGGGTTAATGTAACTAAAGATTCTGACCAGGGGTAATGTAACTAAAGATTCTGACCAGGGGTAATGTAACTAAAGATTCTGACCAGGGGTAATGTAACTAAAGATTCTGACCACGGGTAATGTAACTAAAGATTCTGACCAGGGGTAATGTAACTAAAGATTCTGACCAGGGGTAATGTAACTAAAGATTCTGACAAGGGGTAATGTAACTAAAGATTCTGACCAGGGGTAATGTAACTAAAGATTCTGACCAGGGGTAATGTAACTAAAGATTCTGACCAGGGGTAATGTAACTAAAGATTCTGACCAGGGTTAATGTAACTAAAGATTCTGACCAGGGGTAATGTAACTAAAGATTCTGACCAGGGGTAATGTAACTAAAGATTCTGACCAGGGGTAATGTAACTAAAGATTCTGACCAGGGGTAATGTAACTAAAGATTCTGACCAGGGGTAATGTAACTAAAGATTCTGACCAGGGGTAATGTAACGAAAGATTCTGACCAGGGATAATGTAACTAAAGATTCTGACCAGGGGTAATGTAACTAAAGATTCTGACCAGGGGTAATGTAACTAAAGATTCTGACCAGGGTTAATGTAACACAAAAGTATTCCTCAAGAGACATGTTTTCCCCTCTGAATATAAACAAACTCCCCATCAAGAAAATATACTGAAAACATGGGGAAATTTAACCAAAATACAAACGTTCCTCAAAACACAGCATATCAGCATATTTTTTTATTTAACATATTTTCAAAACATGTACTGAAAAATTTAACCTTAAAGTTATCATATTTTAGTCATGTAATCTTCATGTATGTCATATATTTTACCCTATCCCTCTTTAGAATTCTGAATAGGTAAAAAATTTCTCCATTGCCAAAATAGGTACTAATCTCATTAAGCATTCAAAAGATTGAACGTTTCACCTGATATTGATAGATAAATAATCAGATTTAAATAAAAGGTACCACTGGTTTGTTAGTATGAATAGATAAAAATCCCACAACATACCTTTATTTATCAAGCACTTGCATCAAATTACATTTAATTCGGAACATTTCTCAACCTAGAATGCCATTTAATAAAATCAAATACTTACCTGACAATTTTTCCATTTGACACTTTGAGCTTTAATCCTTTGGCTATTGCCTTAGCGTCCAAGGGTGACTCTATAACTATCCCGTCTGGTGGTACATTCTCCTGTTTTAGAGGCATGTCTGCCATTTCAAACTTGAGGGAACCCTTCTTTTCCTGTTTGAGGGCAGGATCTATGTATGCCCCGGCCTTTGGAATTCTGACTTTCAAGGAACCAGGAAGAGAATCATCATCGTCATCCTGTTGAAAGCATTAGTTAACATGTACATGTTAGTAGGTATAATTGAGACTGACACATTTAAAATTTAATTCAAACATCAAGTACATGTTACACAGGCTACAACACTTGTAAATACAGTTCATATATATATTGTTCTTATACTGTATAATATGTTTATGTCACCAATTGGTGTCAAACAGGACTATCAAATTTAAGCTTTGTCGCATTTTCTCTATTGGAGAACAGGTACTAAATAATTAAATGTATTTATTTCTCAATCAAAATTCAACATGCAACCTTACAACTAAAAAAGCGTAAATTAGACACTGGCGGTGAAAAAAACTTGTTATGAAATATTTTCATCATAACAAAATTTTATATTCTGATAAAATATCTTATTATTATGACCCTTGGCTTCTGACATCATGAAATACCACATCCAAATCATGTTATCAACATACAGGAAATTCGTAGATATTCTTTTTCTGTTCATTCTGCATCTCCATGAGTTTTTCTTGTGTGTGTTGGTGGAGAAGGTCTAGGTTTACCATCTGTTTAGGTGTCACATTTTTTTTCTTCTTTTTAGTCTTCACATTTTTTTCAACCTTTGGCTTCTCAATTTTCTGCTTTTCTATTTTTAATTTCACAGGACTGCCTTTTGTCTGTAAAATAAATATGCACAGTAACGTGACATCAAACTTCTATAAACTGTGTTACCCAACAGATATATTTTACTATGGTACAATGTTTTCAAACAAGACATCAGTTAATATTAGTACCAGATACTCATTTGAAGGATACGTTGTATCAATAACTCACCATGTGCAAAGTTCAAAGTAAAAAACAAAGTGAGCATGGGCTCATCGAGATGCGTTTCTACCAACCCATCATCTAATTGCTGCTTTGTTGTTGGTTTTTTATTTTTCTACCCAAATTTTACAATAACCTTTGTCTGTAAGAAGTGCGAAATTATCCTCATGTTTTCTTTGAAGTTGAGAATATTCTGAATTTTTTCTTCCTTTTGGAATAATAATACAGTTTTAGGCTTAGGGAACAGTCAATTTTTTATTGTAAAACAGGGCAACAATGACTGACCTAGATCAATACGATTGAGTGAGACCTTTGATTTACAACCTCGACCAATGACCACAAAATCTAACCAGGTGTAGACTTCGGTTGGATTGTGCTATAAACTAAATCTATTCAAGAATTCAAAGTTATCAAGGGTGCATAGACATTGTGATCACTTTATATGCTCTTCTTGTAACTATTATGTATTCATCACACTGCAACTACATGTTCTTGTGCAGTGATCAAACTTACTGGGCTGTCAAATCTTTTCCATGCCTTTGTCAGGTCTTTTAACAATCTTCCATACTGTATTGTCTCTGGAACATCATGCTTGGCATCTTTTACAAACTGAAATATGGATAGCATATCCAATTACAACTAAAGATCTAATGTAGGTGAACACATTTGTAATCAAATCCTAGAGATTTGACAGCTTATCAATAAAGTCATTATCTGTTCTATGTCCTACATTAAAAATCAATAAATTTATTATAAAACATACATCATCACAGAAATCTGTTTTCATCACGTAAATGAAAATTTTATAGATAATTTATCTAGAGTTATGTTTTACTAGAACAAACAGAAAACTTATTTTAACAGTGACCAATATCAACGTGAACAGACTTATAACAACAACAAACTAAAACATTAAACAAGGTAATGCTGATACAGTGTTGATCACAGTAGAAGAGGTACTGTACGAATTAGTTGTGCAGGAGCATGGCGAATAGTGCTAGATATATAACTAGGAGCAGATTGTTTATATATGTAGGCCATACAGCAGGCTCAGTTTGGGATCCAGTCACTGTAAATATCTTGGACACTAGCTTCAACACATCATTGTATCACCACAAGGTAGACCAAACAACATCTAATGACAGACAAGTTTACATGGTACATAGCTAGATTAAAGTGTATAAATTTATAAATATTATGTCTCTTTTAGTTTAATTTAGATCTTTCTTATGTCTGATAAAATTGCATGGGAGTGATGTTTTCATATAACTTTCACTTAAGGTGTTCATCAGAAATTTGATGAACATTTACATACCTATATACCAAGTCTAATGCCTAAGTTATAACAAATCTCTGTCCTGGTATCCCATTAATTAAAGCATGTTAACCCTTCACTAATCCAGACATATATGCTACTTTACAATATTATTCATGTTTTATCATTTCCTGTAAAAAGGCATTAACAACAAATCCAGCATTGGTCAGTGTCTGGAGAAATTCATCTTTTAGAAAAATTCAACAATCACGTATGATGTTGTCTTTCTTGAATAAGATAAATATTACCAATGTATATTTTCTAGTCTTATTTCCTGACATCAAACAGTAGTACGATGTACTTCCTGTTAGTGAAATATTGGTTGTAAACAGAAATTTGGTGATCAAAACTGTAACAACTATGAAACAAATTACTGATGTTATCAACACGTTTCTGTCTTGTGATTTTTATTATTGGCTAAGCTGATGCAAATAAAATATTTTCTCACAGGCATAAGCGGCTACTCATTAGTTATTCCTTAGTCTTAGTAATGAGGGGATGTATTAGAATGTATGGCATCTGGTATCTAGTCAGCGTTTTAGTGAAGCAGGGCAGGAATAAATTTCTGCTTCCATACATAGCATAGAGTGATTTGCAAATTCTACAGCTTGCCAAAGAGCTAGAAACGAAGGTAGTATGGAACATGCAGCATTTTTTGTACTGAAATAATCTTTTAAGTTGTGTGACACTAACCATACAATCACAAGACACTGACATCATGATCATGAGACTTTTACAACATGATCATGCGAAAATAACATCATGATCATGTGATGTTTGCATCATGATCATGTGATTTTTATATTATGATCATGTGACATGGAAGGTATATAGTCTCTACAGGTCACAAGCATCAACAAGACAAAAGATGGATACAAAACTACAAAAAGAACTTTCAAAACACCAGCCCACTGGAGAAATAGTAAATGCAGAGAAGAAATGATGTAACTCACTAGATGCAGGTTGTTCAACTGTTGTGAACAAACCAGTCATCCAACATTTCCACAGCAGGAAAAGAGAGAAGACATTCATGTGTAAGGTCAAACATATATACTGCTAGCTTGTCTGTATACTGGGATATTTTCGACTGAATTACAGAAGACTTTTCTGTTTGTGATTAAACTGAGTAACGAAGGAAGTTATTTCATTCTAAATCATGCAGCGAAAATAACCCTGTAAACAGATGCTTTGTTGGTTCACTAGAACACCAAATAAATGTAATAGAATTGTACAAATAAGTGTTTCAGTGTTAGAACACTTCTCTAATATAATCAATCAAAAACTTTCTTACAGTAGGGTGGTAAAGTTAATGTCTTTAACAAAGAAGGTCAAGATAAGAATGAATCTGATTATATTGAGCTGCTTTCTTTAACTCTGAAGTACTAGATGTTGACATACGCATATCCCCTCCATACACCAATGTGTCCTGGCAAACCACTGAATGCTATCAAGGTCTACAGTGTCCCAAATATGAGTGTTTATATAATTGTATTTGGTTTCCAACTTTTGATATAGAATAATCTGGGTGGCAACACAATCAATTGATAAAATTGTTAAATGCATACATGTTACTTGCTAAATTCATCCTAACACTTAACAGTGTTACTGTAAAAACTTTATTAATTTATCAATTAATTTTCTCTGGACATTTTGAAATTGGAAATATATATATCGCTATTGTAACATTATAAGAGTTAATGCTGGGAAGCTTACATCTTTTCTCTGTGTCCAGGACTTGAGATGTGACGCTAATGCCTTTCCTCCATTCAGGATATGTACTGGAGGTTTCATGTTGTCTTCGTCGTAGTCTGCAAAGTCATAAATAAATGTTTTATACCACTGATACACAGCCTGTCACATCTTACAGGTGAATGGATCAAGTCGAAAAAGAAAAAAATACAACTAAATCAAAGAGTCAAGAAGTGTAGATCAAAAACAGAAACAGCAATCACTGTAAAATTCTTTTCATAGTTTGAAAAATATTCTACAGTACATTCAAGAAAATAATAATGTAGTAAAAACAACAGCCACATGATAGCCATCTCTCATCAACTGGACAGTTAAATGTTTACAGGAACACAGAAATTAGTGTCAAAATACCAAATGGCCATTTGGCATCTCACTTTCAAAAAATAAAGCAAAAAAGCAAAAATAAACCTAAAAATTATTTCTGTGGAGATCAGCAATGTAATCAATTAATTATTTACAACTAAACATGACTGTAACAATATATACATTACCTTTCAGTAAGTCCAGAATGTGTTTGGCTGCATACCAGTTTGTTGTTTCAAAGCTTGGAAACAGATATTTGGCAGGCGTCTTCACACGTTTTTCTATTTCATACACCCTGTTTATAAGTCATCAAAGTTTCAATGTTATCTTTTATTTTTGTGCATATGTAAAAGCAAATAAAATTAACATAAACAAACAATAATACATATAACCAGGTACATGTAAGTACAAATTGTTTGACTTTCACTCTCTTGACTAGACCTATCTTTTTCTGATAAATCAAACAAACACAAAGTGCTCAAGAAACATGTGGCTGCATGAAATTAAAAGCAAAGTTTCAAATGCTTACTGAAGTTGAAGAGGTATGTGTAGGTCATGCAAGAAATTTCCTCCAAATACTAGCGAATCAATGGGCGTGAACACTGCATGGATCCAGCCTGTAGGAATAAACAGTGTCTGTCCTTGTTTCACCACACACTTGTAACAGGTGTCAACCTGATCACCAAAGAAGGTTTCACTCTGATTGGAAGAAGAGAGCCAGCTCTCATACAGAGACAGGTTAGCCTGAGATGGCCGGATTAAGTAGAAAACTTTCTCTCCCTAAAATGTAAACGAGACATTAAATAGGAGGAAACTGTTACAAATATTCACAATTTCCAAAATATCTGAATATTAATAACACAAAATTACAAAATTCTCAATTTCTTACTGAAAATAACTCTACGAAGGGCCATATCTCATAAAAATCTTGAAACTTCACACTTAAAAACCAAAAATCGAGACTTATGGTTAAAATGTAACAAACAGATGAACTGTAACTGTATTTTCTAACATAAACTAAATACCCAGTATACTTAGTAATTGTTGACATAAAAGACATACATATATATAATAATATAACTTAAATCCATACTCTAAGAATATGGTACCAGACAGAGGTACCCCCGAAGTCAATGTGGAAGTCGGTGAAGCTTTCCCTTACACCCATCAGACAGTACTTCTGGACAGCAGGCTTTGTGTATGTACAGTCGTCCGGCAGTTGTTCTGGCCATACATTGGAAACCCAACTCAGTTGTCGCACTAAGGTGGGAGGTATCACTAGCTCTGACAACCTGTTACAAAGATGAATTCTTTTCTTCAGAATAATTAAGAAATACATAACATGCAGGTGTGATGAAATATGATTTCCACCATTCACATGTTTTTATGGAACCTATCAAACAAACCATGCTATTGTTTTTTATTACTGCCACCCACATATTTTCAAGTAAAAGTAATTCCCTGCCCTCATATCTGGAATAGTTTTTCTCAAATATTGTAATGATCTCTCTCAATATATATATTTATAGCCATCCTAGCTTTAGTTCACATCAATGTAAAGGTCCACCACAAGACAAACATCCAACAGGTTATTACAACATGTTCCTAGAGACACAATGTGTAACATGAGATAGAAGCAATTAGTTGTTGAAATTTGTTCAATTACTTCTTTTGAGATATCTATAAGTAAAATACTGAATGTATAAATGTATTTCTTATTACAAAAGATATTGATTATGACAAAGTAATCTCAATTAGCATAGATATTGATCTTGACAATGTTATCGCTATCTGAATATAAAATTTTGTATCACTTTGCTATTAATTTCTTTTACTTTTATTGTATATATTAAATGTATTTAAGTCTTACTGTGTCTTGGAGAACTCTAAGCTGATCACATTGTAGATTTTGGACCGGTTTGGACTGTTATAATATTCTGTCCATTCTCTCATTAACATTTTATAATCCTCCTGTTTGGAAACATCTATCACATCTATTTCTCTCATTGAACCTAGACAAAAAAAAAAGAGAGAAAATACCATCATAAAAATTACTCAAGACCTCTATTTGAATATACATAACAAGTAAAAGCTATTGGAAGTGTTTCTATTGAGAATGTATTATATGCTATGCACATATTTGTATGAAACTTCCAATACTGATTTCTATCACTGCATTTAGAACTAATAACCAAGTATCTTTGTAGGTTTTCTTTTCTTTCTTGTGAGTCAAAAGCACCATTTCAAAAATTTTGATGAGTGCAATTAAAAAGAGATATATAGAGGATTCTCAAAAGTTGAGGGAGTCCCAAGAAAGGCATGAATCCAAGACTCAAATATTTGAGTCCCACTCACTGTAACCAGGACTATCATGTTCATTCTGCTCCTAAAATACATATATCAATATCATATCATTCGATGAAGTATTAAATTTCCAGTTCAGAATGATTACTATAACAGATGCTGATAAACAGAGGAAGACAATGAAGGAAACAACTCATATTTAGTATCTAATTAATGACTCACCCACAAGATTTTCAACATCCTGAATACTAAATTTTGCAGGAGGTACAACCAAACCAAGACCTTCCTTCTTCTCAACAATGATAGGGACATGAAATCCACTTTGTCTGAGGAACTCTGGAGTTAACTCACTGCCATGGCATCTCATCACAGGAATCTCATCAGCGCTGAGTAAAACATAGGCAAGGGATACAGTAAATGAAGTTCATGTGATTATATACCCGAGAAAAACATTCTTAAAACAGTGAGCATTTTTTTAATTTTCAGAGCATGAATTGTTTTTGATTACTACATATAAATCTCTAGACAGTAACAATACAACAGTGATGGCCAAATCATCGTAATTACAGTTCGTGCTAATTTTGAAACCAGAAAGAAGATGTGTTCTTTCAATATACTCACCTAGGAAACGTTCTGTTTTTGAGTTCTTTTATGAAGACAACTGTTCCTGTTTGTACAGCCTACAACAAAAGTGATGCCATATATACTTCATATAATTCATTTCATCATGTGTTAAATCACACTCTTGCACCTTGGGAAAAAAAATTCTGGCTAAACCACAACAAAGCATTAAATATCTGTTTCACATTTTTGATTAATTGTACAATCTGTCTTTATTGATTGTAGGTGCAAATAATACTTTGACTGTCATTCCATTTGTTCATCAACATTAAAAATGCAAAGACGTCTGCCTACAGAAACCTGTGAAACAGGTACTTAGGCAAAGACAAAATTAATATTTGTGTTCGGACATCATATGCACCTACCTTTTCTTCTACATCTTCCTCTGAATAGTCATGTCTGTGCCAATTACGTCTTTTTTTCACTGAAAATAATGAAAACAAGTTAAGAATATCCATCCTAAAGCACAACTCACCATCCAAGTTTTTCTTGGTAGGTTAACTGTGATAAAAAATGTAATTATTTCTAAAAAACAATTGTTACATCCTTACAAAAACTTCCAAACAAAAAGTTTTCATGAGATATTAGAGAATATATAGTTTAAAACTAGATATTACAGTCTGAAATGTTACCATAGAAATGGCATGTCATACAAATGTTTATCACCATATAAAATCCAGTCAAATAATGTCAACCACTTGGCCATCTTAGGTCTGAAATAATGAATTATTTATTGCTTTAGTGATCTTGTGAGAAATGTAAACTTATGAAAAATTTGGTCTTCTTTGATATATCACCTTTCTTATGTATTACCTTTCCAAAATAACATTTTGTATTTTAACTATACAAATACGCATTTATATTTGTGCCTATATATATTGGTATGATGCTTTTTTACACATCACAGTCTTTTCTTACTTTCTACTGAATTCATGATTTGAGCTTATTCATGACTTACAAACAAGAGGTCCATGTACATGCTGACATTTTGGGCAATGGTAAATTTCTATATCTATGGCCTGGTACTCTTGAACACCAACACAACTGAAAAATAAAACAACATATCAAAGTTTTGTAAAGCATACAAATTAAGTAAGAATTAATTGCATCATGATAAAAGCCCATTACTCTACTTTGGAAAATTATTCAGAGGTTGGATATAAACAATGTTTGAAAAAATGGATTGTATGAAAATGAAGGTTACCAGTAATACTTAAAATATTTAGAGATTATTTTTCTTTCAAAATTTAATTTCAGCACACATAGACACACAAATTTTAAAAGATGAACTTGTAATTATAACCCAAGCTTTGTCAAATTCTGGAACTTGTATTTTGATTGCAAATTATGAGATGTATTTGCATATAAAAACCCATGCAACTTTTTATCTTTGGTGCAAATGTTATATTGCAAGTGTATATGTATACATATATCCACTATATATAAGTATATAATTCTTCCATCAACGCCCTTTAACAGAAAATCGTGTCTAAAACCACTTTATACTGTAAAGTTCATAAAACTGAGAAAGTTAACTCCCCTGTCTATATAGTTCAGTTTTGTAAACAATAACAAATACACCGGTTTTCTTCTGTGTGTGGTTTTTTATTCAACGATATATCACTGACTTATGTGTGTTACAAGCTAATTATTTCGTTATTGCAGTAATAAATATATTTGTGGAGTAGGTTACGATTGCTTGTTGATGCAATTTACCGTGCCGAGTTGGTTCAACCTGCCGCTACAGTAAGTATAACGTCTGCTACAGTGACACTATAAGTACGTTATTTAAAACACGAGATGAATCCAACACAATATTATTATATGTAGTATGACAACATAATCTTGTATTTATACACACTAGTTATACACAGCCTCGCACTATTATAATAAGTGGCGTCGACATGTCTGTAAGACGCGACTGACAATTTTGACATTAGCCAAAACAGCTGAGCTTCAGATTTTTTTTCATTTTGTGCTTCTAAGACAGAAAGACACGCTACAGATAATTTGATTATGACCCTCTTCATACCTTCCATGAAACCAGTCTTTGCAAACGTCACATTCGATCATAAATTCGTTTTCATCGTAAGGTTTTCGACATACACAATATACGGTCTCGTCTTCAGACGCCATGTTGGAAATACTAGGGACAAAAGGATATAAGATCACGCATGCGCGAGTTAACCCGGAAAACCCCACGCCGTGTAATAGGAAACGCGTGTTATTTACTACACGTTACAGTTTGTAAATCGTGTGTAAGACATAAAAAAACAAACAAAGGAAAATAACGAAGAAAATAGCAGAAAGTTATTTCAAGTGCAAATTGGATAAAATTGTCGTTAAATATTAACAAAAGAAATATTTACACTGAGTACGTGAAAAAGTACGTCAGTGGAAAGGACTACAGGGTAAGCGTCTTTTGCTTCATATATGAAACCCGCCGTGTAAATCTTGGTTACATATTCAGATGGAAAACGTAAACATCAAAGGGACCGACAGACATGCTAACGAGCATAAAACACGTCAGACATCATATTCCACACAGAAATTGACTAAACGTCGTCACTCTTATCAACCTGCATCGATCGCCTTAAACCAGCGTGAGAGTTATAAATCATACTAACCTGCACATGTGTCAAAGTAATTAAATGTTGTATATCAAATTTTTCTACTAATTTTCCTTTACTTTCCGCATCAATCTTTCTAGACTTAAGGTTGTATTCTACCATTGCCGCCAATCTCGTGGAGAGATAGAACCATTCGGTGTCACTTTGATTGAAGTTTGTATACAAGACATTATGAAGAACGCCATTCAATAAAAAAAAAATCAGAGTTAGATACAACAGAGAAATCTAATTACTAAAACTGCATCACACGACTGTTTCGATCGGGAAGAATTGCCAAAATTGTATTGGCAACAATACTAATTCACTTTCACATGTACAGAACTTCAAGGATTCATTATCATATGGCACAGAAAGGATAAAGAAACGCGACTTCTTTAATTGTTAACATTTTGTATTGAATATACACAGCTATATAAAAGTAAGAGGAATATAAAGGCACCTTACCTTATCCCACAATAAATGTTAAAAACCCGTCTTCCATTGACAAAAAATTATCCACATCCAGTGTGCCTAACTTACCAAAACACCATGATTGTACAAATTCATATGTTCTTTTCATTCAAACTAGTTTCGATGTCTGGGTATCACCAAGACGTGTGATCACCAATGCACCTGCAATCAATGATTGTTTATACAAACTTTAAAGAGGACGGGCTTTCGCAACGCTCGTGACACTCAACAGCATGTCGCTACTCACTTCAGAGTGCACAAACCGACAATAAGTTTTAAATCTATATTAGTTTTAAATCTCAACGCGATGATGACAGACCTAGATCCGGACGTCCACGTGTAACGTTATGACGTCAAGATCGCTTCATCAAACTCGCCTGATTTCGTAACAGGAGATTAACAGCAGCCGTAACGGCTTGAAATATCATAGGTAATGGAAACCGTCAAATCCCCCCAAAAAAACTGCGATACAAAGACTGCGAGAGGAAAATTTACACTCACGTCGCCAGTACGTTGGTTTGCCACTGACTGGCACCTCGAGCACGACGTCGTATGCGATGGTTGACGGCACATGTGTCCAGACGTTTCAATATGAGATGTTGAAGGTCCATGTTCAGCACGGTGAATCTCGATTCACGTTATTTCGATAAGATGGCCGTCAAGGTGTGTACCGGCGTCGAGGAGAGCATATGGCAAACGTTTACGTTTTGGAGCACGACAGTTTTAGGGATGGATCGGTTATGGTTTGAGGAGGAATTTCTCGTGGTTTAAAGACACTTTTAGTGATAACTAACGGGAAAGTAACGGCTGTACGCTATCGAGATGAGATCCTGAGACCTCATGTTGTGCTTTTTCTTATGAGGCACCATTTGACCTTTCAGCATGATAACGCTAGGCCACGCATTGCAAGAGTTTGTAGGGATTTTCTTGCAATTAAGAACATAGTCCCTATTGAATGACCTTCATATAGCCCAATTTGTTTCCCAATCCAACACTTGTTGGAGAGTTCAAATTCGTGTAAACACCCCTAATAACCTCCGCAATTTTGGTCAACGAACATACTGAGGAATGGAGTAACACTCTTCTACAGACAACCAATGTCCGTGCCACGCAGAATTCGAGACGCTTCAGCTGTTAGGGAGGGTGCACTTGATATTAGGGATCGGTCTGACAATTGCCGTTATTTCAAACACGTGTTAGATATTTTACTATATAGATTGTCTTGTGAAAATTAGTTCCACGAAATGTGAAGTAGTCGCCATTTATTCTCGACATCATAGAATCTTTTCCCTTTTTCAAAATAGAGTCTCCATCCACGCATATAGATAACATTTGTGTATCTTTAAGTTTGAAACGAACTATCACTTAAGTCAGAGACATGATAATACATAGTTATATCATTAGTATTACGCCTCCCTGTATAAACCATATCGCTACGGTTTTTGCCTTGTTTTCAGATGGCTGATAATAACCGTCCGGTTTGGAGATCAGTGGTGGGTCATGATTGAAGTGCGATATCTTAACCGATGTGTGTTAATCATCATTTAATAAGTAATATCTACCAGTTATTTTTATTTATTGTATCACATCATTCTTAAGGAGGACAAATCTGAATATTATCGATGAAACTACGTAGTCGGGAGATTGGATGATGTACAGTAAACATGGTCCTGAAATCAAATACGTCGACTTAAGCATTTCACACACGTGAACACGTGAACGTCGAAACTGAATTAGGTAATTATAATATAGTGTAAATGAAAACTACATCTATCATAGTCGGTCAATGGATAAATGTAAGGACGTTTTTCTAACTCCGTTCATAACTCAACCTTTGATTTTAGACCCTAAAGCACACACCTATCACCACATTAATGCTATCAGACGCCGGATTTCTACTATTGTACAATTGTAAGTGCTACCATACAACGACGGACGGATAAATGCACTGAAAGAACCCGATATATCTTCACACACTGTTCACTACACCCCATGTATATGGGGGTGCAAAAGTAACATAATCCCCGGTATATGCATCGATGCGCATGACACATTTTTTTTACAGACAGTACTGTTTGTGACCAACATTCCATTCTGCGAGGGGACGTTTGAATGTCGCTCTCTAGTAGTACTGACTGGAGTGTTAACTTAGTACAAACTCGTTACCTATCTACACTTACATGTAGCTGACCATACCGCAAGGTAGGTAATAATCTACTTATATCTAAGATATAGAAATTATGATTATATTCTTAATATCACAAACTAGTAGCCATGTCATATTTACACATTTTAATTTAAGTAAATGTAAATGTACTATTTATCATAAGGATTTTCCTACTTTATTCCACTGATCACGGTTTTTCCGTGTCCAGCCTTTACTACACATAACCTGATCATACAGGAAACCGTCGTAAGATTTTGTGACGGCGAACACTTGTCATATATATGTGTTTCCTATGTGTTTTTTCTACGAGTCGGATACGTACGACCTGTCCATTGTTTACATACAAGCACTCGTTCTACTTTCTGTACTCCCGCTGTGGTAAGACTCGGTTAACGTCACCTCTTCCGCATGTCTACAATTTCAATTCACGCTCTGGTTATTCAGAATTGTTCACGAAATTAGTAATTGTCTTTCGCCGCTACCTAGGTTTCGAGATTTAGGCTCCTAGCATCACTGACCGTTCTAGAGAGAGGAAGCTTTCTGAGGCAGTTTAATCCATTTTTGACTGTACTGTAACTCTTTGGTACAATCTTCTGTTACGTCTCAGAAATACAAATTTCAGTGATGCGTAGCAATATATTGACAAGGAAGGGTGCCCATGTCTGATAACTGCTATAATATTTTTTTATTTTCTTACGTTTCAGGTCCATTCTTACCAGTTACATACCTTACCTCACAACAACATCCGGATGTAATATCTTTTACAAACATTCCTTCAAAGATATCCTTATCTTTTAAAGCTTCTTATTTTTACTGCACTCAGAACAGACCATTACAAAAAGTGTGCCAATGATATTGCCATCGCAATATATTTATATATTTTGGATGTTGGCTTCCCATTTACTCACTTTAAATCTGGATTATATCCACAATATATATATAGATGCAGTCTGTACATCAGGACAATAAGTGACGTCATTTAGGCGCCGTGTTGACCGCCAGCGCTTTGCACTTCGTCTCGGATAACTCGCAACATAACGGACGTCATTCTATTTACCTGTCTCCCAGAATGCATTAATTCGCTGTTTTACACAAACTTGTTTGTATTATGCTAGACATTTGCCACACGTAAGGATAACACATCTCGACCCAAACGAAACACGATCTGTCTTCTGTCATATAGTTTTCATTCAAGCAATTAAAAAAAAAAAAAGTCAAAAATTGGAGTTTTAAAAATGCTTTTCCCCCGAACTGACTTCATTACAGATTACATGACTTACAATAGTTCTATTTATATGTTTGTATACTTTATAAGTAACATAACATCATTCCTTAGTGCAGAACTTTAGATTAATCTTAGCTTACTATACCGGAGACAACTGTTACCACGTCCGTACGCTATTCTAGGTCGCCACCGAGCTCCACTCATTACATATAATAGTGTGTCTACTTATAATCAGGAGTTGTATTTACTTCAACTAGGGATCAAGCCCAACTGCCTATCAGTTTGGTTGCCTCTTTCAGTCAGCACGCTTTCTATCCCGATAAAGTTAAAGATGGCAGTATACGATGTACTTGGTAAGCGATACACAAAAACTAATCTAACACACTACATAACGATTAAATCTTATTATTTTATTTACTTTCCAGAGAGGTACTGGTCACCATGAACAAAATCCAATACGTCCGATGGTATGGTGTTCTCTGCATCGTCTTGCTTTATGGAGTTAATATCATAGCAACCGATGATCAACCCAGTACCGTCGAATGGTCAACGCGACTGGGGTCCGTCCGAGGCCTCAACATCACATCGGATGATGGAAACATTTTCCAGTTCAGGAGAATTCCATTTGCTAAGCCACCAGTAGGAGATCTTCGGTTCGAAAAACCTGAAGTACCAAATGCATGGGTCGGAACTCTCGACTGTACATCATACGGACACGCATGCATGCAAGCGGGAACTCGCACATCTGAAGATTGCTTGTATCTTAATGTATATGTACCAAATAGCCTAGATACATCGGCTAAACGTGCAGTGATGGTGTGGATTCATGGTGGTAGTTTCATTTCCGGTAGTGGATCAGAAACTGGTGGATCAACTCTCGCGTTACATGGCGATGTAATTGTCGTAACCATTAACTACCGGCTGAACATATTTGGTTTCTTTAGCACGGGCGATAATACCACACATGGTAATTATGGGTTGTGGGACCAGATGCTGGCTCTCCGGTGGGTTAAAGATAATATAGAAGACTACGGTGGCAATCCGTCTTTAATTACTATATTCGGTGAATCCGCTGGAGGTGTCAGTGTTGGCCTTCAAGCTATTATTACCCAGAACAAAGATGTGTTTCAGAGAGTCATTGCTGAAAGTGGGTCAAGTGTTGGGCCCCGTGATTCTGGAGTAGAAGCAATGAAAGTATTTTCTAAAGTTGTGGATGAACTTGGATGTTTCTCCGACACCTCTGCTTCTACCGTGAGATGTTTACGTCAACAAAGCGCAGAACAACTTGTTACTGCGTTCTTTAAGGCATTTGGCGTTGTGCAACAGTCTAGCTTTACCATACTCTCAGCACTTGGCCCTACCATAGACGGGGAACTCTTTCCCAAAGATTTTGACGCAATCTTAAGTGACCACGACAGTGAAGCGATGCAATTCTTCCGAAGTGTTGATTATTTGGCTGGAATGAACTCGGCAGACGGGGGGCTGTTTTACTTTGATCTCACCCGTTATCAAAAAGAATTTCCGACGATAAATTTCACAGAAGAAATACCGGCCAGTATTTTACGTGATCATGTCGTACCAAATCTTGTTCTTCAACTGTATGACAACTGTGTTGACATTTATACGTCAGCGTGTGATCAATATGTAACACCCGTACTCAACGATGACATTGAGACTCAAACTTCAAGCGCCGAAAACCTCTATGCTGATGTCGATTACTACAGTCCGGCCGTCCGGTCTCTAGACGCCCACATTGGAAGCGACAGTAAAACATATCAATACTTTTTCTCATACGAGCCTCGCTGGGGACCTGTACATCCCAGACCATTGTGGCTGCACGGAGCAAATCATGCTGACGAGCTTGCTTTTGTGTTCGGTCTGAACGAACTATATCCTAGCAATGTACCACATGGCGACGAAGAACTGGCGATATCTAAGAGAGTGATGACTTACTGGACAAACTTCGCAAAAACTGGGTAAGATGAACAAGCTCTTCACCAACAATTGCGTTTGCTGGTGTACGCCATTCTCAGATCAGCTGCATATAAAACTATCAAAAGTATAACACGTTGATGTGTATGAATTGTAGATGTTTATTAAATACAATAAAATAAAAATCTTGAAACATTGCTTTTTTTCTGCAAAAGGGTTATCAGTTCACAAAATATTCATTTCGTATTTCAGAGATCCAAACGGCAATGATACCAGCCTTCTGGAATGGCCTCCATACAAACTTCCCAGCAAGCCTTATCTGAACATATCAGTAACGGACACTGTGGGACAAGCTCTGTTCACCGATCGAATGGAATTCTGGAACAAACACGTGCCAAAACAGCTGATACAATGTCAGGAGATAAATGGCGTGGGTTCTAATGTATCTATCGGTATTCTGGTCTCTGTTGTTGTTGGCCTGCTATTCATATTATACAATTTTAAATGAATAAATCATAAGACATATGCTGTAATCTCCTTTTATATATTTCTAAACAACTAAGCAGCTTGTTGGTTGTACATAGATAGGCAACAACTCACGGATGTAGTGAGATATTTCGGTCATTAAACAATTATTTTTTTGCTGGAGGTTGTTGCGTGTTAAAGCTATGATTCGTCATGTTCTATAAAGCAATAATCTATTGCATACAAAGGTTTTTTTCTTCAGTTAGGCTAAAAGATTTTGATATTTCGCTTGCTGTTACTGTTGCGGTGTTTAACATACTTGTGGGTGTTGAGATATTTGTTGCTTTGTGGGATGATGTTAATATTAAATCGAGAAGTGTTTATATAAACTGTGTATTAGGGAGTCATTATTGATTGGTATTGTTATTCTGCAAAAAATTGCTGAAGATTAAAACACGGAGGGCCAGCACAACTCTTCTATAACCTGAGTTTCTATCCCACGCGATAAAGGTTTTTTTATCTCACGGTTAAACTCATTTTGTAAAAATGGCCGGAAAGAATCTTTTCTTTGTCATTTTGATGTTGTCATATATTGTCCCCTCTATGATATAATTTTATTGCAAGTGTGTCATATTCCATTGTCACCATAGATACCAGCTCGTGTGATCAATTTTTCCCCTTAACATGTCACACCATAAACGTCTGGTATATATGTCAGTTTATCCTGTGAAATACATATATTTCTTATCCTAACAGACTACTTAGAGCCGATACATGTTTGTCTATCCCTGCCTTAGCATTCAACGGGTTATCACTCAATCGTACCTTCACCTTCTCTACTAACATTCCTACAAACATGTTATCTTGATGTATAGTTGTTTAAAAAAAGGTTACTGTCAATTTGGAACGCTACATGATAAGATGTTATTGCAGCAGACACTCGGAGTGTTTGTGTTGTCATGTAAAACGTTTGGATAGCTCTGGAACAAACCACTGACGTTTTGCGTCTCGAATGCTCAATATTTTCCTGGTGTGTTCGAGAAGGAGACAAGCTAGTGGAGGTAAGTATACCTTACATAAATACATATTTACAGATTTAAGAGCAGATCAACTGCTTCCACGTGTCTTGCAATAAGAAATTCTCGGACACCTGGATCAGATAAAATAATTTCTTGTCGTACACACAAATTAAATCCTTCGATTATTTCTACAAACAAATTGTGTTTTTCACATAGATTTTATTTTTCGTAAATGTACATATAGCGATAATCCTATTATTCAGTTATAACAGCTAGAAAATACTTACTTGTGAATATAATCTTAATGAAAACTCACAATTCAATAAAAACGAGGGTAAATCTTCCTTGATACCCCGTCACTTACGATAACATTTGCTTTCTAAAACTCTGGGACATTTCCTGGCAAAATTGAAAGTTCCATGTGCGACACCTTGTGGAAAGGATGATATGACTAATTTTATTCTTGATATATATCAAACGAATCTCGAGGTCGTACAAAGTTGTGATGTACTGGCTTTGAAGTTGGGTGTCGCTCCTTTGTAGTCTTCAAAGGGGCGTATCAGTCTGTGATTGGTCAGTTTTTTCTCTCTCCTGAAACCTGCTCTGAAGCAATCAAATTACTTGTGCCTGCAATTTTGGGCCCCGAGTATCGAGGATAGGGTAAAAAAAACAAAAGAATAAAATCACACAAAGACTACTGAAAAAGTACACGGAAAATAAGACCAGATGAACCGGAAGAGTAAGTGTCTTCTGCTAAAATAAGATTGCGCTCATTGCATTTTAACGATTATGAATGAAAGTCAGCATTTGATAACCTCAAAGTAAATACGTTTACAGAATCTAGGTATACTTTCCGCCATTTTATCTTATTCTCGAAGATAATGAGAGAAAAAAGAAAGATTTACTTGAAATTACTTTACCGGTAACTAACAAAATAATTCTTTCTTGAGGAATTGGTAATGTTCTTCCATTATCAAGTTTTTATTCTGTTGTCTTATGTGTTTTCTTTCAGCTCGGCATTAATATCCTTCCGACTATGGAGTTCATACTACGTATCTTTATTGTCTGTATGACAGTGCACACAGTGACAAGTTCAGACGTATCTACAGATGGCATCGTCAACATTACATATGGAGCCATCCAAGGCAAGAGAGTGACTATTGGGAACGAAACAGTGTATCAGTTTCTGAAATTACCATTTGCCAAACCACCGATTGGGAATTTACGATTCCAGAAACCACAGACACCGGATTCATGGACTGGAATACTCGATGCAAGCCATCACGGACCCCCGTGTATGCAACTGTTAAGTAGACGTTACGCGAATATGCTGGAAAATAACGTTGTCTCTGAAGACTGCCTTTATTTAAACGTTTACGTCCCAGGTGGGATAAATATAACAGCTAATCTCTCAGTGATGGTTTACATACATGGTGGAGGATACAAGACAAAGACGGCGTCGCTATATGATGGCTCATTCCTGGCTCTACACGGCAATGTTATCGTTGTTATCACAAACTATCGCCTCGGATTCTTCGGCTTTCTCAGCACAGAAGACGAGTCAGCGACAGGAAATTACGGTCTCTGGGATCAGATTTATGCACTTCGTTGGGTACAGGAGAACATTGAATTATTCGGGGGAAATCCTGCACAGGTGACAGTGTTCGGCCATTCGGCTGGCGGTTATAGCATTGGCTTACTTCTGTTGTCGACACAAACCAAAGATCTTTTCCGGAGAGCTATCCCAATGAGCGGATTCGGGTTGAGTCCTAGGGCAATTACACATAATCCTAGGAACGCAGCACTAAGACTTGCAGCTAAACTTGGTTGCGTCCCTTCAGGTGGATCACCAAGTGATATGACTACGCTGGTAGACTGCATGAGAAACCAAAATGCATCTGCACTACTCCAAGGACAGAATCTGATCGTGGCAGAAGATTCGTCGAGTCCTCAATTTATCATGCGACCGGCACCTGTAATTGATGGTGAAATACTGGTTGACTGGCCCCGTAGTATTATGTATGACCAAGAGTCGGATGGAAGTAGACGATTCTTGTCAGCTGACTACATGGCGGGAACAAATAGCGCTGACGGAGGTTTGATAAGGTCATATTTGAAAGTCATTCAAACTCAGTATAATTTTTCGCTCTCAGATGGAGCACCAACAAGCGCACTGTGTGAATCCATTGCACCTGCACTTGCACGTGATTATTACGGTTCCAGCGTCAACGTTTCTGACGCCATATGTATGAATTACACTTCGAATGGCACATTGGCAGACCAGGCACGACGTCTGGTGGGCGTATTTGGTGACATGATGTACGACAGCCGGGCCGTAGAAACCTTAACACGTCATATTGTAGGAAATTGTCAGTCGTACCAATTCGTCTTATCCCATAAGTCTTCGTTTGTGACGACCCCGGGTCTGCCCATCTGGTTGAAAGGAGCCTACCATGGCGATGAACTTGTCTATATATTTGGAATGCCTTTATACAACTTTTCCAGTGCTGAGAGGTCACTAAGTGAAGCCATGATGACTTATTTGACGAACTTTGCTAAATTTGGGTAAGTAAAAAACATGCCGTTGAATGATGAAGTCTGTTTATTAGTTGTGATGTTTTAATACATATTTGAAAATGCTTGAAGAATTAAGATATGCTAAAAAAAGTCATGATATTGCATCAAACAACCACCTTACCAATAAAATGATATGTAATATATGTGTTTCGCAGACTCCATAATACTCTTTACGTCTTGTATACTTTGTAGAGATCCAAATGGGCCCAATGCTGTATCTCTATCACTCCCACTATGGCCACAATTTGACCAGGGACGAGCACGCTACATGGACTTTGACCTCAGCCTTACAGTCAAGGAACACCTCCACAGGGACATGGTGAAATTTTGGCTGGATTCGATCCCAGGTCTTAACAAAACCAGTGGGGGCGCAGTATCTATGGCGACAGTGCCATGTCCTCGCCTGTGGTTAACGCTGTTATCCTGTTTAGTGATCTGTTTAGGTTTGTACATATAGAACACCGCGTCTGGCTGGTTTACTGGCACATGATAGTACAGAAGAAAGAGAGAGGACCTCAATTTTACGCCGTCATTACTATTCATCAGAGTGAGTTCTTCATGATGCTAGTCGCCAGGATGGTGTTGTTTTGGCAGTCGAGCTTTACAATATGTCAAAATCAATTTTAAGCGTAAATGATTATATTTCTGAAATGAGACAGGAGGCATCTATTACACATATCTTGCCCGTCGTTGTGTATTCAGTCAGGTCCGATGACCCATGCTTTAAGATACAAGATATTTTTATCCTGGTGGTCACTGAATACTCTGAAATCACGATTTTCACTTTTTAATAAAATCGGAAAGCAAAATTTCAAAAATCTTTCACCTATCAACTAGTACACAGTAAATAATATATACAAAAGACGATCATCATGGCTATTTTTTATGCAGTAACAAATTAAAAAAAAACTTGTACATGTACATGTGGATGTATCAAATAAAACTTTAATATATGAAATATACATTGTATTGTGAAACTAATTGTGTGCAACTATTCTTATTTGTGGTAGATACGATTGGACTGAACCTGATTTCCAGTTTCGATCCAACTGATATTTGTTCACTGTAAATGTATCGTGCACGTGTCTTCGTGAATTGACATGTCCCGCAGCCAGTCGAGTCTGGATCTTTCGCGACCGATTTCACAATTTGTAAAAGATAATAGATCATATATCAAGTAATACCACGGCTAAGTCTGTGGTAATATTGTGGATTTACCACGTGTTCTCGTCATATCTATTTCCTGTGTAAACTGTACAGTATCGATGATGCAGGATGGGTGGGCTTCCTGGACCAATGAACAGCTATCAGCGTCATAGTTTACCACAGAATTATCCTCGCTGTGTCATTTCTGATTGTACATCCGTGTGCATATGTTGATGTTATCTACTACAAATACTTTCAATTTCTGTACCATTTCATCATTTCACACACTTTATATATGTTTTTGGAAATGTCGACAAATTAACGACAAAGCCGTCCTCAACAGCAAGTAATTTTTAAAAAATGAAAGGCACTTTGGTTTTGCGTTGTTACATTGAGCAAATCACGAAAAGTTTTTTACGTGGTCTCTGAATTTTTCTTTCAGCTTTCTTACGTTATATATACAACAAATAACCTGAAATTATGTTGACTTTACATCAACATTTGTCAATAACATGAAATAATTCCTTTATCAAACAAAAGGTAAACGTGAGCGCTTTACAGAAAGCCGAGACCCTATTCAATCAAATAAGGCTTTCTTTTGTACGTCATATGTAATTTGACCCGACATTGTAGTGAAAATGAAGGTGCATTTTTTTTATTTAAACGGCGACACTATAAAGTACAGTAACATCGCCCGTGTCCCGTCCATTATACACAAACTTGTAATAAACCATCACGTGCTCCGTTCTTTATACATACACATAACACACGTTTACAAGTTGTATCTCCACCAGTAGTACACGGTACAAGGTGTATCTCCAATATCACACAGTACAAGTTGTATCTCCACCAATAGCACACGGTACAAGTTGTCTCTCCACCAATATCACACGGTACAAGTTATATCTCACCCAATAGCACACGGCACAAGCTGTATATCCACCAATAGCACACGGTACAAGTTGTATCTCCACCAATATCACGTGGTACAAGTTGTATCTCCACCAATAGCACACGGTACAAGTTGTATCTCAACCAATAGCACACGGTACAAGTTGTACCTCCACCAATAGCACACGGTACAAGTTTCATATGCACCAATAGCACGCGGTACAAGTTGTATCTGCACCAATAGCACACGGTACAAGTTGTATCTCCACCAATAGCACACGGTACAAGTTGTATCTCCACCAATATCACGTGGTACAAGTTGTATCTCCACCAATATCACACGGTACAAGTTGTACCTCCACCAATAGCACACGGTACAAGTTGTATCTCCACCAATATCACACGGTACAAGTTGTATCTCCACCAATATCACACGGTACAAGTTGTATATCCACCAATAGCACACGGTACAAGTTGTATTTCCACCAATAGCACACAGTACAAGTTGTATCTCCACCAATATCACACTGTACAAGTTATATCTCTATCAATATCACGTGGTACAAGTTGTATCTCCTCCAATATCACACGGTACAAGTTGTATCTCTATCAATATCACGTGGTATAAGTTGTATCTCCACCAATATCACGTGGTACAAGTTGTATCTCCACCAATATCACACGGTACAAGTTGTATATCCACCAATATCACACAGTACAAGTTGTATCTCCACCAATAGCACACAGTACAAGTTGTATCCACCAATAGCACACGGTACAAGTTGTATCTCAACAAATAGCACACGGTACAAATAGTATCTCCACCAATATCACACAGTACAAGTGATATCTCCACCAATATCACACGGTACAAGTTGTATCTCAACCAATAGCACACGGCACAAGTTGTATCTGCACCAATAGCACACGGTACAAGTTGTATCTCAACCAATAGCACACGGTACAAGTTGTATCTGCACCAATATCACACGGTACAAGTTGTATCTCCACCAATATCACACGGTACAAGTTGTATCTCCACCAATAGCACGGTACAAGTTGTATCTCCACCAATAGCACACGGTACAAGTTTCATATGCACCAATAGCACGCGGTACAAGTTGTATCTGCACCAATAGCACACGGTACAAGTTGTATCTCCACCAATAGCACACGGTACAAGTTGTATCTCCACCAATAGCATGCGGTACAAGTTGTATCTCCACCAGTATCACACGGTACAAGTTGTATCTCCACCAATATCACACGGTACAAGTTGTATCTCCACCAATATCACACGGTACAAGTTGTATCTCCACCAATAGCACACGGTACAAGTTGTATATCCACCAATATCACACGGTACAAGTTGTATATCCACCAATAGCACACGGTACAAGTTGTATCTCCACCAATAGCACACGGTACAAGTTGTATCTCCACCAATATCACGTGGTACAAGTTGTATCTCCACCAATATCACACGGTACAAGTTGTATCTCCACCAATAGCACACGGTACAAGTTGTATCTCCACCAATATCACGTGGTACAAGTTGTATCTCCACCAATATCACACGGTACAAGTTGTATCTCCACCAATATCACACGGTACAAGTTGTATTTCCACCAATAGCACACAGTACAAGTTGTATCTCCACCAATATCACGTGGTACAAGTTATATCTCTATCAATATCACGTGGTACAAGTTGTATCTCCTCCAATATCACACGGTACAAGTTGTATCTCTATCAATATCACGTGGTATAAGTTGTATCTCCACCAATATCACGTGGTACAAGTTGTATCTCCACCAATATCACACGGTACAAGTTGTATATCCACCAATATCACACAGTACAAGTTGTATCTCCACCACTAGCACACAGTACAAGTTGTATCCACCAATAGCACACGGTACAAGTTGTATCTCCACCAATATCACACGGTACAAGTTGTATCTCCACCAATATCACACGGTACAAGTGATATCTCCACCAATATCACACGGTACAAGTTGTATCGCCACCAATATCACACGGTACAAGTTGTATCTCCACCAATATCAAACGGTACAAGTTGTATCTCCACCAATATCACACGGTACAAGTTGTATCTCCACCAATATCACACGGTACAAGTTGTATATCCACCAATAGCACACGGTACAAGTTGTATCTCCACCAATAGCACACGGTACAAGTGATATCTCCACCAATATCACACGGTACAAGTTGTATATCCACCAATATCACACGGTACAAGTTGTATATCCACCAATATCACGTGGTACAAGTTGTATCTCCACCAATATCACACGGTACAAGTTGTATCTCCACCAATATCACACGGTACAAGTTGTATCTCCACCAATATCACACGGTACAAGTTGTACCTCCACCAATAGCACACGGTACAAGTTTCATATGCACCAATAGCACGCGGTACAAGTTGTATCTGCACCAATAGCACACGGTACACTTTGTATCTCCACCAATAGCACACTGTACAAGTTATATCTCTATCAATATCACGTGGTACAAGTTGTATCTCCTCCAATATCACACGGTACTAGTTGTATCTCCACCAATAGCACACGGTACAAGTGATATCTCCACCAATATCACACGGTACAAGTTGTATATCCACCAATATCACACGGTACAAGTTGTATATCCACCAATATCACGTGGTACAAGTTGTATCTCCACCAATATCACACGGTACAAGTTGTATCTCCACCAATATCACACGGTACAAGTTGTATCTCCACCAATATCACACGGTACAAGTTGTATCTCCACCAATATCACGCGGTACAAGTTGTACCTCCACCAATAGCACACGGTACAAGTTTCATATGCACCAATAGCACGCGGTACAAGTTGTATCTGCACCAATAGCACACGGTACAATTTGTATCTCCACCAATAGCACACTGTACAAGTTATATCTCTATCAATATCACGTGGTACAAGTTGTATCTCCTCCAATATCACACGGTACTAGTTGTATCTCTATCAATATCACGTGGTATAAGTTGTATCTCCACCAATATCACGTGGTACAAGTTGTATCTCCACCAATATCACACGGTACAAGTTATATATTCACCAATATCACACAGTACAAGTTGTATCTCCACCACTAGCACACAGTACAAGTTGTATCCACCAATAGCACACGGTACAAGTTGTATCTCCACCAATATCACACGGTACAAGTTGTATCTCCACCAATATCACACGGTACAAGTGATATCTCCACCAATATCACACGGTACAAGTTGTATCGCCACCAATAGCACACGGTACAAGTTGTATCTCCACCAATATCACACGGTACAAGTTGTATCTCCACCAATATCACGTGGTACAAGTTGTATATCCACCAATAGCACACGGTACAAGTTGTATCTCCACCAATAGCACACGGTACAAGTGATATCTCCACCAATATCACACGGTACAAGTTGTATATCCACCAATATCACACGGTACAAGTTGTATATCCACCAATATCACGTGGTACAAGTTGTATCTCCACCAATATCACACGGTACAAGTTGTATCTGGACCAATAGCACACGGTACAAGTTGTATCTCCACCAATAGCACACGGTACAAGTTGTATCTCCACCAATAGCATGCGGTACAAGTTGTATCTCCACCAATAGCACACGGTACAAGTGATATCTCCACCAATATCACACGGTACAAGTTGTATATTCACCAATATCACACGGTACAAGTTGTATATCCACCAATATCACGTGGTACAAGTTGTATCTCCACCAATATCACACGGTACAAGTTGTATCTCCACCAATATCACGTGGTACAAGTTGTATCTCCACCAATATCACGCGGTACAAGTTGTACCTCCACCAATAGCACACGGTACAAGTTTCATATGCACCAATAGCACGCGGTACAAGTTGTATCTGCACCAATAGCACACGGTACAATTTGTATCTCCACCAATAGCACACTGTACAAGTTATATCTCTATCAATATCACGTGGTACAAGTTGTATCTCCTCCAATATCACACGGTACTAGTTGTATCTCCACCAATAGCACACGGTACAAGTTGTATCTCCACCAATATCACACGGTACAAGTTGTATCTCCACCAATATCACGTGGTACAAGTTGTATCTCCACCAATATCACACGGTACAAGTTGTATCTCCACCAATATCACGTGGTACAAGTTGTATCTCCACCAATATCACGCGGTACAAGTTGTACCTCCACCAATAGCACACGGTACAAGTTTCATATGCACCAATAGCACGCGGTACAAGTTGTATCTGCACCAATAGCACACGGTACAATTTGTATCTCCACCAATAGCACACTGTACAAGTTATATCTCTATCAATATCACGTGGTACAAGTTGTATCTCCTCCAATATCACACGGTACTAGTTGTATCTCTATCAATATCACGTGGTATAAGTTGTATCTCCACCAATATCACGTGGTACAAGTTGTATCTCCACCAATATCACACGGTACAAGTTATATATTCACCAATATCACACAGTACAAGTTGTATCTCCACCACTAGCACACAGTACAAGTTGTATCCACCAATAGCACACGGTACAAGTTGTATCTCCACCAATATCACACGGTACAAGTTGTATCTCCACCAATATCACACGGTACAAGTGATATCTCCACCAATATCACACGGTACAAGTTGTATCTCCACCAATAGCACACGGTACAAGTTGTATCTCCACCAATATCACACGGTACAAGTTGTATCTCCACCAATATCACACGGTACAAGTTGTATCTCCACCAATATCACGTGGTACAAGTTGTATATCCACCAATAGCACACGGTACAAGTTGTATCTCCACCAATAGCACACGGTACAAGTGATATCTCCACCAATATCACACGGTACAAGTTGTATATCCACCAATATCACACGGTACAAGTTGTATATCCACCAATATCACGTGGTACAAGTTGTATCTCCACCAATATCACACGGTACAAGTTGTATCTGCACCAATAGCACACGGTACAAGTTGTATCTCCACCAATAGCACACGGTACAAGTTGTATCTCCACCAATAGCACACGGTACAAGTTGTATCTCCACCAATATCACACGGTACAAGTTGTATCTCCACCAATATCACACGGTACAAGTTGTATCTCCACCAATATCACACGGTACAAGTTGTATCTCCACCAATATCACACTGTACAAGTGATATCTCCACCAATATCACACGGTACAAGTTGTATCTCCACCAATATCACACGGTACAAGTTGTATCTCCACCAATATCACACTGTACAAGTGATATCTCCACCAATATCACACGGTACAAGTTGTATCGCCACCAATATCACACGGTACAAGTTGTATCTCCACCAATATCACGTGGTACAAGTTGTATCTCCACCAATATCACACGGTACAAGTTGTATCTCCACCAATATCACACGGTACAAGTTGTATCTCCACCAATATCACACGGTACAAGTTGTATCTCCACCAATATCACACGGTACAAGTTGTATCTCCACCAATATCACACTGTACAAGTGATATCTCCACCAATATCACACGGTACAAGTTGTATCGCCACCAATATCACACGGTACAAGTTGTATCTCCACCAATATCACGTGGTACAAGTTGTATCTCCACCAATATCACACGGTACAAGTTGTATCTCCACCAATATCACACGGTACAAGTTGTATCTCCACCAATATCACACGGTACAAGTTGTATCTCCACCAATATCACACGGTACAAGTGATATCTCCACCAATATCACACGGTACAAGTTGTATCTCCACCAATATCACACGGTACAGGTTGTATCTCCACCAATATCACACGGTACAAGTTGTATCTCCACCAATATCACACGGTACAAGTTGTATCTCCACCAATATCACACGGTACAAGTTGTATCTCCACCAATATCACACTGTACAAGTGATATCTCCACCAATATCACACGGTACAAGTTGTATCTCCACCAATATCACACGGTACAAGTTGTATCTCCACCAATATCACACTGTACAAGTGATATCTCCACCAATATCACACGGTACAAGTTGTATCGCCACCAATATCACACGGTACAAGTTGTATCTCCACCAATATCACGTGGTACAAGTTGTATCTCCACCAATATCACACGGTACAAGTTGTATCTCCACCAATATCACACGGTACAAGTTGTATCTCCACCAATATCACACGGTACAAGTTGTATCTCCACCAATATCACACGGTACAAGTTGTATCTCCACCAATATCACACTGTACAAGTGATATCTCCACCAATATCACACGGTACAAGTTGTATCGCCACCAATATCACACGGTACAAGTTGTATCTCCACCAATATCACGTGGTACAAGTTGTATCTCCACCAATATCACACGGTACAAGTTGTATCTCCACCAATATCACACGGTACAAGTTGTATCTCCACCAATATCACACGGTACAAGTTGTATCTCCACCAATATCACACGGTACAAGTGATATCTCCACCAATATCACACGGTACAAGTTGTATCTCCACCAATATCACACGGTACAGGTTGTATCTCCACCAATATCACACGGTACAAGTTGTATCTCCACCAATATCACACGGTACAAGTTGTATCTCCACCAATATCACACGGTACAAGTTGTATCTCCACCAATAGCACACGGTACAATACCGCCGTCTCAAAGTTGTATCTCAAGAAGAAGAAGAAGAAGAAGAAGAAGAAGAAGAAGAAGAAGAAGAAGAAGAAGATGAAGGAAGGGAGGGAATGCGGAGGATTGAAACCGGTTTGTAGAGACTCTCGTGCCTCATCTGTTAGACAATATGACACTAGTGACTACAATGGCGAATTAATTTTATAATAGGCTGGTCATGTGATCAAAATAAGTCAACAATTATTCGGACCAGCATATATTTAGCACATTGTTTGTTCTACAGCAATACTTGTGTAAACTACAACTAGGCTGAAAGTACAATATTTCCAATGAAAAACTAAACCACACACACCGAGACTTCTGATGATGCTTATACACAAACAAAATCACAAAATGTACAAAATAAGATAGTTATTGCTTCTATATCAAACTCCATGTAATGTTAGAAAAGTGACTATTAGTGAATTAACATCATTGCTTATCTTATTTATTATTGATAACAATTACCTTTAATTAATGTAGCGTTTTATAACGGACCGACAAATGGAAGTTGCAGACGAGGCATCCTGTCTTTGGCGATCGAATGTTGTATCCCACGGGCATCACAATCGCTTCCACGACATTATCTTTGTTATGACATATTGAAAAATATTTACATCATGTTATTTAATTATATATATATTTATATATATATTTCGGTTGTGACGTGGAATGCAGTGGCGTAGGAAGTTGTCAAAAGGTGAAGGGACGATTGCCCCCTCCCCCTCATACCCCTGCCCCCACCCACTCCCCGCTTCCTACGCCCTGGATTGTTCGTCGATTGTATTCATTCTGACAAACTTGACATATTTTCTACGTATAAAGTTATAATCACTCGGCTAAGTTACATCATGCATGTACATCTACACCTTTCGGTGGGTATCGGAAGTGGTGGACCAAGCTCACTCCATTAAAATACACACGTCGATATCTATCCAGAACGTAGATACTCTTTTTGATGCCTGTGGATAACAACATCGATCACCAAAGGGTAAAAAAATGTTCGATATCATGTTTGTGGAACAAAAATTCTATCTCTTATCTATAGTTATTTGACGAATAAAAATGATTAAATTTGATAAAATGAAATTAAAAAATGTCCAAATGATCAATTTTGCGTTCTCTGAATTGTCCGAAAGTGTGAAAACCGTTGTCGGTTCTTTGATTATTTTTGCATTAAATGTCTCAGGAAACACGCTTGATTCCTACATGATTGGTGTTTGTGAAAAAGCGTTAAATTGACGCTGACGAAGCACATGTGCACGTTATCTAGCTGCAGTTGAAGTTAAAAGGTTGACAAAATGCCGTTCTTCATTAAATCAGGACGTGGAACTTCACAAGGAAATCGATTTGCCAAGGTGGGAAGATTGAATTGTTTATTACATATTATATTCAAAACAATTCATTATGATACACAAATGTTGGAAATTGCGTCTATATGCCTAGCCTCCGTACAGAGTATCGGGTTGGGGGTATTTACCGAAACGAAACAAACCAACAAGTCATTAAAGAACACAATTCTAAGTCCACTATCTTAAAAGATGTTTGATACAAGTATACAAGTTTTCCTCCGTGTCGGTAATTCAACTTCATTTCGGTAAATACCTCAGCCGCAGAGTGTCTGGTATATAACACAAGGAAAGTAGGGCTTAATTCAATGTTGATCATTTTGCTATAATGCCTATATGTTATATTTGTATATATTTTTAAGAACTGTAAATTTGAAAGAAAATTCAAGTGTAGTAGACCTTGTGCTCTGATGCAAGGATATGTGCTGATATATGCAGGTATTCCTTTATGTATCATTAATCCATGCCACGATCATATGGTTACCAAGTATTCGTCCCTAATCAGTAAGAAGCGAACCTCTCATTATAAAACGACAACCAATTCAAACCCACATTATAGTCGTTTTGTTGGAGTCATATTTTGAAACTAAAAGTGAGATTATTCTGGTTTTCAGGGAGGATCTAAACGGAAATTTTCACAGAACAAGGATCCAGGATCTAAGAAAAGACTGAAACGAGAGGATGAAGAAATTGAAAGTGATTCTGATATTGGAAGGTGATTTGTGAATAAAGAAATTTTATTCTTGTTATTTCATTGTTTATCAGTATGTGGTTTTGTTTTAATGGAGAAAGGCTCAAGTAAAGATAATGAACATCTTCACGATGATTCTTATGTAATGATAAAAGGCTGGAGAGGTTTTGATGGTTATTTCGAGATCCGTTGCCATTTAGAAAAACTTGCATGTTTTAATTTTATTTAAAAATATCTTTCATGTATTTAAATCAAATTTTTAAAATTCTGGTTCTCTCACTTGTGTTGTTACCACTACACTTTGGTTGTGACATCAAAATTTATGATGTGAATGAGAGATATCAACAGAGATCTTTTTCTCATAATGCAAATAAGCACATAGAGACATCATGATAATTGGCATGGCAAGTCTTCGGATTTAGTTGTATATTAATACAGAAAGAAAAATATTCTTTTTGTTCAGTGTAAACAGTATTGAGTATTTGCAAGAAAGCCAGGATGAATGTACATAAAGTTGGTGAATGCTTGCAGTATGTTAAACAGACCTTTCAATTTGTGATTCCAGTGATGTAGAAAACAACAACCGTAAGATTGGGTATGAATCATCATCAGAGGATGAAGAAACTGCAGAGGAAAAGAAACTACGACTTGCCAAACAGTATCTCGCACAAATAGAGGCTGAGGGTAAATAGGTTAATTGTACACAATTACTCGGGAAGTTAGTTTTAAATGAGATTGAAATCCACGAATGAAGTGTTCTGAATGAAAAGGTCATTACTAAAGATGTTGTGACATAATTGAATATGAACCTGAATTTTTGATACCCAATCCCTTGTCTAAATCTTTTAAAATGCTTAACAAATTTGTAATAATTTTAGCAAATTCATTTAAGTATGAGATCTTTTGCATATCATGATGCAGGAAGAACACAAGAATACCAATCATTCCATTGATATATGTGTGTTTCACAACTTGAAAAAAAAGTTTTAAAATATTACAGAGGCAGAGAAAAGGGATGATGATGAGGAAATCAACAGAGATATTGTTTCTCACAGATTAAAGCAGGATATTGTAAGTAAAACACAGGTCTAGCCTCAGAATGGTTACTATCATTAATTAATATGTGTTTAACAGAACTATGGTTATGTAAGTGTTTCAATTTCAGAACAACAAACTTTTAGGTAATCAATTCCTAGTTGTAATTGAAAAGCAGCAAATCAGAAAATAAAGGTTATGATCAAAATTAAAAGATATTTGTATTCTCAGGGATTGAAATATCTTGTCCATTGTTTTTCAGCTTGAACAAGCAGGAAGACTTCAGAGACAAGTAGCCGACAATGTAAGCATATTACATACAAGTCCATGAAACTTATTATTTTTAGTTTTTCTATTGATTGTCTAGGATTTAGTCTGATCATAATAGATTAGGAAAATATTTACAATCACATTAGTTTTATTACTGCAGTATCAGTTTTAATAAAGTTTTATTTGATATACTTAACCCTTTTTGATATGACACAGAATTAATTATATACCGTTAAAATGCTTAGATGGTAAGACCAGACCCGATGTAATTTTTCTGTCGAAAATATTAATTATTAATCCATGTAAATTTCATAAGAAATATTTTAATGTTTTTTTTTTTTTTCATAGAAGTTTTTTTTTTTTTTTCAAAATAAGGTGTCATGATAATTTTGTAAAAATATACTTTTCACCATACTTGTCCCTTTATTTTTAATGTTATTTTGACAGCTGTGATTGTATTTAAGATTGTACATCTTCTGTCTTGATTGCTTTAACCCATAATTGTACACTGTTACTAACAGTACCAGGTGCCTACAGTGGATGACATTACAGTTTTGAGAGGTCATCAACTATCGGTGACGTGTGTGGTTATCTCCCCTGATAGCCGCTACCTATTCACAGGCTCCAAGGACTGTTCCATTATTAAATGTAGGTATACAAACAGGCGGATCTAATGAGTAACAGACTGTCAGATAATATACATGTCAGAAAAATGAAATGTTCTATGATGCTGTTAGATATGTATTTGCTGGATGTATGGAAGGTTAATTCCGCCAAATAGTTATAAATATTTAGTGAAAAGCCAAATGGTTTTTCCTTCCATTGAAATTAAATTAAAAGGACTAAATGGTTAAATTTTCATTTCATAACTGATCAATAGCACTGTTATCTTTAAATATGTGTTAAAAGTTGTGTAGCTTTCGATGTGTTTGATAATGTACATAACCCCTAACGGTGCCAAACAGGATGATGTAGGCTGTACTTCTATGGATGCTGTTTAAAATTAAACTAAGGATTGGTGGACTTATATGAAATAATAGATGTTATACATTTATGGGTAACATAATGGTCACTTTTAGTGTAACTTTTTCAGGGGACATTCAAAGGAGGAAAAAGGTTGCTGTGATATCTGGAGGGAGGAAAGGCACAGAACAGTCACATGTGGGACACACTGATCACATCCTATGTTTAGCAATATCATCGGACGGCAAATATTTGGTGAGGAGAGCATAGCATTGACTTATTTTGACAGAGAAATCAAGACATTTAAGATGATATATTTAAGAACGACAAGAATTAAGGTTGTGAAATAATTTGTCTTCAAGGATTGTTTTGTATATGGAAATAGTATTGTATAGTTTGTAGCCATTATTATAGCTTTGAGTTTTGTTGTCGAAATAAAAGGTTTTGTAAACAAACTTTGACGTTAACAGTCTTTATTGTAAAAATGCTTTTACTTTTTCTCATTTAGGCTTCTGGTGGTCGGAATAAATTAATTCATATTTGGAATCCCGATGATTGTACACATATTCATTATTTCCCAGGCCATAAGGATACCATATCAGTAAGTATATGTATAAAAGTAAATGTACTGCTGGTCTTCAAATATTTTAATTGTATTGGATAATTAGTAATACAGAGAAAACCTTGTTAATTATTAAACTGAATAACAATTAATTTGCAAATATTATAAATATGTTGACCAACATATGATTTGACAAGGGTCAAATTGATTCAGATTTTTAAAATATCTTGTTTTCAACACCAAATACTTTTCAATAGATAGAAGCAACTTAAGGTGCTTTACTAAAATTGTGAATTTCACTACTGCAGGGTCTCGCAATTCCCTCAGGGGAGGGGGGTGAAGTTTAATATAATTTTTATAGGAAAATTGTATTTTTGAGCATAATATTATTTATTTTTCATTGAAAATAGTTTGATAAAAATTGATAGTATAGGATAACATTTTTGTGGTATTGACACTATTTGACCCCGCCCCCCCCCAGCCCCCACCCCCCTCCCCCAAGGACTTAAAATATATCACTTAAGTCTTACTCTCATCATTGTCACCATTTCTTTTTCCTGACACTTGAAAGCTACTGATCCTATAACCTTTGTATTAAATGTTACTTCCTCGGGTGACCATCAAGGCTGCTAGGTCTCTTATTCTGTTTTTCTCCACCCTAGCAAAACTACAGCATATACTTTACGACATTGACTATGTATCTTCTCTCTAAAAAAAGTAGGTATTTCTCTAGAAATTCGCTGATGAAAAATAATAAGCTAAAAATGGAGTTTATATTCATTCACAGAAACATTCATGTTTCAGAGTTTAGCCTTCAGGAAAGGAACCCATCAACTTTTTAGTGCGTCACATGACCGATCTGTGAAAATCTGGAATGTGGATGATAGAACATATATAGAAACACTGTAAGTTTTAATCAGTTTAAGCAAGTGTTGATAATGGTTAACATTGTAGCCAGAAGTCCTGCTTGAAACAGAATTACGTCCAGGTAAATGTGTGAAAGGTTCATTCATGTTGTAGTTGTAAACTCAGTTCAAATGGTTATCTTTGCTACAGATCATTTTGTAATTTCAAAGTGATGTCAGATGTTATAACTGCAAATTGTTTTGTTACAATGAATTGTTAAAGTTTTTTCATACAAACTGTTAACACTATAACAACGATTGGCCCTCAGGTTTGGCCATGAAGACGGCATAACATGTGCTGACAGTCTGAGTCGTGATCGAGCAATCACCTGCGGAGGCCGTGACGGCAGCATAAGGATTTGGAAGGTTGTTGAAGAGTCACAGCTCGTGTTTCACGGACATAGGTAGGTGTACAGGAAGTTCCCCTGAACTTGAAGTTTACAGTACAAGATATAAAATACACAGTTGATTTTTATAAGAATCAACCGTTACTCCAATTTTTGTGATATATTCTGGGTTGGGATATTTTGATGTTTTTGAAATTTGTTGGATAGGGATGGGGGTTGAGGGGGAGGGTGTAGACTAAAGTAGGATGCCTTTTTTTCTGGTGTTTAAATTTGGCATTTACAACACAATGTTAATTTTGGCATATGCCAACTTCTATACCAGCAATGGAAAGTCCTTCTTAATTTGATATAAGTTTCAGGATCATTTCATGTTATCTAAGTACGAATGATTGCCTACCAGAGAAGTAATTAAGACTTTCGTAAGAATGTAAGCAATTTAAAACAAAAGACTGAAGAAAACTTTCAGCTTCTTGGTGTGGAGAAAGTTTTTTACTCTTTGTAGTACAATATGTCATGTTCTTTCCATTTGTTCCAGGGGATCAATTGATTGTGTGGCCTTAATCAATGAGTCTAACTTTGTATCAGGGGCTGATGATAAGTATGTTACCTTGGTATTCCTATTTTGTGTCTAAAGCTTATAGTTAGGGATATATTGTGAAGCCTGATTTTACATATGATGTTAATACATGTAATACCAATGGAAACATTCACTCGTCCTCAAATTTCAGTGTGATAGTGAAATTTAATATGTTAAATAATTGAAGGATCTTGTAAATATCGAAGAAAACATTATACATTGTACAAAATTGGTTGAACATACATTTCTTTAAAACATGTATGATTTCAAAGGATATGGCTGTCATGGTTGTTATAACAGTATGAAGTGAACCCCTTTGTTTCTGATCTTTAGCTCTATTGCATTGTGGGTAGTGGCTAAAAAGAAGCCTCTAGTTACATTTCACAATGCCCATGGCAGAGATGATAAAGAGGATGATGAGAAAATACACAGCACAGTGACTTCGTCAGAGAACTGGATCACAGCCTTAACATCACTCCAACACACAGACCTCATAGCATCTGGTAATACAACCATAAGCTAATCAGATGATCAGAATTGTTACAGACTGATATTGCATGTTTTCAAATGAAATTTTGTTAAATTTTTTCATATCTGGTAAAGGGAATACAGATTTTATTTTCATTTTTCTGTGTCAATATGTGATTTTCTGGATTGTACTATTGTGGTTTTAACTATTGTTTGGAAGAGGCAAACAAATTCATCTAAACTGTTAATTGTATATTATCATACATTTAGATAAAATGTTGACATTTCTGAGTGTAAATAATACACAGGATGTATAATGAAAAAGTTCTATAATAAAAATGTATTTGGTGTAGAGGTACCTTAATGTTAATAACCAAGGTTGACCTAATTTGAAGGTTCACTTAACAACTATTGATTATTTCATCTCCAATAAACCACTATACTCTGGTATATATAATGACTTGTGTGTTAGCAGGTTCCAAAGATGGCTGTATTAGGTTATGGAAAGCAGGAGAGAATATGAAGTCCTTAACCCCTTTATTTACTGTCCCAGTGGTAAGTATTTATTATCTAAATATCCAAAGATACCAAAATGATTTCCTCTGTGGTACCTTGTCCATCTGTGGTACCTAGTCCATCTGTGGTACCTAGTCCATCTGTGGTACCTTGTCTATCTGTGGTACCCAGTCCATCTGTGGTACCTTGTCCATCTGTGGTACTTTGTCCATCTGTGGTAGCTCACCATCTGTGGTACCTTGCCCATCTGTGGTACCTTGTCCATCTGTGGTACCTTGTCCATCTGTGGTAGCTCACCATCTGTGGTACCTAGTCAATCTGTGGTACCTTGTCCATCTGTGGTAGCTCACCATCTGTGGTACCTTGTCCATCTGTGGTACCTAGTTTATCTGTGGTACGTAGTCCATCTGTGGTACCTTGTCCATCTGTGGTACCTTGTCCATCTATGGTATCTTGTCCATCTGTGGTACCTAGTCCATCTGTGGTACCTAGTCCATCTGTGGTATGTGTCCATCTGTGGTACCTCGTCCATCTGTGGTAGCTCACCATCTGTGGTACCTAGTCCATCTGTGGTACCTTGTCCATCTGTGGTACCTAGTCCATCTGTGGTACCTTGTCCATCTGTGGTAGCTCACCATCTGTGGTACCTTGTCCATCTGTGGTACCTTGTCCATCTGTGGTAGCTCACCATCTGTGGTACCTTGTCCATCTGTGGTACCTTTTCCATCTGTGGTACCTAGTTTATCTGTGATACGTAGTCCATCTGAGGTACCTTGTCCATCTGTGGTAGCTCACCATCTGTGGTACCTTGTCCATCTGTGGTACCTTGTCCAAGTTGGTAGTTCTCCATCTGTGGTACCTTGTCCATCTGTGGTACCTTGTCCATCTGTGGTACCTAGTCCATCTGTGGTACCTAGTCCTTGTCCATCTGTGGTACCTCGTCCATCTGTGGTAGCTCACCATCTGTGGTACCTAGTCCATCTGTTGTACCTTGTCCATCTGTGGTACCTATTCCATCTGTGGTACCTTGTCCATCTGTGGTAGCTCACCATCTGTGGTACCTTGTCCATCTGTGGTACCTTGTCTATCTGTGGTAGCTCACCATCTGTGGTACCTTGTCCATCTGTGGTACCTTTTCCATCTGTGGTACCTAGTTTATCTGTGGTACGTAGTCCATCTGAGGTACCTTGTCCATCTGTGGTAGCTCACCATCTGTGGTACCTTGTCCATCTGTGGTACCTAGTTTATCTGTGGTACGTAGTCCATCTGTGGTACCTTGTCCATCTGTGGTACCTTGTCCATCTGTGGTACCGAGTCCATCTGTGGTACCTAGTCCATCTGTGGTACCTTGTCCATCTGTGGTACCTCGTCCATCTGTGGTAGCTCACCATCTGTGGTACCCAGTCCATCTGTTGTACCTTGTCCATCTGTGGTACCTAGTCCATCTGTGGTACCTAGTCCATCTGTGGTACCTTGTCCATCTGTGGTACCTCGTCCATCTGTGGTAGTTCACCATCTGTGGTACCTAGTCCATCTGTGGTACCTTGTCCATCTGTGGTACCTAGTTTATCTGTGGTACGTAGTCCATCTGTGGTACCTAGTCCATCTGTGGTACCTTGTCCATCTGTGGTAGCTCACCATCTGTGGTACCTAGTCCATCTGTGGTACCTAGTCCATCTGTTGTACCTAGTCCATCTGTGGTACCTTGTCCATCTGTGGTATGTGTCCATCTGTGGTACCTAGTCCATCTGTGGTACCTTGTCCATCTGTGGTACCTAGTTTATCTGTGGTACCTTGTCCATCTGTGGTACCTAGTCCATCTTTGGTACCTCACCACCTGTGGTAGCTCACCATCTGTGGTACCTTGTCCATCTGTGGTACGTAGTCAATCTGTGGTAGCTCACCATCTGTGGTACCTAGTCCATCTTTGGTACCTTGTTTATCTGTGGTACCTTGTCCTTCTGTTGTTGCTCACCATCTGTGGTACCTTGTCCATCTGTGGTACCTAGTCCATCTGTGGTACCTCACCATCTGTGGTACCTTGTCCATCTGTGGTACCTTGTCCATCTGAGGTACCTTGTCCATCTGTGGTAGCTCACCATCTGTGGTACCTTGTCCATCTGTGGTACCTTGTCCATCTGTGGTACCTAGTTTATCTGTGGTACCTTGTCCATCTGTGGTACCTTGTCCATCTGTGAAACCTAGTCCATCTGTGGTACCTTGTCCATCTGTGGTACCTTGTCCATCTGTGGTACCGAGTCCATCTGTGGTACCTAGTCCATCTGTGGTACCTTGTCCATCTGTGGTACCTAGTTTATCTGTGGTACGTAGTCCATCTGAGGTACCTTGTCCATCTGTGGTAGCTCACCATCTGTGGTACCTTGTCCATCTGTGGTACCTAGTTTATCTGTGGTACGTAGTCCATCTGTGGTACCTTGTCCATCTGTGGTACCTTGTCCATCTGTGGTACCGAGTCCATCTGTGGTACCTAGTCCATCTGTGGTACCTTGTCCATCTATGGTACCTCGTCCATCTGTGGTAGCTCACCATCTGTGGTACCTAGTCCATCTGTTGTACCTTGTCCATCTGTGGTACCTAGTCCATCTGTGGTACCTTGTCCATCTGTGGTACCTCGTCCATCTGTGGTAGTTCACCATCTGTGGTACCTAGTCCATCTGTGGTACCTTGTCCATCTGTGGTACCTAGTTTATCTGTGGTACGTAGTCCATCTGTGGTACCTAGTCCATCTGTGGTACCTTGTCCATCTGTGGTAGCTCACCATCTGTGGTACCTAGTCCATCTGTGGTACCTAGTCCATCTGTTGTACCTAGTCCATCTGTGGTACCTTGTCCATCTGTGGTATGTGTCCATCTGTGGTACCTAGTCCATCTGTGGTACCTTGTCCATCTGTGGTACCTAGTTTATCTGTGGTACCTTGTCCATCTGTGGTACCTAGTCCATCTTTGGTACCTCACCACCTGTGGTAGCTCACCATCTGTGGTACCTTGTCCATCTGTGGTACGTAGTCAATCTGTGGTAGCTCACCATCTGTGGTACCTAGTCCATCTGTGGTACTTAGTCCATCTGTGGTACCTTGTCCATCTTTGGTACCTTGTTTATCTGTGGTACGTAATCCATCTGTGGTACCTTGTCCTTCTGTTGTTGCTCACCATCTGTGGTACCTTGTCCATCTGTGGTACCTAGTCCATCTGTGGTACCTCACCATCTGTGGTACCTTGTCCATCTGTGGTACCTTGTCCATCTGAGGTACCTTGTCCATCTGTGGTAGCTCACCATCTGTGGTACCTTGTCCATCTGTGGTACCTTGTCCATCTGTGGTACCTAGTTTATCTGTGGTACCTTGTCCATCTGTGGTACCTTGTCCATCTGTGGTACCTTGTCCATCTGTGAAACCTAGTCCATCTGTGGTACCTTGTCCATCTGTGGTAGCTCACCATCTGTGGTACCTAGTCCATCTGTTGTACCTTGTCCATCTGTGGTACCTAGTCCATCTGTGGTACCTAGTCCATCTGTGGTACCTTGTCCATCTGTGGTACCTCGTCCATCTGTGGTAGCTCACCATCTGTGGTACCTAGTCCATCTGTGGTACCTTGTCCATTTGTGGTACCTAGTTTATCTGTGGTACGTAGTCCATCTGTGGTACCTAGTCCATCTGTGGTACCTTGTCCATCTGTGGTACCTAGTTTATCTGTGGTACCTTGTCCATCTGTGGTACCTAGTCCATCTTTGGTACCTCACCACCTGTGGTACCTTGTCCATCTGTGGTAGCTCACCATCTGTGGTACCTTGTCCATCTGTGGTACGTAGTCAATCTGTGGTAGCTCACCATCTGTGGTACCTAGTCCATCTGTGGTACTTAGTCCATCTGTGGTACCTTGTCCATCTTTGGTACCTTGTTTATCTGTGGTACGTAATCCATCTGTGGTACCTTGTCCTTCTGTTGTTGCTCACCATCTGTGGTACCTAGTCCATCTGTGGTACCTCACCATCTGTGGTACCTTGTCCATCTGTGGTACCTTGTCCATCTGTGGTACCTTGTCCATCTGTGGTAGCTCACCATCTGTGGTACCTTGTCCATCTCTGGTACGTAGTCCATCTGTGGTACCTTGTCCATCTGTGGTACCTAGTTTATCTGTGGTACGTAGTCCATCTGTGGTACCTTGTCCATCTGTGGTACCTTGTCCATCTATGGTAGCTCACCATCTGTGGTACCTTGTCCATCTCTGGTACGTAGTCCATCTGTGGTACCTTGTCCATCTGTGGTACCTAGTTTATCTGTGGTACGTAGTCCATCTGTGGTACCTTGTCCATCTGTGGTACCTTGTCCATCTATGGTAGCTCACCATCTGTGGTACCTTGTCCATCTGTGGTACCTCATCCATCTGTGGTAGCTCACCATCTGTGGTACCTAGTCAATCTGTGGTACCTTGTCCATCTGTGGTACCTTGTCCATCTGTGGTACCTAGTTTATCTGTGGTATGTAGTCCATCTGTGGTACCTAGACTATCTGTGGTACCTTGTCCATCTGTGGTAGCTCACCATCTGTGGTACCTCGTCCATCTGTGGTACATTGTCCATCTGTGGTACCTTGTCCATCTGGTACGTGTCCATCTGTGGTACCTAGTCCATCTGTGGTCCCTGGATTATCTTTGCTGCCGCATCCATGTGTGGCTGCTCGTTTTCTGAAAAACCTTGTTCATTTTAATATTCAATCTAGTAAGGTGAACAAGTTAACATCTGAGTTGACACAGAGAGTTCTAAAGCAATATTACTCTTATTCATTATGTAGATTCTTCCTTTCATAGCATATGTTTGACTTTAAGATTTGAAGGAAGAGTGGCCATCTTGGATTTGTTTAGTGAAGTATAGCAGTATCCATTGAGTGTCTCCTTTACTGTAATTGTAGTGAGTATCTATTCATGAATTTTAACTCATGAGGCAGATACTTTTAGTCTTTTGCTTGCATAATAAATCATCAATAACAGATGATAACTTTTAAAATTTCAATTATGTTTATTTTACAGAAAGGCTTTGTCAACTCGCTGACATTTTCCAAAGATGGAGACATGTTAGTGGCAGGTATTGGACAGGAACACAAACTAGGAAGATGGTGGAGGATCAAAGAAGCTAGGAATGGTGTTGTGATCATCAGACTTAGAAATAAGTCATCGACATAGGAACAACATCCTCAAAATTATCACAGACAATTTTCTCATTAGTTTTATACAGGAATAATAAAGACTGACTTCACCATCAAGCTGAAATCGAAAATTGTGCTGTTTTTCTGATATTGGAACAAGTGAAATGGACATAAAAGTTCTAACAATTAAAAATTATGGAATAAAAATTGTATTCTGTGTTATAGGTCAGAAAGTAAGAAATAAATTTTAAGTAGAGTACACAGGAAGTTATGCAACACTGAAATAAAAAGACAGGAAATTATGTTACTGTGCCAATTGACAGGAAGTTATGTTACTGTGCCAATTGACAGGAAGTTATGTCCAATGAAACGGTACACAGGAAGTTATGTCATACTGAAACAGTAGACAGGATGATATGTTAATAGTTATGAACAAGAAGTTATGTCAATCTGTAACAATAAACAGGAAGTTATGTCAAACTCTAACAATAAACAGGAAGTTATGTCAATCTGTAACAATAAACAGGAAGTTATGTCAATCTGTAACAATAAACAGGAAGTTATGTCAAACTGTAACAATAAACAGGAAGTTATGTCAATCTGTAACAATAAACAGGAAGTTATGTCAAACTGTAACAATAAACAGGAAGTTGTGTCAATCTGTAACAATAAACAGGAAGTTATGTCAATCTGTAACAATAAACAGGAAGTTATGTCAATCTGTAACAATAAACAGGAAGTTATGTCAAACTGTAACAATAAACAGGAAGTTATGTCAATCTGTAACAATAAACAGGAAGTTATGTCAAACTGTAACAATAAACAGGAAGTTGTGTCAATCTGTAACAATAAACAGGAAGTTATGTCAATCTGTAACAATAAACAGGAAGTTATGTCAAACTGTAACAATAAACAGGAAGTTATGTTACACTAACATTAGATACAGTGTTATGTCACACATGAAATACAACATTGGGCAGGAAGTTATTTTGCGCTTCAACAATAAACAGGAAGTTATTCCATACTGAAACAGTAGACATGGATTTATGTCACACTGTAACAGTAGGCTGGATGCTGTTCCACACATTAACAGTAGACAAGATATTATCTCACACTCAAACAGCAGGCATACAGATGACACACAGTTACAGAGAGTTTTGCCACACTGTAACAATAGGTGGGATGTTACTCTTAAACAGTAGGCAGGAAGTAATGTCACACTTTCACAATATACAGGAATTTATGTCAAAATGTGGCAGTAGACAGGAATTTATGTCAAAATGAGGCAGTAGACAGGAAGTTATGTCAAAATGTGGCGAAAGACAGGAAGTTATTTCGTACTGTAACAATTAATAGATTATTTCACATTGTGACAGGAAGAATGGAGTTAAGTTACACACTACAAGTAGACAGGAAATGATGTCTTTCTATGACAGTAGACAGGAAGTTATGTCACACTGTTACAGTAGACAGCAGGATGTTATGTCACACTGTTACAGTAGACAGCAGGAGGTTATGTCACACTGTTACAGTAGACAGCAGGACGTTATGTCACACTGTTACAGTAGACAGCAGGACGTTATGTCACACTGTTACAGTAGACAGCAGGACGTTATGTCACACTGCAGGACATTATGTCACACTGTTACAGTAGACAGCAGGACGTTATGTCACACTGTTACAGTAAAAGCAGGACGTTATATCACACTGTTACAGTAGACAGCAGGAAGTTATGTCACACTGTTACAGTAGACAGCAGGACGTTATGTCACACTGCAGGACGTTATGTCACACTGTTACAGTAGACAGCAGGACGTTATGTCACACTGTTACAGTAGACAGCAGGAGGTTATGTCACACTGTTACAGTAGACAGCAGGAGGTTATGTCACACTGTGACTGTAGACAGCAGGATGTTATGTCACACTGATACAGTAGACAGCAGGATGTTATGTCACACTGATACAGTAGACAAGAAGTAATTTCACACTGTTACAGTAGACAGCAGGACGTTATGTCACACTGTTACAGTAGACAAGAAGTAATTTCACACTGTTACAGTAGACAGCAGGACGTTATATCACACTGTTACAGTAGACAGCAGGATGTTATGTCACACTGATACAGTAGACAGCAGGACGTTATGTCACACTGATACAGTAGACAGCAGGACGTTATGTCACACTGTTACAGTAGACAGCAGGACGTTATGTCACACTGTTACAGTAGACAAGAAGTAATTTCACACTCTAAAAGTAGGCAGGAAGTTGTTTAATTTTGTAATAGTAGACAGGTAATTCTGTCTAAAGACAAGTAGGATACTGTGTTGCACACTAACAGCAGACAGTAAGTTATGGCTACAATGTACCAGTAGACAGGTAGTTGTTTTATTCTGTAACAGGAGACAGGAAATGATGTCAATGTAACATTACACAGGGCTTTGTTTCATTGTAGACAGGAAGTTATATGTAAAAATGTTACTGAATGGAGGATTAGTGAGGAAATTGAACAAAGTACAAAAAACAGATGGACTGAAAGGAATTTTACTAGTGTAATAGGAGTGGGTTGGTGTGGCTTGTATATAGTCTTAAATATGGTCTCTGTTACTCAGCTGAGGGAGCATGCTTCTCTGGCTCAGTTGGTAGAGCCAGTCGATTATCATGCCAGAGAACTGGGTTTGATTCCTGCCAGAAGAAAAAAGGCTTGATTTTAACATCAGAATTTTGCTAATGAGTGGTGTATTCTTGGTTTCAATGAGTTTTCAGATTGTCTGAAATCGGAACTACTGTATGTCACATTTATAATGGTTAATCCATGCCACAGTGTAATTACTTTCAAATTTTTAAAATCTTTATTAATGCAAATTAAGATTATCATCAATATACAAATGTAAAAAAGTGGCATATACTTGTGTAGGTCATGGTGTTGCATACTTACGTATCAAAGTTGCTATGGAATAGTATACTGATCAAGTCATAATGTAGTATACTTATAAAGGTCTTTGCATTGTATATTTATCAAGGTCATTGTGTAGTCACTTATATTTAAGATCATAGAGTTATATACATACTTGTCAAGGTCACTGAAAAAGTTGTGTATGCCAAGGTCATTTTGTAGTATACACTTGTTTAGGCTATAGTGTATACTAAACATTGTCATGGTGTAGAATACTTGTCAAGGTCATGGTGTAGAATACTTGTCAAGGTCATAGTGTAGAATACTTCTCAAGGTCATGGTGTAGAATACTTGTCAATGTCATGATGTAGAATACTTGTCAAGGTCATGGTGTAGAATACTTGTCAAGGTCATGGTGTAGAATACTTGTCAAGGTCATGGTGTAGAATACTTGTCAAGGTCATGGTGTAGAATACTTGTCAAGGTCATAGTGTAGAATACTTGTCAAGATCATGATGTAGAATACTTGTAAAGATCATGATATTTAATTTCTGTGGTTGTCAAATTGGCTGCATTTGATAAAACTTGACCAAACAAATTTATTAAGTACCAAAATTTAAATTAATTAAATATATTTCAAAAATATCTTAATCATTTTATGAGATATCTAACATATTGTACTTTGCAAAATATCCTATATAATATATATTTTAATGAAAAAAAAGTTTTATTTAAAGAAATGATATATATTCCATATAACTATCAAATATAGTATAGTATATTATATAGTATAGTATATAGTATCTATGAATGAAAGGAGTTTTTTTTCTGCAGAAAACTTTGACATTTACAAATCAATATATATTGTGACACGATAAAAGTATAAAACATTACAATTATGGATACACAAACTATATTTATTTGCACAATCTCAAAAAAACATATATTTAACTAAAGTTGATGTACTTATTTGCTTTAAATGTTTTCTTTTTCCTGATAAATAGACACAATTTTCTGGACATAGTGAGCCTTATATTGGGTATATATCACGTGTTATATACATCTCTGATTAAACCATATATATCTGGCCACTCATTTTCCTTGTAAATGGATTACCACCAAGCAAAAATACAAATATACCAAAATCATCTTGATTGAAAATTTCTACAGATTATTGAGCAGGTCATATACCTACAATAATGTAATTTCTTTCTTTCATGTAACAAATCAGCACAGTTCATAAAAATATGTTTTACAATATTTGCTGCACTTTATACATTGTATTTTAAGATATTTCATGAAATAAATCAAGACATCTTATTTAAAGATATAATGAACCTTATATAATCAATTAATATAGTGTTTATATAATTTGGATAAATAACTTGGTCGCTGTTTCCGTGAATGAAAGAGAATTAGCTTTTTATAGCAGTGTACAATCTATAGCCAACCATAATATTGAGACAAGTAAGGTGTAAGGGTAGACAACTCTTCATTAGTAGTTTGTTGATAGGTGGCGCAGATACCTCACGTGAAACAACATCACCAACATGGCGATCAAATTGTCAACTGTATGTTGTCAGTTTGTTATTGTGTACCTTCTAGTGGTCGAAGGTGCGCTAAATGTGCATAAATTTGAAATGTCTGATGAACTTGAACCAGAGGATCCATTGTCAAGGTCCAGAAGATCTTCAGACAGGAATAGACGAAGTATCGATGCGAAATGCACGGAGCAAGAAAACAACTTTCTGCAAGACATCCTGTCCAAAAACGTTCGGATGGAAGAAAAAGTGATTAATTTCTAAATTGACTTTTTTTTAAAATGACAACATCATCAATACTCTGTTTATCATTGTTTATGTGATGTTATCGATTTGTCCAATGATCACATGAGCAATGGACTACACTAGGCCTACATCAGACAGCCATCACTTTCAGATTTGATACAGAGTATACATCTAGTTCGAAAGTTATAATGTGACGCTTTATTTGAAAACGCGATGTGTCACTAATGTTGTTTAATTCTTTTACGTGATAAATCATACGAGTAAAAGTGATCGATTCGAAAAGTGAGGTAAACAATATAAAAAATGTAGGTCTACCATCCTTCTCTCTATCTTCTTCCTGTTTCTTATTTGCTCCAATAAAGACAGGCCCATATGCTAAGTACAATTGCAGTTGATAGCTACTAAGTGTAACCACAGGCCAATAAATGTTTGTCAGACCAATGATGACATGAAAGGGTTTACAGTAAATTTCAAATTCTGCTATAATATGGAGAATTTGATATATATATATATATATATATATTCTTTGACCGACGAACCATGAAGTTACCTTCCAAACACCTTTATTGGTCTGTAACACATGTTGGCCTGTACTTTATATAGAGATGTACCATTTATTGGAAATGAATTTCATATTGACAAATACCAGTGATGATTAAACATGTAATATCTAGATTGTAGCTCCAACATATTCAAAATGACCCACTTGCTGTTGGCAGGGTTGTGTATCCTGAAAACCAGCAATGATAATGTTATCAAAACAATTTATCTCTTAATTATTATCAGTGGTTCAACATATATTTAGTAAAGAGAGAATTAACATTTCCAATCTGACACACATATAGGTAAGGTTTTTTCTATTATAAGTAATATTAATAAGTATTCACATTGCATTCATGGAAGGCAGTCCTTAAATTACTCTAGCTGTTGAATGACACCTACAAATATATATAACTGTTAGACCTCAAATACAGCTTATTTTCATGGTGTATATGGTCCTTTTAGACTGAGATAATTGATTAATGACTAAAAAGTTTTGACAAACGAGTTGACCTTGATTTTTAAATAATTTAAGTTAAAGCTCATACACATAAAAATATGTGGTATCTAACTCTTTGAAGACTTGTTTTTTATGGAAAAATCTGACACATGTGTAATTTTCAATGTTATATAATCTTTATTCTTTCAGAAAGTTTTTGATACTGATTCAAGCACTAGTATGGCATTAGCATGGGCTGGAGAAAAGGGGGTAAGTTTCAAGATTACTTGTGTCCTGGTTTGCATAAACAAACATGTTCTTGCTTTGTTATACATGACAAAATAATGTGATGTGATGATTTGATCAAAAGAAATTTTTGTTTCATCTGGCAAAATTGGGTTTTTGAAATAATGCTAAACCATCTCTGCCTGTTTTGAAAAGTATAAGCCTTTTTGTGTTGAATAAGTCCATTCTGAATTTTTTTCAAACTTAGTTAAAAAAAACCTTCCACATACACATCAGCAAAACGTGTCCCTGATGCACGAAGCTGAGTTCGTAGTAGGTACTTGTAAATCATGGAAGTATAATCTTAGTCCATTGTAAAATTGTTTATATTCAGTATACTTTGTCATCTCTGCAACACTCCTGACATTGGCATAAACGTAGTAGATGGAATATGATTCTTTGATAAAATTTGTGAGCCAACCACGTTAATTTGTATAATCAAAAGACTTATCAAGGGGGGCAACTCAACATCATGACCAAGTATGGCGTCGCTATAAATAACACAAATCCGAAGGTGGTAATTCAAGGATTTATAGTTTAAGACATGACATAATGATAGTAATTCTCTGTGATTGTCCTTAAACGTAATAGTACTTGAGTTTCTGCTGTCAGAGCCAAAAGTACTATGTATTGCAAACTGAAACGTTGTTTTGTAACCCACTAAAACACCCAGAGCCACATGTAACACACATGCTCTACAGTATGATTGTAAGTTAGACAAGTCCTTTGTCTTGCTTATCCCCATCGCCTCCACACATAGTTGGCACTGGTGCGAGTTGGTGTTTCAGCTGCATTTCAACTGTGTCCATAAGTGGAAGGGATTGAGAGCCTACACTTCGCTGGGGTTTGAGTCCCACAACATTTGACGTGTATTGTAAAGTATGAAATTGTGTACCTGTACATGTTCACATTCTGTTTTCAGCTGTTTATATATATATGCATTTTAATCTAGTGCTGTTGTTTTGATCTGCTATGCAGGGTGTAATGGTTGTAACATCACATGTGACTTCAGATGGCCTTACCGACTCTTCTCACGTGTACAAAAGGTATGTATGATATACATCAGAATGGCCCACATAATGACACAAGATAAGTAGACAAGTGCTATGAAACCAGGTAAAGTATTGTGAAAAAAACTGTGATAAGTGAATATGCAAAGATAGAAATGTAATTTTTTTCTCTCCCATTAAATGGTTTCCAACTTCAGACAACTTTGTTATTCACTTCATATGTTTTACAAAAAAGGTTGCCAAGTTTTTGTTGACATGTATATTATGATCATTTATTTCAGCACTGATTATGGTAAAACTTTTACTAAAGTGGATAAATTAGAGAATGCAAAAGTGAGAAAGCACAATGGCCTACAAAGGAATCCACACAATCCAAACAAGGTATTTCAAGGGTGCAGAAATGCTACTTTCAAGATTTTTTTCAGTTCTTTCATTTTCAATTTGGTATAAAATGTAATTTTTCTTTCTTCTGAATCATCATATTTTTTTATCCTTTGTATATGGTCTTTTTAGCCACACCAGATTACAAAGTGGTGCTTTGTATTTTGTTGGACTTGATGGATTTGATATGAATATTTAATGTTACATGTATATCAGAGGGGCAAGCAGTAGAATGCCATTTACTTGATATCAGCGATACCTTAGTAATTACCATACAAATTGATGAGAGAGTAGGTCCAGGCTTGATAAGTATCCCGACGTTTATGTATATTTGTATCTAACTGGAGACCAGTTAACAGGATTCATTTGACCTGACGATTCTTCCTGTGTTTCAGCTATACCTGGTGGGTGAGAACACAGAGAAATCCTCCATCTTGTTCATCACAGAGGATGGAGGTTTGACATTCCAGACCATCACACTGCCCTTCCTTCTAAGTAATGAAATCACCTTTCACTCCCGGTCACAGTACGAAGACTACCTTATTGTCAAGGAAGTGATTTACGGCAGTAACGTAAGTTCCCACACTGGTGATATAGCATGGGAATCTTGATTTTATAATCAGTTATCTGGTTTCAGAGATAAACTCTGCATGATTTTAAGGGATATATATATATATATATGTATTGGTGCTACACATCACCTTGTTATCATGTTTCCCCTTCAAGTGAAGGATAACATGTTGTGTAAGTACACTATTTAGGAAGGATATGTACACAGGTATCTGCTTCATCAACAGAAACTGTACAATATTCTGTGTTAACAGTAGGTACATAACACTGATCTTTACCCAAAACAATGCCTAGCGATAGGAAAACTTATGGAGGTGAAAAGCTTATCACCCATCTTTCAACCAACCAAAGCCAAATTTTAATGAGTTCAAGATCCCAGAGATTTATGGTCATATTCATTTCCTGGTCATTACTTCTGCAGAAGGTTAGGTAGATAAATGTACATAAGACGAACTGATTGTATAATGTTTACTGCTTTCTGACCTAAATTTCTAACATCAAGGTCACTTCGTCCTTAGCTGAAATAATCAGAAACTAGATCTAAACTAAACAAACTATGTGTAACATAACTGATTTTCTTGTTGGTGTTTGGATCTCCTTGAGCTGGTTCAGTTGAATATGATGTTCGCAACACATGTATAAAGAATAAATTGACCTTTTCTGAAATCAAATTTGGCTCTCCTGAGGTTCTACACCTTGCATATACTTGCCTTAAAACAAATGATCTTCAAATGCCTGCATATTTAAATCAAAATTTTAAGAGAGAGTTCAACCTTTATGCAAAATTTTGAAAACAATTTTGCTATGCAGTGTTATATTTATATCTGTTTATTACAAGCATTATATGCAATATGTAGATGTTTTCCTGTGGTTTAACACTACTTTCACCATACAAACATACATGTAGCAGTGGAGTACATTCATCTGGTGTCAATAGTATGTGTGAGAGAATAAAGTATCTATGTTAACATAATATACTGGTTCTATTTACATTTACCTTTAAAACACCTACAACTGATTATTGTTGGGAGATATGTGTAGCATTTGAACACTATGTGAATTTTATTAATGGCTACCTGCTACCTGTTGCTTTGTTTTAAGTTTGTAAATCTCATTAAAGGATCATTTTGACTTGTGTAATGTTCTGGAGTCTCAACATGAGATGTTTGCTTAATGGTGATAAATCTTCTGACAGGATTCATTAATTTATCACCCAAAATAATCTTTGTAACTGAACTAAATGCTTATTTCAAAGGTATAAAAATAATGTGCATTTTTAGGTCATCTGACCGGAAGGGTCCAGATGACCTATAGCCATCATGCTTTGGCCATTGTCGTCCGCTGTGCGTCGTCTGTAAACTTTTGATTAAAAAAACTTCTCCTCAAATACTTGGCCCATAGCATGCTGGCATGAAGCCCTACAAAGTTTGTTCAAATTGATGACCTTGACCCACTTTCAAGGTCACAGGGGTCAAATATATTAAAATATACAAACAACTTCTTCTCAATAAGCAAAAGTCCAAGAGTGCTGATAATGGACCTGTAGGATGCATGGATGACATGCTACCAAGTTTGTTCAAATGAATGACCTCAACCCACTTTCTAGGCCACAGGGGTCAAATATGTTAAAATATACAAACAACTTCTCTTCAATAAGCAAAAGTCCAAGAGTGCTGATAATGGACCTCTAGGATGCTGGGATGACATGCTACCAAATTTGTAGGATGCTGGGAGGAAGGGCTACCAAGTTTATTCAAATGAATAAAGCTCACTGTTTTTAACGGCAGACTCACTGTTGTTAGAGTTTGGCTTGCTTTTTGTCAGATGACCGTTAAGGCCCATGGGCCTCTTGTGTGAATAATGTTTCTTTTTTTTTAAATGTTGATTTTGTAAAATGTTCTTTCTTTGTACCAATATAAAAGCATTTTAATAACGATCTGGTTTCTATAAATATCAGATAAGTAAGCATCTGTTTCACTAGCGACTTATAGGATAAATGATTACATAGAATGTTATTGGTTATCATAAGGTAACATCTGGTGTAACCTGCTCAGTGTGTCACAGCAGTTTGCAGCTGTGTTGATTCTCACATAACAATGGTAGTGGCTGGGTGATGTGATCAGCGAAATACTTGTTGATAACATAGGAATTATTGGGAAAGAGTGCAATGCACCAAATCAATATACTGATCTGTCACTTTGATGTTATTGTAGAATCAGGTTTAGAATGAATGTGAAGTCCTTATAATCTTTATGCAATACATAAAATTGAAGTGTATAGAAGTATGTAAATAAGGATTTAAAAAAAGGTGGAAATACTGTAAGTGTTATTATTTTTTAAGGAGTTTTATTTTTCACTATTTTCATGGAGTAAATCTGTGAAAAAAAAAGTGAACATTCAGAATAACTGCCCGTGTGAAAGAAGAGGTGTAGTCCCTTACATGACTTTGTGAAAAATACATCCCTTTTGAATGAAGATTTTGGTGAAACTGAAAATTTGAGTTGTGGGGAAAAAAGGTTTTTACAGTAAATGAATTACAAAATAAATAGTTTAAACATAAGTTGAAATACAATAATACATATTATTTATTTTTATTAATAAGCAATCAGATATTGTAACATGTAAGATGAGTGCTGCCCATATAAAAAGTAAAATTAATCATGGGATTCTCATTTATCTTTGATTTCTCACAGAGTAAGGGAAAGTGTTCTATCTTATGACATTATTATTCATATTTTATTGTATTGATTTACCAAGGTACAAGAATCTTAAGAATTATCTGTTGAGAAGGCCGTACAGTTTGTGTACTAATTACTGACAGATGTACTAATTACTGACAGATGTACTAATTACTGACAGATGTACTGACAGGTGTACTAATTACTGACAGATGTACTAATTACTGACAGATGTACTAATTACTGACAGATGTATTAATTACTGACAGATGTACTAATTACTGACAGATGTACTGATTACTGACAGATGTACTGATTACTGACAGATGTACTAATTACTGACAGGTGTACTAATTACTGACAGGTGTACTAATTACTGACATGACAGGTGTACTAATTACTGACAGATGTACTAATTGCTGACAGATGTATTAATTACTGACAGATGGTACTTTGGTACATTTTAGGGAAAGAATAAGCAGTTAATGGTATGTTTGTTAGTATTCTAGCCTTGTTAAAACTGTCTTGTCACCATTGTATGTACTCCAAGAGTTCATTCAAAGATAACCCTGCAAAGTTTGATAACTCCTGGAAATTGAGCATTACTTCAGTTAACAATGCTTTTATTCCTGTGTAACTTCCTGTAATATAAAACAGTTATCCTGTGTAAACAATTCTTTTTATCACTTGTTTTATTATTTAATATAGAATGAACTCTTTGAGAACTTTGTGTTAATGTTGTATAGCCTGTATTTCCCGCCATCACTGTACTTAGTGACCTGGCACTGTACATTGGGATGCATGTATATGGAGAGAGAATGGTATCATGACCATAGCTTGTTGCTAGGTTATTTTGGTAATGTAAAAAGGATGCAGCCTGATCTAGCATGAATCATAGCGATGGGTTGATGAACTGCTGACTCCAATAGTGGTATTCCACTAACAGAAAAGAGAGGGTAGGTCATCCAGTGAGCATACCAGTATTCCTGTACCAGACCTTTGTACATGCTTGCAGCATGACTTTTTTGTGGTGCACATTTGTAACAGTATACACATGTACAACGTATACCTATATGTTTGTAGAGTACCAGTTATTGTGTCTGTTAGAGAAAATGCTAGCTCCTTGGCACATGGCTAATTGTGAGGATGAAATATTCTCTGTTGTGTCACCTGTTCAGCACATAACTGTATCTTTTATGTTTATGTATTGTATGTACTAGTGCTTTTTAGGTCACCTGAGACTACATGTCATGTTGACCTGTTGTGAGCACCTTTGTCTGGCGTCATGTTTCCCTAAACAATTTAACCTTTTTAACTTCTGATCAAAATCCCAAGAACAGATTTCCATGAAATTTTGCAGAAACCTTCCCTGGTGTAAGATGAACCAAAATAGTGAATTACACGGTCCCATCCCCACAGGGACCTAAGGTACAAAAGGGTCAAATTGACTCAGATTTAAAAAATCTTCCTTTAACACTAAGATATGATAGAACCAAATGCTCTTGGAGGATGGAAGCATCTTAAGGTACCGAAATTGTGAATTTCCTGTCCCCAGGGTGCGACATTTCCACATGGGGAGGGGTAAAGTTAACTATAGTTTATATAGGAAAATTAGCATAATTTGTTTAATTTCCAATAGAAATATTTCAAATTTGGTAAGAGTTATGAGCAAATGATGATGGCTAGATGGTATGTACATATTGATCCTGGCTGTCCCCTAGGGGCTTATGGTTGGGGCCAATGGGTGGGGCAAAAAGTGATTAATTGATTCAGATTTCAAAAATCTTCTCAATATGGTAGAGTTATATGCTGGATGGAAGTATCGTAAGGTGCTTTAATTACCAAAATGGGTCTCAGAATTCTTCCTGGATAGGATGTTAATTTTACCATAACTTTTATTAGAAAAATGCATTTTTGAGCATAACACTGTTTATTTCCCAATGGATATAACTTTGTAAGATTTATTAGTATAGGATGACAGTTTTGATGGTATGCATGTATTGACACTTGCTTACTATCATCAATGTCACAATTTCTGTTTCATGACACTTGAAAGCTACTTATCCTTTTAGCCTTTATACCCAATATTGCTTATCTCAGGTGACCGTCAAGGCTGCTAGGCTTCTTGTTCTTGTTCAAGTTGTAGTTTTAAGTCATGTTTAAAAAACATACATTCCTTTCTTACATCACAGTTATAATGTACGTGTACTTAACACTGATTGGAAGGAAAATATTGATCTTTTGTTACAGACATTAAAAATATCACAAAGGTATTAATTATCATTAATGGTTCTAATGTAATAAATAAGTCCAAAAAAGAGTATTTCTAACAAATTCTTTTATGAAAACAGTAAGTAACTAGCACTGCATGTCCACTCATTGTCGATTACAAGTAAAACCTTGTTGTATTATAACAATATACAACAACTCATTGTCCATTACAAGTAAAACTTTGTTACATTGTAACAATATACAACAACTCATTGACGATTACAAGTAAAACCTTGTTGTATTATAACAATATACAACAACTCATTGTCGATTACAAGTACAACTATGTTACATTATAACAATATACAACAACTCATTGTCGATTACAAGTACAACTATGTTACATTATAACAATATACAACAACTCATTGTCGATTACAAGTACAACTATGTTACATTATAACAATATACAACAACTCATTGTCGATTACAAGTACAACTTTGTTACATTATAACAATATACAACAACTCATTGTCGATTACAAGTACAACTATGTTACATTATAACAATATACAACAACTCATTGTCGATTACAAGTAAAATCTTGTTTTATTATAACAATATACAACAACTCATTGTCCATTACAAGTAAAACCTTGTTACATTGTAACAATATACAACAACTCATTGTCGGATTACAAGTAAAACCTTGTTACATTGTAACAATAGATAACAACTCATTGTCGATTACAAGTACAACTTTGTTACATTGTAACACTATACAACAACTCATTGTCCATTACAAGTAAAACCTTGTTACATTGTAACAATATACAACAACTCATTGACGATTACAAGTACAACTTTGTTACATTGTAACACTATACAACAAAATCTTTCTTTTGGTTGCTGTACAATAATAATTATTGTATGTAAAAACAACTTGTTTTTTTTCAATTTTCAGAACCTATACATAAGTACAGATAATGGGAAGACTTGGTCTAAAGTAGCAGACTATGTGGAATCATTTAAGTGGTTCGTAGACTGAGGATGTTTATTATTGATCCAGAAATATTGAGTATAAGTATATGTTTCCATCATGTCATGTCATTAAACATATTTTACTTTATAATAGATAAATGAATATGCTTTGAACTTTCTATACAAATTTATGCAGAATATTTCAACTCTGTCACATCTAGTTTTAGAGATTAGAATTTTTTTGTATACACATTAATCTGGTACAAGGTTAAGCTGATTAAAAAATCTTTTTTGTTTAGGGGAAGTTACTCTTCAGAGCCTGGTGAAACCATCTATGCATCAGTTGATCCTGAAAAAACTCATCCATTTTTCGCTGCTTGTAAGTTTATTTAAAAATAATGCATCATTTATATGAATAAATCTGTCCCTACTTAGGGAAAAAATGATGAGGAAATGGTTGATTCAATAAAATGTTACACTGCATGCCATGAACGCATCTTATTCTTTCTCTATACACAGTTTACCAAGTCATATATGAACTAAGGAAATCAACAGATGCTGGTAAAACCTGGAAGCCCATCATGAAGAATGTGGTATCATTTGGACATCAGGGGAAATTCCTGTATGCCTCTGTTCTAATTCATGTTGGACAGGTGAGGGTACTTGTGTATTGATTTCTTCTCTTGGTGATAACTTTGGAATGCATTTGATATTTCTGTCAGTATGGTTGGAATATGACTATCATGTATTTGAATTAATAAAATAATTCTTACAGAAATCATTGATCACTAAGCAGTAATATTTGGTTATTCTGTTTTGATACAAGACCGAAGTGTAACTCTGCTATCAGTATTTACATTAACAAGTTAAGCTTGGTACAGTAGTACCTTGGCAACCAAACTATATTGAAGCAGTGGATAGGTAGATGTACAAAAGAAATCAAGACATGATAGGTTTGTAATATTTTTATCAAATTATTTGTGAAAAATGTGAAATTTCACTGGATTTTGAGTTTCTAGATTTCTTGAAAATCTTCCGCACATCTGCAGTTGACATTGACTGTCAGAATGTGATTTGTTTGTGTATTTTCATCTACATAAAGTCACAATATAGGACAGATTCAAAACAAGATCCCTGGGTATACAACTCACACAGCCAAGGGCACTACTGTAATTGACTGCTGAATGCTGATGATACAAAGATTATGTTAGAGATTTAGTTAGAATTTCTTCACTTTAAACTTTATTATGGTGAATTACTGATAAATGAAAATTAGAAAAAGGATGCATTTACCAGAACAATATTGTGTTACAATATCAGAAACTGATGTGATGGGCAACTGTTTGATGTTGATATTGGAAGACTTATAAAAAGAATTTTCTTTTAAACATTTGCAGGAACAGCAGCAGCAGTCCTTTTGGGATGCTGATTTGGTAGATAAATATCCACCTTTGTTTGACCTTGGCAGCCTCCCTCCCCCTAAACATTGCCTCTCCTTTGGGCTCCCCCAGGGCATTGGATTGTACCACAATTTTGCCCTGTATAAAAGAGTGATTCCTTACCTACCATTTTGAATAGTTTTACAGCTGTTATCGAGTGGAGCTTTATGTAGTTATGTCATCCCTTTGTCAGCCCCCAGTAACATTACTGCCCGTTTTTTTATAGTGTACAGCTATGGAATATTGTAAAGTGCCAAATACCACATTGAATCTAATACATTCAAAGTTTTTAAAAATTTGGAAAAGTATAAATTGTCATTTTTTCTTTTTAATTAGAATGTTAATCCTTTAACAGAATATAGTCTAAACATTCAAAAAGCTGTTACTGTTACCTGCTTTATTTGGCCCTTGTCTAATCTGGATTCCTATTTTTACTGGCTTTGTTAATAAATCCCAGCCTTAACGCTCTTAAACTGCAGTTAAACTCCTCTGTCTTATGCAAAAACCAGCAACACCCTTTTTTGTCTTAAATCAGCTTGTTTATTCCAATCCCACATATTTTTTGTGGAACAACAATATAAATATCCTACACCTTGAAAATTAATGGTGTAGGTCAACTTGATATTGATTTATAAGGTGCCTATATATTTAGTGATTACAAGTAATTCAGTTGTTATTATAATTCTCAAGTTCAGGTGGTTAGAGATGTTTCATTATAAAGTAAACTGTATTGTACATGTCATGAATATATCTTTTGAAGAAATGAATCTAAAAGGGAAAGTTTTAAAAGGTCCTGGTTCAGGCAGTTTGTATCCTTAGACAAGAGTCTTTACCCCAATTGCTTTTGATTGTGGACCTCAGTTTGGTTTACAAGTGAGGTAAAGAAAACTCCTGGTTGTTCCAAGAGGATAAACATGACAATCAAAACAACAAACAAATGTCTGTTTGCATTGTTTTTGTGCTCCCCGATGCCGAAGGGAGATCATATTGTTGCCACTTTGTCTGTCCGTAATAACTTTGTCTGGAGCATAACCCAAACACTATTAGAGGTATCAACATAAAACTTCATAGGTAGATAGATTTCAACAAGGAGAAGTGCAGTGCATTGGAACCATCACTCTTTTTTGCAAGATTTAGGAGATATTGCCCTTTGTTATTTTTCATACTTAAATTTTGTCTGGAGCATTACACTAAAACTATAAGAGGTTTCAATAGGACACTTAACAGGTAGATTGTTCTCAAAAAGGAGGAGGACAGTGCAGAAGAATCATAACTCTCTTCTTGCCCTTAATTTTGTTGTTATTTTTTGTACTTAAATTTTTTCCCATTTGGGGAGCATAACCTGTATCTGATGGCCCTTCTTGTGTTAATCTGTTGAAACAGAAAACATGTTTATAGACTGAAATAATTAAAATCAAGCTTTTGAGGACTGAAGAATTGTGGAAATTAACAGTTCCAGATGAAAATTGATTGTGTTATTATTGTATTGCAGTCCAATGCACGTATTATGAAGGTATCCCCAGACGGAGGCACCACTTGGTTTGAGGCACAGCTTCCAACATTGGACTCGGATATGGTAGGTCTTTTATAGTCCCAATACTTAAATTTAGTAGTACAGTTGTTTATTTTCACCAGTGAAATATTCTGTACTTTTGTCAGTTTGGGCTGAAGAGTCTGGGGATTAATTTTTTTGACTCTCTTTATGTTGGTATAGGTGAATACTGGCATGTAATTTTAATTTCCAAAACATAAAATCTGATGCAAAATGAAAACTCATTTAAGATCCTATAAGTAGCAAGTAACAAATTGTTATAAGATTATATGCAATAAAATTTCTGCTATGATTTCTGTCTTTCAGTTTTATTCTGTGATGGACATGGAAGAAGACCTTGTCTTTATGCATGTGGATGACCCAGGAGGTTGGTTGATATTTCAGTATACTGTATACCTGGCAGTAACTTAGGACGCTTTCATCTCATTTTGTCATTCGCTCCGTTAAGTCTGGAATTCAGATCTTATTAATGTAGTATAGAGGAATGATTTAGCACAAATTTGGAACGAAACGTCTACTATGAAGATTGTATATATGATTGTGGGGATATTTTGGCTAAGTAATGTTACAGGTTCCACTGCAATGAGAACTTGTATTATTATGAAATTTTATGCAGTTGGAGGTAACCAACCTTTTAAAAAAGACCAAAGACCCCTGCATGATTTATTTTTTATGTTAGTTTCTATAAACTTACTTGACATTGTTACCGCACTGTTGAGCTGTGTTTAATTTTTTGAGTTATGACCATTTTTAGAAGTATAGTTCAGTGATGAACTCTGTGAGAGTACAGGTACCTATGTTGTACTCTAAATGTTCATACAGCTGTTCAGGATATTTTTTAAGGATTTATCACCCTAAAGGGGTTTTAAATTAGTACCCTTGCCCTTACAATTTTACAAATGTAGTCCAGAACTTGTCAAAGTAACCTGCTGTGAACTTGTATTGCTGAAATTGTAAAAATAGTAGCTTCATGACCAGTTAAATTCTACAGTCTATATATAGTCATCATTAGTGGTAATTATACATCATGATTTCCTAGAGATTGATGAGTTAACAACAGGTAACCTGTGATAAATCCTCTTTGATTGTAGACACTGGTCATGGCACCTTGTACACATCTGGAGGGAAGGGTGTAATCTATTCACGCTCCCTGGAGAAACACTTGTACCCAAACTACGGGGATACCACAGACTTTTACAGGATGGACTCGATGAGAGGGGTCTATATTGCCAGTCAGATGAGTGGAGACGACAGCATTCACTCCATGATCACATACAATCAGGGGGCAAGTTGGCAGCCCATCCCACGTCCACAGGGTAGTGTTTGTAAAGATGAAAGTAAGGTATGTTTTCACAATACAATGCTTTTCCTGTTTTTTCTCAGGAAGTAAGGTAAAATTCAAATTATCACTCATGTTGGATACATTGATTTTAGCCTGTCTATTTGACATCTCCTTCAACACCCTTCAACAAAAGGAGGAATAAGAGACCTAATCATGTTCATAATGCTACAAGGTGTTTATTCTGATCTGCTTTTATAAAGAAAACTGACCCAGAGTATGACCAACAACACCAGTTAATACCACAATGTATCTCACCAGATCTGCCATTCTGATCTGCTGTTATAAAGAAAACTGACCCAGAGTATGACCAACAACACCAGTTAATACCACAATGTATCACTAGACCTGCCATTCTGATCTGCTTTCATGAAGAAAACTTGACCCAGGGTATGGGTCTGCCATGGAGGATCTAAGTACATTCAGACAGATATTTGGTACCTTTGAAACAAAATGAAGTAAAAATCAACCTGCACTGCATACAGAAATGATTCATTTGTCTTATTTTCAAACTCAGATTCAATGATATGTGTGCCATGGTAGAATTTTGCCACATCATGAAAATTTCTATGGGTTTTGGTTTTTTTTTTTTTCTTTATCCGGAGTTTTTATCTTTGTTACAGGCTTGTAATTTACAGATTCATGGGACATACAGCATTACACGAGGTATTCTCGCCCAGTCTCCGATCAGTGTTTCTAGTGCTGTTGGTGTGGCTATGGTACATGGTAGGTGTAATCTTTAAAGCTTTTCGATTAACACTCATTTAAACTTGATATCTTGTAATTGGTACAGCCGATTTGCAAATAAGAAGACATCTAAATTGTAGAGGGGATTCAAGCTTTTTTTTTTACCTTATAACAAAAATTACAAATTGCAACATATAAGGAAGTCACAGATATGTCCTGTAATGTAGTATTGGCCACTACTGCTGTCAGGTATGTCAGTGAATACTGACTGTAGTATACAGAAGTGCTGGTTTTTTCTGAGTTCGATGTAATCCTGATATTTCAGGTGATTCTTTGACTCGAGGATGCGAACGTACATTTGTAATATATGTTTAATGTGGTTTTTTACATCCCAGTTGACACATTGTGCATGGCGTACTATGTATATTGTATATTGTACAGAGTTTGTTTCTTACAATTTGGGCACTTTCATTTATCTGGTTGTAATAGCACGCAGGTGGCATGGTTTCGTTCTGCATAAAAGAACAGACTCGATCAGCATTTTCATTCATTTTAGATTGTTTATTTGTTCAACGGGTTTATCCATTACAACTACATAAATGAAAAGGGCCCTTAGTTAGAACTAAGATAAGGAAAGGATATTAAATGACTTTTAACCCTGATACTAACTCAAGTTGATGGTTTGGTATTGTAGGACATGTAGCTGATGCCCTTCAGACTACACACCCGGATGTCTACATCACACGAGATGGTGGATACAAGTGGTTTAAGGTACCTTTACTCAACTTGTGTGATTTGATGTTATTTGTACACAGCAATCAAGCAAAACATGTGGAACAATTTTGTCACTAAGGAATGTATAGAAAACTATGTCTTTTGTCACTGAGGAATGTATAGAAAACTTATTCTTTTGTCACTGAGGAATGTATAGAAAACTATGTCTTTTGTCACTAAGGAATGTATAGAAAACTATGTCTTTTGTCACTAAGGAATGTATAGAAAACTTAGTCTTTTGTCACTAAGGAATGTATAGAAAACTTTGTCTTTTGTCACTGCGGAATGTATAGAAAACTATGTCTTTTGTCACTGAGGAATGTATAGAAAACTGTCTTTTGTCACTGAGGAATGTATAGAAAACTATGTCTTTTGTCACTAAGGAATGTATAGAAAACTATGTCTTTTGTCACTAAGGAATGTATAGAAAACTTAGTCTTTTGTCACTGAGGAATGTATAGAAAACTTTGTCTTTTGTCACTGCGGAATGTATAGAAAACTTTGTCTTTTGTCACTAAGGAATGTATAGAAAACTATGTCTTTTGTCACTAAGGAATGTATAGAAAACTATGTCTTTTGTCACCAAGGAATGTCTAGTAAACATGTCTTTTGTCACTGAGGAACGTATAGAAAACTATGTCTTTTGTCACTGAGGAATGTATAGTAAACATGTCTTTTGTCACTGAGGAATGTATAGAAAACTTTGTCTTTTGTCACTGAGGAATGTATAGTAAACATGTCTTTTGTCACTGAGGATTGTATAGAAAACTTTGTCTTTTGTCACTGAGGAATGTATAGTAAACATGTCTTTTGTCACTGAGGAATGTATAGAAAACTTTGTCTTTTGTCACTGCGGAATGTATAGAAAACTATGTCTTTTGTCACTAAGGAATGTATAGAAAACTATGTCTTTTGTCACTAAGGAATGTATAGAAAACTTAGTCTTTTGTCACTGAGGAATGTATAGTAAACATGTCTTTTGTCACTGAGGAATGTATAGAAAACTATGTCTTTTGTCACTAAGGAATGTATAGAAAACTATGTCTTTTGTCACTAAGGAATGTATAGAAAACTTAGTCTTTTGTCACTAAGGAATGTATAGAAAACTTTGTCTTTTGTCACTGCGGAATGTATAGAAAACTATGTCTTTTGTCACTGAGGAATGTATAGAAAACTGTCTTTTGTCACTGAGGAATGTATAGAAAACTATGTCTTTTGTCACTAAGGAATGTATAGAAAACTATGTCTTTTGTCACTAAGGAATGTATAGAAAACTTAGTCTTTTGTCACTGAGGAATGTATAGAAAACTTTGTCTTTTGTCACTGCGGAATGTATAGAAAACTTTGTCTTTTGTCACTAAGGAATGTATAGAAAACTATGTCTTTTGTCACTAAGGAATGTATAGAAAACTATGTCTTTTGTCACCAAGGAATGTCTAGTAAACATGTCTTTTGTCACTGAGGAACGTATAGAAAACTATGTCTTTTGTCACTGAGGAATGTATAGTAAACATGTCTTTTGTCACTGAGGAATGTATAGAAAACTTTGTCTTTTGTCACTGAGGAATGTATAGTAAACATGTCTTTTGTCACTGAGGATTGTATAGAAAACTTTGTCTTTTGTCACTGAGGAATGTATAGTAAACATGTCTTTTGTCACTGAGGAATGTATAGAAAACTTTGTCTTTTGTCACTGCGGAATGTATAGAAAACTATGTCTTTTGTCACTAAGGAATGTATAGAAAACTTAGTCTTTTGTCACTAAGGAATGTATAGAAAACTTAGTCTTTTGTCACTGAGGAATGTATAGTAAACATGTCTTTTGTCACAGAGGAACGTATAGAAAACTATGTCTTTTGTCACTGAGGAACGTATAGAAAACTATGTCTTTTGTCACTAAGGAATGTATAGTAAACATGTCTTTTGTCACTGAAGATTGTATAGAAAACTTTGTCTTTTGTCACTGAGGAATGTATAGTAAACATGTCTTTTGTCACTGAGGAATGTATAGAAAACTTTGTCTTTTGTCACTGAGGAACGTATAGTAAACATGTCTTTTATCACTGAGGAATGTATAGAAAACTGTCTTTTGTCACTGAGGAATGTATAGAAAACTTTGTCTTTTGTCACTGAGGAATGTATAGAAAACATGTCTTTTGTCACTGAGGAATGTATAGAAAACTATGTCTTTTGTCACTGAGGAATGTATAGAAAACATGTCTTTTGTCACTGAGGAATGTATAGAAAACTATGTCTTTTGTCACTGAGGAATGTATAGTAAACTTTGTCTTTTGTCACTGAGGAATGTATAGAAAACTTTGTCTTTTGTCACTGAGGAATGTATAGAAAACTTAGTCTTTTGTCACTGAAGAATGTATAGAAAACTATGTCTTTTGTTACTGAGGAATGTATAGTAAACTTTGTCTTTTGTCACTGAAGAATGTATAGAAAACTTTGTCTTTTGTTACTGAGGAATGTATAGAAAACATGTCTTTTGTTACTGAGGAATGTATAGAAAACTATGTCTTTTGTTATTGAGGAATGTATAGTAAACATGTCTTTTGTCACTGAGGAATGTATAGTAAACATGTCTTTTGTCACTGAGGAATGTATAGTAAACTATGTCTTTTGTTATTGAGGAATGTATAGAAAACTATGTCTTTTGTTATTGAGGAATGTATAGAAAACTGTCTTTTGTCACTAAGGAATGAATAGAAAACTTATGTCTTATGTCACTGAGGAACGTATAGGAAACATGTCTTTTGTCACTGAGGAATGTATAGAAAACTTTGTCTTTTGTTACTGAGGAACGTATAGTAAACATGTCTTTTGTCACTGAAGAATGTATAGAAAACTTATGTCTTTTGTCACTGAGGAATGTATAGAAAACCTATGTCTTTTGTCACTGAGGAACGTATAGTAAACATGTCTTTTGTCACTGAGGAATGTATAGAAAACTTTGTCTTTTGTTACTGAGGAACGTATAGTAAACATGTCTTTTGTCACTGAAGAATGTATAGAAAACTTATGTCTTTTGTCACTGAGGAACGTATAGTAAACATGTCTTTTGTCACTGAGGAATGTATAGAAAACTTATGTCTTTTGTCACTGAGGAATGTATAGAAAACTTTGTCTTTTGTCACTGAGGAATGTATAGAAAACTATGTCTTTTGTCACTGAGGAATGTATAGAAAACTTAGTCTTTTGTCACTGAGGAATGTATAGAAAACATGTCTTTTGTCACTGAGGAATGTATAGAAAACTTTGTCTTTTGTCACTGAGGAATGTATAGAAAACTTTGTCTTTTGTCACTGAGGAATGTATAGAAAACTTTGTCTTTTGTCACTGAGGAATGTATAGAAAACTTTGTCTTTTGTCACTAAGGAATGTATAGAAAACTATGTCTTTTGTCACTGAGGAATGTATAGAAAACTATGTCTTTTGTCACTAAGGATTGTATAGAAAACTTTGTCTTTTGTCACTGAGGAATGTATAGAAAACTATGTCTTTTGTCACTAAGGAATGTATAGAAAACTATGTCTTTTGTTACTGAGGAATGTATAGAAAACTATGTCTTTTGTCACTAAGGATTGTATAGAAAACTTTGTCTTTTGTCACTGAGGAATGTATAGAAAACTTTGTCTTTTGTCACTGAGGAATGTATAGTAAACATGTCTTTTGTCACTGAAGAATGTATAGAAAACTTTGTCTTTTGTCACTGAAGAATGTATAGAAAACTTTGTCTTTTGTCACTGAAGAATGTATAGTAAACATGTCTTTTGTCACTGAGGAATGTATAGTAAACATGTCTTTTGTCACTGAGGAATGTATAGAAAACTTTGTCTTTTGTCACTGAGGAATGTATAGAAAACTATGTCTTTTGTTACTGAGGAATGTATAGAAAACTTTGTCTTTTGTCACTGAAGAATGTATAGAAAACTTTGTCTTTTGTCACTGAAGAATGTATAGAAAACTTTGTCTTTTGTCACTGAAGAATGTATAGTAAACATGTCTTTTGTCACTGAGGAATGTATAGTAAACATGTCTTTTGTCACTGAGGAATGTATAGAAAACTTTGTCTTTTGTTACTGAGGAATGTATAGAAAACTGTCTTTTGTCACTAAGGAATGTATAGAAAACTATATCTTTTGTCACTGAGGAATGTATAGAAAACTTTGTCTTTTGTCACTGAGGATTGTATAGAAAACTATGTCTTTTGTTACTGAGGAATGTATAGAAAACTATGTCTTTTGTCACTAAGGATTGTATAGAAAACTATGTCTTTTGTCACTAAGGAATGTATAGAAAACTATGTCTTTTGTTACTGAGGAATGTATAGAAAACTATGTCTTTTGTCACTAAGGATTGTATAGAAAACTTTGTCTTTTGTCACTGAGGAATGTATAGAAAACTTTGTCTTTTGTCACTGAGGAATGTATAGAAAACTATGTCTTTTGTTACTGAGGAATGTATAGAAAACTTTGTCTTTTGTCACTGAAGAATGTATAGAAAACTTTGTCTTTTGTCACTGAAGAATGTATAGAAAACTTTGTCTTTTGTCACTGAAGAATGTTTAGTAAACATGTCTTTTGTCACTGAGGAATGTATAGTAAACATGTCTTTTGTCACTGAGGAATGTATAGAAAACTTTGTCTTTTGTCACTGAGGAATGTATAGAAAACTTATGTCTTTTGTCACTGAAGAATGTATAGAAATCTTAGTCTTTTGTCACTGAGGAATGTATAGAAAACTATATGGAGTTTTTATTTTACCTCCAATGACCTTACTGATAATGTGTTTCAGGCTCTGAGTGGCCCTCACCACTACCACATTGCTGACAGTGGCAGCCTGCTTGTGGCACTTCCCTCTGATACCGACAGACCTACGGTCATCAAGTTCTCCACAGATGAAGGACGGTGTTGGCACTCATACACTTTCATAAAAAATGAGACAGAGGCCATTAAATTTACTGGTCTGTTGACTGAGCCTGGCTCGACCTCTATGACTGTGTCTGTGTGGGGCTATCACCCAACTACCAGAAAGTGGACTGCCTATGTATTTGACTTCCAAAATGTCCTCAAACAGCAGTGTAAGTATGCTTTGCAACAACTAATTATAACTTTGGGGCACATGATTTGTGAGTTATTGCTGTAGGTACATAGTTTTTCCATGAAGGTATTTTAGAGCAACTTAAATCATTTTAGAGAAAATTTTATCATTTTAGAGCAAATTTTTATTTAAATGCGGTCACATGTAAATGTATTCTTTAGTTATGCATTGTTTTTTTTTTATTTTGCTGCAGGTACTTCCAACGATTACGAAGAATGGCTTGCACACGAAACTTTACGTAAATATGAAAGTGACTCAATGAAGGGCTGTTTACTTGGGGAGAAAGAGAAATTCAAGCGGTTAAAACAGGACTCTTGGTATGAACTTAATGATAGATTCATATCACTAAGATATATTTTCACTAAATTTTTGTTCAGAATTCAAGGATTTTGTAATGTGTGATTTAAAAAAAGTCAAGTTTTCCTGAATTTCTCTTTATGAAAGCAGCATCCATGCTTTTTATTTTTTTTGCAGGTGTCACAACGGCTATGACTACACAGTAGAAAAAGATATCCAGCCTTGTACCTGTTCTAGAGAAGATTTTGAATGGTGTGTTGTCTTTATCCAGGAGTAGCTTGCTAGACACCAGTATCAGATATTGTATTGTCTGAAGTAATGTTTCACATACTCTTCTTAAATATCTGTCCTTAATGAAAGGAAACCATCAGAACAAACAATTCAAATATGACTGGGATATAAGGCATTACTATGAAATCAAGAAATACAAAACCACACCAACAAGGAAAAAAAAAGAACCACTAAAACATTTGTTTGTTTCAGAAAAGTTTTACATGATCGAATTGAAATAAGCATGGTAAGCTGGTTAATCAAATTGTGAAATTAGTGCTAAACCAAGTCCTACTGTATGTTGCTAGCAGTGAATAATGAATTCATCATTTACCTTAGAAATATGTCTTCTTTTTACAGTGACTATGGTTATTTTAGACCAGTTGGTGGCCTCAACTGTCTAAGAAACAAGTCCATGGCTGTCTTGGATATATGTATGCAGGGAAGAGAGGAGGAAGTTATTACAGAAGGGTGAGATGTTAGATTGTCAGTTTGACAACAAAATGTCAATGTGACAACAAACTGCTAGTCTGACAAAAAAAGCCAGTGTGACTCTCTCAGAAGTCCTAATACAGCAATTTATGTAATGATTTGTATAATTTACACAGAGGAAAAATCTTTTTGGCTTAACGATGGTCCTATCTATTACCCTATCAAGTTAATGTGAAGATATTGATCTTGTTGTTATCTACCCTAAATTTTGCATCGTGATTAATGCCAGCTCTACTTTACACTTGTTTATTTGTGTGCGACCAAGCACGACCAAGCACTGACATAGAATTTTAATGCTTATATATTTGATAACTTGTAGATTTAGAAAGGTTCCTGGTGACAAATGTGAAAATGGTTTCTCGCCGGTTGGTAAAACAATAAATCTGGACAAACATTGTAAGGAAGGTGATAAGAGCATTCTTGGCGTGGGAATTAAAGTAGTAAGTATTTAAACTGCTGAAGTGACTCTCAGCACAAATCTGTGTCATTTATACATAGTATACCTAGTCAAAGTACTTATAATAAATGTTCTGTCAGGTCGTAGCACACAAAGTATACCTGGTCAAGAAACTTATAATAAATGTTCTATCAGGACGTAACAAACAAAGTACTTTAATAAATGTTCTATCAGGACGTAACATACAAAGTATACCTGGTCAAAGTATTTATAATAAATATTCTATCAGGTCATGACATAAGAGCTGTGAGATCTGGAATTTTAGGCAAAAGTAAAAAAAAATATTTATCAAACACATATAATTTTTGAAAGATAATGAGATATCCCCGAAATTTCAAAATATTCAAGCAATACATTTATGATTTAGAGAGAATACATATCAGCAACATCCATATGATGAAATTAACTTTGTTAGGTAAAAAAAAATTGAATTTCATTCATTACTTGTGTTATATTTCTCTTTTGATGATAAGAAACTTATTCAGGAAAATGTAAGACTGAGGATTCAACTTGCGTATTTCAGAAAAAATCAGGCCCCAATAGCATGGTGGTGGCAGCTATTGTTATGGTGGTCATTCTCTTTGTGGTTCTAATGTCTATCTACTTTGGTTACAAACTCTGGATCATACGTAAACAGTGAGTATTCTCCAACACTCCTACCTCTGAGACAAACTATGGATAATTTGTATAACATAGGTATTGCCATACACTCCAACTTTAACACAAACTATGTATCATCCAGGATGTCATTGCTGTTGCAGACATTGGAATGTAAAAGATCTCTAAATCTATATACTGTCTTGTTAACTTACTGGTACAATATATGTGTGCTGAAGGTTCGTGACAGTGTGATTCGGATAGTGATTTGGTAAAGTATTACATTCCAGTAAAACTGAGGAACTAATTAATTTGAATATTACTTTACAGTCGTGTGGTGTATCGTTACTCCCTGTTAAACCAGTCTGAAGCAGGAGACTATGACAATGAGTTTGAGAACGCCTTATCACCAAAGTCTGTTGTTTATCAGGATTCTTCTGATGATGAGGTATAGAATTTACATATCTGGTATGAATTATTGAGTCCCCATTTGCTTATTTTGATTAAAAATCAGAAATTTTGAGTAGCAGTTTTGTAATGAGCCTTTTCCTACCACACAATTATTCAATATGTCCCCCAAACGAAGTGGGGGGACATATTGTGTTTGCTCCGTTTCTTCTTCTTTTTATTATTTATATTATTTGTATTTCTTCCACTTTCTTCCACCAGCGAGGTTTCTGACGCGTTTCTCAAAAACAATTGCATGGAATTTAACAAAACTTTACACACATATTCATACATGCGAGGTGGAGTGCATGCCACTTGAATTTTTCCAATCGGTCATCTGAGCGGTCAGCTGTGGTCTAAATTTGGCCAAATTATAAATATTGTCTGATTTTCGTGAAAATTGGTATATATGTATTAGGTGGCACTATAGGAGAAAAATGGCGTAGTCCATTTTGCATTCAGCCATCGATCGATCATCTGAGCTGTCAGATGTGGTCAAAATTTAGCCAAATTTTAGATATTGTCCGATTTTTGTGAAAATTGGTATAGATGTATTAGGTGGCACTATAGGAGCAAAATGGTGTAGTCCATGTTTGGCATGACTGCAGGTCTGATTATTGTGATCATTTACTGCTGAAGGGGTCGTTTAGGGGATATTTGTAATGGTCCTCATTACAATTAGTACTTGTTATTCTTGTCATAGGGCCTACTATGAAAATATAGATGATAAATTTTAAGCTGCATTACCTATTTTTTTATAACAATAAAATTTTTAAGATTGATTTGTTAAAATGTAGAGAAATTAATGAAATATGTTCTGTCTTAAAAGGAGTTGAATTCTCCAGCAGTAAAGAAAGATGTTGCAAACAAGAAAACACATGGTGGTTCCTCTAACTCCAAGGCAGGAAATGGCCATGTATTCCAGCCCTACCATGACGACTCTGATGTAGTAAGTACTCTCTACAAAATTGTGATCATGAGGAAAGTCAGAGGCTCACATTTAAAAAGATGTGAACTTAACGAGGAAAGGTATTGTTATTGCAATAGATAAGACAGGCTTGAAAAAATGTAACCTGTTGTTGATAAATATTGTTCTTGTATTAAAGCCAGAAGATCAGAAAAGTGTGACTTATTGAGAATAGAAACTGAGGTGCATTTGTCTGGGATAACCTTGTGTACAACATATTCTATTACTTACTGAACAGATTTTGTTTATATTTAAACTATAGTATCATAACTCCAAGTTCTATACCTCATTAGATTTTGGTGGTCATTGGTCAAGGCGAAAAGTGACCACTTTGGAAATGAAAGCTGGAATACAAGATATCTCATGAATCCCTGAATAGATTCAGTTTATGTTCACACCAGGGGCATCATTCCCTAGTGTTGCTACCATATCAGTATTGCAAGACCTTGCTTATGCAAAAATAGAATCACTGCTCTTTCAGCGATTTTGTCCAGTTTGCAAAAGTTATTGCTTTGTGTACTTCAGAGTGCTACCCCTTTGACATAAACTGACCAAATGACACCAGTCTTTAGGTACACAGCTCCCAGTCCCAGAATAGTACAGCTGAAAAAGGACACTCCTGCTTAACTTCTTAAATACATGACTGAAAACTTACCAATCAGCTGATTTATAAGACAGATCAGAAAAGCAAACTGACAAACAAGTGACCATTTGGTACATGTTTTTGACAGCTACATTTGAGAGGAATTTTTGAATTTCATTTAATGTAGAGGATAAAACAGAAGAAAGAACTTTCAAAAGAATTAATAAAGATCAAACAATGGAGTGTCCCAAAATCCCTCTGGAATTTCTTGCTTGAACTTTCTCATTAGCATAGTCAATGGATATTTATTGTCACAATAATGCCTTTTTAGCCCACCATCATCAGGTGGGGTATTCAAATCGCCCTGCGTCCGTGGTCCGTCCGTCCGTCCGTCCGTCGCGCAACCGTCCGTAAACAATTCTTGTTACCGCTATTTCCGTCCGTAAATTTCACAATTCTTTTTTGTTACCGCTATTTCTGGAAAAGTACTGGATTTCTGATAAAGTACTTTCTCAAATTTCATATGCAGGTTCCCCTGTGTCCCTTGTTGTGCATTACCTTTTTTGTACCTTTTTTTGGATTTTGGATGTAAAAGTTTGTTACCACTATTTCTGGGAAAGTACTGGCCGAAATTTCATATGCAGTTTCCCCTTGGCCATCTTGTACCTTTTTTGGATTTTGGATGTCTTGGAAAAGTTTGTTACCGCTATTTCTTGGAAAGTACTGGATGGATCTTTCTCAAATTTCATATGCAGTTTCCCCTTGGTCCCTAGTTGTGCATTGTACCTTTTTTGGACTGATTCGAATTCAAGATGGCCAACAGGTGGCCATCTTGGATTTTGGATGTAAAAGTTTGTTACCGCTATTTCTTGGAAAGTACTGGATGGATCTTTCTCAAATTTCATATGCAGGTTCCCCTTGGTCTTTTTTGGTCCCAACAGATGGCCATCTGTGGATGTAAAAGTTGTTACCGCTTTTTGGAAAGTACTGGATGGATCTTTCTCAAATTTCATATGATGGCCCTAGTTGTGCATTGTACCTTTTTTGGAGGTGGCCATCTCTTGGATTTTGGATGTAAAAGTTTGTTACCGCTATTTCTGATAAAGTACTGGATGGATTTTTCTCAAATTTCACATGCAGGTTCCCTTTGGTTCCAAGTTGTGCATTGTACCTTTTTGGACTGATCCGAAATCAAGATGGCTTCTTGGATTTTGAGAGTAAAATCTTGTTACTGCTATGTCTGAGGAAGTACTGGATGGATCCTTCTGATATTTCATAGATATTGGTTTCCCTTGGTCCCTAGTTGTGCATTGTACCTTTTTGGGACTGATTTGAAATCAAGGTGGCCCACAGGCCGCCATCTTGGATGTCGACAGTAATACAGCACAAGCATATTGTCCATTATCCACCTGTAACTGACTGCTATCTAATAATACTTTGGGATCTTTTTCAAATGATATTTGCTAATAAGTGCTTAATAAAAATATCTTGTGCCATCATTGAGTACATTCAATGAAGACCAGTTCATGAACATTTACAACACCTGTAACAAACAAAAAAAAAATGAATAAATCTTCAAGAACTGAAAATAGATCCTCAAATCGTGGGCGCCAAGATCCCTCTGGGATCTCTTGTTATACAATAATGCATTTCACTTTAGCATAGGACAGGTTGGACTGTTTTAGCCCAGGGTATTCTTGTTATGTTAAGTAACAACTGCTTGTGTCTGCAAATATCTCTGTTTTGTTTTAAATGTTGTCACTTTGTTTGTAGGACATGCTTAACTGAAGGATGACTGTGATAAGACTTTGCTATTTCCACGTGGAGCTACATTCCAGTAATCATGTGATAGAGAAGATGGTGGACAGTCGTCATGTTCTAGAGTACAGCATCCATTACCACTGTGTCCATACACTACATTTTTATTTCAAGATGTGACCTTTATTTTGTATGGCCTAAAATCTTCACCAAGTCCTTGCCATTTATTAATCCACTGTGTTGTTTTTCCATCCTTACCCTTGTTTCCGAAGGTTATCTGAAAATCCTACAGTGTTAAATTCTTGAAGTGTAATATAGTGATACAATTTCCTATATAGATTTCCAGTAGGTGTTTTATCATGTTCCAAAAGTTAAGGATGTATTTTCTAAAATTTTAACTGAGATACACGATTTAGAAAAAGAAATATGTAAAGTCATGCAGACCGGAGCTTGTTTGTGATTTTGGTTTCTTTAAAGGTGTCCAAAGCTATTACAGGTACCGTCTTAATTACTGATACTTGTCTCAGGTATACTTCTGTATTTAGCTGTTTGAAATGATATTTGTGCTAGTCTCAGGCAAAGAAGGAATGTCTCTGTATGATAGTCAAATGAAAATGGAGATTTTCGTAAGGCATTTAGCACAATTACAAAATTTATTCGAATATAGAAGATATTTAATACTCATAGCTGGACAAAATATTTATTAATTTTTTTTTGTATTAGCTAGTGTTGTTACAGTGTGTGTACCATAAATTTCCTGCCATAAAACCAATGTTCTATTTAAAGCTGTTGTCCTGTTATAAAAGACTTTTGTGCATATCATGAATGTCCTAAGTAGTCCCAGACATTTTATCTTAATTGTTGGTCAAGGGTGTTGTCATAGTGGTGAGATATAATCCATGTACGCCGAGGGTTAACACAGGTGCATTAGGATCTTAATTGTCAGCCAAGGATAAAGTGGTGAAATGTGCTCCCAAGGTTAGCACCTGTAAACTATGACCCTAGTTCATTGTCGATGGAGGGTGTGGTGGAAGTGGACATACATCATTCATAGCAACAAATCAGCTGTCTTTGATTTACAGACTTGTATCTTGTAAAATTTTGAAAACGTCGCTACATTATCTATTGAAATATGAACAACTGTACCTTTGTAACCACTAAGCCAAATATAATCAGACTTGTGTTCCATTGCTTTCGCTTTACCAAATATATAATAACTGATGTACTATATCTGAGATTTCAATTATCCTCATTAAGGGAAGTAAAATATGTCTTTTAGGAAGAAATCTTTGGCTCCTACTAGTCTGGCAACAGTTCTTTGATTCTGTACACAACAGCCCTGAAATATCAAAAAATCAAATGCCAAGGAAATTTCAAACACAGGCATAATATTGCTTTAAATTTGATTTTATTTAGTTTTTATCAGGGTGGTAGCAGAGAAGAGTTATTTTCATATTTCAAGACATTGGATATGTGTACTTACATAATCAGCATGGGAGGGAAACTATAAACATCTATCAGTGTAACAAAGATTTTGTTGTATGAAATTTTCTGATTTTGAGCTCATCATGGCTTTCCACCCTACTTTGTTACTGCTCTGTATGTATATCTATACTCTGTAATATAGCACATATCTTAGGCTGTCATCAAAATATTGTCCTCAGGTAAGGGAGACAATCGAAAACCATACAGAATTTTAACTTGAGCTAATAGAAGCTCAGAAAAGAATTCTGTCTCTAGCTGACTCCATATTCTTGTTTCAAAATAACAGTCATTGACTACAGTTATTGGAAATCACTTAGATCTTGAGAATACTTTCATGAACATACCTCTTCAGACATATTTCCAAATACATGATTTTGTGATTTGGATCTAGAAATGATTTTAAATTCATGAATGATGAGCTATTAGAGAACTGGATTTTGAAGGATGTTGTTATTAGTAACCAAATCAACATGGATGCCATCCAGAGTTAATATTGTACAAATAATTGTAAGGGATTTGAATTCACAATAGACTCTACTGGTGTACTAACACAAAAATAAACCCTGTGTGACATATATTTTCAGTGATCCACAGTATTAGTTTCCCTTATGCTGATGACTGCTTTTGGACGTATCTGCTCTATTGTATGTTAATTTGTACTTGTGATTCATCAGGTGTTTTTCTCTTCCTTGTGCCACTACCTTATCTAATCCAGAAAGTGCAATCATGGAACATGTTATTGTCTTTATATGATGTTAATGCAGGAAAATTTGCAGTGAAGTACGAAATGTTTTGTCATTTATTTGCTCAGATTGTTGTACTGATTTTTTGTTGATAACTCTGCTTTGAATTTCTTTTTTTATTTTTGTATTCTGTTGGCATCAGTAGAACATCATTGAAAGATTATCTTAAGACCACTATATAAAACTACATAACACTACAAGCTTGCTTGAGGTTTGTTAGAATCATTTTGGGCTCCATGTTTTACCTCTATGAATATATTTTAGTACATGATGATCAAAAGAGAACTTCGTCTAAACTGAAATGTGAAAGTGCATTAGAGTTTCATTTATTGGAAGAAAGTGCTGAAATGAATATCATGTACTTACAAGTGTTGTGTGAACAGTCAGGGTCCTGAATGTACACATATTTTACTGATCAAATATTGATTTCATCGTTTTGTATTGCTGGGAGATGAAATATTGCTATATTGTATCTATATTATGTTATCACTTTTTCTTGACATATTTATTTTAAACCTTTTTATGTTGTGTTTACTTGCTCACTTCAGTTCTGTCTTTGTTTACCTCTGAGTGATGTGTTGGACACAGTTTGAATGTGTAGTTGGTGTACTCTATAAATAAGCTTAGATTAAACTATTAAATGGGATATTGGTTTTGTTGTAATAACTCATATGTACATATCATTCTCGTGAAGTTGACACTTAATGCATTTACTTAGGATTTCTAGCCTCAGTTTCATTAATCTTCTATAACTTAGGGAATTCCTTAACATTAAACTTCCCATAGGAGAGCATAACATAACTTAAGGAAATTTCCTTAAATTAAAATTTTTCCTTATTGTATGTAATGGTTTTCTATGGTAATTAAGATTTCCTTAAAGAAGATTCATGAAAATGGGGCCTGTGTTTATAATATTGATGTGTCAAATAGGGAGCTGGTTATCCTGGTAGATGTTGTAAGTGTAGAAATATTTGATAATATGACTGATATATTCATTTTATACGTTTCCATTAAAAAATATTGCTGTTGATAAAATATAAACATGTTATTTGCTATATAAACTTTAGGTTTACTGTAACAAGTTTGTAATGATTGGTCCTAATTGAGAACCATTTGCAGTATCATCTTCAGTCTTTATCCAGTTTTTTTTTTGGTGATGGTTATGGTTTGAAACTTTTCATACTGTTATTTCTTCAGTAATGGTAAGCAGATGTGATATATAGATACAGACTCTTTTCCTGTGGTTTCCTATATATAGTTTGAATCAGATTTCTAGACATTTTCCTGTGGTTTCCTATATATAGTTTGAATCAGATTTCTAGAGAGAGCCTCAGTGTATCTCTTCAGTGCTTATTGAATGCTACTGTTCATGTTTTGTTTTATATGTTCCATCCAGAATTTGATCATTTTGACCGATTAAAGGTTATTGATTTCTGTAGATATATGATAATACTATTGAATATGGACCCAGTAGTGTGTGAGGTATAAGGTTGTGCTGGGGGAAGAAATCCATTTTTATCACATTGGCTGTGTTATTCAGTGCATGTACCCATGTAGCAATTTTGTGCATCAACCAAAGTATTATGACCTTTTGTGATGTCTGGGTATGACGGTTTTTAGTGTCACTTATTTGTCAAATGCATAATGACTTCACAATTAAGATCATAGGAGGAGAGACAAGATGAATCCAAAAATGACATGGAGAAAACATGTTTTTTTGTAATATTTGTAAGAATAATCATTCATGTGAAAGGATCTTAAATTTGTTTCCATTTCATATACACTTATTAAACTAAGTGTTTTGTAGAATACCATCAAAGATCCTATATGTGTAACTGTCTGTGTATACTGTGTTGCCATTTCAGTTTTCAATTTTTATATGAATATTTATTTGTCACCAGATTTGTCAGGTTATCCAAGTTCTGAATTCTGAAAAATTTATTGTAAAATAATGATACATCTGGTTTGCAGAGACTTCTAGATTGCAGGCCCCAGTTGTTCAAAAGCTGGTTAGAGATAACCAGTGGTTTGTGAAGATTTTCAACCATGAATGAAACAAAATTGGGAATTGTCTTTATTATAGATTTGCTGAGACAGGTCAGATTGATGTATTCTGAGAGTTAATTTAGCCTTGAATACTCTTATATTTTCAGTGGCAACAATTTTTCACTAACTACTGGTTATTTCTAACAACCTTTGAGCAACAGTCAAACATTGCCTTTGTTGGAACAAATTATGCTGGCTGGTTTACATGAAAACCGAGACGGACAGGAATCTGGTACAGATAGAATGCACTGAACTGTCATATTCAGGTTCATATAACAGTGTTCAAATTTTTGTAATAGAGTTACAAAGTGGTCAGTATAATTTGTTTTGGACAAACACTATTCAACTCTGCAGCTAATCAAATACAACATAGTAATTGGTACACTGTTAATCATAATGTTCTTTTTAACCTGAAGTGATACATTATTTAATACCTTAAACTATTATCAGTAGCAAACACTACTTTCTCAAATCAAATCACAAACGTTTTATAACATGGTCCTTAATTTTGATTGTTGGTGTTAGGATTATTTCTGATAACATTAAGTCTGTAATGAATAAGGCACTTCAGATATGTTTTAGTTTTCACAAGACTATCTGGGAATTTGTTTGTTATGTGATGAACAGAATCTTTCATTTGTTTCCAATTTTGTATTTGATTGATGTAATTGGTGATAATTTTCTCATGTTTCCTCCATTTTGATGGGTTGTCATATAGAGTTACTCATGTCCTTGGCGTTGGGCAACATTCTGTCTCTTCCTATCATGAATGGTGTTGTCCCTCTATCAAGGTCATTTCATGAGGGATTTTGATAAATTTTTATGCTATTGAAAAAGCAATACATCATATCTCAAGGTCAGGGTCATCATAACTATTTATAGAAATTTGGAAAAAAACTTATGGTTATAAACATCAGAAGCTTTCCTAGTTTTATTAGCAGCAGCTAACTCTGGTGAACTGTTCTAAGGAAATGTAATCTTTTACCAATTACATGAATCTCATTGAAAGATGGAGACTTGAAGGATGTTCAGTAAGACTGTTTGAAGTTTATATAGTATGTATTTATAAAAGAAAGTTAAAAATCTTGAAACTTGTATTTCTCCATTCATGACATGTTGTGAATTTTTTCAATTGAATAATGTGTAACAATTTACATTTCAAAAAAGTTTGTAGATGAAACTAATGGTAAAAGTTTCAGCTTAAGTTTGATGGATTTTGATAGCATTAAATGTGTCTTCCGTAACTAATGGTAACGAAATACATGTAACATGAAATTTACATAATATGCAGGCACTGTAGCATATGTTTAACAGTATGTATTTATAGAATTTTGTCATTTTTGTTTGTAATTTTTTTTCAAAGATAAAATGATCTGCATATATGAAAACAAATCTGATGTCGACTAAAACCAGAAATATTCTTCAGACTTCAGATACATGTCTGCAAATGTTTCATCATAAAGTTTTTACAGTGAGCCTGTTGAATTTTACCTGGTTTGAATGTTAAAGACAAATTTGGAAGTCACTTGCCTGTATTTGTATCAAGGACGCTGCTGAAATGTTGAATCCATTGATGATGTCATAGTTTCAACAGAAGTAACCTAAAGCACATCGTAATGTATTATATAAGGTTGCATAATTTATTTGAACATAATATGTACATTACATGATAAGTAAAAAAACCTACATGTAAATACATGTACTTGTCTCACAAATTTGACTCATACCAGGTGAATGGTTTATTTGTGGGATGGTCTACTTGTTCATGATGAAAAAGAAAAGTTTTGTGTTTTTAATTTTTTTTTTATTCCTAGAGAACTGTGATAGACCTGTTACCTGTATGAACATGAACACAATACCAGTTTGCTCACATTTACTGTCAAGATCATCAGTTCTCTTAGTCACATACATTTCTCATTAATATTCATGGAAGAAAAGAAATCTCAAACTGTTCTGAAGGTGGTTTATGAAACCTTGCATTAGGATTTTGTATGGCAGAATTCACATCTATAACACCTGATATGCTTATGCTAATTGCTTGTGACATGGAATGGTTTGTTGTTTTATTTAAGGTTTAATCATCTGCCCAAGTCATTGGTATACCCGGTATGTGACTTTTTTCGTTCAAAATGTTTTCAAAAGTCAGCATTTGGGAAATGGCAAAGGTTTTACTTCAATTTTAATCTAAATTTTACAGTGTAATCATAACAAAGAGAAAAAAATGTGATTATGGTATCTGATATTATTTCTAGCCAAATTTGCAAAATTATGAGAAAAATGTTTTGTCTCTGAAAATTGAAGGAAAAAAGAAAAAAGACTTGACTGTATGACACTGCAGCTGACTATCTGGTTGCTGTCGTATTAATTGCAGGTGTCATATGTGAAATTCATTTGATTTAAAAATATGCAATAAATATGTAATTATTATTGTGTTGCCTCTTATATATTCATGATACAACAAAACACAGGACTATGAACATCACCTTTCTGAAAATATTATTTAGATCCTTTCTCGGATGACTTAATTTTTCCATCAGTGTTACAACACATTCAGTATACAAGTGAACAAGGATAAACTTTTATTACTAATGATTAAATCTATTTCAGTTATGATGAGGTATTAGTGTAATTTTATCTCTAGACAGAATTATTCTCACGGAGGATGCATAGAGATTCTTTTGTTGTAGTAACACACTTAATCCAAAGCTTAGTAGCTAGTTTTCAATTTCTAAGACGATGGACTTTCCATTGAAAAGAATTTAGTTTCTTCTCCATGCCATGAAGTGGCTAGGGCATCTAGTGTGTTGCCTTAGGCAACAATTCTATCATAATGTGGTTTCCACTGATTTACTGTCTTAGAGTGTTTCCTAAAATTACACACAGAAGTAACACCAGGGTGTTTGTCCAGGATTAAGTAGTCTGATTGGATACTATAACAATGGCCATGGTTTGTGGGGTTACTGTAGATTTCTAATGAAAATGCTTTTTGTCTTTACTGTAGATAATGCTGATGACAAATACAGGATTTCGGGTTAGAGGAGGCACCCTTTTTTTCTAAAACTTCAAAAATTTACAATCAACCCCCAACCCAACCCCCAACCCACTTTTTTTTTTAAGTTTCTGCCTCCAGGTTGTAGGATCCAGGGTCAAAGCCTCATGAGAGGGTTTAGGGGGTGAAGCTGGAAAGAAGTCAGGATGGCGAGACAAATCATAAATTTTATGAAAACAATATTACGCAGCAACATATTTGTGTAAAGACAGCTACGCGCCTGGAGGCCCATCGTCCGGCTATTGCATCCTCCAAAATGATAGACATCAAAATATCTTATTGTTATAATTTTTTGCGGAGAGCTGAAGATATTATTCTCTTCATTTATAGATTTTTCTCTGTTCGTAGCTTGGCAAAGGTCATTTAAGGACTGCAACATCGATTAGATAAAAACTGCTCCTTGGATTTCAAATGAAAAGGCTTTTCGTCTTTTTCTCTTGTCTAGTTTTGTGATGATTAGAAAGGTAATATGATTTAATCAATCGATATTCAAGTCTGTTCTTATTTTCTTAAAGGGGTGAGAACTGAAGAACATCTAGAGGTAGTAAAGGTAAAGATATTGGTCGATTGATAGTTATGAGCTCTATTATTTCCTAAATATTTAAGGCTGTGTACCGGAAGACTGGTTTTGTTTGTCAGTTTATGTTGAAAAGTTGAGGTTAAAGTATGCAAGGCAACTTTCTTTTGGAAAATGGACAAAATCGCTAAAAGATCAGTGAAGAAATATCTTTACTGATATGATAGCAACACAAGGGAATGATGCCCATTCGTATGATACAATGAAAAGGTGGGTGGCGGAATTAAAGCGTGGCAGACAGAGAATTGGAGATTACATCCATCCTAGAAGGCCTATTACTGTTGCAACCCAAAAAATATTCAATAAAGTCCATGATAGTGTGATGGGTGACAGGCGAGTTTCAAAGAAATATATAGTCAGTACATTCCATTCTTACGGAAGATCTTGTATTGCGAAAGCACACCAGGCGGACTTTGTCGCGTGCTAATTTGAACATTTTAGAGGCAGATCACGCTAGTTTTTTGCAGGGCTTTTAAGAGATTAAAATGAAAACTGATCTGAAGGTTTGTAAATGAGCAGAAAACATTTCTTTGACTCGTGGAATAATCTTGTCCTGTCTGATGTTTTGAGTGGCGAATGGCGAATACATTGCCACCGAAAAATGCTTCTAACATTTTGAAATTCACTTCACTTTTAAATCTTTCCGTTTGAGTATTTTGGAACACTTTCTTCAGGTTGATAATGCCAATAGAATATAATTTCTTATAATACAACTAGTAGAGTTGAGTTTTAAGAACTCTCATTCTTTCCGTTGGGGTACGTTAGTTCACTAGTTCACTTAATGGTTATCTAAATTGAATGTAGAATGGATAAACTAGTTACAGAAATATAGAATACAAAGATCGAATCAAGAAAATTTTGCAACGTGCCTGGCGAAGAGTTTTAAATCCGAATTCTTCAGCATTTGTGTGTCATATATCAATTCAGGTCTGAATATTTAATAATTTCATATACTCGTTCATTAAATGTGTTGTTAGATATTTTTGTTTTATGGTTACGCGATATGTTATCAAGCGCCAAAACAGATATCAAACAAGCATTATGTACGTACATTGTGTCAATAATTGGGAATATGTTGCTCCAAACTTCCTCGTCTAAAATGGCAATCTGTTTGCCTTTCGAAACATAATTGACACAGTTGTCAAAATTACATATATTCGTATTAAAGTCCGATAATCCTTATTTTAGATATAGTACCGACGAAATAAACGGGATGCATTTTAATTTTAAAAATATTTTATTCGTTAATGATATCCAAGAAGACATAGAATAAACAGAGCTGATCAATTCTTTTATTTTTATAGTTTCGACTACTTGAAGTAAAGGAAGGATAACGTATTAAAGTTACGTGATACACATTTTTAGATGTTACACACATGTATGATATGTCTAATATACGTTTGTTTGACTATGTATACACGTGTACATAGAATTAGTCTTTTGCAACCACAAACACGGTGTCACAGTTATCTCCCTTCGTTAACCTTCGCCTTGGTTTAGCCTCGTTTGGAGAACTCCAACTCCATCACCATGTTCTCCCGGACAGCTCGAGTTTTCGTTCCACAATGGTTTGTTTAAACGCTATATTGTATTTTTTAACAAAGAGTCAACTGATAAAATGCCAACGAATCCATTTACAGATTGCATATACCATCGACATTTGCTTGTATCGCTATCTGCCAATGTTTGAGTTACCGGCAACATGACCTCTAACAACTCATTTCGAGAACGGGGGGAGGGGGTCACCTTTCCATTATTTTTATGGTCAAAACTACTCTTTATCTGATAAAAACAAAAATATGTAAGCCATAAATGTACATACCTGCTTTGAAAATGCGTTTTTATTACCAGTTTGATTAATTACCTTCATGACATTATGTGCCGAAATGTCCTATCAATGCTATGTTTACAGTGCTCATTTCGTTTATCAGAGTGGCACCATTCTTCGTTTTAACAAGGTCCATTGACACTTTAATACATCTAATCATTGTAAAGAATATAAATCACGTGAATTCGTACACATACAGAAGGTCCAGTACATTTGAAGAATGATTTATTTGCAATTGGTTCGCAACCTCGTTGAAGATCATAGGCATGAGTTTGACATTCATAACCAATGGAGGTTTGTGTTCCTTAGGATACTGATAAAGGGATCTGTCCATGCTGCCATGGCTGGGGCAAGACACTTTACTCCAGTCGTAGATTGCTAGTCATTGGCCTTCAGTATGATATTCAGTGAATAAGCTGTAAGCTAATACAAGGAGGCATCACCTCAAAATGACCCAGACTGTTCAAAGGGCAATAAACCCAGCAATCCATTAACCTATCTCGGTACCTTAGGAAATATCTGTATTGTCATCAGTGATTTTTTTAAAAATATATTTCTGATTTAACAAGAATACAACAAGGTGTAACATTTTAAGGAATGTGAATTGTTCCTATCATTAAGTTGATCATTTAGACTTCAAGTTATATGCCATTTTGTTTGGTTATTTAATTTCTGTACACTACCTCAAAGTGTCTAAATTCAGAGAAGAAAAATACTTTGCAATATGAGGATGTGTTGGAGTTTCAGTGCATCCATGAAAATATGTTGATGTTCCCAACCAGTCTGTATGTATTTGTATAAGAGAATTGGTGTACAAGTACAAAGTGCCAAGTCTTCTGTTTCTGACTGGAGCATCCATTTTATTGCAGTAAATTTGGCATTCCAGATCACCAGTGTTAGATTGTGATACCAAACTGTTTTTATTTTCTTCCAGTTTTTCAGGTCGTTTAAAAAAAAAAAAAAAAAAAAATTGATCAATATTTTCACATTTGTAAAACTTTGATTAAAAAATTGTAGTGAATAGATTTCCTATCTAGAAAACGATAAACTGTGTTTTTCTTGAATTTACATTTACTTAAGTGTGGAATTGATTTTTTCATTGTAGCACGCAAGTGCGTGGAATGGCAACATTGAAGGAAAGTAAGTACATTTGACCTCTTCTTTGAAACAGATGAAAAATATAATACTTTCATCTGTATCTATCCCATACACATCAGAATATTACAAGAAGTCAAGATCTAAATAAACATTCAATGATGTAGCAGATATTCAACTGTAGGATCTGAAGCATTGTTTTTTTTTCCTGTTAAATGACCATTCATAAACTTAATTTGAATAGATTTTAATTTAAACAACTATCTTAAAACTGAGCCAGGAACCAAGAACAAAGAGGTACATCACAAAATACCAACAAATTGAAAACATGCCTGTTTTAATTGATTATGAACTTTCTAGTTAATTTCAATGTTGCTGAAAACTTTTGACTATTATGATCCATATCAGCTTTTACTCTCACAATGTATACTAGGTGTAACATTGATTCTGCAGAATTACTGATGTGTAGGTTTCCTGGCTATAATTGTACATTACAGATTCAGATATGATCCTGTCCACAAAATAAATTATAATTAAGAATGAAAGCTTGGGCATTGAACACCCAATGAAATTTTTAAATTATCTGCATGCAGGTCTTATGATTAAGCTATTGATGCTTCTGTCATCCTAAAGGATTTATACATGTGCCCACTAGGTATCATGAATTTCTGATAGATAAATCTGATATTCTGTGTATCAACAGATATAGTGTATTTCTGACAGATGAAGTTGATATTCGGTGTATCAACAGGTATAGTGTATTTCTGAAAGATGAAGTTGATATTCGGTGTATTAACAGGTATAGTGTATTTCTGACAGATAAATATGATATTTTGTGTATCAACAGGTACAGTGTATTTCTGAAAGATGAAGTTGATATTCTGTGTATCAACAGATATAGTGTATTTCTGACAGATGAAGTTGATATTCTGTGTATCAACAGGTATAGTGTATTTCTGAAAGATGAAGTTGATATTCGGTGTATCAACAGGTATAGTGTATTTCTGAAAGATAAAGTTGATATTCTGTGTATCAACAGATATAGTGTATTTCTGACAGATGAAGTTGATATTCTGTGTATCAACAGATATAGTGTATTTCTGACAGATGAAGTTGATATTCTGTGTATCAACAGATATAGTGTATTTCTGAAAGATGAAGTTGATATTCGGTGTATCAACAGGTATAGTGTATTTCTTACAGATAAATCTGATATTCTGTGTATCAACAGGTATAGTGTATTTCTGACAGATAAAGTTGATATTCGGTGTATCAACAGGTACAGTGTATTTATGACAGATAAAGTTGATATTCTGTGTATCAACAGATATAGTGTATTTCTGACAGATAAAGTTGATATTCTGTGTATCAACAGGTATAGTGTATTTCTGACAGATAAAGTTGATATTCTGTGTATCAACAGGTATAGTGTATTTCTGACAGATAAAGTTGATATTCTGTGTATCAACAGGTATAGTGTATTTCTGACAGATAAAGTTGATATTCTGTGTATCAACAGGTATAGTGTATTTCTGACAGATAAAGTTGATATTCTGTGTATCAACAAAGACAACAGAAACTATAAAAACAATATGAAAATATATACAGGGAATGTATATGATTGATTATTTCTATGCTGGAATTATTTTTCAGTTCGGCTGCGTTTAAAGTCTATCACAAACATCCAGAAAATTACAAAATCCATGCAGATGGTGTCGGCTGCAAAATTTGCCAAAGCTGAGAAAGAACTTAAACCCGCAAGAGTTTATGGAAATGGAGCAAAGAGTAAGTGGTTTCCGTAAGCATTGAAATAAGTTATGTAATCTTATAAACAAGCACAAAATATTAGCTGTTCAGTAAGTATACAGTTGAAATACATAACCAGCCTTAATCAGTGTGAGAGTAAAAAAAAATGATAAGTTAGTAGCCTAACTAGTTTCTTTTGTTACCTTAGCACCAAAACTTTTCATTAAAATGTTTTCCATTGAATTTTTCATAGAGATGTTTCCATTTCCCTAACTTTTCTTTACATGTTGTAGTCTCTTGGCGTTAGTTTACAAACCTCCAGTTTGGCATCCATATGTAATAACTCTTATCAGTTTGTCATTTAAATAAGTAACATTGTGTTTATTTATTTCATGTTCTAGCTATAACATTTCTTGCATTCAAACTTTAATTTGAAATTTCACATTGATAAATTCTTAATTAAATTCAACTCCACCAACACACAATACTGGGTAAACATTTTTGTGAACACAATTGAATGTTTCGTTCGTAGTTTTCTACCTAATGATAGGGTATAGTAAACTTTTAATATTTCTATTTTTTTGGATGACATATTGTATGTAGTTTGAAAGTGTTAGCATGTGTCATGATGAAACTGAAATGGGATAGAGATGTGTATCATCATCATCTTGGAAAAGCTTGGTGCTATTTGTCTCCTTCATTATCTTTCAAATTTTTGTTGTAAAAAAGAAATAGCTTTTGAACCAATGTTAAAGAAGATTAATTTGTAACTGGATAATATTTTCCTGATACTATAAAGAATGCATCCATGCAGAAATGAAGATACTCTACTTTCTTTCCTAGCTTTCTATGCTGAATCTGAGGTAACAGCTCCTGAAAATGTGGAAGGCAAGGTCTTGTTGGCTATGACATCAGACAGAGGACTGTGTGGTGCTTGTCACTCAAACATTGCCAAGAGCATAAAAGCAGAAATGGCTGATGAAAAAACGGCAAACTCCGCCAAACTTGTACTGGTGGGAGATAAGGCCAAGGCCATTTTACAGAGGTATGTGAATTAGATTATCTGGGGAAAATGTGAGAATAGCTTGCAACACTCTAAACTATTATCATTGGATAATCTCATTATTGAGAGTAACAAAGTAATTTACTTGTTTATTGTTTCTATCATGATAACATACAAGCCAGTGTCAGAGGATTTGTAAAAATGATCTGCAATGTTGCATATGAGTTAATTTTAATCTTAGGATTTGACATGAAACTATTTAATATATCATGATTAAATATTACCTTGTACACCAGTATGACTCAGCCTGAATTGTATATAAAATATGTGTACTTTGTAACTTTCATCATATTATTTGTATAATTACTCTTTTCCAGGCCTTTTGCTAAAAACATGTTGCTGTCATTTAATGAAATTGGAAAGAAACCACCATTGTTTCAAGATGCTGCCACCGTAGCTCAGTCCATCCTCGACTCTGGATTTAAATTTGATGTCGCCAATATGTACTACAACACTTACAAGTAAGTTTACCCTTATTCTGCACTAAATGCTATTTGTCATGTCAAGTATCGTATTATCCTTTATAAGGGAGATACTATAAAATACACAACAGGATAAGACAGATGTCACTTATATGTATAAACAAGCTCAATATCAAATGTTAAATCAGTTTACATAATTGAAATTGTACAAGTTTTTATATTTTGATATTGACAAGAGTACATAACAGTGTTGTGTAATACTAAAGTTATGCAATGTCTAAAATTGTTATTTATTGTATGAATGAGATACATTCCAAAAGTTTTATCCAGAAATCATTCTCTATTTACATGGTGAAATACCAAGGATTATCATACTAGATAACAACTGTTGGATGTGCATTGCTTATACTAGATACCAAGTGATGGATAAGCATTGCATATCCATAAGGTCTCTCCTTTGTTTACATTTTTACAGTTAAAAAGTGTTTTGTGAATTTAAGACTAGTTCTAGATCATCGCTTTGTGTTTCAGAACGGTTGTTTCCTACGAGACGACAGAGCTGCCATTATATACAGCCGATACACTCTTTGCTTCGAAAAACATCACACAATACGATAGTGTTGATCAGGTAACCCTAGCCTGTTACAATGAGTTTTCTATGGCAAATCTCATCTATTTTGGAATGAAGGAATCGGCTTGTAGTGAACAGAGCTCCAGGATGACAGCTATGGACGGTGCAAGCAAAAATGCTGGTAAGTGTTTCAAGATATAAGAGTTGAAACAAGACGCTGTGAATGTTTACAGCTGTCAGTTCAAACACAGTGCAATTATTACTTGATCAAAGATATCTGCAGATCATTTAACCCATTAGATGGATGAGAATCAGTCCACCATTATAAGATGCTTGGATATAAAATCTACAAGTTTAGGAAATATCCAAGTTGTCCAGATATATTGGAGGGTATGGAATCTGTAATATATTGGTAGACCAGAAATGAACACTTGTTCCAAAGATTAATGGTAAATAAAGTCCTGTAGCAATGGCTTAATGCATATTGTTCATGAAGGTATTACTGTCACATATTCAGTTATTGTAATTACAGAAATTTAGGTACCCTCATCAGACAATGAAAATCTCAAACATACCGATACGTTTTATTGCTATTGGACAAATATACTTCAGGTTGGGTCGTTTTTTCTCTTGTATTGTAAATTAGATTGATGATAATTTTTTTCTCTGTACAGGTGAAATGATCGATTCACTGACCTTGACCTTCAACAGGACAAGACAGGCCGTCATCACCAGGGAACTTATTGAAATCATCTCAGGTGCCGCTGCTCTTTAACGAGAAGAAAATCACCAGCATCAATGTATCTGGGAAAATTTTAATAGTGTTTAGAAATTGCATCACTGAACTAAGCAGTGTGACTAACTCTTTGTGGGTAAATGATTATCCGTGGTTAAGGAACTGGAAACAACCATCTGATTTATACTAGTGCTGGAAATTTGTTTATAAACATTTATTTAAATGTGTGATGTGTTGACAAGATGAAAGAGCAGAAGTTGATTTGTAAAAAAAAATTAACGAAGTAAAGTTGACAAGTGTATTTATGGATTGGTGTCTTTTTTTCACTGTCACTATCAATTTGTAAATCTAAAGGACATATATTCGGTTATTTCTCACAATAGGTTTCTATTCCTAACTTGTTATCTAAATCATTATATTAATCACTGCGTTGAGTATTTTTAAGAATCCTGGAATGTTTATGCTTCAACACGAAATGGCATTTAAATTTGGTACTTATGTACTTGCCGCATGTTTCCTTACAATCATATTGAAAATTTATGGAGCTTTTTATGTTCACCGAAGGAAGAGCATATACCAGGGTAGTCTTTGCTTTGCCTGTCCATCTATCTGTTCAGCTGTCATAATTTTGTCCAGAGCAATACACTAAAACTATAAGAGGTATCGGCATAAAAAATTTCATAGGTAGAAAGATCTCGATGAGGAGGGCAGTGTACAAGAATCATATCTCTCTTATTGCTGTTATTTTTAGCCCACCATAATTCAAATTGCTCTTCATCTGTGGTGTCTGTCCGTCCATCCGTAAACAATGTCTGATCATTAAGAGCAAAAACATTGAAGAGAAGAGAAAAGAAGGAAAAAGATCCAACTTTCAAAGAGCATAAAAAAAATCAAACGATGGTAAGTGCCAAGATCCCTCTAGGATCTCGCGTTCGTACTTAAATGTCCCATTCAAGGAGCATAACCCTTCTCTTGAAGGCCCTTGTATTGAAAGGCAATCATCCTTGTCAGTTTCTGGGTCGCATGAATAGATGACGGAAAGGGAGTCAATAGACAATTGTTTCCATGTGTTGACAATAGCTCACTTCGGTTATGCTTCAGATCTGAATGTGTACATCACTACGACTATAAATAGAAATTTGGTTTCTGCACATGAATTACTTTCAGCTCTTCAAATTTATATAAACACTATTTACAACAGTTGTGAAACAAGTTATTTCAACTTGCATTTTTCACTATTGTTGGCTTGGATGTACACGCACACAGGTCTTCCTGTGAAAGGAATCTGGAGTATCCAGGGAAAACCCATGTGGTCGGGCAGGCAACCCCTTACCTTTCAGGTCTGTTTCGGGAATCAAACCCTGGTGAAAGGCAAGTGCGGTACCTCTGGCTCTGTGCTACCCGACCACCCAATTAAACTTAATTGGTCTGTACTTAAGTAAATTGCTTTAAATATTGATTTTATTGGGTGTGAAGGTCAAAGGTTATGGAACTTACTTCTATAGCCATGCAGGTGACATGCCTGTTTCTGTTGAAATATTGTTGATTGGAGAACGTAAATGTCGCATCACAAAAAGAAAACACAAACAAATCATACCTTTGTAATTTGATTATATTTATTCATTTATCACTTTGTCCTATGCAAGTCTCCATTACATAGATGTAATTCTATATTTCAGACACAGAATGAACCAGGTAGTATTTTTCAGTACTCTATGCAAGAACCTCTTGGCTACAAAATAATAAATATCATCCTTAAACAAAATAGTTGTACTGATGTAGATTAGACGCGGTCGGGACATTTATTTTATATAGTATTAAAAAGACAACGTTCATAATTTCAAAATAATGCAAATCACTAATTTTACATCTTTTAACATTAACATGTTTAACAAAATGCTGCACACCTATAGAAAACACAAATGAGGTAAGAGATGGGGACCAAAGAACATTGTTCTTATTGGTTAGAATCCATTGCTGGGAAATATTGCCTCTTAAAATGAAGACCTTTTTCAACAGAGAATTACCATTGCTAGCGTTGGTCCCTACAGATGTATAATAGACACTACAAAATATACAGGTAGATAGCATCTTACGTATAAATTCAAAAATAGACACAGGGATGATTAATGAGTAAAACAATACCTTTGAATTTGATTCCTCCTGTTACTGTCAGTTAATGATACTTATAGCAAACAGTGTGGCCGATCAAGAGCTTAATTTGAACTTGAAAATAAAACTTTGTGACGATCCATAAAAGTGTACACTTGAAAAATATCCTTCCCTTCTTTGGAAATACAAATACAAATCAAACATCAATGTGGACAATGTGGTCCCTTATCAAAAATTGTCAAATGTTTGGTGGTTAATACTTCTACTGCTCTGGTAAATATGTGAAACACTGTCACTACAGTGGAAGATAGCTGTTTTGTATACAATGTATTATGTTTTTTACAGTATCACACACAGGTTTTATTGCAAACCTGTCATATGTTAAAAATACATATATACTTGCACATCTATAAACATAAGTGACCATACATCTTTTAATTTGAACTTGATTGTTTTAAAGACTATTTTGTATTTAAAAAAAAAGAAAGAAAAAAAAGGTAAAATGACAGCCTTATCTGCATGACAAGTCAACTGAGCAATTTCTGAAAAAAATTGGTGTACTCCTGAAAATTCACACAAAAATGGTTTCTGCTGATAAATTTTCATTTGAAGCAATTTACATGACCAGGCCCTTATCCAACACTAACATCTACTACATCACTTGTGCTTTCCTTCGCAGCTGGCATTTGCATTGAATTTTGAACCACAACACTGCTGCTACAGATAGAACATGCACAGAAACAGAGGTTACATCAGTCACACCATAAAAATACACTGTCAATATGATCATTTCATGTAAATGTTGAAATGCAGATATATAACACGTTTTTGGTAAAGTTTTATATTAAACAATATATATACATGTATTATGACTATATAATCAGCTTAAAATTATCTAAATATTTGATCCAAGGCAAAGCGAAGCAAAAATGAAGGCACCAAAAACTAGTTGTATCTTACTTTGAAGACGTTTACCCTTTTAATACACTACAGAGAACATAATGACACATTACATAAACTGTGATAAAAAATTCAACAATAAAGGTAGGACGTATGTATGTAATTATGTTTATCTTGCCACATATATTAACTAACTGATACAGAATACAATTTGTTGGCATTTTGATGATGGAATTATTGCACTAAACAGCATTGAAAAAAGTGATATCAGGTGAGGCTGATTTCAAGCCCTGCAAAATTGATTTACATTAAAACACATGCTGATCGTGATCCAATTGTACCTGCGGCTTCTGGAATAGAATCAAAGATGGCAGAGTACGAATTCAATTCCTCCGGACTTTCTACATGATCAAATGTCTATACATGATCAAAATATTTAACAAAAAATACATTTTACTCTGTTAGATGGATGTAAAATCAAAATTAGTTCAAATCATTATCTACCTGTTTTGTATTATTTGCTGGTGTCATAAATTGCTCTTGAAAAGTATTTATCTTTATTCAATTTGCTGAGGTTTTCCAAACTTTCACCATCACCAAAAAAATCCTGTTTAAGTTGTACATGTATTCATAATTACACAGTTAATTATATATTCTGTAAGTGATAAAACAACATCAATACCTTGGAATCACTTGTTGACATTGTAATCTGATAACATGAAAACATACATATCAACATGTATATAATAACAGTTTTAGCAACACTAACATTTTCCAAATATCACAAATAAGAATTTAACAAAACAAAACAAAAAATTCTCATAAAATCATAAAAAAATTCTTTTTTCCATTTAAGTAAACAATGCTTTACAGAAAAGTAATAGAAGACATGTTACAATTATTGATTCAAGTAAAAAATATGTACAAGATGTCAATAGGGCCTGTATTGCTCACTATGATTGGCTGGACTGAAATTTGTGCGTTATCCAAAATAAAGGAAAGGGATTTTAAAGACTTACATCCCTATCCACTTAGAAACTAGAACCATCTTTCATACAAAATTAAATTGCTTCCAGGAAATTTGGACAAAATCCTGCAATTTCTATGGAAGAAGAAGCATTTTGAAGAATTTTTCATACTGGGCCCTACACCACATCAGTTATACATAACTGTTTCCCTCCTCCCCCAAAGATATTTCTGACCTAATTTGGGCAAAATACCTTCATACTAACAGAAGGAGGACTTGATTTCCCACATTGGGCCCCATCTTTCTGCAAATTTGACCAAAATCTGATTTTTAGGAAAAAGTTAACGGACGACAGATGTTGCAAGCTAAAAACCAAACATTGCATTGAGTTAACTTTCAACATTATACAGAATGTATGTTGTTGTAGCTTTATGGCATAGATAATAGGATATTGTAGTTTGTATGTAGATGAAACCTAAATTCTTGACTTCAGGTATCTTTGTTCTAAGTACTGAGTGCTTAGTTTTAGCCCTGGAGCTATCCAGCAAGTTTCTTTGTTCAATCCTCCAAGGCATCCAGTGATTGTGTCATGGTCATGTAAAAGAACTGCCTAAAAACAGCCATTGCAATATTCTAAAATGTATAGAAGTGTTAAGAGGATGGAAGAGCCACAGCAGCATTATCTAGAACCCAAAATCAAAGAGGATGGAACAGATGCAGCAGCACTACTTAGTACAGGCATGTTTAGAGGATGGAACAGCCACAGCAGCATTACTTGGCACAGGTGCGTTTAGAGGATGGAACAGCTACAGCAGCATTACTTGGTACAGGTGTGTTTAGAGGATGGAACAGCCACAGCAGCATTACTTGGCACAGGTGTGTTTAGAGGATGGAACAGCCACAGCAGCATTGTTGTGGGTAGTTTGGAGCATACACCTTGTGTTCAAACCCATACACAAAGTAATCCGACTCCTTGCTCTTCCATTTATACATACATTGGGTCACAGGCACAATTCTAACTCGGTGTCTCTGTGGAAGTGAAAAAAAAAACAATTATGAACCAGGTTATGAGAAACACACCACTCTAGAAAATCCAGAAATGTATGAAACAAAGCATTCCTTGATATCAACATTCTTTTGTTATAGATGGTCAATTTGTTTGTGCTCTTATTTTTCTTTAAGAGAAAAGCATAGCAAAGTAGTATGTACACTTCACTATTCTCTTGATCAATAAAGTCAGTTACCCTACTTTACAAGGTGTCATATCTTAACTAATACTTTCCACTAATAAACATATCCTCAAATGATTTTTTGGGTGTATCAAAAGAGGAAAATTAGACGAAAGCCTAGACTTGGTGAAACATCTTGTCAAGCAGTACACCTAGTGATTCTATAAGATAAGCAAAGGCAAATTAGACTACAATGATAACTACCTACACGTGTATAAGGTACACAATACATACATATAATTCCTGTGTGAACAGCTTTATAATGCATTATAAAACAACACAGTGTGTACCTGTTGGAGGATCCTTTCACTTGGATATTGCTGTGTTTGGATCAGGTTTCTAGATGCATCGTTAACCTCAGCATCAGGAAAATGTTGGATTGGCCAGACCTATGGATACAATGGATTCACCTTAATAAAGAATACTTTACTTCCATCCAATAACTTGTTTAAAAGAAAAATGAAATGTTAATAGAACATGTCTACTTTTTAACAAACCTCTGATGGTTGTGACCCAGTACTGCTTGAAAATGTGAAAATTGCCACAGTATTTGCCCCTCCCCTTTTTTCAAAAAGGCAAGTTTTAATGTGATGGTTTATAAGTTCATGTATCATGTGCTGTCATGGTCTTCCACAATGCTTTGTTGAATGCTTTGCCTTTAGTAAAGTATAGAGTTACATCCCCTGCTCCATTGTTGACAAGTAATATCTAACAAATGATCTATGAAAATTGACCTCCCTGCAGGTCAAGATTGAAGAGCTAAATCTTTACAAATGTTTCACATTGTTCTGAGAAATTCATTGTTTTTTATTCAGATTTTGGAGATGTCTCCATTGTGACATACCCGTTGATACGTTTCCTCAAAGGCTGTTTGTCCTGACACCCCTCGAATCAGATGATCTGGCAGCGGAGTTCTCTCAACAATGTGATCAACAACATGGTTGGTCCTAGCAATTAAATAATTAATATAAGATATCAAATATATACAACAATCATTAAAATTTTGACATTACCAGGTTGTATAGATTTGATAATTAATGTTCATTTCACAACAATTTCGTAGTTTTCCCAATCACTCTTGTTGGCTCAGATGGAAGCATGCAAGGGGCTTTACTGAAGGAAACTGGAGAACACAAGGAAAACCTACATCTTTGTGCAGCTAGGTGACCCCATACCTTTTCATGTATACACAAACAGCTGATAGTATTTACAGACTGGTGGTATACACTTACTGGTAGCATAGTATACACTGACTGGTAGTATAGTATACACTGACTTGTACAGTATACACTGACTGGTAGTATAGTATACACAGACTGGTAGTACAGTATACACTGACTGGTAGTATAGTATACACAGACTGGTAGTATAGTATACACAGACTGGTAGTATACACAGACTGGTAGTATAGTATACACTGACTGGTAGTATACACTGACTGGTAGTATAGTATACACAGACTGGTAGTATAGTATACACAGACTGGTAGTATAGTATACACAGACTGGTAGTATAGTATACACTGACTGGTAGTATAGTATACACAGACTGGTAGTATAGTATACACAGACTGGTAGTATAGTATACACAGACTGGTAGTATAGTATACACTGACTGGTAGTATAGTATACACAGACTGGTAGTATACACTGACTGGTAGTATAGTATACACAGACTGGTAGTATAGTATACACAGACTGGTAGTATAGTATACACAGACTGGTAGTATAGTATACACAGACTGGTAGTATACACTGACTGGTAGTATAGTATACACAGACTGGTAGTATAGTATACACAGACTGGTAGTATAGTATACACTGACTTGTAGTAAAGTATACACTGACTGTTGTCATAGACTGAATCTTACCATAAGATGCTGAGTTTGATATAGCACTTTAGTTGTCTGTAACCCATACAAGAAGTACAAGTCACTGAACCACAGCCATGACAGGTATCACATCTGTAATATTTAATACAAAATTTACTAAAGCACAATGAAAACAGTTAGCACATCTGTTATATCTAATATACAAGTCACTGAGCCACAGACATAACAGGTATCACATCTGTAATATTTAATATACAAGTCACTGAACCACAGACATAACAGGTATCACATCTGTAATATTTAATATACAAGTCACTGAGCCACAGACATAACAGGTATCACATCTGTAATATTTAATATACAAGTCACTGAGCCACAGACATAACAGGTATCACATCTGTAATATTTAATATACAAGTCACTGAGCCACAGACATAACAGGTATCACATCTGTAATATCTAATATACAAGTCACTGAGCCACAGACATAACAGGTATCACATCTGTAATATTTAATATACAAGTCACTGAGCCACAGCCATAACAGGTATCACATCTGTAATATTTAATATACAAGTCACTGAGCCACAGACATAACAGGTATCACATCTGTAATATCTAATATACAAGTCACTGAGCCACAGACATAACAGGTATCACATCTGTAATATCTAATATACAAGTCACTGAGCCACAGCCATAACAGGTATCACATCTGTAATATCTAATATACAAGTCACTGAGCCACAGACATAACAGGTATCACATCTGTAATATCTAATATACAAGTCACTGAGCCACAGACATAACAGGTATCACATCTGTAATATTTAATATACAAGTCACTGAGCCACAGACATAACAGGTATCACATCTGTAATATATATAATGATCTTTACTCCTCTTATTTATTTATCATTAAATCATATTCAATATATTTATTATTCCCACGTTGCTGCTATACATAGAAGACAAAAGTTTTTCTCACCTGCGTCTGCCGTTGCCATGACACCAAGTACATCTCTCCCTATGGTGATCTCCGCCTCTGTGCACTGTCCTATGTCCACTTCCATGACACCAGTTACATCTGACCTGAATAGGTAAACATCATCTTTAACCAACTGACCTAAGAATGTTACGAATCTATACAACATTAACATTCACATGAAAGTGTTTCTAAACTTGTGTATCAGCTGTTTCCATAGTCAAAGAACATGTTAAGTCACTTAATAAATGAAATCCAAATTCATTTCCAGAAAATCAGATACATACTCTACCCCTTCCAAGACACCGGTGACATCGAATATATCCAGTAGAAAAGCAGGTGTGACAGGGCTGTAATAAGAAAATTAAAAATTCATTTCAATTTGCTGAGTTTATCTCCTGGTGAACACCCCGGATCATACAATCAAGTGTCTTGAGAAAACACCATTTTTAAGATTCATACATATCAGTCCATACTTCAACAGGACAAAACTAATCAGGCATATTTTTAATATGATTCATCAGTTCTACCATAAAACTAATAATTTTGAAATTATCTGACTTCTTTGACGGAAGTTGTTCTTTTCAGCAGTAATTTCTGATCCGATACATACCTTGACAGATGCTGTGTGAGGAACTTCAACATCAATCTTTTGGTTCTGGAACAGAGCACTTGCCTGTGCAGGAATGTCCCAGGGTCCTGGAGCTGTACCATTCATAGGACCATCAATCGTCTGACCTATATACACCAGCATTATATAGTCAATCAAACACAATGTCTTCAAAATATTCCTTTTTGGTAAATTTTCACTGATATTTTTTGCAAAAATTTGATTTAATGATGTCTTTCTGAAGCATAATTTGGTATTTTATCATTAAATATTTTGGAAATGTGATAAATTCTTTATTCACACACGTAGGTTCGTGCCTAGTTGACGATCATAAGGTCATTACCTATTTAGCCTTTGGTCATTATATGTCAAATTTACCTGGTTACCTGGATCCTAAATATGTAATCCTTATTAAGTACTCCAATCTTATATCAGTATATCTAACATGTTGACGTGGTGCAGGTAAGTTCTTATATAATGTAACATTTATTTTCCTTGTCCATCTCTATAAAAGTTGGTAAGAAATTGCATTAAACAGTCGATCTCTAGGACGTACATCCCTACGTCCACACACCAATAAACTTCTTAAACAGACAGTCCTGGGCTCAGTCATATTTAGAACCGACACACGAAGAAAGAGAGCTAAAACATTACATTTCATTGACATTTGATAACAACTGTGATATTGTTGTATGTGTGATTGCTGTACATCATTAAATTGATTTTTTTTCAGCATTACCATTGGCACTTTCAGTGTTCCAACTAAAAGAGATGCTTAGCCATTTCAAAAACCGATGTGATGAAGGAATGTATTTCTTCATCTGAAGGACTGTCAATATTCTGCAACTTTCTTTAACATGTAGTTTACCTTTGAGGATTTCTCAACAGTATCATATTTTGGGAAAGTTCTTAAATAAATCACAACAAATTGATAATTGGATAATTAACAATGGTTACTGAAGACCATAATATAATATAGTCTGTTTCACATGGATAATTAACAATGGTTACAGAAGTGCATAATATAGTATAGTCTGTTTCACATGGATAATTAACAATGGTTACAGAAGAGCATAATATAGTATAGTCTGTTTCACATGGATAATTAACAATGGTTACAGAAGAGCATAATATAGTATAGTCTGTTTCACATGGATAATTAACAATGGTTACAGAAGACCATAATATAGTATAGTCTGTTTCACATGGATAATTAACAATGGTTACAGAAGAGCATAATATAGTATAGTCTGTTTCACATGGATAATTAACAATGGTTACAGAAGAGCATAATATAGTATAGTCTGTTTCACATGGATAATTAACAATGGTTACTGAAGACCATAATATAGTATAGTCTGTTTCACATGGATAATTAACAATGGTTACAGAAGACCATAATATAGTATAGTCGGTTTCACATGGATAATTAACAATGGTTACAGAAGACCATAATATAGTATAGTCGGTTTCACATGGATAATTAACAATGGTTACAGAAGTGCATAATATAGTATAGTCTGTTTCACAAAGTTAAATGCTTAGAACCTATTGTTATCTCAAAGGCAAGAAAGATGATTTACAATATAGCTGTGCAGAGAACAGACGTCAGTACAGCTGTACAGGGATTTCAAAACTGAAATCAATCCACATCCTCAATCCTCGTCACCCTCAATGTATTTTTTCATTTAGCTTTTAATGTTACGATGGCATGTAAAATTGCTATAGATGGCTCATTGCTCTCTGCTCTCACTGTTTTCCCTACAATATATACCTGCACAGGTACAAAGTAAGACATCAAAAGAACTCACCTGTATAAGGTTCATACGCCCAAGCTGTCTGTCTACCTTCAGCAAAAGTTTCCAATGTATACTGTCAAATAAAACGAACGACATTGTGAAGGATTCCATCATTATCTGAAGATAACTCAGTAGATCAAAAGGAGGATTTAAATATCAATAAAATAGCAAAATACAATTCATATTTGGTAAATCAAATAAATGTCACCTGTAGAAAAAATCATTTCTTAATATAAATTCTCTGTTTAACAATTATCTAATTGTTACTGTTAGTACTAATAAACTCATAAATGTCCAACGTTGAAACTCCTCGGCAAACCAAAATCTGATCAGGTGTAAAACTTGATGTTATACTATGGGGGAAGTATGAACCAAATCTATTGAGATGTTCTCAGGATATGACCTTGATTAAGAGTTGGATGAGATGGACATGGTATCACTAAATGCCCCTATAAAATGGCTGTGGGTTAACTGTTACTGACTTACATGAAATGCACTTGTCGATTTTAGATCCAAAAAGTTCAAATCTTCTGCAGCTCCTTTACCATAGCAACAGTTTTCAGCTACATGCTTCAGGAGAGCTTCCCTGGCATCCTGTTCTGTGATAGTAGGAACGCTGCAGACAAAATTTATTGAAAAATTACTCTATTCTTTCAACATACTCTATAACATGAAATGCAAAGATCATCTAATCATTTCCCAGCAAGGATAAAATATACAATGTTATTGAATATGTTAAATTCTTCAGTTAGAAAAGTCTTCCAACTCCATTCCAAACATACAGAATGTTGCCTTCTAAAAATCTCTAAGGTATATATATATATATATATACATTATGTACAGTTACTATGCACCTGAAGATCTAATACAGTGAAAGCGCTAGTGCAAAATGTAACGTCTTTCTTCTTTTGTCAAAAATCATTTTTATTTATAATTTACTCGCATGTCGTCAAATCAAGTTTTTTCTATATATATATATGAATTAGTCATTTATGATTATAACAGGTAGTTCATTTCCTGTCATAATAGCATTTATAGATGTTTAATATTTCTGAATTATATCCAACCAGTTCTTGAAAGTGTTGATATTCAGATAACACAACACATCATAAGTGTATTTCAATGTCAGTTTAGCTGTACATGTCCAATGTATAAAAATGGCAGAGAGGAGTTTCATATTGATGAGGGTATGCGATATAAGGAAAGATTGTGAAGCCAGTGCCTTTGAAAATTAAAAACATTATCACGCAAATCTAAAAAACAAACATAAATATTCAAGATCATATAGTTCTTTGGAAAGTGTTTCAAGTTTAAAACTCAGTGAATTAGTCAGTTTTTAGAATGCCAGTATATAAATTCTATGACCTTTAACTTTAAAGGTTCTGTTTACACAAATTATTCCAACATAAAGATAACAATGAGCACTGTTCTATTGCAGCAGATTTATCAATTTTCTTACTTTGAGATATTTTGTCGTTCTGGAGGCGGCCCTTTCATTGCTTCATCATATGATGGGGGTGGCAACATGGCTGCAAAACAAAAGAAATTCAATATCTCACGAGGGAGAAAAAGTAACAAGTACCTACATCATAGAGAGGATATCAGCTTCATCACATGATCGGTATGGCAACATGGCAACAAAGTATCCCATTATATCTCATTATAGAGATAAAGAAACAAGTTGTATCTATATCACAGGTATTGGTTTGTGTTTGACTCATTGTACTAGGTGTTAGGTATAATATTATGTATAGATGACAGAGAAAGATATTTGTGAAGTGGGTCTATTTCAATTCAAGAACTACTTCACACAATTTCTGAAAATTACAGGAACTAGAGCTGTCACTGAGGGTTAGAAAGATAAAGTAAAGTATTCTCACCTGCACTGAACCCAATATTAGAATATCCACCGATGTTGTCCATTTTTTCTAAGGGCGGGGCTGTGGCCTGCTGTGGGGCAGCATTAGGGTTGTCATCTACATCATCCCCAGGCATTTCACCCTGGTACTGGGGTGGTGCATTGCCTTGGGGTGGAGCTCCTGGAACTGAAAATATTCATTGAATATCTTTCAATCTGGCTTTAAAAAAACAGCAGTATCTGCAGTGGACATAGTTCGGTGTAATTTTGTATAGCATCTACAGAAAGAATTTCAAAGATTCTCACCTCCTGCTGAAGGGGCCCCAGGTCCTTGGTATGCTCCTGCTGGAGGGGCCCCAGCTCCTTGGTATGCCCCTGCTGGAGGGGCACTTGGGTACCCTCCTTGTGGTGCACCAGGCTGGGGGTAGCCCTGAGTTGGCTGTCCTCCTGGATATCCTGGTGTTGCACCTGCAGGGTAACCTCCTTGTGGTGGGGGTGCTCCCTGGTAAGCACTCTGAGGTGGTGGAGGTTGCCCTCCTTGATATGCCCCTTGAGGGGCAGGATAGCCTCCTCCTGGAAAGACAGGGTAACCTCCAGAGTAATAACTGTTTGGTGGGAAGTAAAAGATCACAGTGATATTAATGCTTACATAATGAGGTATTGGAGGTCCACACTAAATCCACAGCCCCCTCCCACACCTGATGGGTAGTGCCACCTGATGGGAACAGGTAACAATAATAATAACTGTCTCCCACACCTGATGGGTAGTGAAGACAGGTAACAACAGGTAATAACTGTCTCCCTCCCACACCTGATGGGTAGTGAAGACAAGTAACAACAGGTAATAACTGTCTACCTCCCACACCTGATGGGAAGTGAAGACAGGTAACAATAAGTAATAACTGTCTCCCTCCCACACCTGATGGGTAGTGAAGACAAGTAACAACAGGTAATAACTGTCTCCCTCCCACACCTGATGGGTAGTGAAGACAAGTAACAACAGGTAATAACTGTCTCCCTCCCACACCTGATGGGTAGTGAAGACAGGTAACAATAAGTAATAACTGTCTCCCTCCCACACCTGATGGGAAGTGAAGACAGGTAACAATAAGTAATAACTGTCTCCCTCCCACACCTGATGGGTAGTGAAGACAGGTAACAATAGGTAATAACTGTCTCCCACACCTGATGGGTAGTGAAGACAGGTGAAGACACCTGATGGGTAGTGAAGACAATAACAACAGGTAATAACTGTCTCCCTCCCACACCTGATGGGTAGTGAAGACAGGTAACAATAAGTAATAACTGTCTCCCTCCCACACCTGATGGGTAGTGAAGACAGGTAACAACAGGTAATAACTGTCTCCCTCCCACACCTGATGGGTAGTGAAGACAGGTAACAATAATTAATAACTGTCTCCCTCCCACACCTGATGGGTAGTGAAGACAGGTAACAACAGGTAATGATGGGTAGTGAAGACAGGTAACAACAGGTAATAACTGTCTACCTCCCAAACCTGATGGGTAGTGAAGACAGGTAACAACAGGTAATAACTGTCTCCCTCCCACACCTGATGGGTAGTGAAGACAGGTAACAACAGGTAATAACTGTCTCCCTCCCACACCTGATGGGTAGTGAAGACAGGTAACAACAGGTAATAACTGTCTCCCTCCCACACCTGATGGGTAGTGAAGACAGGTAACAATGATTAATAACTGTCTCCCTCCCACACCTGATGGGTAGTGAAGACAGGTAACAACAGGTAATAACTGTCTCCCTCCCACACCTGATGGGTAGTGAAGACAGGTAACAAATAGGTAATAACTGTCACACCTGATGGGTAGTGAAGACAGGTAACAATAAGTAATAACTGTCTCCCTCCCACACCTGATGGGAAGTGAAGACAAGTAACAACAGGTAATAACTGTCTCCCTCCCACACCTGATGGGAAGTGAAGACAAGTAACAACAGGTAATAACTGTCTCCCTCCCACACCTGATGGGAAGTGAAGACAGGTAACAATAAGTAATAACCTCCCACACCTGATGGGTAGTGAAGAGAGGTAACAATAATTAATAACTGTCTCCCTCCCACACCTGATGGGTAGTGAAGAGAGGTAACAATAAGTAATAACTGTCTCCCTCCCACACCTGATGGGTAGTGAAGACAGGTAACAATAAGAGTAATAACTGTCTCCCTCCCACACCTGATGGGTAGTGAAGACAGGTAACAATAAGTAATAACTGTCTCCCTCCCACACCTGATGGGTAGTGAAGACAGGTAACAATAAGTAATAACTGTCTCCCTCCCACACCTGATGGGTAGTGAAGACAGGTAACAATAAGTAATAACTGTCTCCCTCCCACACCTGATGGGTAGTGAAGACAGGTAACAACAGGTAATAACTGTCTCCCTCCCACACCTGATGGGTAGTGAAGACAGGTAACAATAAGTAATAACTGTCTCCCTCCCACACCTGATGGGTAGTGAAGACAGGTAACAATAAGGTAACACACCTGATGGGTAGTGAAGACAGGTAACAATAAGTAATAACTGTCTCCCTCCCACACCTGATGGGTAGTGAAGACAGGTAACAATAAGTAATAACTGTCTCCCTCCCACACCTGATGGGTAGTGAAGACAGGTAACAATAATTAATAACTGATGGGTAGTGAAGACAGGTAACAATAAGTAATAACTGTCTCCCTCCCACACCTGATGGGAAGTGAAGACAGGTAACAATAAGTAATAACTGTCTCCCTCCCACACCTGATGGGTAGTGAAGACAGGTAACAATAATTAATAACTGTCTCCCTCCCACACCTGATGGGAAGTGAAGACAGGTAACAATAATTAATAACTGTCTCCCTCCCACACCTGATGGGTAGTGAAGACAGGTAACAATAAGTAATAACTGTCTCCCTCCCACACCTGATGGGTAGTGAAGACAGGTAACAATAAGTAATAACTGTCTCCCTCCCACACCTGATGGGTAGAAGACAGGTAACAACATGGGTAGTGAAGACAGGTAACAATAAGTAATAACTGTCTCCCTCCCACACCTGATGGGTAGTGAAGACAGGTAACAATAAGTAATAACTGTCTCCCTCCCACACCTGATGGGTAGTGAAGACAGGTAACAATAAGTAATAACTGTCTCCCTCCCACACCTGATGGGTAGTGAAGACAGGTAACAACAGGTAATAACTGTCTCCCTCCCACACCTGATGGGTAGTGAAGACAGGTAACAATAATTAATAACTGTCTCCCTCCCACACCTGATGGGAAGTGAAGACAGGTAACAATAATTAATAACTGTCTCCCTCCCACACCTGATGGGAAGTGAAGACAGGTAATATAAGTAATAACTGTCTCCCTCCCACACCTGATGGGTAGTGAAGACAGGTAACAATAATTAATAACTGTCTCCCTCCCACACCTGATGGGTAGTGAAGACAGGTAACAATAAGTAATAACTGTCTCCCTCCCACACCTGATGGGTAGTGAAGACAGGTAACAACAGGTAATAACTGTCTCCCTCCCACACCTGATGGGTAGTGAAGACAGGTAGTAACAACAGGTAATAAATTTCTGCGTCCCACACCTGTTGGGAAGTGAAGACAAGACAAGTAACAACAGGTAATAACTGTCTCCCTCCCACACCTGATGGGTAGTGAAGACAGGTAACAATAAGTAATAACTGTCTCCCTCCCACACCTGATGGGTAGTGAAGACAGGTAACAATAAGTAATAACTGTCTCCCTCCCACACCTGATGGGTAGTGAAGACAGGTAACAATAAGTAATAACTGTCTCCCTCCCACACCTGATGGGTAGTGAAGACAGGTAACAATAAGTAATAACTGTCTCCCTCCCACACCTGATGGGTAGTGAAGACAAGTAACAATAAGTAATAACTGTCTCCCTCCCACACCTGATGGGTAGTGAAGACAGGTAACAATAAGTAATAACTGTCTCCCTCCCACACCTGATGGGTAGTGAAGGCAAGTAACAACAGGTAATAACTGTCTCCCTCCCACACCTGATGGGTAGTGAAGACAGGTAACAATAAGTAATAACTGTCTCCCTCCCACACCTGATGGGTAGTGAAGACAGGTAACAATAAGTAATAACTGTCTCCCTCCCACACCTGATGGGTAGTGAAGACAGGTAACAATAAGTAATAACTGTCTCCCTCCCACACCTGATGGGTAGTGAAGACAGGTAACAATAAGTAATAACTGTCTCCCTCCCACACCTGATGGGTAGTGAAGACAGGTAACAATAAGTAATAACTGTCTCCCTCCCACACCTGATGGGTAGTGAAGACAGGTAACAATAAGTAATAACTGTCTCCCTCCCACACCTGATGGGTAGTGAAGACAGGTAACAATAAGTAATAACTGTCTCCCTCCCACACCTGATGGGTAGTGAAGACAGGTAACAATAAGTAATAACTGTCTCCCTCCCACACCTGATGGGTAGTGAAGACAGGTAACAACAGGTAATAACTGTCTCCCTCCCACACCTGATGGGTAGTGAAGACAAGTAACAACAGGTAATAACTGTCTCCCTCCCACACCTGACAAAACTTTAGATCTTGTAGGTTTGTAATACAATCCTTATTGTGCAAGAGGTTATCAGACCAAAAGACATCCAAATATTAGGAGACGTTTACATGTGAACAAGCATGAGGGCATATTTAAATGATTAAAATTAGGATTCAGCTTGAGTGAATCAAGTCAACACCACAAGCATGAACTATACAAACTGCATTACAACACTTACATGATACATAGAGTTAACAGTATATAATAATACCACTAAAAAGATTTATGGTGACCTCTTTAAATGACAATAGTGATACACAACAATACATACAAACAGACATACAACACTTAGCTAGCATGTGTAAAAAACAAACCTTTCCTCCTCTTTGGGATAATATAACTTGGTTTTATCTGAGCTGAACATCTTACAGGCAGACAAAAAGCAACGGTATATTCCTAACTTTTGTGAAGCACCAAGAAACTAGAAGCTGACTTCCTGAATTGTGCAATACACTGATCTACAACAGATTATCTGTTTACGTAGAATAGCTGGGCAGAGTGGCCTTTACAGCCACGCTCTACTGCTAGCTGAAATTATTTATAGCAATACCAGCCCACTAGTGCTTTCCGTCTTATATTAACTGTAGCCAAAAACAAACGTCAATCAAGAGTTAATTTGAATAAACATGAATATTAAAGCTGCTAGTTATTACATTCCAACCATCCCAGAAATTTCAGATTCCCTGAAAAACAATTAACACTAAAATACTGGTATCAGTCATTCAGGCTCCTCCTAGTTCAGGAAATTAACCTTACCATCACAGCTAATAGTGTAGGAAATACCCACTGTCTCTTATTATTATATCAAGCCACTTGAATCAGGTCACAATGTTAATGGGCTCATTCACTTTCTATCACATACCAATATATTGTCATATTCACGGAAACTCCTAATACAAAAACAAAAAGCACCTGTATTTGTTACTTGGAAATATTTTACTTTCCCTTTAGTAACCATTGTATCAAATTGGTAACCATTAACTATTAAAGAGAGAGAGAGAGAGAGTAATATAGAAAGAAATTATGCAATCAGACAATACTGATCTACAGTAAAGTAGGAATTACTTATGTAGGTCTTCCAAAGTTCGGCTTGATTGTAGATTATTATAATTAATATGTCGAACATTGAATTTCAGGCTAAAAGCTTACCTAGAACTCAGTGGTTGATTTTCGGACATTCTCGGCAGTTAAGAGTAGCTTTTGTGTACTAATGTACTGTATATACAAGTTGTAGTCACTATCACATGGGAAAGGTAACATACGTAATGACACGGAAATTATTTTGTTAAAGTCCACTGTCATATGACCAAACACACCCACCCAACATGAAGACATCGCACAATCTTCTGATCACCGAAGGGTTAGCCGTTCGATGATCCTCGTAATTTATCATGATATTTCTTCAATAAATTTGAAACATTCCATTTTATAAATTCTCGGTGACTGACGTTCAAAAATCGAACTTTTAGTCTAGCTACATCAATTATAACTCCTTACGGCTGTAAAACATCATCTGTCATTATCATTAGACAAGTATATTGGTGGCTGTTAATCAGACGCTAGACGTCTGGTCCAACAACGTTTTACAGGTCAAACTAGCCTCTAACAACCTAAACACTTTAAGTGAAAAAAAACTCATGCTAAACTGTATATACTTCGATGTTAAGATTCGACTCGTTAGTCACATGACTCATCAGAGCTTCATCGTACAAACACATGTACACTCCTAAGTTCTAATAAAATAACTCACCCCTGCATAGCGTTTGTCACAGTGAATGTGAAGGTCGACCGATCAGTTGTTGAGAATGAGATGGTGGAAAAACGAGGTCAGATATCGCTTCCAGCCGCTCCGGCAATATTTTCATGTTCAATTTTCCTCAAACGCAATGTGTATAAAACCACCGGGACTTCGCAGTGTATACACTCGGAAAGATACTAGACAGTTGCCTATCCATCTTTATAATCTTAACTGTATTGTTTTTAACTGTTCACAACCTGCTTGTTGGGTACTACCCATAGAAGAGCGACAGTTATGTGTACTAATATTCATACATGGGTCCAGATACTACAGAAATTAAAATGTAACATTGTAGGATATACCACTGCGCCAAAAAGTGACCTCTAAATTATAAGATGTATGCATCTTCGATTATAAGTCATACAGGAAAAACATAATTTCACTAATAGGTAAATATGTACAGTGCTGATCTTTTCAATATGCCATATGTGAGGAATAGATGAGCCGTGAGTGAGGATTTCCCTTCACACACCTTCACGGGAAAACCCATCAAGGTCATACATATAGCCCCTCCTCTGCCTCCTTATAGGGTATTAGTAAAGATTTCCTTGGACGTTCGCCGTTCAAACTTTCAGCAATAATGACCTGCTTATGTTGAAGTAGGAAGGCCGGACAGGCAATACTTTGATGTCACAGAGGTCATCTTTCATCTCAAAGCCTCTGCTAGGAATCGAACCCGGGACCCCTGGCTTACTAGTCTGACGCTCAACCAATCGAGCTAAGTACTCACTAGCCGAGTGGTATATTGCGGCTAGTATTTTGCCAGGGTTACAACTGTTTCGGCAAGGCGAAAGATAGTATGCACCTCTGTGGGTTTCCAGCGACCGTTTGGAGACAAGGTGCGGTTTCGAGCGCAGGGCGACAGTGCCACAAACCTTTTCTACTAGGTCCTATTGAAAACGTCGATAAATATTTATTATATAGTTCTTACACAACAAAATAAGATCGTTCACTCGCGGAGTTAGATATTGTCATGAAGTCCGTGGTTCCAGTTTTACTTGAAGTTCGCGATGTCAAGATAAAACCGTTGTCTTATTCACGGTAACTTCCGCCCAACATGGAGATGACGCCTGTACAACAAGTAAACGATTGCGATCGGCTAGATATATCATCCTGTGTATTATTTGTAACGGGCATATCATCACTCGTCAAGTTTATAATTTAATAGGTGATCATTCGGCTGTCTTGGTATTTAGTACTTTGGGCACTTAACCATATAATTTGTTTACCGTGTGTATTGAAAAATTTAGTTATAATTTATTAGTCATTATTGACACTTAGAATTGTGGGGTCACATTAACAGACCAGAATAGAACAGTACAATCGTGTGTTGTGATAAACAGTTGTTGGTGAAATGTACTGCGATTAGAAAAACTAATACTATAGTTATCAAGTGTTACTCAGAATAGCATCTTATCAGAAACACGATAAACCCAAGCACCGACCTCAGTCAAAGGTTATATATATATATACTGTTATATTAAAAATAAGGGATCGGACACGTATCGTGGGCGGACCCAGAGGGGAGTGCGCTCTCTCTAAAATTGCCATGTGGTAATCATTTGAAATGCTAATTAACTACAATTCCATCATCTCAACTCAGTGAGGAGGTATAATACGGTATTTCAAACCACATAAGGATAACTTAATACTGAGGAAATCTCGGGGATATGCCCCGATTAAGGCAATAAAAACTTGACTTGTATAACTGCCGTCAAGTACCCGTAGATTTTATTGGTAAATTTACCATAACATCACTGTACTTTATATATTTTTACTTTTGAGGATTGATCCGTCGTCCTGCTTATACTACGATCCGTGATTATTTGTCGAACTCGAAGCTAGAACGATTATAAAATGTACAAGGGTTATATATACTCAAGGGGTAAAGAAACGCAGGGTAAACAATGATGATGATTCTAGGCAAGACATCGAGTATAATGTTCAATATTTTAAAGTAAGAATGAATATTAATCCATACAGAACAAACAGCAAAATCAACGATTTCTATCTGGTAAGTGATTTAGAAGTAATTGAATGAAAGAGAATTATGTAATCTGAAATCGACATGGGCTGATTGTGGGAGCTGGCTAGTCAATACCAGATATGTCCCCCGTTCGCTCTCTCCACAGCCCTGGTTATATACATGGAGTTAATGAGTGAGTTTATCCTCCTCATTGGGTGTTGGCCCATTCTTCCAAGAGGGCCAGAGTAACGGGGACGCTGACGTCGTCGAACCTGCCTACCAGCTGGTCCCATAAGTGCTCAATAAGGGATAAGTCGGGGCTATCTCTGAAATTTTATCTTCCATTCAATTTCAATTTATTTATTTGGTAGGTTATATGAAGGACTAAGATATAGATCTATGTCCGATCGTTTATTACCGTGTCTTAAAATTGTGTTTTAATCAAATTAGTGGATTTACAGCTGTGGCTTTGTTTTAAACAGCTTTGGTTATTACCCTTTGTTTTTATCTTGTCCTGATATCTCCCGGAAGTTCCACGGCTTTGATTTGTTCCCTCTAGATTTATTTTCATTTTTTGAACGGGTTTTACGTCCACTATTACGACTTTTCGGTCCTTGGTGGACGAGCTCCCTCTAGACTTTCAGACTTGTTATTACCACTGGTGTGTTCATAGGAAGGTAGATACGTGCTGGTGGTGAGGGGGTCATGTGTAGAATAGTATTAGTAATATTACTATACTAGTATAAATGTAGTTGCACAATGCTACTCTCCCGGAAACAGTGTTAAATGTCCCTGTACCAGAGATACCTGACTAGTTAGCTTTTCTGGAAAGACTGAGGTAGAAGAAAACTGTTAATTTGCATTTTCCCTGAAATTATTGGTCATGTTTGAGATATACTGGTATAGTAGATTGGTTATGAAAAATATATCATTTCATATATATTTATAAATTACATAACAATTACATTAACAGTAGAGAGATGAAATTTGTGTAAATAAAAAATTCTTCTGATTTCTGACATTTGATTGTCATGGTTACCAACTGAAAAAATGCTACAAATGCAAAAATACTGCTAACTCCAACCTAACACTAGAAGTTTCTAGAAGAAATTTTATTCTAAACACCTATCTTAAAATCAAAAACACGATCGTGGTAACACGGTACTTACATTTTAGCAAATTCCAACCCGGAAATCCTTCATAATATGACCACATGTTAACACTATGAAAATTTCACTTCCTGTAAAGCTAGTTTTCGGTGCGTAGACACAGATTCGAGATTGCCCAAATAGTAATCTCGAACACAAAGCTAAAATATTATTTCTGAAAAAAAATGACAAGACCAATTTTTATCAAGGATTTATTTTTTAAATTTTAATTAAAAACTTTATAATGGGGTAACCTAATGAACAAAAAAAAAACCCACCATGGCCACACCGAGAAACTGTACTGCTACCTGACCACGTTTAATTTTCCCGCCACCATTGATATTGTGTGGAACTCTTCAATGACAACAAAAACAAAAATGGAGTCGTCAGCAGGTGTCCCAGATGTTCAGCCAAAAGAAACTAATGAAGTCGGAGCTGATGAAGACAAACTTACTAATTCTCGTGGACAGAAACTTTACTGCAAATACTGGAACAATGGAAATGAAGCTGAAGAGTCACAAAATCGGAAATATAGGTATTTTAGTTATGTGACAGTTCTAGCTAGGTCTGCCCTGCGGCTGTTCAGTAGGGTTCTTTATTTCTTATCAATGTTAGAAATACGTTTGCATGCATTGCTGTTTCCTTACTAATGAATATTTTCGAAATACCATCTAGCAAATCGTCAACTTTCCAATTTGCATGGTAGTCTGTCCCCTAACCCGTAATGAGTGAGGTTGGCTTTTATGAAGGTGTGTTTTGGTCAAGAACAATTTCAACAACTGGTCATGGTTACGTAAAACGACAGGAGATTCGGAGAAACCATGAGGGGTACTAAACGGATTCATGGATTTAGCCGGGATATCGAAAGTGTGGGCAGCGAATTAACACTCCTCCCCAACCAAATGTAACTTTAGACTCATTCAGAAGTTGATCAACCATATCATAAAAGTCTATATAATGATCTGATGTTAGCTTGGGTGTATCTCTGAACGCCAACCTTTTTAATTTCCCTATAGGGCAATTTGTTTCAGAACTCTTAAGTCATGGAAGCATTTTCTCTGTGGCCCTTTTGCCCATATATAAAATTTAAATTGTGTGGATAACTTTAAATTTAGAGCTTTCCTTGAATCACTGTAATTATCTGCACATAAATACAAGTGTCCATGTAAGTGAACTGATGAATTAGCTATAAATTATGAAGTGTAATAGATGTATAATTGTGACTAGTTTTGTGTTATGTTCACTGTGCGGTTCATGTTGTCCTTTTATTTATGAATTAATGTCCTACTTCATTATGGGCCTTACACTCTATGTAGATAGTTTTCTGTTTCTTCTGCATATGTTTAATTTCTGGCTACCTCTCATAGTTCAGATTCCATCGTTCTTTTGTGACCTACTCTTAACTAAACCTGATCTTTAGCTTGCTGAAGGTGGTCAGTTACATGTAGATGTAGACATAAATTGAAGCAATGAAGACCATGTGATAGTGGATCCATACTGTGACCCTTGTTGAACAAAAGTAATTAATGGTTATGAGCATCTATCACACTGCAGTGTTGCAAACAGTAGAGACCAGTTGAGCTGAGATGTAAGAAATTTAACTATGAGACAAAACAAACTGCAGTAGTCAAGAATAGTCTTTACTTTCCGAATAACATATATTGTCTAGTGCATGTGTAATATAGTTTCACTTACTGATATTATAATAAGCTTTGAAAAATGGTACTTGAATGGTACGTTGACCTTACCAGTAATACTTAAAAATTGGTACAGTGTTTTCTGTACAGTTTACATATTAATATCTTGATGGATACTTGGCAAAGACTAAATCTATGTTGCTTGTTGCTTACATTCTCAACAGGGGTAAGAGAGTCGGAATGTACACTAAGTGTAATTACATGGAAAATTTCATGTTCACAATGACATTCTCTAGCATGGTACAGATATATACGACTGGTTTATTATATATGGTATAGCAACTAATGGTACCATAGCTATTAAGCTGTTGGTTTATATACAAATGTATCATGAATTTATTTTGCTTCCAGGGGATTGGTATTTGTAGCGCATGGCCTTGCTGAGCATTGCTTGTTTTATCAGGAAATAGCAGAACTTCTCATAAACAAGGGTTTTTATGTTTTTGCTCATGATCATGGTAAGTGTAAAGATTTCCTATCTAAATGTTTAATTATTCTGTCTTCAGCTTCGTCAATATCACTGATACCTGATTCTTGATCAGATACATACAGAGGGCTTTACAACTCCACTAGTTTGACATCTAGTACATGTATTATGAACATGATTTTTCTGACATCAGTCATCTCGGTAGAACTTTTCAGAATCTCTCCTGTGATCTTGATGACTAATTATTAATTATCAAATTGTACGCTCCAGCATGTATTTGTTTTTGGATACTAATGTTCTGACATGTACTTTTCTTTTGATTGAATTTTCATTATTGTGTAATGAATGTTGTTCAAATAGAATTTTATAATAACCAGTTGCATGGTCATGCCTGAACACATTTAGTGATAGTGGCTGCTGCTCTGAGGAGTTGCAATATTCAGTTAAGTTCTTAATGTGATATTATTATGTACCCTTCAACATTTTGCAGTTGGTCATGGCCAAAGTGAGGGACCAAGATCTCACATTGACACTTTCGATTACTATGTGGCAGATGTTTTTCAACACATCGATCAAGTGAAAGAGAAATTTCCTGAAAAAACTCCAATTTTTCTCATTGGTCATTCTATGGTAAGGTGTATTTGTTCAGACTTAATCAATTTCTTGATAAAACAATTAACTGTAAGATAGTTCTTGCACCTTGTAGGAAATAATATTAGTTTCCATTTGGTTTGATACTGTATGCAATTTTTATTATTTTAGAAACCCATATTGGCTGCATAAGTCTATAAGTGTTGAAAAGTTAAAATGACTTAATTTGATCAGATAAACAACCACAGCTTACTTTATGATTATATGTATGGGGAAAATATATTTCAATTTTGGATATACAAAAATGTCTTCAGATCTTTTCAGCTTAGACGTGACAAACGTAAAGTTTCTTCAGATAAATAGTATTTAATTGGATCAAAATTGGATAAATCTCTAAACAGCATTTCACTAATCAGGATGATAGATATAAATGATAAATGATGTTCATAACTCCATAGAGTATGTTCACTGATCTTTGCTGAGATTGAGACTTTGTTGTTGCTGCTTGTTTATATATTTTTATTAAATATTCAGTTTTGTACTTGACTGTTTTCATTATCAGGAGATCTCTTTTAGAATAAAAATCCTATTTGAAATTACTATTTTCTTGTTTTGTTTGAAATGAGACAGAGAATACTAATAATCTTGATGTCAATGTTTAATATTGAACATTAATACATGTACTTCCCTCTGAAGTTCTGATAATTTTAGAATATCACTGAAAATCTAGTAGAATGAATTGATGTCTACACAGTATTTATCATTGATGTATAACAGGGTGGAGCTATTAGCGTGTTGTCAGCCATGTCCAGACCTGACTATTTTACTGGTGTTGTATTACTAGGACCAGCCATCCAAGCAAGTCCTGGAGCAATATCACCAATCAAGGTATTTGTTACTGTATTTATCTAGCACTAAGCCCATGTCTGGTAAGGAGTTAAGTCCATTGCTGTATTAGAAGCTCATTCCCGAGAAACAAAACGTTGGCTGCTGGTAATGACAAGTTGGCCCCTGGACTTATTGTAGGATCAATTGAATATAGAGGATCTTACACAAGTGTGGATTTAATACAGAATTTATAACAAAGAGTTCAATAATTTGATGTTACAAGCCTTTGATCAATTTAATAATTTTCAGGTTACATCAACAAGATTCTTTTTTCATACAACCAGTATTTCTGAAAAACAAGTAAAAATTCAAATCAATTTCCCTATGACACAGACTTATTTCCACACAAACAGTACATTTCACTACTCAGACAATGATGTGACATTAAGACACCACTTAGTTAGATGTCTCAATAGCATTGATACAGATGTCTTACAATATTTAAGACATTACCATATGTCATGACAACAGGATAGATATGTGATGAATTTGTTTCTATCATCTGTAGTGTAGTCACTTATTTGACTGTAATGGTTAATATTCAAAATAGCTACACTGTGAAATGATGCATTGATACAGAACACTTCAAAAGTACCTTGATACTGATATAAATTAATGTCATAATCATTTAAGAACTTTTTGGTTGCAGTTATATTTTTGACTTTCTAAATTCAGATGATGGCAGGCAAAGTAGTTGCTAGAATTTTCCCTCAGATGTGTATTGAGAAGCTCAAAACAAAGGATTTATCAAGAGATCATGAAGTGGTAAGATGTGAAAGTTTGAATCAATTGATCAGTGTTTACCCCTCACCAAAATTACCATCTGCATCTTTGAAAACAGCTTCTTAGTAAGATTTCATTCAAAAGAGAAAAAATAACCCTTCTCCCTGCTGAAAGGTTTTATTGTCAAATAACCATTAAGGCTCATGGACTCTTGTTTACAAATTTGGTCTAAATCATCCTCAGTAAAGGATATTTTATGTGAGGTTATTATGAAAGACAAACATAGTCATGGATACCTTCATTCTTTGCCATTTTCAGCTGCCTTAGTTTCTGGTACTTCTACGATGAACATTTGATGTTTTGTCTTTAATAGGTAAAAGAATATGAAGAAGACCCTTTAGTCTTTCATAATGGTCTGAAGGCAAAGTAAGTACAGCATGAGATCTGATGATTTGTATGGCTTGTATCAAATTTTCTTTACAAAATTGAATATAAATATTCTTGGTGTTTTTCCTTTGTTTGAATAATAACATTTCTTGTGATGACTGCAGAATATGAGTGGTCAAAATGTTGAACATGACTTGGTAACTGCCTGTCTACATACATCATAGGGTTAAGGCTATATGTTCACACTACATTGTTGCATTGTGCTGTGGACCAAATATGTCAGTTTTTGTATGCAAGTCCTTTTGTGATAGCCGCACCCCAATACATACAATGGAACTTCTCCATAGCAACCATGCATGGGACATGGATATTTTGGCTGGTTTAGGAAGGGTTCGGTTTGTAGAAGTGGAGCAAGTCAACCAGTCCAGATTCTGATATAATTGACCAGATTCTGTTCTCTATAATACATTAATCATTCCATTCACTTTCAGCATGTACATGCTAACTAATGTGACTTTACATGAAAAAAGAATTGTGCATTTCCTGGTGGGACCAAAAAAGGGTCAAATTGACTTCAATTTCAAAAATCTTCTTCTCAACACCCAGATTTGGTAGAATCAAATACTCTTCATGAATAGAAGCATCTTAAGGTACTTTACTAAAATTGTGAATTTCATGGCCCCAGGGTCTCACATTTTCCATGGGGAGGGGGTAAAGTTTACTCAAGTCTATTTAGGAAAACTAGATTTTTGAGCATAATTTGTTAAATTTCCTTTGGAATTATTAAAACTTTTGTTGAAATTATGAATGAAGGATGACAGCTTAATGGGATGCCCATATTGATCCTGACTGACCCCCAGGGGCTGATGAGTGGGGCCAAAAGGGATCTTTTGACACTTAATAACTACCCTTTAACCTTTATATTCAATATTGCTTATCTCCGGTGACTGTCAAAGCCACTAGGCCTTTTGTTTTCACTTTATCTGTAGCTGTTTCTTGCTTCGATGAAGCGATGGAGTCGTTCGATATAGTTTGAATTTGTCATTGCTGATAACTATACATTATGTTTATTATAATCCTCCTGATCAGGGTAGGTGTTGTGTATACTGGGGCAAAACTGTCACCACAGGCGTTGAATTCACGGTCCACTGGTCGGAACTCAGGTCATGGTAAAGCCAGTTTTCAGAAGTGATTTTCAGTAAATTTCTGTCATTTCAGACAAAAAATAGGTTTATTATTTGAAATGAAGAGGGGTCTTTATTGGGATTGTTTTCTTTCAGTAATAAAGAGGACATCATTCCGTACATGGTCATTTCGTTCGGTTTGAAAAGGTGATTGGTTTTGAAAAGCATCAGTTGTGGGATGTTGCACTGTACATATACTGTAATGTGACTGGGTGGATATACAAGAATGGTCAGTGGAAGTACATCACAAATGTTCTATTTACAGGTTTATTTTGCTTTTCCACCAGTGTTGGTGTCAGTGTCTACATCAACATTGTGAAGTTGTGATATGTTTCTCATAAATCCAAGTACAAAGCTTGACGATCATTTTCCTTTCTGTATTATTATAGATGGGGTTTAGAAATGCTGAAGGCCTTTGATATTATGAAAGAAGCATTGCCCAAGGTAGAATGGCCTTTTCTTGTATTACATGGAGACCAGGATAAACTTTGTGCAGTTGAGGGTTCCCAGCAACTTCATGAACAAGCGCAGAGCAAAGACAAGCAAATCAAGGTGGGTACTCATTCAGCACAAAGATGCTTCCAGAGTATGGGCTAGGAGAGTATTTAAATATAACAGTGGTAGAAGCAGATACATATGTTCAATAATTAGGAAATCATGTTATTTTTGGGATTCCAAAGATCTGTAAACAAAGAGAATTCTTCCTTTCTCAATATTCTTCAAAATTATTTTTAGTCGAACATGATCAGACCCTTTGGTCACATGTTGGCCATGTTTTTTTCCCTGATCAATCCTTAAATGATGTATGTGCAAATAAGGACCAAAGGGAACCTACCTTTGAAATGTAAGAAAGATTCATCCCGTGCTTCTTCAGAAATTACAAGAACTACCATAAATTTCCGTGTACAGTGTGCACTTTTTCAAGCTAAAACTGTCATGTCAAAAAGGGGGTGCGCATTATATGCAGGAACATGCCATTCTTGGGGTTATCATTCCCGAGTTCTGCATCCGCCATATTGGATTACCTCCCTTCACATAGTTATATGTAAAAGTTGTCAGTCATATATGATAGTTTGGAGATAAAAACAACAAAAAAAATGAAAAAAATTTGAATCTTTTAATCATCGGCCATACACGCTAGCATTACGGTGAATCTAATTTTTTTTTTTCGTTCCCGTCATTTGAATAGTCACTGTCTTACTATTGGTCGGGGCTATAGTAGTGTCTGAATTATACTTCTGTATATAAGGATGGACAAGTGAAAGGATGACTGAAGAGCGATTTGATGCATAATAATAACTTTGTCCATGCTTGCAAAGCTTAAGTGCAAGTCAAGATAGCTTGTGAATCCTTCAACTGATGAAGGTTATATTGACACATAATAACATATCATCAGGTTCTATTTTTGATGGCAGTGGCTGAGTGGTTAAGGCATCAGACTGTCTTTATCAATAGCCCTCCACCTCTGGACCACAAGTTCAAAGCTTTTGTGGGCTAGTTGCCAGATTCTGGCATCAGGGTGGTGGTTTTTCACAGGGAACTCTGGCTTCCTCCACCACCGAAACCTGGCATGTCTTTAAACGACCTGGTCATAGGATGTAAAGCAACAATACACCAAATCAAATCTACTCTTGTTTAGATTTTCATGGTCATCTGTCGAGGTTAATAGTGACAACCATATTCAAAATAAACCCTGCAACACAACAAATTTAATTCATATTTACATCATGGCATCTCATAATTAACACTTCTACCTCTAATTAGCTTTTGGTAGTAAATATGTAAAGGTTGAAGGTAGAAAAAATACTTGACCTCTTTTGAAATTGAAAAGTTACGTAATGAGCACCTCGAGAACCCCTCCACAGAGCTTGTTAAAAATGGTATCAGGGAATGAGTATATTGTTGAGAGCTCCTGCTCATTTTCCAGGTCTACAAAGGTTTATACCACCAGATACACAGGGAGCTCAGAGAAGACCGAGACATTGTCCTGCATGACCTGGTAGACTGGCTGGATAAGAGAGCATAGAAGGACAACACTGATTTCAAACATGGTACCAAGATGATGAATTGAGGAACAAAACAAACAAATCTGATTGTCTTAAAAATTTGTTCGATGGGGAAAAGATATGACCAAGATAGATTTTGTATTTTAACTAGAAATATTAGTGAAACAAAATGATCTGATTTTTCATGTTATAATTATATATTCTGTGATGGAAGGTAGATCTGACTTACTTTTTATTTTTATCTTTATATTATTATAGTTTTTGTATGCATCCATTATTTAGATCTTAGATTTTTAGCTCTTTTATGCCTGCTTATGCTGAAGTGTATTTTGCTAGTATCAAACATATATAGCAACTTTCAAGTGGAATTTTTATACATCTTATAAACTTAATATAGAGATAGGCTATTGGATGGTTTTATCTTTTTAATAATGGTATTTACACATTTAAATGGATATTTTAAATATTTCATGGTTTATTCCAATAGGACATCTTGAAATGTATACATATGACAGATCAATAACATTATAGCTGATACCTGAAATCAAAATATAAAGAAATGGATACAATTTTTATCAAAATTGGAAATATATCATAGAAGCACAGTTAACAAAGGAATTATATTCTGTGTTAACTTTGAGTTTTGTATATTTGGAAGGTATACCTTATAAGAACTAGCAGCTGTAACTGTAAACAACACCTCCACTTTTCATACATAGTGTCACAAAACATCATCTTCAGTTGTGTTGCCACATCAAATATGTTTTCAAAACCCCCATTTTTCTAAATTTGATATCTTCAAATCCTGATTTTTCAAGATTGTCCTAAATTATTCAGAATTTGGTTTTGTAAAAGTTCAAAAAATAGAATTAAGAAGTATGCAACTTTATCTTTAATTATGCTTGTTGGTTTACCAAAGACCTTTTGAAAAGTAGAAATACTTAATTTCTCTCAAAATTCTTTAGTGTATCTTTATTTGATGATGCTAAAAATGCATTTCAACGTACCCAAAGTAAATTCTAATTGATCTAAGAAGCTGAGTAAATGTTTTACATTTGGAAATCAAAAATCACAAGTGGCAGGTGTCAACTGGAGGCAGGTAAAGAGTTAACAACACTATTTAAGTTTTTACTATAATATACATCTGTGAATTTTATTTTGTTTTTTAGTTTTGACTTTTATTTTTGATTTTATTATTGTTATATAACCTTTGCATGTTATGGTATTTTCAGATTTGATATTTAATGCAGTTTTGATATTTCTGTTGGTTGGCTATTTTTACATTGCAGATACATTTATTGGAAATCAAAGATAATCCTGTAATAGTTAGTTCAGGTGAAACACCATACTGAAATGATTGGTGATGAGGATTTACATTATTTTATAAAAGTTATTGACCTTTTATGATGGCAAAACAGTTCCATATCTTCAGTTATTATTATTTTTCATTATTTTAAAGTTTTCTTTAGGTCTTATAGCAAGGTTTGATAAAACAGAACCTTCATGGCATTTGTATTAAATCATCTGAGACAGTTGTCTTTTGACATTGGTTTGATGAACAATCAACAATTAAGTGTATTACATCACCAAATACTTCTAAACACTTCATGTAGTTCCATCATACAACCAGCCTCACACTGAAGATGTGATGAGAGTTATAATGAAGCTCTATCATTGAAAACCAGTCATTGACTTTTATTTTTGAATTTGAATCCACCAGATCTTTTAAAGTGGTTACTTTATGACCAAAATGCATTTATGATGACTTAGAATGGTTATTGTGATTTTCTTCCTGTTTTTTTAATTTTTTCTCAAAATGTTCAAAGCATCGTATTCTCATATCAAATACCGGTATTCTACATTTTGTATTTTGACATGTTTCCACGTGTTTATATAATCTTGTACATGCATGTATGTGTTTTATTTACATATTTGTTGTCAATGTAAGTACAATGTATTTGTTTATGTATTAGACTCTTATTTAGTTTTATGCCTATTTAAGTATGACATTAAATATACCCGGATACAGTAATTTATGTTAAATATGGTTGACAAGAGTGTTCATGCATTTACTTTATATGTCAAAGAAGGTGCCATAATAAAAAGAAACAAATGTCTTGCATCCAATCACTGATTTCATTTACCAGTAATTTTATTTACCCTTCTTGTTTATTTGAATAGATTAAATAGTAAATTGGTTTGAAGATAGGCTTACTTTAAAGGTAATTTATCTGATATTTAAAGTTATTTTTTCCACACAATATAAAGCCACCTTAAAAATTCTGTTAAAATACGCGATAGAAAGATGGAAGTTCATTTCATGGAAAATAGTTATATTGCATGACACAGTCCAATATAAATGATGACCTATGTTTTCTCTTGAATTATATTTTGATGTTAAATGCGAGTCAGCTTGAATCTGTTACGATCATAATTCCTGTTTTTTTTTTTTTGGTGTTATCATGTCTCTTCTTTTGAATTCATTCACAAGAATACTGTTTTACTGTAGAAATCAAATATTTTATAATATGATTTATCTATGTTAACTGATAATGGCTTTTTACTATATCATGGGCCAGATTTGTACATGTGTTGTATAAGCATCTAAAACTTATTGCAGTATTTTAAAAAAGTCTTAGTATGCATACATATATTGAAGCGTATACAGAATATCCCTCAAGTAAATTAGTAAAAATCACTGATGATATATTAAACTAGCATTTTTAAGATTGGATAGATTGCAATGCTTCATAATAGGATACAAGCTGTATTATTATATACCTCTAATCTGATTAGATATCTGTAATCAGCGTACAGAACAACCAGAGCCTGGACAGTATACTCAATGTTATGTTACATCTTAATGTAGGTTAAGTGGTTCATTGAAGATTACAGAAGAAGAATCATTAATTACATGACAGTAGATATGTGTGGGTGGCACAACTGTGTGATATCAGCTCTTTCTTCAGATGGTTCCTCCAAATTATGTTGACTTCACTATAAAGCGTGGCTAACAAATTACAGTTCATGTGCAATAACAAAGAACAATAGTCAGAAATTGGTATTTTTGGATGTTGATGTAGGAGTAGTTATTCAAGTGTATGTTTTATCATAATGCTAATTATTTACAGACTGTTTTTGTTATGGAAAAGCTTGGCATTTTAGGGGAATTGTCATTTAATGAGAATTGGAACACAAAATCTAAACTGGATGAAAAAATTATAAGATTATATGACATTGATAGTTAATTTCTACATTAACATTAACTTACCTGTGTACTTAATAAAAATTGTATCTGAAGAACTACACAATGTGTTCAGTTGAAGCCTTATTATGTGTCATAGTAAAAGTTTTAATGAAGTGTTGTTACAGTAATGTTGATATATGTTGATGAAACAAATACTTATTTTGATAATCTATACATAATTTACATCATTTATCAACTTAACAGGATTGATGCTTGCCATATCTTGTATCTAAATAACAATAAATTGTATTGAGAAATTATCATGGTTTGGATTTTGATATAAATAAGAAAAGAGTGTGCCTAATATTTTGAATGAAAGAACAGTCACGAGGCATGTAGCCTGCTAGGGGGAGCGATTAAGGTCTACATTTTTTTTCATGAAACAATTATTCTGAAAAATAAATTTGAGTTACTTTTTCATGACTTCTTGCATACTTACAAAATATATTCACTCTTTTAATTGTGTGGATTAATGCATTCATTTTCATCATTTGTAACAAGTTCAGTGTAATTGAATCGGGTCTCCAATATGCTTTTATATGGTGTTAAAACATGCTAAAATGAGTGTCAAATTTAGGACAGATAACTGAAATCATGTTAAGACTTAATTTCCTATATCATTGCATTAAAATGTTTAAATTATTTAATTTTCTTCAACCTCTTGGTTCAAATTAGTTTTTGCACCCCAGAAATTTTTTCTTGGGAGCATATAGTTGCCATCATTTCCATCCAACCTTTTGTGTTTGGAGCCTAACTTTACACACAATTAAGCAAGGATCATGAAACATGGTTGATACATTGGTCATACTAAGGGAATGTAGCCCTTGACCCTTTAATTACAGAGTTATTGCCCATTATTAAAATTTTGTGTCTAGAGCACAATAACTTTAAATTACTTACATTTAACAAAGGATAATGAAACTTGAAGTATACATTGGTCACGCAAAGATGATGTGCAATTTATTACTTTCAGGACCAGCAGCCCCTTAATTTCAGATTCATTGCCCTTCGTTCAATTTTTGTCTAGAGCACAACTTTCATTCATACATTCATTGATCATGCCAAGACGATGTGCAGCATACCAAATTCAGGGCCATTGACCCTTAATGAGTTATTGTCCATTGTAAAATATATTGTCCAAAAGATCCAAAAGATAACTTAGCTAGCATTTAAGGTAGGATAATGAAACCCCGCATATATACATCAGTTATATAAAAACAAGGGGCAAAGTCTGGGTCCATGACCCCTCAGTACTGAGTTATTGCCTGCTGTTAAAGCATAGCTTTGCTTGTATTAAAATTAGGATCATGCAACTCGGTGTTTACGTAGGTTATGTTAAGAGCGTGTGCAGTATACTAACTTCCCAATTAGGACATAGATTATTACACAAATGAGTTTGATCTTCTTTCAATGTCAAGTGGTATGTTAAGCTTACTAAACAACGACCAGTACTTTTCAATGAATTTGACAGTTTTTTTCGCCGTTACATGGGTCAGTATAAAACCACTGAGAGAATTCTCAAGTTTAGGAAGACCCAGGCCATCGATAATTTTACCAACAGGTATATAAGCTTTGTTACCTACCCTACAGTTTCCTAAAATGAATCTGACTTAGACCTTGGCTTCGTTTTATGGTAACGGGATCGGAATACATGTTGGAGCATATGGAATTATTACCATTGGTGTCGAATACAAATTAGGGAATACTTTATCATTATAACGTGACCTCTTGTTACTAGATTAATTTATCAGTGATTTTCACAACGTTTGTTGAAACCAGGGACGTTGTAAGGTACGTATTATGCGTCCCTGGTTGAAACCAATGGACGAGGAACAGACCCAAGCAAGTTATTTCCCTTCGGCATTCGCTACAGGTGGCGCTTTATCAAAATGGCGATGGCTGATGTGTTTGGATTTGGATAGTATATATTTTTAGTGTAAATAAAACATTATCAACGGCAAACATGGCAGAGAAGCCGAGCAAAGAACAAGACATTCTTGAGCTTTTCAAATCGAAGGTAAGAATGTCGTATATACATTAATGTAAAATGTGTGATCGCAGTGTATGATGACCCAATATCATCTGTTGTCTAAAGTCTGTTCTTGACACGAATCGTTAGATATACTGACACAAGTAACACACGGGGCTATGTTTTGTTTGTTCAAAAATTGTTACTGGTCAAAGTCAGTGATCTAAAATAGAAAGCATGGAGATATATATCTCTTTGTTGACAGGTTGGACACAACCCCTCATATGGGTAATAACTTGGACTACTTGGAACATGTATGTCCCTAATCGCAGCATATTACATTTTTCTGATACTATTCTTGATCCAAATGATACTGCTACATTTGCATCGAAATTCAATGCCATGCATGCTTAAGATTCACACCCTTATCACCATCCTAGATCCTCTAGTTTCTTCCTAGCTGTGCTGACAGATTTAAAAGTGTCTGCATGACTGCTGGGTAAATAGAAGTAGATAGAACCATTGGATTAGTTGAATACTTCATTTTGTCCCACCAACTGTGCTTTACTGTATGTATTAAGCTGCACAATGTTTTGTCAAACAAAATTGGTTAATTAGTACCCAGTTGCTACCCCTTCAGTTATAACATCGCCAGAACACTGACTTTTGTGACTTTTAGTGAGATGATACCCACGGAACAGAAGGAGTCACAGAGATGGAAAACCTGTCAACTAATCCAAATCCTTCAGTTATCCTTTCTGTCTGTGAAATTGGTGATTATGCTGGATTAGGGGTGGGGTTTGGACAGAGGCATTTGAAGGGGTTATATTATATACAGAATGTATTTTAGTCCAATATCATTAACTGGTGGATTGTTCAAATGACCTTGCGTCTATTCATCATCTGTCAGTAAAAAAAATTTGTTATTCCTATTTCTTGAGATGTTTTATGATTATCATTAATCCTACATAGTATATTATTTTTCATGTATATGTAATAACAATACTTGTTCACCAAGTATTTGTTCAGTTTGGTAACTATTGTAGTCTTTTTATTATTCAAAACAGGTGGCAGAAGCAGTTGGAATGGTGGCATTAATCCCTGATGCTCAGAAAAGACAACTGCATGACTTCTGGGATGTGATATCAAATACTATTAACCCATCAAATAAATCTGCTGACATTGATAGAAAGAAGACTGAAGATGCAAGTGTAAACATTTCAGAGAAATTTGGTGATCGCCATCAATTTAATGAGGATGAAGCTAGTAATAACAGTCAGAAAGAATGTGAAGGTGCTGATGAAATTAAGAATGATGAAGCATCTCATAGCATTCAAGAGGGATGTGAAGATGCTGATGAAGGTAAAAGTGATGATCCAAGCTTTAACATTCAAGAGGAATGTCTACCATCAGATGACTCCAGACAACAAATTCAAGCCAATCAAAACACTACAAATGAAGAAAGTGTGCTGGTCTCATCGGACATTCAAGACTTTTTTGACATGGTTTCCACTTCAAATCAAGTTTCATATTCAGAGTCTCCTGTGACCAGCACCTTGTCAAGTCAGAATCTGTCAGTGGCACAGTATTGTCCACCGGATGATATGCATTCACAGTTTACAGGCACAAATCAGCAGGATGTAAGATTTGAAGTTGATACTCACAACAGTTTTGATGAGACTAGTAGTAATGCAGAATACCTCCAGAATAGAAATGACATTGTTGAAATAGAAGCAGTGCCAGCTGCTCCCACAAAGGAAAGTATGGTGAGCATGCTGAAAAAAGAAATCACAGTCCCAACAGAAATTCTGTGTGAAGTAAGAGAAGACAGTCAGACAATAGAAATCCATCTGCCACAAGACTTTGCAGAAGGAGAAATTTTGACGCCAGAAAAACTTAGTATGTTACTGCAGGGTCAGTTTCAGAGTTATTCATCACCTGTGAAAGCAGAGCCTTCAAATATTCACCAGTTTGTAGATAACATTTCAGTAAATTCATCACCTACAGCGGAAAATGTTTCCAAACAAGACAACAAGGATGCACCTCATGAACAGACTGTACCTAAAAGCAGTAGATCTAACAAGAATGATTATAGTGATGAAGTTCTTCATGAAATCCAAGACAATCAATTTCCTAAAGCAGACTCTCACATTGTACCTAATTATGATGAACATTCTGAAAGTAATAAAAGTAAAAAAAAGAGAAAACATTTGAGAACTTCTTCTCCAGGGAGAACCAGTAAACGAATAAAACAAAGAAAGGACAACATAAATCTGGAGGGAGACATATTGACTCCAGAGAAGGTTTTGGATTATTTGTATGGTGAAGATATTGATAAGGAAATTGATGGTAAAGACATCGACAATAATGATGCTGATGAGGAACAAGCAGTGAGAACCAGTAGAAAAAGAAGAAGAAGAAACCGTCTGAGTAAACCAGAAACCAGCTCTAATTCTGAACCAAGAAAACGGCAGCATGCTCAGAATCGACCACGAGAGGAAAGGAATAAACTAGGAAATATTGAATTGGTTTGGGAATGTAAAACATGTGGAATAAAGTTATCAAATTCTGGAGCTCTTCATGGTAAGACTAGCAACAAGATATGGTTTGTGTGTCATTATCAAAATAATAAATTCATGAAACATTTGTATGATTTCTTGTTTAATTACATTTGCTAGGAATTACTGTGAAGATTTGCTCTGCATACTTCCTGTTTAATCAGAGTACAAAATTAAAAATTCTGAAATTTGCAATTTCCATATCATCAATATTGTATTTTAAAACACCACAAAACAAACGGGTATTTAATTATTTTAAAACATTTTATTTTAGTTCACCAGAGAAAGCATACTGGAGCCAGACCATTTTCCTGTAAAGAATGTGACAAGACTTTCACAACTAAGCAGAATATGAAACGGCATGAGCTCAGTCACACTGGAGAGAAACCTTTCTCTTGTGATCTGTGTGAAAAAAGTTTCACAGAGAAGAAAAGCCTTATAATACACAACAGGACTCACACGGGCGAGAAACCCTATGTGTAAGTTATGTATAGAAATATATATCCATACTGTGAGTTGTATAAATCTCCAAGAAAGTTTACGTTTAAAGTGTAACAGTATGAAGAACAGGGAAGAGTATTAGTAATCAATGTTCCAAGGCAGTGCCTCATTAATAGGATTCTAAGGTAGTGCCTTGTTAATACGTATATACAGTATAGTTGATGTTTTTATGAAGATATCAAATGACTTGAAGTAGTATACATATTTTAATGAGAAAAAGGATAAATAAAAAGAAAAGATGAATAAACAAGATAAATTTTCACCTATATAACTTGCAGTAAGTACTGCAAGGTTGAGATTTTTAAGTGGTTCTTTTTATTGCCATTTTTAGAGGATAGGTCGAGAATGTTAAAGTATCAATAAACAAAACGCAATGCATCATATGTAGTAATGAATGTGGAGATGATAGTTTCAGGTTAGAATTACCTGCTGTAATTGTACCTGAATTTTATGTGTACAAATGAAATTCTATATAAATATACACATAAATAACATTGGTTTCGCACATTTTTGTGTTATGTGCTGACTGTAGAATTCATTAAAAATTTATTTTACATTTAATTTAATTTATGGGAAAGAAATTCTATTTATATATTATATCAGAGTGTTGTCTATCTTGTTAGAATCACACTTTGCATTCTCAGGGGTTTCTTAGGACATTTTTGGGCTAGAATGGGTAGTTATGTTTCCAAGGTCCTTAAAACTTGCTGTTAAACCCTGGAAAATTTCATATGCTTTACTGTACTAAGTCAATTTGTACCCAAAGTATAACAAAAAGCTCTGATCCCAAATTTACAAATAAAATGCTACTTCTGCAGCTCTTGGGTATTTAATATCTCTTTATGTCAGTACATAGTTTTCCCAGTGACAGGCATTCTTGATTCTGTGATTTGATGTTCCTGTTTAATATGCTTAATACTTGTTGGCCAGGTGTGAGATCTGCAGTAGAGGTTTCACTCAGAGTGTCACACTGAAAACGCACATGATGGTACACACTGGTGACAAGAAACACTTGTGTGAGCTGTGTGGAAAGTCCTTCAAGCAGCGTGCAAACCTCCTCTCACACAAAAAACGTCACCTAGAGGAGAAGACGTACAACTGTTCAGACTGTAGTTTCTCATTCTTCACTAAAGGTATACATATAAGAAAAAAACCGTAATATGATCAGTTGCATGTTGGCAGAACCGTAGCTTATCATGCTGGAGTACCAGGTTTAATTCAATGTCATTATTCTTTCACAGTAACAATTCCATTTCAAATCGATACATCATTTTGCCAAGCAGACTCTGAAGATATAGTCAGAAAGAATGTTTTGACCATGTTGGAAATATATTAATAAACACAACAAATTTGTTACAATATTAGATATGAGGTGTGCACATCCACTTTTAGTCTTTAATTTCCCATTTTAATACACCAAGAACTTGTATTGTTACAGTAGACTGACAAGACAATGTGTAACCGAGACACGGTTCAATATGTAGAAGTAGAAATAATCTGGATGATTTCATTGAGCAACATGTGTTGGTTTTGGTGAATTTTACTTGCCAGAACATTGTTAAATATACATTAGTGGTTGTTTCCACTCTTTGCAAATGACATGAAATATTTTGATCTATAAAAAAAGTTGATTGATTTCTCGTATATTAATATTAAAGCAAAGGAGTTGGTAAATAATGTATTTTTATTGTTCTTACTTTTTAGGAGAATTAGATCGCCATATTCTGCGACACACTGGAGAAAAACCATTCCAATGTGACATATGCCCAAAACGCTTCACACGACAACAATACCTCAACGAACACCTTAACATTCATATTGGTAATAAGCCTTATAGTTGCAACAAGTGTGAGGAGAAATTTCATGACCAGTCAACATACCATCGTCATCTAAAGAAGCATAAGCCTAAAAAGGAGGATGTAGTGAAAGAGGAAGTGATATTGGAAACGTTGAGTACTGAAGATCCAAAAGAAACAACTACTTATGTAATGGAAACAAACAGTTTATTGGGGCAGGATGCACTTGAACAATTACAGGCTGTAATCAATAATGAAGTGGAGAAGATACAGCATCAATCAGGCACCAGTCAGCCTTATCAAACTGTAATACTCAAAGGTAGTAGTGCACAGCCAGTGGAGACATTGGAGGAGGGCACTAAGAACACAGCAGTGGTCAAGGATGGTGTTAGTGACCAGGTGTATCAGATTACAATGGTTGACCAGTCACAGGAAGTTGTAGCCACTGTGGATTTTTCAGCATTCAATCTTCTAGCCAATGCCACTGCTAAACAGTATGCTATATCTTCTGAATAGTTTGGAAAGTCTGAGAGATTTCTTGGAATTTAATCTTCTGACTGATATCACATTCTTTAAGATACTTTGTCACTTTGAGTTCCTGTAATCAGTTATCTGATTGAGGCCAAAGCAAATCAGTGTTCTGTTTTTTTTTGTTATGTTGATACTTTAGTCATATTTAATGCTGCTGTTTGTAGTCTTTTTAAATCAAATTAAAGTGTAACTGGGGTGAAGAAATATTTCTCAATATTTGAAATTGTTAGGTATTACACACCAGATGGAATCAAAAGACAAAGTGAAAACTATTTATTCCTCTTTGATATTGCTGAATGCAAAACTGTTAAGGTTAAAGAATGTTGGCAAGACTTTTATCTACTTGAATTTTGATGACACCAGCTCTCCTGATGGTATACTTGAAAATCATGGTAAATCTTTTGTAATTTGTGAACTTTTTGGCAATAAATTTAAGTATGAAATTTAAATTTGTAAGTTCTGTTTTAAAGGTGGAAATTATTTTTCTGAAGGTCATTGTTTATACACAAATACATGTTGATTTGTAGCATGTCATCGGAGTGTTAGGACTTATATCATGGAGGGCAATTGGTTACATCCATGTTATAAGTGGGTAACTGTAAACCATGGTTAAGAAAACAATCATATTTCATGAGTAGAGTAGATATTTATGAAGTAAAACTTTTTATGGTGGTGTTGACGAAAGAAAATATTCAGTTTACAAGAAAATGAGTAAAAGATTTTTATTCATCAATAAAATGAAAAATTTTGCATACACTCATTGTTATTTATCATACTACACCTTGCTCTCTTGACTCTGTTGCTGTGAGTATTGTCAGTAACAGGGATATTGTGTTGTCAGGGTTAACAACACTCATTGTTATTTATCATACTACACCTTGCTCTCTTGACTCTGTTGCTGTGAGTATTGTCAGTAACAGGGATATTGTGTTGTCAGGGTTAACAACACTCATTGTTATTTATCATACTACACCTTGCTCTCTTGACTCTGTTGCTGTGAGTATTGTCAGTAACAGGGATATTGTGTTGTCAGGGTTAACAACACTCATTGTTATTTATCATACTACACCTTGCTCTCTTGACTCTGTTGCTGTGAGTATTGTCAGTAACAGGGATATTGTGTTGTCAGGGTTAACAACACTCATTGTTATTTATCATACTACACCTTGCTCTCTTGACTCTGTTGCTGTGAGTATTGTCAGTAATAGGGATATTGTGTTGTCAGGGTTAACAACACTCATTGTTATTTGTCATACTACACCTTGCTCTCTTGACTCTGTTGCTGTGAGTATTGTCAGTAACAGGGATATTGTGTTGTCAGGGTTAACAACACTCATTGTTATTTGTCATACTTAACCTTACTCTCTTGACTCTGTTGCTGTGAGTATTGTCAGTAACAGGGATATTGTGTTGTCAGGGTTAACAACACTCATTGTTATTTGTCATACTTAACCTTACTCTCTAGAGTCCGCTGCTGTGAGTATTGTCAGTAACAGGGATATTGTGTTGTCAGGGTTAACAACGCTAATGGTTATTTATCATACTTAACCTTGCTCTCTAGAGTCCGCTGCTGTGAGTATTGTCAGTAACAGGGATATTGTGTTGTCAGGGTTAACAACGCTAATGGTTATTTATCATACTTAACCTTGCTCTCTAGAGTCCGCTGCTGTGAGTATTGTCAGTAACAGGGATATTGTGTTGTCAGGGTTAACAACGCTAATGGTTATTTATCATACTTAACCTTGCTCTCTAGAATCAGGTGCTCTCAAGACTCATATTGGATTAGTGTAATTACACATGAACTTTGTTTTGCACTATGAAGTCATGTATTTAATTGGTAAATTTCACCAATAAATGTGAAGTGACAAGAATAAGTTATGCTTAAGGCAAGAACTGCTATTTAAAATGTAAAGTTGATATGCATGATCTTGTCATATTCATACAAATTGACTTTAGGTAATATTGTAGTACTTGGTATAATGGACAGCAACATTCTCTACATATATTTCTGTAGTCTGGGCTGGGCAAATTTGTCTGGTTTGATTGAAGGTAATGTTGACATCATTTCATTTTCTCTTCTTTCAAGTTGAAAATGTTTCTTTGAGTAAGGAGCTATTACTGTTGTCGTGTGTGTGATCTGAATTTTCTGAAATGTTTGATTTCTAGGAAATGAGGTCTATGTGCATAAAAAAATGTGTACATGAATGTTGACATTGATATTTATCTTATTTCTAACTCTAGATCTCAGTAATTTTGACAGGAAATTTTTCCTAAAGTGTTCTTATATACACATATTAATTGTGGTGTTTTAAGCTATTTATTTAAATTTGAATTTAAATACCAAGTTTTCAAATTGACTATTTCAAGTTTTCAAATGGTCTATTTCAGAATATCGAATTGCATGCCAGAGTTTGATTGTATACTGCATTGTATTTAGACTCAATACAGATACATCCTGTTTTGGGCAAGTGTATGACTGTCATGCAAGTTATTTTTAAGCTATGCATCGGTTCATAGTTCCTTGTCAGTGTTTTACATGGTACATACTATTATGTCAAAAATTACCCATGCTATGAAGTTAAATTCTCTGAATAGGTCGGGTAGACAAGATGATTCTATTATAGAAACAATCACTTGTTATTAATGGATAAAAATGTTGTTTTATCTCCATAGAGTATTTTTAGTGATGCAGAAGTTGAAATAACCAAACACGTTATTTCATTGTTATAGCAAAGCAGAGACCGTACACTGACCCTAAACTTTAATAAATTTTGAATATTAGATGATTTTAAAAGAGCATCAAATGAACATATTTATTCGGAACTCTGATAATCTTTACCTGTCCAATCCAAAATTGTTTGATAATCGAACGGGCACAAGTAGAGACCAAATGGAACCTACACATGGAATTTTAGAAAGATCCATCCAGTGCTTCTGGAGGAATAGTGATAATAAAAATGGATGACGGACAGACCACAGACCTAGGACGATTATTATAGCTGACCGTCTGATAATAGTGGGCTAAAAGTCCAACAGAATCTGCATAATTAGTATCTTTATCACCACTGATTGCAAGTTACATGATATGTACATACAACACAGCACTGTAAACAATTTATTAACGAAGCCGGATTGCATGTTATAAAGGATACAACAAATATATATGGGTATGCTGTTAAGTATGTAAAGTATATATGGACGTATGTGTTGATGCAAGAAATCTGTCTAGGAATCAACCAAATCTGATCTTATCCTAAACGATAAGCGCACATATACAGTTTATATAGTTCAACGATTTCCAATTACATTTTTCTAAGGTCAAAACATTTTTGCAGTAACCGGAATCCATAACTTTTGAACAGAATATGTGGGGTTTGGCCTTGGTTGATCCTCGTCATAACAAACTTTTTGAATCGATTTTCAGTGATGTCCATTTTGAGAGTGTAAGCTTCTGGAACTTTGTCTTCCCTCACGACTAAAACAGAATTGCGATTCTGGAGAGAGAGTATTCTCCCCGTATCTGTAAAATTCAACAGAATTGTGAACTTTTCGTTTTCGCAGACTTCTGGCATGAATGCTGACGGCAATATATCAAATATATGTCTGACGTCTAATGAGTTGATATGGTCGGTGGTGATAGCGCTCTGATCGAAAAGATCCAGCTGTCCCATCGTCTCGAGGACGGATGTTCTCAGATAGTTAATTGCGTTCGTGTTTATTTGTTGGTCGGCAATAGCATTCAGACTGTCAACTTTCACTTTCATTGCCGTATCGTCAGACGCGTTCAGTGCAAGTGCATAAGAGGCTAGTTCTAGAGCCCACTGTGCATTTCCCTTGTCAACTGCTGCCCGAGCAGCTGTGACCAGGTTATTCACACCACCAGCCAGATCGGCCATATGTTGTGCCTTTTCGCCTGTTGTGAGGGGAAAGAGGTCTTTAGGGTCACCACTAAACCAGCCTAAATACATTTGGAAGACCCCTTTGACAGACCATCCTACCATACCGTACTCTTCTCGCAATGTAGAAACATTGGCTAGGGATGGCGGGAGTTTTACTTTGCGAACGACTTCTTCTGGCGTGAGTCCCTTGTTGATGTAGCGGAGGGTCTGGTCATGAATGAATTGGATGCCGTCTCTGTGAGGGATAAGCATGTCCATAATGGTTTGTTGTCCAGTTATTGCAGACCTGTGACTTGGTACTAGGTATGTCAAATTCAAATCAATGATGTAGTCTAGAGATTTATACCAAGCCTTGGCATCCCGCACCTTTGCCCCTCGGATTGTATAGATGTTGGGAAAGGCATTGTAGAACGTATCGCCGCACATGAACATGTTCCATTCTGGGATATATACGCCCATATGGTCTGAAGTTTCGCCTTCAACTCTCACAAGCCGCACTTTCAATCCTGCGGAAAAAATGGAACCTCTGTCACTGTCATAGTGATGCATATTGATACTATGTAAAATGGATCCTTATGTAATATTTCGTAATGTATAATATGTGAAATACTGTTGTTAGTATCTTGTAAGAAATATCGTTTAGTTTGTGGTGTATATCTAGCTGGCGAATCGGACCGAGAGGATATACTCTTACAATAGAAATCATTAAAACAAGATAAGTAGAGCCAACTAATGATTTAACTGCATTATAAAACTATGTCGTCTTTCCAAGAATCGTTAGTGAATCTATGAGTCTAGATTTTAATATATTTGAAAGTGAATCTATGAAATCGTGAAGAATTGACTACGTTATAATGGCATTTCAGCCATACGTCTAAGGCTACTAGAATTTACTGCAGGTCAGCTTGGTTAGATGTTGCGAAATTCACTTTACCTGCGATAACGACGTCCATTTCCGTGTCTTTCAGAAATTTGTTGGGGTAAACGAATCCAAATGTGGTCCCTTCTTTCCCGAAATCGATTGAGTTCTGACTTCCATTGACGAACACACCAAACTGGCGCATAGTCCTGGCATATCGTGCTCTGGAAGCATACGCGAAGTAGGACTCCAAATCGCTTGGAAGATCCTTGTAAGCCCAAATATCCGGGGTCGCAGTTGAATTTTCAATAAAGGCCTGAGGTATGAATACATGAAAACAACTTGTGATATCTTGTTAATTATATTTCATTTTGTTCTCAAAAACACACCAAATAAAATATTTCCCCCTATTGAAGTGAACAAAATAGACCATTAATACCATTCTCTGTTATGTGTTAGCGAAGTCTTTTATGAAATATTTCCTTTGTAAATATTTTACAAAGTTAAATAGAGGAAACCTTTGTTTAAATTAAACATCAGTTAATTGATTTAACACGCGAATGGCTATGCTTTTAATGCTTAGCCTTTTGAATTATAATTTGTTTATCGCATAAAAATTGACATGAAAGTAAAGGTCAAATATAATCAGGTTAGAATTGATGTAAACTTTTTTGGTTTTCGAAGACGTGTTACATACAGTGGCACCTCCAGTGTGATCCATATGGTGATGGGTATAGATGATGGCCTTCACAGGGGCTGAAGTGATGTTCCGAAAGTCTTCTAGCATCAGGCTGGCAGCTTGATGACTGTCGGAAGTGTCCACTATGATCAGACCATCAGGTGCTATTATCATGATGGAGTTCCCCAGCGCCTTACCACCCATGGCCACATACACTTGGTCTGTAACCTGTACAATAGTGATGATGTACATTAACTTATTTCAAGGGTTCATTTGTATTCATGTTACAAAGGTAAAGTCACAACGGCCAATTCGTTATCAAAAGCTCTGAAAAGGTGCAGAAATTAAAATCTAACACTGATTGGAAATAATGATGTTTTTGTTACATCACAGTGTGTAAACATTAGTAGGTGATTTTTAGGCAAATTCAAGCGAATTCATTATAAACAATTAGATACATTATACCATGAAAAAATTTCGCCCTCCATTTCCTTTTTTGCCCTTTTCGACCATGGAAAGGTTTGTTACACTTATGCATCCCTTTTATAGAAGCATTCGAGGGTGAAATTGGCATGAGGCGAATTCGTGTATAATGGAAGAAGGGCCAAATTACAGACTTGTTCCAAAAGTTTTTCGAGTGATCTACTATACTTTCAGAATTTTTCGACTGCTTTGTGTCCTTTCGACCCTTGCTTGAAACAAAAACGCAGAAACTAGAAAAAAAAAATGAACGGGCGAATCGAGCAGAAAGACAAATGAGATATCACCTGCTTTTCGTCTTATCAACTGTTCTTATCTGCTGCTGTGTGGCTTCCTAATTATTGTTTGAAATAAAAAGGTAGGACAGAGTCAAAAGAGAACAGAAGGATCAGTCAGAAAGATGGTTTGAACACCTAAGCTTAACACATAATGAACGAAATGAAAAATCACATGGCATCATGTGAACAAAGCATACCCATATAACCGAAAGAAATTCTGGAAATCGATTCGAATGCTAACTAGGAAATTCTCAAGCCTTGCTCTCCGAAGGGTAAGTACCGGTATCTACATTTTACGACTGGTCTCTGGTAGGTAAATTACACAAGTATATATATATATCATCCCCACCCATTGTTGACCATTTCATGCAATACCCAATCAAGGACTACCTTAAAGGTCTCATATCTAACGCTGATATTTACATTAGTTTTCAAAACAAATCCCCATTGGTATAACATGGAGACCTAACACTGACTAATACTTAATACAAATTAATTAACACATTCGTGAGGTATTATGACATAAAGCATTATTCAATTGATGAGTTTGATACCCGATGAACATTGTTATTCCTCATTATTTCACTGGTGGCGATGTTGTCAATATCTAACATAAGTGACGGGGACATATCATGAAGTCATCCTTGAACTACCAGGGGTTACGATCACCCTTCAGAAGAGTATCGTCTTTAACAGAATGTTGGAAATTCCAGATGTTTTTGGCTGTAGAATTAGGTCTCCCCCACTATACTTATAGTTTAGTTATGTATCAACGCTTTTCGACTATGGTATGCCATTTATATAAAACTTTCACTTGAAAACAACTATTGAGACAACTCATCATAAAATGACGTTATTTTACGATTTACTGAACCTAACTAATTCAACAATGACATCATTTATCTATAATTTATCAACATTACCTTTTCAACTCGTCTGGTGGTGTCAACAACTGATCGCCGAATCCTTTGCATATGACCTGTAGGAAAACCAGTCCATGCGTCAGCATAGTATCCCCCTGCTTCTGGGTAGCTATTACCTGACCTCGGGTACCCAAAACTGCCTTGGTAGGTTCCTCCATGTCCTGCACTCCCCGAATAGAACTGACTGTTTATGCTTGTGGCACATATGGTCACAATGACCAAAAGAAGCTGTTGGTCATACATATTTCTGGAAAAAAAATTCATGTAATATTTTTATACAGAAATTAGTTCAATCAAATTAGAACTTTATAATAACATTAGTAATTATAATAGTATTTTGATGACTAAACAAGCAAAATTTATGGTAGAACGAAAAAAGCAAGCAAACTTGCTATCAAACACAAAACCAAATTTTATGCAGACCTGTCTTCCTTAGTTCCATTGATTATATTGATAAATAAACAGGTTTGAAGTATCAAGTGTAATTGTACGTTTTTTTAAACATTCTTCAGAACCAAATGTTAACTGTACGTGTTGTTAAAGTTATAGGTTCCATTGAGAATTAGTGGTTATGAAACCAGAGGATTCGTGTCATCACGCTGAGTACGACAAGTTATATCTATTACCATATCTAACCGCGGAGTTTATGAAAGGAATAAAATTTTAGAACTAAAATTAAAAGAAGAACAGCAATATACCTACCTTTACGTTGTTGAAAGTTCTCCGTCAAGATTGTTCAGTTCGGCTCTGTTGACTTATATATATACATTGGGGGATTATAGTAATTGATGATGGCTTGTCCAAAACAGGTCAAACCATGGCCAGTTAATGAATATAATTCTTTTGTTGCGCATTCAGTCATCAATCACTCACGAAGTACATCGCAGTTGTTTGTAAATATGACGTTGTCGGTCCTAGCGTCGCTGAAGTTGACTAGGGTTTCAAGGCCGAGATACACGCGATCTATAACGGCACAAGTTACTAGTAGAAAAAGACTTAATAAAAGAAATTAAGTATTGTTAAAATCAAGTGTTTTCGAGTTACAAAAATACATACTTTCGTAGTACCATGAAAATCCGGGAAAGACAACTCTTTAGTTCTTACACTATAGATGACCTGTTCCTACTTTAACAAACAACGCCATACAACATCTTAGCTGTATTTAGTGAAATTGACGACACTCTCTGTATAGTTTTAGTATCAAATAACCCCTACCCCCCCCCCCCTTTTTTTTTATTTAACTTCATGAAATTCATATCTTTGCATTCTTTCAAAGTATGTAGGTTTTTTTTAATGTTAATATCAAACATCTTATTGTACATGCAGTCTTATACATGTGAATATTGTTGAAACACACAATGTTTTTGACACTTTTTATAGAGAGATTAAAGACAGTTTTAGATAGAAAACGACTGATGATAAGGCAAAAAAGGATAGACGGTGCCCGAAGAATTATCCCCCTGATACTTATATTCTTGTGTAATCTTTCATGTATAAATTTGGAAATTTATCTACAATTCCTACATCTAGTCGAGAGAAAACATCAGGGACTAAGGCAGGACTAGGTATTTAACTCTAACCATCCAATTAGAAGGTTTCCAGTTCTCTTTCCCATTTTCTCATAAGTGTATAAAATGGAATCAAACAAGATCTCAAAATAGATATGAAATTACGACAATAGAGACAGGAAACACGAAGGGGATTATATTATGACACATTGAAAAGTTTCCGGAAATACAGACTTCCTATTACGACATGAGACTCTTTTTATAGCTTGAGAACTAAAAGCAGATAGGAACTGAAATGAAACAATGGGTATTTTCTTTATGATTATGTACAACATGTGTTGTCACTACCAATAAAGCTGAAAGCAAATTACCAAAAAGATATTAATTTCCCCTAGTTGTCTAGGTTTCAACAATTCAGGCACTTAATATCGCAATCATACTGTATCTTATTATAGATTTGTATTGAAATTTACTTTTCGCGTTTGTGTGTGTGGTTTTTTTTTTTTTTTTTTGTGTACTGAAAAACCTTATCGCCGCGCAACCCTTGACAGGTGAGTGAAGACATGGCATATCGCGTAGTATTTTGAGAAACTACATGTCAGATATAGTATTTAGCCACGACAGGTCCCCCATATTCTCATCTGTCAAACCATACTCGTCAAAACAATGACTGAATGTGTATGAATGTCCAAGCATACATTCTTCTATAAACCGTTTGTTTTTATTTACGTCTTGTGATGACCTTCGTATGACCAAGCTTAATACTTTTATGTTTACATTCTATTTGATCCCAGTTTATGCCTACGTTTATAATATGATAATATATATAAGAAATCTGATGAATCGGTTTGGAACCTGGCGTTCAACTTTTGCAGAAAATGTCGTGTTATCCCATATAAACATACTTAAATCTACTGTAAATAATTAATAAAATAGTAAAAAAAAAAATGGTGAAAATGCTGCATTGGGCATAATTCAAACTGTGATCAATGTCCACTCTGTTATACACATATACTTTTTACTTTTCTTCCGATAACGTGGATTTCCAAGTTTGTTTCTAGGCTTCAAATGCTAGACCTTAATATCACTGATGCGTTCTAGAAGGATGAAACAAGTGTATGATAATTTCTCATTCATAGTTTGGCTCTACTAAATCTAAAGTTAAAGGTGCTATTTTCTTGTGTGTCTATTTGAACAATTTTCGCTGTAATTTTTATTTACAAGTAGTACAGTCAGATGTTACCAACAACTTACGTATACGTATTCTGTTCTATGTTTAAACCACTTTCTACAATCAGTGTCATTCTAGTAAAGATAAATCGACAATTAAACATGATTAATTCCAATTATCTCTCTTTTTCTCCAAATTCTAAAATGAAAATAGGTGATCATAAACTATATAGATATTTTTTTTACTGATTTCAATGGATTACTTCCTACCGTAATCAGAATTGATGTTAGAAAATATCTATAAAATAAGCTAGGACTGAAAGGCATCCACAGCTTTTGAATTAAAGAATCTTATATTGATATGCAATATATATCACCACTCTAAAAATTGCTTTTTTTACGAGAAAAAGAACACCATACTAGATTCTTTTGTCCACAATAGTGTTCCTTGAACAGCGTTCATGTAAGCCTTCATGTGATAGTGCGAGTTTATAGTGCCACCACATTGAAAGGTACTGCCGAAGACTCCCCAGGACTACCCATCTGGTCACCAGTCATTACACTTCCAAGATGCTGAACATTAAACAAGATGTTGTAACTACCATTTCGAAAGGCTCTGGTATATCTCGGACAGATGACAGAACTGTAAGCCTTTCTCACATGGACGAACGCTCAACTGAAGTAAAAAAAAGAGAGGCAGTGTGAAGGAAGGCATTTGGAAGAGCAAAAATACATGTATTTAAAAAGAGAGAAAACACAAAGATCCCAGGTCTAGTAGCATCATGCAATGGGAGACCGTGGGTACAATATACTTTACTAAAGTTCTATATAGTATTGAAAAAAAGTGAATTTCATTGCCGAAGAATGCAGATTGCAGATATTGTCGACATCAAAATAACCCCACATCAGTTTCCTTGAAGGTGAATAAATGGATGGCTTTTGAAAATAAAACAAATGGTCATGTTACATTAGTTTATCGGATGTAATGCGAATAACTAAGGTCAAGGTCAAGCGATGAACTGGACAACACCATTACATATATCAAAATCTGTTTGCTTGAAGAATTTAATAATTACACGACATCCTCCTTTCATTTTTATGACGAGCGTTTTTCAAGTGTCCAAAAATAAAATGAGTCTATCATCATTTGAAATGACTAATTATTAAACGCTTTCCAATGAACTGTAGAAGGCCTCCTTATCATGTAAACAAGTACATGGATATCGTAATTTTGTGAAGTCATTAATCAATATTGGTTTTAAGAGGTTTCTATCGGTAACAAAGCAAGAAATGCCATTATCTCCAAATTAAGAAAACATCAAAATAGTTTCAGCTTAAGATGATATTAATAGAAATATAGTTTTTGAATGCGATTCTTTATTGATTTGAATTGGTCATATATTTCTTGTGGTGAACGATCTTGTATAACAAATATTTGCTTACGTCGTTTACGATCTTGGTCTAACAAAGATTGACACTTTCATATACAGATTGGCAATATTAGGATATATTTGCCCCTATCCGTTACGTTATAAAGTATGACTTGACGGTCTGGGAGTATATCTGTTTATGGTTCCTCGCTTCAATTATTGCAGAGATTTAATCAATTTATTAATTACGCTCAGTCTCGTCATTAAACACAAACGATGCCCTCCTCCCGATTCACAATTACAGATACCTGTATTATATCGGATTTCATTTTCTGACTCTGGGATAACGAACATATCGTATTGAACCCAAGGAAGTATGTTTTCTGTAATATTACTGGTCTAGTAGTTACAATTTGTGTGAAGATTGTACAAATGACACTCAAGCCAAATAAAGAATTTAACTACTAGATGTTGACTTTTCTGTAGTCTTCAAGAGTTTACTTGAAAACAATTTATTTTCATTAATTTCGTTGGTACTCTTAATCCAAGACGTCAACGAAATGTTAGAACAAGTCTAATTAAAATTGAATTGTATTTATCTACCAAATCAAGTGTCCACGAATTTTTTTAAAGTACGAAAATTGTCCCCACGTAAATATGTGATTTTACAGCAGATTTTCTGTACATTCTTTAATGGCTACACTTCCCCTTTATCATATCCTTGGATGTATACGAATGATCACTATCAATTCTACGATTTAAACACTTATTGTTATATTTCTTGTATACTCAAGTTATCATTTACTTTCAGTGACATTGAAGGTATACAATCCGAACCTCGGCGTTGTATAGGTTGTTGAATAATAACATTTTTTTTGTGTTTCTTGCTTATAATAGGACGTAGATGACGCTGACATAACACGATACCACTTATATATCACATCCACTTCTGGTAAGTATACTTAAAGTTTTAAATAATTACCAAACCGGGACTTGTAAAATCAGGCGTAGATAAGCATGCAAGACGTAAAATCGTGTGCGGGTTTTAAAACAGTACTTGACAATGTGCATATCCGTTATCGAATTTTGCAGGAAGCTTTGTTTACTAAAAGCCGGGATAGCTATCTGTCTGTGGGGGAGGTCACAAGTCTGGTGTCTGTCATAGTAGTCATTGCTCCGACAGTTGCATCCCCTCCTCAATATGATACTAACCCGCCTCATACCGCAAACCTCCCACGCGTAAATTGAACATTGCACGTGAAACTGCAGTCGTGTCGTGCTCCATTTCAACCATAACTAACGTGTCTACACCGACAGCGAATACAGAATATCTTATTTTCTCTACTCTCCTGTACAAACTGGCAAAACACCGCCGATCATGTGATCACGAAAAAAAAACTCTTGAGAAAGAAAAAGTAGATCTATCCCTGCCGCCTTCTGTGTCTTACTGATTACTAGACAAAGAGATACAGCTCATATAAGTTTGACGCCGTTTGTCTCTCCCTTCACACCGCGATTTGGCGAATACATTATCGATTCGATACCAATGAGCGACAGAATATAATTGAGATGTAAAGGACGTTTCTTAGTTGACCATTATCGGCTTGTCTACATCGTTTGGTGAACCGCTTTACCTGTAATACCGGGAATGCGAGATTCAGTGTTGTTTCTTTGTTTCTGTGTAGTGTGTACAATCGTAGTCCAGGGAGCACCACGGTGTCCCCCATGCACCGGACACACCATATGCCCCAAACTTCGGGAAGGATGTGAGAGGGTGGCCCTGCCGTGCAGCTGTTGTGATGAATGTGCTAGGGGAATTGGAGAAAATTGTTCTGCCTACAGTCCCAGGTAGTGTATGTTTTAATATTTAACCTAGCATGGGCATGTTGTATTTGGACATCTATTTGTCTCATTATATTTTACCTTTTCATCCTATAAACTTGGCTCTGATTTTTTTAATATTACGTTTTAAACAGATCGTTTTAAATTTGTACTTTTCATCCCATTTCTGTGAGAGTTCTTTATGTTTTTTAAAAGTATCATTAGTGATATTTTAGTTTGTGTTTCGTTTTAAATTTCTATCTATTTGAAAGAATAAATTGTAATGGCTCCAACCACTAAGCAATTGTGAGATTGAGGCAAATTTGCACAAAAGACACACAAGTGAATAACACAATTTAATACAAAGTTAGAATAAGGTATAGTAGAGACAAACAACGAATTAAACTGCATAGCATTACCCAAAAAAGCTTGTTAAATGCACTCATCACCTTTAAATTTATCTTGCCTAAACAAACAAGGTCTAGAGCTAATCAATTTGGTTACCGTTATACATGTACGCATTCTGACTGAACTATAGGGAGAATTACCTGATGTATCTGACAACCATCCTATTTATTTGTACGCTGAAAATAGACGGTGTCGTTTTTTGTCGTTATTGATAGATTGTAACCAGTTTTTACGCCAGAACTGACCGACAGAATTGAACAAACAGGAAATTCTCGGAACAAGCTGATAGAAACGTAGTCATGTTTTTGTGAAGTCACTATTTGTATCTGCTGTTACAGGGCGTACTACTTATTAAAGTCTTTTGTTTAATGTATTACATTGTTATCCGAAACTGTGAGGTAATCCCAACCTGTTTTATCAGTAATATCTATATCAGTCCATTTGTAATCTGTCGCATTCAATCAGTCATCATATCTTTCGTTTCATAACTTATCATATTTTTACCATTGCGTTTGTATCAGTCAAGTTACCATAGCATTTGTATTAGTAAAGTTACCATAGCGTTTGTATTAGTCGAGTTACCATAAGATTTGTATTAGTCGAGTTACCATAAGATTTGTATAAGTCAAGTTACCATAGCGTTTGTATTAGTCGAGTTACCATAGCGTTTGTATCAGTCAAGTTACCATAGCGTTTGTATCAGTCAAGTTACCATAGCGTTTGTATCAGTCAAGTTACCATAGCGTTTGTATTAGTCAAGTTACCATAATATTTATATTAGTTAAGTTACCATAGCGTTTGTATTAGTCAAGTTACCATGAGATTTGTATTAGTCAAGTTACCATAGCGTTTGTATTAGTCGAGTTACCATAGCGTTTGTATTAGTCGAGTTACCATAGCGTTTGTATTAGTCGAGTTACCATAGCGTTTGTATTAGTCGAGTTACCATAGCGTTTGTATTAGTCGAGTTACCATAGCGTTTGTATTAGTCAAGTTACCATGAGATTTGTATTAATCAAGTTACCATAGCGTTTGTATTAGTCGAGTTACCATAGCGTTTGTATTAGTCAAGTTACCATAAGATTTATATTAGTCAAGTTACCATAGCGTTTGTATTAGTCAAGTTACCATAGCGTTTGTATTAGTCAAGTTACCATAGCGTTTGTATTATTCAATTATCGTCACTTCAGGTCAGGGTATCATAACTTGTATCAGTTAAGTAAGCATGATTGTTTTGTATTAGCCTAATCATTATAACTGTTTTGATGATATAATTACAATGTTACATCGGTCAAGTTATCATACTATTACACAAGTTATTATACTGGTACACAAGTCATTGTACTGGTACACAAGTTATTATACTGGTATACAAGTTATTATACTGGTACACAAGTTATCATACTACTACACAAGTTATCATACTATCACACAAGTTATTATACTGGTACACACTGGTACACAAGTTATCATACTATTACACAAGTTATTATACTGGTACTCAAGTTATTATACTGGTACAAAAGTTATTATACTGGTACACAAGTTATCATACTATTACACAAGTTATTATACTGGTACACAAGTTATCATACTATTACACAAGTTATCATACTATCACACAAATTATTATACTGGTACACAAGTTATCATACTATTACACAAGTTATTATACTGGTACACAAGTTATTATACTGGTACACAAGTTATCATACTATTACACAAGTTATTATACTGGTACACAAGTTATTGTACTGGTACACAAGTTATCATACTATTACACAAGTTATTATACTGGTACACAAGTTATCATACTATTTATTACACAAGTTATCATACTATCACACAAGTTATCATACTGGTACACAAGTTATCATACTATTACACAAGTCATTATACTGGTACACAAGTCATTATACTGGTACACAAGTTATTATACTGGTACACAAGTTATTATACTGGTACACAAGTTATCATACTATTACACAAGTTATCATACTATCACACAAGTTATCATACTGGTACACAAGTTATCATACTATCACACAAGTTATCATACTGGTACACAAGTTATCATACTATTACACAAGTCATTATACTGGTACACAAGTCATTATACTGGTACACAAGTTATTATACTGGTACACAAGTTATTATACTGGTACACAAGTTATCATACTATTACACAAGTTATCATACTGGTACACAAGTTATCATACTGGTACACAAATCATTATAATGGTACACAAGTCATTATACTGGTACAGAAGTCATTATACTGGTACACAAGTCATTATACTGGTACACAAGTTATTATACTGGTACACAAATTATTATACTATTGCACAATTTATTATACTGTTACACAAGTTATTATTTTGATACACAAGTTATTATACGGGTACACAAGTTATCACACTATTACACAAGTTATCACACTATTACACAAGTTATTATACTGGTACACAAGTTATCATACTATTACACAAGTTATTACACTATTACACAAGTTATTATACCGGTACACAGATTACCATAATGTTGCACTAGTTAATTGATTATGTTGTCGTTTCATTAGCCTACTTGTTTTAACATTTCACATCGGTCTAGCATTTTATTGTTTACACCATTTCAATCATATTTTTACATCAACGTAGCCGTTATGATTTGAAATAACATTATGCTTAAAACGTCCTTAGGTTATCCATAAATTTAGAACATTTAGATATCATTTACATCGTGTTTTGGGGGAGAAACGTTTTAATCCCCAACATGATCCAGCTGGTTCAATATTCAACCCGTTCGTCGAATTAAATCGTCAGGATTATCCCCAGAAGAAAATCAGTTTGGATTATCTTCCAGAAGTTTTGTGCCATTAATCAGCAGCAGCACCATAACCTAATGGAAATAAAGCTAATGTGTTTTCTGTATAGAATGAAGGTAATTATCCAGAGAACAAAGGCGGTTAGATTATCTGTAGAGAAAGATGTCTACAACATCAAGTGGGATGGTTGTTGGATTAACCTGCTGCGTAGAAGGGATAGGATTAACTACTTGGAATGAAAGTAGCTGTGTTTTCTATAAATAGTGAAGCTGATTAAATAATCTTCACGGGGGTTTACCTATATACAAGAAAAAAGGGATGTCTAGATTTTCAGCCAGGATCAGCTCCATTATCGACTTGGAACAAAAGTGGCCGAACAATCCGTATGTGGGTAGATCAGAGACATGCGTAGAATGAATATGTATGGAGATGTATCTACTTTTCTCTATTTATGACTGGAGGATGGAATAAACAAGAAATAAAGAAATTCTTTGAAAATTGAATAAAGAGAAAATTATAGACCATTTCCTGACTTCAATGACAAATGCCTTTTTCCTTGAAGCTGTTAGAAAATTCGTGAAAATTTGGATCTTCGAAGAAGTATGTAAAGAGATTAGGATATCGTAGTTTGTCAGAATGAAAAATGTATACTTTAACTTTTAAACAATGCCTAAATATAACATTAAATAAGTTAAAGAATACTTAAATATGTAAAGATTTAAATAAGTATTTAACATCTTTACCCCGCTGTATTTTTATTCATCCTTTTACTAATAAAATTCTGATATATGCAGCATGTCGGTGTACAACTTATATGGCATCATTCAGTGCACACGTGTTTTGTATCTATAATAGTTGAAGCTGTGCAACATTGCTAAAGTTTTCTGTTGTGTGATCAACTGTGATTTTAAACAGCTAATGTTTAAATTACAATTATAGTGAAGACCCATATCGCACACGTTGTGAAGTATTTAAACTTGATATTAATTATGGGTGTAGTCTAAAAGTTTCCATATATAAAGCTTTTAATGTTTGTATCAGCACAAATGTCATTTATATGTAAAAAGATCTATCTCAGTGCTTCATGGACGTAAATACCCTCTTAAGTGTACAACTGAAGGCACGGGAGGGGTGCTCAAAATGCACAAATAAGTGTACATATCAATGCTTGGAATGCATGTTCTATGTGCAACCCTCTTTAGACGTGATATCAGCTTTAAGAGGTGCTACGTTCCCATCTGTGGTCAGACAAGTCATTTTGTTGGCATGACCGAGTTTTCTTTTGCCAGTCAATCCGTACAAACCAAACTTCAGGCTCACGTCATACTGTATGACTAATGCATCTGTATCCTAATGTTAGGTGACTCTCGAAACTCGGGCTCAATTGGATCGTGTTGTAGGGTTTTGTAAGTTGGATTTTATTGTCGAGGTGTGAGAGCTGATAGCGATCTCTTGTCGTAAATAGTCATTAGTTCAGTCGATCGCTGTCTGAGTAGCATAAAGTATTATTACATTTTCAAGGACAGGTTCGCATGAAGTCTTGTAGTTTTGTTAATATTAATAATATACTTATTAATATTAAAATAAAGAAGAAAAAACGCATCCGAATGAGTTTTATGTATTATATTAAATACCTATGACACGGTCGTTTGTTTGGATGCGGTATCGCTGCCTTTTGGTTACTTTATCAGTCGGTATCGACTTTATAACTTTAACGGGTCAGTATACCTTTTTTGTTTTTTGACTAGATATCAGAAGCAGTCGGAATCATTTGTTTTCTTTACAAGTCACCATCACTTGGTAATTCAACAAGTCAGTATCAGTTAACTTTACAAGTCAGTATCAGTTAACTTAACAAGTCAGTATCAGTTAACTTTACAAGTCAGTATCACTTGGTAATTCAACAAGTCAGTATCAGTTAACTTTACAAGTCAGTATCAGTTAACTTTACAAGTCAGTATCAGTTAACTTTACAAGTCAGTATCAGTTAACGTTACAAGTCAGTATCAGCTAACTTTACAAGTCAGTATCACTTGGTAATTCAACAAGTCAGTATCATTTAACTTTACAAGTCAGTATCACTTGGTAATTCAACAAGTCAGTATCAGTTAACTTTACAAGTCAGTATCAGTTAACTTTACAAGTCAGTATCACTTGGTAATTCAACAAGTCAGTATCAGTTAACTTTACAAGTCAGTATCAGTTAACTTTACAAGTCAGTATCACTTGGTAATTCAACAAGTCAGTATCAGTTAAATTTACAAGTAAGTATCAGTTAACTTTACAAGTCAGTATCAGTTAACTTTATAGGTCAGTATCAGTTAAATTTACAAGTCAGTATCAGTTAACTTTACAAGTCAGTATCACTTGGTAATTCATCAAGTCAGTATCTGTTAACTTTACAAGTCAGTATCAGTAATTCAGTTAAATTTACAAGTCAGTATCAGTTAAATTTACTTTACAAGTCAGTATCACTTGGTAATTCATCAAGTCAGTATCTGTTAACTTTACAAGTCAGTATCAGTTAAATTTACAAGTCAGTATCAGTTAACTTTACAAGTCAGTATCACTTGGTAATTCATCAAGTCAGTATCTGTTAACTTTACAAGTCAGTATCAGTTAAATTTACAAGTCAGTATCAGTTAACTTTACAAGTCAGTATCACTTGGTAATTCATCAAGTTAACAAGTTATCAGTTAAATTTACACGTCAGTATCAGTTAACTTTACAAGTCAGTATAACTTCGTAATTCAACAAGTCAGTATCATTTAACGTTACAAGTCAGTATCAGTTAACTTCACAAGTCAGCATTACTTGGTAATTCAACAAGTCAGTATCAGTTGTTTATTTACGAGTTAGAACCATTCACCATCCCTGCGGTTTCTGTGTGAGTTGACATCAGGTTCCTTGGTTCTATTTGTTGTCAGTTTCCTTTCATTACTGGTCCTCTTTTTAAAATATTGAAATATATCAGGATGCATTTTAGACCAACTTTGATACAGGTCAATTATTTTAGTCAACTGAAGATGGCATCTACTGGTACAATATTATTTTCCGCACAAAATTTCAACTGAAGTAAGTAATCTACACTTCGCATTGTACCTCTGAAACATTTTGGAGACTAAATAATGTCAGGATAAATTCATAAACCAATCACATAATCGATTTTACCTTGTAATAACAAAGTTTAAAGAACTGTAAAACAATGTTTTCGTTTACAAACTTTCGTAAAAAGTCTATAATAGTTTAATTTTGGATAATGATTGTAACTCATTACAATGACACGCACTTTGAAAATGAGCACGTTTACCTGATGATGCATTGTTCACATCTCGTACTTAAGATGCCTGGCACCAGAGTAAAACAAATCCCGCAGTTTTGAACCTGGTTTTAACAGCATTGTCAACTGCTCGGTTTTGTCAGTCTCTCAGATACCGGAACAATGTCAAGTAGTAGCAAGTGATGCAAATCTGATATCAAGTTATATCATGCCATATATTTAGAGCGCAGTGTTGCATTAAAGAATGTGTAGGCACTACCATAAAATATCCTAAAGCTGTTTATTATCATACGTTGTAATAACAATGGTGTTTAATGTTATAAAGTATGCAATAACATGCTGTATTTTATAGTACAATGCTGTTGTTTAAGTGTCATAACATAGTACCGTGTAGATTTACGAAGTTACAATGCTGTCTAGTATTAAGAAATGTAGTAAAATACTAATAAGTTACGTAATCACGGCGTCTAGTGTATTCAGAAAGGTAATTGCATCAGTAATACTGTGCAGTTTCAGCATAGTCGGTCAAGAGTGTATCACAATAGTACATGAGTCATGATTCCTATGTAGAAATAGTTAAACTTAGTGTTAAATGATATCCAAGGATGTTAATCTACTTAACGCACGTGTAATCTTCTGTTTCAGCGACTCGACCCTCTGATAAAGTATGGAGTTATGTTAGAAAGATAAAATGGAATATTTGTGATATTTTGCGTATTACACTACTGTAGGTAGTCATCTTTCTTTGAATAGTTTGTCGCAATGTGCTTTGTCTCTCAAGTGATCTTTTATTTATAGATGTGCAACGGGACTGATGTGTATGAACATGCGAGGAGAGGCTCTAGAGCGGGTCCCCAGGATCATGAAAACGTACCACGGAATCTGCCAAAATGTGTAAGCTCTTTTGTTGTCGCCAAGATCTGTTAAACAAAACATTGGCATGGTATATCAAATGATACTTTGGCAATATCAGCGGTACCTGTTACTATATTAATATTATTTTTGTTGTTTGCCTAGACAGCACGACCTCTGGAGCAATTACATAAACAACAACAATAGTAATAATAAAAACAACCAGAACTTCTTAAGGTTTGTTTATAATGTCATCGCGATTTAGAGAAATATTCATTAGGAGTTACTTCGTATTAATTCTGTGACCGCTTTTGACTCTGTAAAGATACTTTAAAACGTCACTCATCTAAAGACTTGTGACCAATGAAAATGTACAAAAGATACAAATAACAACATTTTCTACAAAGTTAAAAATAGATACATTATGTTCAAGCTTAACTTCAAATGCCGACATGTTAACAGAAGAAAACATCAACCAAGTTAAGGCAAAATATGATTTAAATAAGACTTCCAGGGAGACTCCAGAATAAGTACAATGAGAATACGACCAGGTATTCCGGAAGAGTAAATATCTTCTGCTTTATCAACGACAACCGCCATGTAAATCTTGGTCAATCCATATAAGGAATGTCATTTTCCCAAATGATAGGAATAACATTCGTGAAATTCCCATGACAAAAAATAATGTTGCCCTGGTTTAGTATACTAAACAAAAACTCGTTAATTTAAATAGATACTTTTAGGACTGTTTTCATTTGTATGTTTGGTATTGATATATTTGTTGCTCTCAATACCAGCTGAGGTTCAAAAACATTAACAACTAGATATATTGTTTCTATTACTATAATATTACACCAGATTGAACATCGAAACACACATAAAAAGTCTCAAAACATCTCGTTAACCCGAAGTTGTACTGAATGCCCTGTTTGTTCAGACGGTACTATGTGAGTAGTAACGATGTTTTGACAATAGGGTTGAAGTCGATATACCTCTCTGATAACGCTATGTCTGTAATCTATGTTATGTGACGGGCCTCGGCACTTATGATGTAACTGCTTCAACTGCGTAACAAAAAAGGCCCCCTAATTAACCATTCTGTCACACTTTATCCTCGTCATGAGTGAAGCAGACAAAGAACTAATACACACAACGTTCAGTTTGTCAGTGGAATATGTCTATTTCTTTGGTATTGCGGTCTTATCATACAAAGCTTGAAAAAGAAAAATGTTGGTACTTTCATATGTTGACTTTTATACCTAACCCCGATGTTTTATGGTAATTAGAAAATAATCTATGCTGTTATCTCCGAGTTGATATGATCAGATGCAAAGAGCAAGTTTTGCTTTCGTCGGTCCGTTTGAAAATAGCAAATAAATGTTTATAGCCAAACTTTGCTAAAGCTTAAAGATGAATATCAAAGAAAACTATATGAATCACATGCCATGATTTAACGTGAAGAATGCTTTCCATATTGATCAATAATATTGTTGTTGTGATTATGTACAAATAAATGCATAGAAACACATATTTTAATAACTCCAGTTTATTAAACTTTTCTTGGTAACGTACTGGTGAACTTTAGAACGACTACCAGTTTAAAAACATTTACTGTTAAATCGTCTTTGAACGAAATATCAAAGTTTAGACATCTAGATTTGCCTTCCTTTTGAAGGACGGTGATTGCACATACTAGACCTTACATGCCATCACATAGCATTCCCTTTGTAAAGCAGTTTATTTCCTTTGTTTATCAAAGCATAATGTTTGTTGCAATTGAAAGTATAATTTCGGAATCAATATTGCCATGAAACCAAATATTTTGAATACTGAGGTACTCATATTTTGGAATTACTCATTGTGAAAATATCCACAAATCTGTCGATATCTTAAAAATATTTTAGGAATGTTTCCGTCAAACCTAATCAAAAGTGTTTAATGTTTCAGAGTTGTTCAGCCCGTTGTCGTGGAGAACACAGATATTGAGGAGAGGCAGATAGGGTCAAAACATTACAGGAACGGAGTATGAGGAAATTGTCTGTGAAACACAACATCGCCTGTCACACCACCTGTACATTGGCTGCTAGTTACACAACATAAGCTACCATATCATCGCCTTGCACGTATAATCTGCTCAGTGACTTCAAAGTCGGACACTGTCTTCAAATACTTATTGTTCATTTTAGAATTCATCTATCCACCACCGCAATCATCTTCTTTTGTTTAACACATAGCAACTAAAGAATTCTTAACCGCTCAATGTTAAGTTTGTATAAGATACTGACTCATAACCTGACTACTACTTCTTGTGGCTAGCTTTCCTTCCTCAATGCGTTTTCTGTCAGACAACTCGAGATGTGAATCAAGGATTTCTCCATGCACCGTCACTTTTGAATTTTGGAGAAAAGCTATTTATTTCAAAACACTTGAAATGACTTGTTTAAATTTTGCTTGGTAATTTCTCCTTGTTCATATAAAGACAAGATGAAGGTGAGTGGGAAATTTAATGTTTTTGGAAAGTATAAAAAGAGTATTTTGTTTACAAATCAGTTACATTTTGAAGACATGAAATGGATCGCTTCTTCGAAGAAGACATATCCTTTGGTAACATTGAACTGTTTTAATAGAACACTATCAGCGCCTCCTAAGGGTGCGTCTACATGTAGCAAAATACTTTGTTAAGACGGAACATTAAGTGAATTTCCGCTGGAAAATTTGGCCATGTTATCATATACTCATTCATTTTACTTCTTTGATCATTGAAACTGTAGTAAAACTTGTATTTAATTGACATGTAGCGACATAAGTATACTGTTATCATTCGTTGTGGCGGGGCTGTAATTCATAACTTCTGCTTATGTTTTCTTTGTTGTAATAAATACTGTTATCATTCCAATAGTCAATAAATGTTGTCAGTTTTGTCTTTATCTTTGTCAGAAAAAAATACATGAAGTCTTGTTATAATTATCTATAAAAGGCATAATGATATCAATCGATATATGATGAATTTACAAAAGACACAAATGAATAGAACGTTTAGATACAAATTTAGAATAAGATGCACAAATAATGAAATATAATGCACCATACAGCTGTATTGAAATATAATGCACTATTAAGTTGTATTCAAATATACTGCACCATACAGCTGTATTCAAATATACAGCACCAAACATATAAAATACAGCTGTATCGAAATATACTGCACCATACAGCTGTATAGAAATTTAGAGCACCATACACCTATATAGTCGTGATACTTGTGGTCTAATTTCTCAGGCCATACAGCTGTATAATCGTGATACTTATGGTCTAATATCTCAGGCCATACAGCTGTATAATCGTGATACTTATGGTCTAATATCTCAGACCATACAGCTGTATAATCGTGATACTTATGGTCTAATATCTCAGGCCATACAGCTGTATAATCGTGATACTTATGGTCTAATATCTCAGGCCATACAGCTGTATAATCGTGATACTTAAGTTCTAATATCTCAGGCCATACAGCTGTATAATCGTGATACTTATGGTCTAATATCTCAGGCCATACAGCTGTATAATCGTGATACTTAAGTTCTAATATCTCAGGCCATACAGCTGTATAATCGTGATACTTATGGTCTAATATCTCAGGCCATACAGCTGTATAATCGTGATACTTAAGTTCTAATATCTCAGGCCATACAGCTGTATAATCGTGATACTTATGGTCTAATATCTCAGGCCATACAGCTGTATAATCGTGATACTTAAGTTCTAATATCTCAGGCCATACAGCTGTATAATCGTGATACTTAAGTTCTAATATCTCAGGCCATACAGCTGTATAATCGTGATACTTAAGGTCTAATATCTCAGGCCATACAGCTGTATAATCGTGATACTTAAGTTCTAATATCTCAGGCCATACAGCTGTATAATCGTGATACTTATGGTCTAATATCTCAGGCCATACAGCTGTATAATCGTGATACTTAAGTTCTAATATCTCAGGCCATACAGCTGTATAATCGTGATACTTAAGTTCTAATATCTCAGGCCATACAGCTGTATAATCGTGATACTTAAGGTCTAATATCTCAGGCCATACAGCTGTATAATCGTGATACTTATGGTCTAATATCTCAGGCCATACAGCTGTATAATCGTGATACTTATGGTCTAATATCTCAGGCCATACAGCTGTATAATCGTGATACTTATGGTCTAATTTCTCAGTTTTTTTTTATAGTTTGCGAAATCTTCTCATTTTGATTTACTATTGAAACCAATAAACTGCTTTACATTTGGATTTCTTTTGAGACGGTCAGACGTATTAATTATTAGGTTATGTTACTTTGACAACAGGCTATTGAAAATGTTCAATGTGTTAGACACTATCTTACTTTTAGGTATATTAGACTTTATTGTTGATTTTGTTCGTTTTCCCGGATTTCTTCCATTAAAGTAGAGAAATAACCATTTCAACAAAAATGAAATTGATCCAAAACTATGATTTTCCGAGTTTTGTCATGCGTAGAGATAATGAGCTAAAATTTGGAATGTGAATTTACTTTTAAGGGCACCGTGTTTATAAATAATCTTAGTAGAGCAGTTGATGGGAATCGATATGGGGATATGTATTTCTCAAAGTAATACACAATATGTTTAAACATTTTGTGATATATTAGATATGTTACTTGAAAAGATAATAAGATTCTTCCTTGCAGTTAACTGCTGGTAGGGCCATTTATCACAATCCCATTTTATATCGTTGAGAAAACAGGTCATCCATTGGTCCATTAGTACATATCTATGGAATATCATTCATTAAGCAACATTGATTTGTTAATCAACCACAAAACTGGTGACAAGGAAAGATTTTAAGAGCAAAGAAATATTTTAAGTGTTTTCGCACATAACATCGGTAGTATGATGTAACAAATATCTCAATGATGTCAGTTATGTCATTTAAACAACAATATAAGCTCTTTAGACTTCTGGAGGCGTATCCTTGTATGATCAGTTGTCAGATTGCGTAACAATACAGAATGTAGGGATCGTCGTTCCGATGTTTGCTTAGCCTTGAGAGTCCTCCAAACAACCTAGTTTGTTAATTTTGGTTTAAGACCGTGCATATTTCCAGAAATCTTTCGGGTTTTCTATAATCTGATTGGCGAGCTTTTTTTAAAAGAGGTATTATTTAGATGCCTTTGCTAGAAGATGTCGCGTGTTTTCTTGATATTTTATACATTTCCCAGTTATCAGTTGTGCAACAATGTTGGAATGTGCACCATTTCTCTTTTTCTCTCTAATGGCTTCTTGTGCACGCTTATCTAATGTTGCAGATTCCTTCGGTAATTCAGGTTCGACTTTGCTCACTGGTACATTTTCTTCTCCTAATGATGATATTATTTCAGTAAAGACCTCCCATGATTCCCCGTCGTCTAGCAAGGTATGCCAATTGGTGTAATTTAAGTCTTCTCTAATGTTCTTATCATTTATAATATCTAAAATAAAGGACGTTGCCTTGGTTTACTATACCCTCGCCATTTTTCAAGAAATCATAACAAACAAAATTGACCAAACCATAAACAAAATATTAATAAAAAAAATCTGAGACCCTTAAAAGTCATGAAAATAAGCACCTGTGTTTTGCTCAACTGACAACAACAACCATGTAAATCTAAGAAATCCGACACATAAAAAAATAATAAAAGATAAAAAAACCTGCAATGATATAGTATTAAGAATTCGTATTTTAAATACCGTGTTTTAATTTGTGATCGCACGATTACAGTCTGGGGTACAGTTTCTTTTGAGTGTGGTAACAGAAATCCACGTCTGTATGAAATGGAAATTAGTTTATGATACGTTTGGCCTCTTTCCATCTTCTTTTTTTCAGTATAGGGGTTTAGTTTGGCGATATGAAATCTAATTTCATGGCTAAATATTTATCTGCACTGTGTGTCCTTGAAGTTAAAATATACAGTGCCAACTTTACTGTCACTTAAAATTTATGTTTGACAGTCCTACGTTGTTTTATCTTATAGGCAACCTTCAGGTAGAAACTTAAGTCCCATTTTTCTCTAATTCATATATATGTATTAGGCTTACAGATTATTGATTTATTTCCACTATAACCATTTGACTATGTCATAAGTTAAAAAACTATGACGTCATACATTTATGACATCATGACAGAAAATGGTGCAGGCACGCTCACTCTTATCATTCGACAGAATGTTTCGTCTCATCGTTATTTCATTTGCTAAATTTCATATTTCTAGATTTTTCTCAATTTCAATATTTGTCGTTGCATTAGAATCTTGATTTATTGTCATCATTTTATAAGGAGATCTTATCTAACACACTTTTGCCTTTTTAGTCTTCCGTATAAGGCTGAAAAGGTGTTATGGATCTCTCCTCATTCTCACAGTCCGTTTATCAAGTCTACCAAGAGCTCTTAATGGCCCCTGTACATTCTGATCCATAAAAGTATTGTTTAAGAGGCTGAATACTTGATCTCATCTTATTGTTTATTCATGAAAAGGAAAATTTACTTCAAGCTTCCAGGAAACTTAAAGCATATAGAATGAAGCATTATCTTATGTTTGTGCAGTTATTATGCATCGGGGAGGGAGTGTGTCTGCAACTACAAATGTATGTATTGCATACAGTTGAAACATAAGAAGACAGAAGAAATGGAGACGACTCGAATTAAATTAGAAGAAGCTAGAGAAAGTATCTAGTGCCAAATGAATAATACAGATGTCCCCGTATTCTGGTCTGTTTGGAAGGTTCTCGGATTCACAATCGTGTAATTGACACGTATAACACGTGCTGTAGATGCTAAACCTACAAACACTCCTCATCAAACTTCAGACTTGCTCCAAAAAAACTTTTTTAAAAAGCTGCAGACCTGATTTAATGGGTGTCCGTGGGCATGTTGCATTGAAGACAGATTAATGCAGATTCGCGTATAGCTGCAATTGGAGAATTAGTCCGGGTGATTAGGAGTATATACGTCCAATTAGACGGGGGTGATGCCTGAAGTAAATGTCTGCTATTTTCAGAGATAAATTAAGCGTTGTCGGCCAGGGAATATAAAAATATGTTTGCAGAATTTCGGTCAAGGTTTCTTCCCGACAGTCGACGAGAAAACACGAATAAATCGTTACTAAATAGTAAAACGACATGTTTAGAATTAGATTGCTTTCACAACAACAATAAGAAATTACCAACTTATGTTTATATAATCAGCATCCAAACTTAAATTCTATAAAACTAAAGTAATATCATTAAAGATATACACGGAGACTTTTGAAAAAGTACAAGGAGGATAAGACCATATGTTTCGGAAGAGAACGCGTATTATGCTTTCTGCTTTAGCAACAACATTCCCAACGGAAATCAAGGTCAATCCAAGTAAGTAATGTCACGTCCAAGATATATAACAGCAGAACAACAAGCAAACGTTTCATATTGTACAATAACACAATTTCTCACAGACCACTTTGACGACCGTAAAACTAACTTATAATTTTCATAAACCTACATCTTTTAAAATGCTGTGTTATGTGTTAGTTCTTGTACGTACATGTTACCTCCGTGCAATGAAAATGCCGGATTGTAGCTATCAAGAAAGGGAAAATATGCAAAAGGGAAATCAAAATCATCACGCATCGATGTTAGGGAATATCATAGTTATTCTACCCAGTTCTTTATGTATATAGCAAGCCTGCTTGTTGTCGAATGTTTTCATGAAGTTACGCAAGATCGATCATGAAATGATTAATTTGATATTTTATTTATTATAGAAAGTCTAGTTATCGAAAACACGTTAAATCAGTGACACTATACAACGTAAAGCACAATGAAATGGCTAAAAGGGATATGCCGCTGTTATCAAGAGATCACATGAGCTAACAGAAAACAAACAAAAACAAAAAGGAACCTGTTCAAACGACAGGATGGACAATAAATATATCTTGAATATTGGTAACAAATGATGCAACATTTAGGTCTACTCTATAGAACTGATGCACCATTTTATAGTAGTCTATAGAACTGATGCACCATTTAATAGTAGTCTATGGATTCGATGCACCATTTAATAGTAGTCTATGGATTTGATGCACCATTTAATAGTAGTCTATGGATTTGATGCACCATTTAATAGTAGTCTTTGGAACAGATGCACCATTTAATAGTAGTCTATGGATTTGATGCACCATTTAATAGTAGTCTTTGGAACAGATGCACCATTTAATAGTAGTCTTTGGAACAGATGCACCATTTAATAGTAGTCTATGGATTTGATGCACCATTTAATAGTAGCCTTTGGAACAGATGCACCATTTAATAGTAGTCTTTGGAACAGATGCACCATTTAATAGTAGTCTATAGATTCGATGCACCATTTAATAGTAGTCTTTGGAACAGATGCACCATTTAATAGTAGTCTACGAGTTTGATGCTCATTTGATAGAAGGTTTTGAAACTGACGCACCATTATACGTAGTCTGTAGAACTTATGTATCATTTAATAGTAGTCTATGGATTCGGTGTTCTATTTATGAGTGGTCTGTTGGACTTGATGCATATTCGCACGGTTACAATGATAAGAAAAGGCTAAATAAATGTGTTTCCGTTTCAACGTAAACTCTTTATCAACTACCGATATTTATCAGACCTATGATAACGTCCTGTTGTGGCGATAAGATCGTTACCTACTCATTGTATGGTTCCAAATTCTTCTGTAAGATTTACTCCTTTCACTCGCCCTATGGTGCTACATATCTATCCCTAAAAATCTTTCTCATTCTGATAATGTAGGAATTCAACGAATGCAGGTATTTACAATCCTTTCATGCAAAGTTTAACGAGGTGATGTTAAGTACACAAATGTGGTGATATTTAAGTGAGCACAACCATGGTCCTACTAATCACAAAGCAAACCTTTTAAATTGTGTAACCGAATTCAGTATCAACAAAATATCTGTGATAATATATTATTAAAAACACCGATATGTTGATTATTTTCAAAAAATATAAAGATTTAATTTCCAATAATTGGTTATACAAATTGATTTGAGAAGCTTCTGTACTACTGTACGTCATTACTTTCATTTACCACCAGTCTACTTGTTGTATAGATCGTTGGTTGGTTGGTTTGTTCAGGTTGTCTGTCTCCTTGACTCTTTCTATCACTTGGTGTAGTCTCATCGACAAATGTCAGTGTTCTGGTGACGTAATATAGCTCTTAAAATCTTAATGATACGTAAACGGTTCAAACGTGGTGTATAATGAAGACATATCACATCTAATCGGATTGATTCACATGTCACCACAAAATCAGGTATGGATGTTGGTCACCAAGTTTTAACTTAACACTTTTTAATCATACTCAGACTTTTACTATTGGATTGAATTATTTCCATAGCATTCTACCGATATGTAGTTGTTGTATTGTATGAATATTTAACTATAGTAAGTGTTCTTTTTAAAGGATATCATGTTACAAGTACGTGTATTTCTTCAGGGATTTCCATCAGTGTAATTAACATGGATTTGTAAGTGATACATTAAGAAATATATGGGATATTATAACCAACTCCTGCGTCTGGTTATAACTTCAAATCAATTATTGTGATCAAGATATAGTAAAACGTTGAGAAAATATATTTAAACATATGTATATAAAACTAGATATTTCCACGTAAATGTATGTTTAGTAAATCCAGACACTAATTGCCATTTGTTGGCATATAAAACTTACCTTGATAAGGAACATCTTATTAGTATTACGTAAACCATCACAGAAGAGTACGGTTATAGACCTAGAATTTCCTTAGTTTTCCGGTTGTTTTGCTCGAGGAAGTGTTTGTCCCTCGTCATGTATCCCGCACACTGACAGGTAGTTTTTGTTGAGTAAATAGGAATTTTTATTTGTCAAAATGACTTGGCAGGAACGTCGGAGATAAAAAGATACTACATCTCCGCTATGATCATACTTTTAGTCTTGCGGAACTTTTCAAGTTGGATAGACTACGATCTATTATGGAAATGTTTCTTGGTTTATTGCAAAACAAAAACAACGTCGATAAAACTCATGTTTCTGTGTGTAATGAACAGATTCTGACATTCCTGATAGTGGATCTGTACTCTACATAAATCGGTAATGATGTTATACATGCGGGCGTTACACCTAAATTCATTACAGAACTACTTCACTCTAGATTACATCTGTATAAAATATTAAAATGTCTTTGAATGGATAGCTTGTTTATTAGAACGTGAAGAGACAATCCGATACTTCGCTGCTAATAGCTCATATCATTTATGCACCATTGACCTTAGGTGGGCGGAGCTATTGTTCCAAATTCATCTGTCATTTTTAAACGATGGAAACATCGATACGGACAATAGAATGTAATATATAATTATACGGCTCTCGATAAGGATTCGGTACGCTATTTTATTGCGGTGTTTATAGGACCCTTAACTGTATTACGGACTTAGACAGCACAGTTGGTAACGTAGTAAAATTGATCTGAAGAGAGTTACTATAAAAAAGGAAAGAAATATGTATTTGCTACATACATAACATACCGTTATATCATTCTACATATTTTTGCAATATTTCCTTAAGTAACAGCAAACAGGAAAACGAGCACCGCTAGGTAAAGATCAATTTTCTAATTTCTAGTCGTTAGGAAGCTGGAAAATCGACCAGTCTGTGTTGACTTGGTTGTGTCCTTGGGCAAGACAGTGTTTCCCAACTGTTCCGGATGGCATGCGACGTGCCTCTCACATGTTGTTCCATGAAGTAGCTGCTAGCTGTTACAAGGGCACTCCACCTCGAAATGACCCTGGTTGTACGTAGGGCAATAACCCGAGCAAGCAAGCAATCAAATCAACAAACAAACTTATCTTGTGTCTAGAAGGCTCCTGTCTTTAAAATATAGGTAGCTGTGACCTTCATCGAAAGGCATACTAACTACATCACATAACGGGATATTAATATTAAATTTCAAAACAGACATTTAGCATATATTTCCTTTCTTCTGTTTGTAATATTCGTAAGTTTACATGCATATTTGATAAGATATCACTGAAAAGTATTCTCGTTGTTATTCAATTATCAATTTGATACAGCGATAAACTTTAGCTTTAACCTATATCACTTAGTTCTACTGTATTACAATTTTGTATAAAAACGTGCTATTCACTTGTGTGTCTTCTTAATCCTTTACAATTTAGATCAAACACCGATTATAAACAAGATTGCTTTCCCTACAAATGCAGATCGAACAAACATTTTCGCAGATTAATTTATAGAAAATAGAGTTATGTTTAAAAAATGGTATAGAGTTACAGGATTCATGAAAAATCATGCTGACAATGCACTATCCATTCGATCTATGTCCTCATTCCTGTTCTATAGAGAGTATTGGGAACTTAAAACGATTGTATCCCCTGTGACAATTCTACAAATGTTTATTAGGTATCAATAAACTTGTAAATAAGCTGTAGTGGACAAACTGTCCATCCTGTCATTAAGTACGCGATATTTTATCTAGTCTATCACGTGAGGTGAATCAACATTTACTTATTACGTAATATCATTCATAATGTAAATAAATCTTCAAACAGTTTAAATTTCATTTTTCATCACTAGTCCTCTAGTCGTCATCGTCATCATGTTGTTGCGCCTCTGTCCGCAATTGCTGAAAAATTGATAATTTTTGTAAGGATATAGGTGCATTGTGATGCAATTAAAAGAAATTAATAACTTTCATTAACGATGTATTTAATTTAAACATATTTTATTGCCTTAAAGGAAAAGAATTGGGCACAAATTACAATAACAGACAAAATCAATTGCATATATACATTTCAAGATGTCTCAAAATAATAATTTAATATCATTTTTGATTAAGAGAGAGAGAGTGAGAGAGAGAGGTGGGAGATAGACAGAGAGAGTGTGGTATTTAACAGTTTGTAAATACAAAATAACAATGTATTTCACACATTTTTCAATCTTTTGTATTGTTTAGGAAGAATTCATCTAATCTTTTCTTCATGTGTATCTTGGTGCCAAGCATGTGTACTTTGGCAAGTTCTTTATGTTACAAGTTATCCTTACCACATATCTGTACATACCTGTATAAAGTAAGCATTGAGTCGACGGGCTAATCCTGGGTTCATATCTGTAACGAAAAGTAGCTAGTTACAATTGTATAGATACAGCAGATACCATATATATAGGCAATGAAGACAGAAAACAACAAATAATATTATATGTTTATATTATCCAGTCCTGAATATACATTAACATTGTGGATGGATGCGATGGTTTTTTGTGTAAGAGTATGTCAAGTATGGCAGCAGGTGATGTACGTGCGAACACTACCTATATAAGTGTTTAACAGTTTAATGATATAGTTTTCAGCTTGCATGAAGTGGTGGTTATTATCTAAATTTATTTTATTGAAGAGATCTGGTGTCTGACTACAGGTGATGAGTATTTGTTACTGCATGTCTTACTACTTGCACGTGCTGTGAGAGTGACAGAAGCCAGATACGTACAGTGATCATATTTGCTTCTATGTCGATTTTGATGTGTTCTTATAATTACCGTAAATAACCTGTTCCAGATACGGGGCCGACACAAAACATCTTAATGTAAAAGAGTATCACCAATGGGCAGACAGAGACGAACACAAAATATTTTATCGTACAAAAGTAGTATTCCTTGATAGATATGAGACCTAAAAGATCATTTGATCATGCAAATGTTTAACTTGCGACCAGACATGGAACCTACAGAAACATTATACCATACGAAAATAATAGTCTTGACCAGACTTGGGACCAAGACAAAACATTTTAATATAATACGAAATATTCACCGTAAAATAGAAATATGTGAACTATGAAAAATCCACACCGTCCACACACTAGTGAATATGTCCAAATAAGTCTTCATCAGGAATACTTAAAGGACCTTACCCACGCAGGTCTGGAGTCAACAAATTCATATCCCTTTGTTAAACACTGATAATAATCTTAATCAACGGTCTTAATATTACGAAATCCTTGTTTACTTTTTATAAAATTCAAAATAGCGTTATTATCCTCTTACCTGTATGGATATTAGAAAACATGCCAGGTAAAGGAAGACGATTCTACAACTGTCTTCAGTGTCCGTAATACATTGTGATTTACTACAACAGGTGCTGTATCTATGCTTCTTTTGTTGCCAAAGTTAACCTTGCATGTACACATAATATAACCTTAATTTGTTCAGTGAGGATCAAGCATTGTAAGTGAAATAAGATTTAGAATCCAGTTCAAAGTTCATTTCCGGATCGCATAATGTGTAAATAAGAACATTTGGTATTCATGTAAAATCAAGTTAACAAAACATATTATAACTTCATACAGTATGAAGTGATTACGTACGATGAAGGAGTCTGGGAAGGATGTTCACGTCGTTTCCTATGAACTGGGTAAGGGTGTTGGAGTAGGCGGCGGTCAGAAGGGACTTGAGCACGCCCTTGTACTCCTGTGGCAGACTCTGATATGCGTTAGTGGACTCCAGATTATGCAGATATGAATCGGATTTTGACCGCAACGACCTTTTCTTGAATGGAAAACAAGTTTATATTGAAAATGGCAGTAAATAAAGGTGTAAATAAGGAGATTAAGTCTAAACGTGACTAAATGAATAGTCTGGTATGAGAGAGAAAGACTGTAAGGAATACCATTCTGTCTGTTGCTGGAGGGCTCTGTGTACTGGCGGTAGATGCAGCTTGTTGTGCTTGTAGAAAGGCGATGCTCTCGTCTGTTAGGACCTATTCATTGGATAATAATGCACATTATGAAACATTTTTTCTACTTATCAAGGCATCTTTGTTTCACCGTCTTCATATAGATTTCTTGTTTATGTCACTGTGTAGCTTTTCATATCGTGTATGTTGTTTTCAGGAACACTGTATAGCATTTTAGTATTATAGCGGCCAAACGCTGTAATAAAGTGCAAAAATAGCATCATAAAGTAATGTGTCAGTTCACCTTTAGGAGATAGTCTTCTACATCGTGAGCTTCATCGACGGGTAAGTCTGTCAAAGACACAAAAATAACAGGAATATAAGTATTACTTTGTCACACATTCAATTCCAATGGAGTCTAGGTTTCGACCTGGCATTGTAATTTTTTTCAACACATTTCACCGAGCATTAAAATAGCATGGTCAAATTTCACAAAGTTAACGTTTTGAATATAAAAGACGAACTACCTCCTATAAAATTAACAACATAAGTTAACAAAATACTTGGCACCAGATGAACTTACGTCTAAGGAGGCTGAGGACAGACGAGAAGCCGACCTTGTCAATATAAGCTGTTAGTTGACCCGTCTGAGCCGTGGATGCTAGTTCTTCCGTCAGACCTTTCAGTTCCGGTGGAAGGGCCTGGTAAGCTGCGCTTTCGTGAAGGAAGTTCAAGGTCGACAAGAGGTCATTATGTACATCGGCAAAGGTCACAGTTAAAAGTATAAAGAAGACAGCAAAGTTCATGGTCGCTGGATGTGATCCCCTACCAAGAAACCAATATAGAGAAATATTAGAAGAATATTATTTTCGCAATGATGACAAAAAACAGCCACGAATGAAATATTTTCATTTAATTCATTCCCATGTAAAATTAGGTTTGTTTTACCTCATCAGTCATCACAAAACTGGGTTTTCCCTCTAATACTAATAAACATTAAAAAAATGTACTTATTGTATCAGTGACCAACACAAATGTCCACTAAACACCCCCGCAGTTGTACTTGATGTCAGTAGGAGGACAGTCATTTTGTCAGACAGCACTAATGTATCGATTTTCATGATCGGATAATATGTAAACATCAAACAAATAAGAAACTCATTCCATTTCCTTAAATCCGATATCGGACTCCATCAGTATGATGTCAGACAATACTTATATACCAGTTTTCTTCTAACATTAAATGTAATCAGAATACATCTAAATGTCAGTCAATCAGGATGTGACGGTCAGCTTGTCCAACTAGAAAACGTATGTCACCTTTACGTATACATACCTATTTTCATGGAAATCGGACAGTATCTAAATTATGACCAATCAAATGCCGCGTTTGACCGGTCAGATGACCGTTGAAGGAAAAGAAAAAGCTCTTGCACACCACTCATGTGAAATTTAGTCAAATCCTATCTATTTGTATTTGAGAATCGGCGGCGAAAGAAGAATATAATAAGGAGAAGCAGGCAAAAACGATGTTCATGCCCTCGAGGTTTGGAAAGCAAAGTTCTATGATGTATACCTGAGTGTAAGCGGAGGGCTGTGAGGTGTGTCGGTTCCTTGAAGCTAATGATGCTAGACTTAGATTGATTTTAATGTCTCTTCCTATCTCGTCTACTTCGGGCTTGTATTCCTGTTATGTCGTCGATAACGGTGTACACACCTGTAACCCGTCGTGTTTTGATCACATTGTAACTGATAAGGTTTAGCCCTTACCGCACCCATTAGTCAAAGTAAACACAGCTATTTTGGTGTCATATCAATTCAACTGCGGATCAAGGTAGAGGGCAGTATAAGAGGGAATGAGAGGCCCAGGATATCATGCAAACTTCTTTGTTCATTTAGGAATTTAGCAACACAGAGACGATGGGGAGGGTTTAAGTGGTCAGTCTGAAACGTGTGCGCATGTGCATGTCTTTGATCACAAATATACATTGTAATATACATTACATATATGTCATAATATTATCAAATATATAGGTCCTGATACACATCACAGACGTCATAATATTACTGTCTGGTTGTTTAAAGGCTGGTTAGAGATAACCAGTGATTAGTGAAAATTTTCAAACGTTAATGAAACAAAATTGAGAACATCATTAGTCATTTTATGACTGTACATTTGTTTAGACAGTTCAAATGGATGTATTTTGAGTGTTAATTTTGCGTTTAACACTCTTGTTTGTTCAGTGGCAGCAATTTGAAATTTTATAAACCACTGTTTAACTCTAATTAACCTTTGAGCAACCAGGGCCAGGTCTGCGTAATGTTGGCGTCGCACCATTTCGTTTGGAAACTTGATTATCTAATCACAAGAAGTGAAAGTCGAGAATACAACAGTAGCAATGGCTGAAGAATGATTTAACAGATAAAAAACAATACTAGTAGTTCAACATTTTTTGGAATATTTTTCATGTTGGTAATTTCAATAGAATAGAAGTTCTTCAAGCACAACCAGTAGAAGATTAGAGTGTGACTAAACAGGGACGAGGGGGTCTCATACTCTCGCACATTTATATGACCAAGTGTTGAGCAAAGCGTAGCCGAATTGATCACAGTACATTGTTACCCTCTTGTCTATTTTTGGTCTATAATCTGTTTACCATCTCGTCACACTATTTTCGACCTTAGTGCACATATGATTATAGTACAGCCCAAAATGTGGGCCGATTCCTTACCATCTTGTACACTGCGTACGTCAGTGTAAGTGTGTTCCTCATTGGTCATTTGTCTGATGAAGGTGTCCATGTTACCAGCCATACTTTAATCTTCTATCGGCTTTGTTATAATAACTTCTATTTTAATGAACGACATGTCACTATCAGTGGACGAGATCGGTCACAATGACACAATGGTTAAAATGCGGGTTTACATAATACCAATAAGTGTACACTTAATTCTTGTAAAGAAGTGATTTGCTTGAATGGTGTAATGGGAGACATCCGAAAATGTGAATTAGGTGAAGAATGCTGGTCAACGATGGAACAAACCAAGGCAATAACTCCGGCTGTAAGACACCACAGAATTCCAGCAATATCAGTCTCCAAGGTTGAAGGTCATAACTTTCCTGTTTAAATACTATGAGTGATGACAAATATGTAATTTTTTCAGGATCTCGTGTGCCATATGACAACTCAAATACCATTGGGTGATACTTATGCCGGAAAGAATGATAAAAAATGTACTTGAGCAAAGGTGTCCAACACCTGGTGTCTACCATTGCTACAGAACTGTAACAGAAAAGTATTTTATGATCACGAATAATTCTAAATGAAAATGTAGGAATTTGAATTGAATGATACTACAAAGGAGAATGACTTAAAACCATATGAAAATGGAACCAGATAGCGTTGAAAGACGACGTTAACAGGTACAAAAAAAAAAAAAAACGAAAAGCAAAAGAATCCTGTACTTAAAAAAATAGTTTCGTTTGATCCGAAAGAACAGAACTGAAATAAAATAAGGGTTTGAAGCGCAAATACAGCTGTTCATGTTGTACGAACTGAACGAAAGTCTTAAGAAATCAATTACCTTCATCTAGCTGATAGTTTACAAACATTATGAAATGAAACAGCGATTCTAGAGCAACGCCTGAGAATGTATGGGTTCTGTTAAGTGCAAAATATTTTCCTAATTTTTATAGCTTAAAGCGCTTTAATATATTGTCTCTACACCAAAGCTAAACAGCTTCAATCTACATGTGATCTACAGTAAACTTAAATAAATATCACCACAGTACTCCTTTAAATTGGTTTTATATAAATCTCCATTTTATGATGGATATTGTCAAAATCGTCTGATAATCAGAATAAAGACTTTTTTTGTTCACAATCTTGACATGGCCATTTTGTATTCTCTTCGGGCCAACTTGTAATTGAGGAAGTTCACCATTACAACTTCATCACAAACGTAAGTTATTTCAGCAAAATATTTTCAAAAAGTGATACACATACACAAATGGGTATTATATATTTTTTTTAAATACTTCATTTTCTAAATCACAGCTTTCAGAAATACATATGTCAGTATGTTCAATTTGCATATAAAATTACACGAAATCACCGTAATTGATGAGATCTGATGGCTATTCCGGTACGTCAATGTACCTTAAGTGATGTATAAAAATCAAATCGAGGATCGTAATATCACGCGCTTAATCTGTTTACAGCGTATTGTGAATAGTTCGAAATGACAACAAGAGCCGCTATCGTCAAATTAAACACGTTCTTGAGATATTTTGGTAGTTCAATATTTTTCACTACATTACACTATACTACCTAGATAAATGCACAAAAAATACTCATTACTCTTCAAATGTATTTTCCCGCTTTTAGACTGCAAATTCGACTATGTTTGATTGCATGACAATTAAAAAAGAAAATATATGTTGTAATTAAATAAACATGTAGAGTTTTATTTTTTTTCCAGCACAGGGACAGGACTATTTATTTGCATTTACATTTAACATGCTACATTTGTATATCGTCTTGAAGGGACTATACGACTGACTGCCTGAATTGAACGTAAATATTGCGCCCCCTCCCCCTTTTCTCCACTGTGACCTTTTGGCACGGGAGAGGCGAATGTTTTCTATATAAATAATCTACACCGCTTATGTATTTATTCACCTAAAAGGAATATTTTGGTTTCTCTGTGTGGTGCTATTATCTAAATACGGTCGGAAACACTCAATATAGCGAAAGAGCATACGTGTAGTTATCATCTAGAAAAATCGAAATGAAAAAGTAAGTCAGTTAATCTAATGTTAATATAAATATATATCCTTGTTTGCTTCATCGTATTCGGTAAATAGTGTCGGAAATTCAGCATTTATATATCTATGCTTACTTATCAAATACTTCAGTATGGATTGTGTTATTAGCCTCTGTTAGATATACTGTATAGGTCTTAAAGTCCGTGGAACTACTAAGTCCAATAGTAACAGCGGGAAATATAACGCGTCACCTACATTTGTTATTACCTCCCTTGAATCTTAATTTTAACCAATCAGAATCGGGTAATTTCGTGTTGTCTCGTGTTGGCAACGTAACACAACAAAGGATTCAAAACAATCTGCTGTTAGGTCTATTGAATGCGAAGCTAAATCCGATCTAACAGCCACACACTCGTGTCAACAGAGTGTTATACTTAGGTGAGTTATCTGCATATGATATCAAATAACGCACAGGCATATATACAGTACATTTAATTGATTTCATTGTATCAAAACTTGTAACAATGACCTGCTTGACAAATTTACACTTTGTGTAACTTCGAACATTGCCGAATGTAATAATCAATTACATATCGATACTGTACAGCTGACAGCCATTGTTTCATTCATTTAAAGCGAGGCATAGCTTGTTGAAAGATATCCATGTTACTGTGGATACATCGTTGTTGTTGTACCATATAACGATACCGAAGTTGTTTGGAATAGAAGATCAGTTTATCTTGACCTATAGTATCGTTTAACAAAATATTGTGGATTTTTTTATAACACCAACGGTGCCATCAGGTGAGTGTTTAAATACAAAATGTAACATGAATAAAGCTGACTTATGTTTTGAATAAATTTTGATATGGTTGAGACCACAACATTATACCAGGCTAAATATAGTTATACGTATGATATTCTCACTTGTTGAATTAATCATATTGGGATTCCTCCTTGGAACGTCCAATATAATGAGCTGCAAGGAGGACTCCCGAAAAAGGGATTACTATTGAATATGACCCCTTTTTCTTTGTGTGTGTCTGTGGTTGTGGTGTGGGGGTCAGAGTATGAGAGTATGCTGATGACATTTACGTGGTTAACCAGCCCCCCCCCTCACTTTTTCCCAGGCATAGTGTACACACAGTATTACCCATTGACTGTGGAAAGTGTCAGGAATGCTCATGATATAGAGTAGAAGTATATGTCAACACAAAATGCAAATTGGATGTAAGTGTCACTAAGTCTACATATAATCAAGGATATTTAAATTGAAGAAAACCAACCTAATTCTGTGATGAAATAATTAATTTCTGTTTGGTGGTTCCATTGATGTTAAGAGAAATAATTTACATGGCAGTAGTTTTAAATGAGGAAGGAGATGCTTACCCTTGTACTTTTCACTGGGTCTGTTTACATTAAGATTCTGTTGACATGTGGCTATTTTCTTTGTTGTTATAGTGCTCCACTTGATTTTTCTGCATCTATTTTTATCACAATCATCAGGTGCAATGGTGAACTGTTCAAATCACTATTTACTGTGGTCTGTTAATCTATCTGTCTATCCTTAATCATCCCTTATCACTATTTACAATGTATTGAGAAATATGTGCTGACCATTGGGTTTCCTTTGCTTTGGTCCAATATGTTGTGTCTATTCAATTTTGAAGTCAATGAGGAAATAGAATGACTGACAGGTCACTAATCTAGTCAATTACTGCTGTATCAGATGGTGGACTTCTCAAATCACTTTCCCTTGTGTCCAACCTCTGTCCATCATCAGCCCTTAAAACAATTCTTGTGAAAATGGCTGACAGACAACCATCTTTAATTTGACAATTAAAGATTACTATTGCTATTTTTTAAAGAGAAATTTCCAAATTTCATAATCAAGAGTAAATGAGATGAAAGAGGGGGAAAAGTCCAACTTTAAAGCACAAATGATGATCATTCAATGGTGGACATCAATGTCTCTCTGGGATCTGATGTTTTTTCTAGAGAAATATGTACCTGTATATATCATCAATACCAATAGAGCTTCAAAGAAAAGAAAAAGATACAAGCATGTCTAGTACATTTGTACAAATATGTCCCACAATGGTAGGCACAAGATCTATCAGGAATCTGGCTTCAGTTTATTTCTGTTAGTTGATTTACAGTGAAACTTGCCATTAAAAGGCTGAGTAAGACAACCTTTTTTTTAAAATAAAGGTTCAATTGATATGAAATGTGTTGCATTGGAATTCCAGACAAATGACATTTATAGACAGGTATGCATTATACTCAGTTTATCAAGAATAGAAAATCACACATATAGTAGAAATAGTTTTATACATAAAAGTCCAAATGAAAAGAAAGAATCAAGGAGTGTGTTAACATGACAGTCTACTGATTTATATGAATATGAAATTTTTTTGACAGGACAGAAAGCCACAGCAATGACAGCACAACCCGTCAAAATGACTCGACCCAAACACTGGGACGAGGCGGTGGAAGAGGCCTATAGGTTTCAAAAGGCTGGCTGGCGGGATGCAGTTGAGTACCAGACACTAGGAACCAATGCTGTAAGTGTTAAACAAGTCTTGTTTATGTGATCATATTTTCAAACATCCATTCTTTTTGGTAACTAAATCAAATGGAAACAAATCCACCCTGTCATATAGATAAAATAACAGTGTTCTTATTTGCAAAATTGTAATAAAAACTTGAAATTTTTTTTTAAACTTGCTATTTAGAATTAACTACATGAAATGAAAGGAAAGGAACTTGAATTTCGTAAGCAGGATGAAAAACAATTATGAATTGTGACAGACAAAAATACAAATTCAGTTATCCATATGTATATATAACTCGGTTCACATTTAAATTAAAGTAAGTGCCAGTTTGAGTTTGGGACAGATCAGAAACACAAAATGACTGACAGGCAGCTATTTTGGATTTCTCCTAGTTAAGATTGTTATCTCTTTTTCTCAAGAACTACTGAATGGACCTCTCTCAATTTTCATCTTCCCTTTAGTCTCTACTTGTGCCCATTTTATTTTAAGACTGATCAGAAAAAAACCCCAACAAAATAGCTTTTAGACAACCATCTTGGATTTGGCAGCAAAAGATTATCATCACTATTTCTGCAAAGGAATGTTCAAATTTCTTATCATTAAGAGCAAAAACAGAGAAGAGAATTGAGAGAAAATATCCAACTTTCAAAGAGCAAATAAAGATCAAACAATGGTGGGCGCCAAATCCCTCCTGGATATCTTGTTAGTGCAAATGTTTTAATTTGAATTGAACAAAATGCAGAACATTCTTTATCATTTCACTGCTTTGTTGTGACAGGTCACATTGATATATTTTTAGTTTCAATTTTGCTTTGAAATTCCTTGCTTTTTCACAGGCAACAATTTAGAATTTTTATTGAATGTAGAACATTTTCTGTTGCAGCCGCCTATAGAAAGATGGCCACACAATGGATACATCAAGAAGCTGACCAGAAAAGTTGATGGGTTCTTTTATTACTACAACAGAAACCGTGAATGTCCAGATAGAGATATACACAGGACAAAGCTGTATGAATACTAAACTAACTGTTTAACAACAAATATTTGAAGGCAAATTAAGAAGAGGACCAAGGTGATAGGTTGTGCTTCTGATGATATATTTCTGTGTGTAGAGGGAAGCCTGTGTTTGACTTGAGTGTGTCTGTCCTGTTAGTGGAGTCTGTCCTCAACTTCATCAAATATTTGGATAAATTTTCCACAAAGGAACAGACTTTCTTAATTATTCATATGTTTGTCAATTAAGTCAATATGAAATTGTGTTTTTTGTTGTAATGAATTGGAAAATTTCCAGTCCCTGTTAAAATCCAGTCGTTGCTATGATGCATTGCTGTCAAAAGTGCATGTGGCTGATATGTATGAATCACTCCTGATCATAGACGTCGGCAGGGACGCTGTCATTGTCAAAGTATTACATTACACATGTAAAATAGGAAAGTATGGCTATAAACTCATTTCATAGATTATTTTCATGGGCATTTTTAAAGTGATATGGTGAAAACTCAATTTTCTTATCAGTATAAATAAATAAATGTTAGGAACACAATTTTTCAGAGTTTTTCATAGATTCCTTGGTCTATCAAGTTTGTTGATGAAATATGGGACCATGGTTACACAGTGGTAGGCATATAAACACTTTCACAATCACCATCCTGTTTCCCGTCTTGTGTTGTAAAATGTTTACTGAAGTTGAATGTACTCTGACAGCTGGTTACTGAATGTCACTGATCACATTGTCATTTATCATTGTACATAGTATTTAAATATCACATCATGAAATTATTTGAATGTGTTCAATTCAATTTACAGCATATTCATATTCCTTCACACAAATCTTAAGTTTGCACCTAAATTTATATGCTACAAAAACATTGTTGTGGTGATTTTAAAACGTGTTATTTGAGAATAAAATATGATAAAAGGAATTATTCATTCTTTTGATGCTTTTTGGCTAACTTGACCCAAAAGGCCTTGTGAGCTAATGGTATTAGCACAGCACCCAACGTCCATCTGTCACCTGTCAATTTCTATAAAGTGTGACTGATCAAAAACATCTCGCCATGTTTTGACCAGAATCATCTTTGAGGGCAGTGGAACTAATTTTGTGTAAATGATGTGTTTGGAACCTCAGGGACTTGAGAGGCAGGGTCCAATATTGGAAATTTAGCATGGTCTTTCAAACCCTTCTTCCTCAGTAAGAATGATGCTTTTTGTTCAAATTTTGTCTGAAGCATCCTTGGGTGAAATGGGTCTCAGTTTTGTACAGTTGTGGGATCGCAGAATGTTACATGATGTCCGCACAGTGTTCTCATGTGCAGATGATAGGATAACGACTAAATAAGCAATTGCTCATCTGTACTCATGTTGAGCTGTTCTATCACACAGATGTACAATTCTATCTTGGTTGATATAAATTTAGAAATGACTAATAGATAAGCGTGGTATAGGATTTATTATCTTTAACCATAGCCTTAGTGTATAAACATTCATTATGGTAGCAGTACACAGTTTTTCAGTGTGGCCATGGGTGATTTTTTTGCTCATTAGATTACCCCATTATATATGAAAGTTTTAATCAGGAATGAAAAAAAATCCTTGCTAAAATTGGTCCTGTCATGTTAAAGTGGACAATGTGGGGTTTCATTTTTTTTCAGGATAATATTTTAGCTTTGTGTTGGAGATTACTATTTGGGCAGTCTCGAATCTGTGCCTACGCACCAAAAACTAGCTTTACAGGAAGTGAAATTTTCATAGTGTTTACATGTGGTCATGTTATGAAGAATTTCCGAGTTGGAATTTGCTGAAATGTAAGTACTTTGTTACCATGACAGTGTTGTTGATTGTAAAATAGGTGTTTAGAATTAAATTTCTTCTAGAAAGTTGTAGTGTTAGGTTGGAATTAGCAGTATTTTTGCATTTTTAGCTTTTTTCAGTAGGAAACCATGACAATCAAATGTCAGAAATCAGAGGAATTTTTTTTTACACTAATTTTATCTCTCTGCTATTAAGGTAATTGTTATACAGTTTATAAATATATATACATGTAATGATGTATTTTTCATAACCAATCTGCTATACCTGTATATCTCAAACATGACAAATAATTTCAGGAAAAACGCAAATTAACTGTTTACTGCTACCCATACATTGCATATATGTAAACATTAAATGAACGTCTCTTATTATCTTGGCAATGAATCATCTAAAATCTGATATCTTCTTAAATGAAAACAAACTTTTCGGTCACTTAACTCAGAAAGGTTATGTTTTAATAGGATTACAAAGTTAAATCTGGGGGCAGCCGTTTTGTTGCGTCACTGTCATCTTATGACTTCGCGTCAATGTCCGTATGATGACATCGCAGTCTTATTTCTGGCTGGCTCAGCTAATGACCTTGATCCACTTTGAAAGAAACGCGCCTTAAAATCTTGAAACGGTTTTTTAACGAAATGTCAGTAAACGAAGCACGCACAGAACATTTAAAAGTCAGGGGTCAAATGTACCAAAACCACAGAATGATTAAAAACACCTCTAAATTTCACCCTGGTACCCTATCTACCAACTGATATTGGATCCGTTTTAATCAGATTCACCATTGCCAAAACTACAAAACGGCTTTTGAATTGCCACTAAACACGGAACAAGTATATGATATATTTGGGCAGTACAGAGCTAGCTGGAATTGAAATAATTATGACTTCGTTTCTTGAAAAGCTTCTTAAATGTTCCAAGTTCAAGATGTTCAAAATGGTACCATGTGGTAGGAGTAGCTTTCAGAAACTCAGATAAGATTATCGTGAAATGTTGAATGTATAAGAAAAATGAGCTTAAGCAACTTTCATATTTGCTTGTATTTACTGGTACACAACTTCTTGATAACCAAATGATTAATAGTGTATGAATTGTAGATGTAACGATATTAAGTTTGTGGTTAGAAATTCTTTAGGCGGTGAAATTTGGTTATCTAAAAAGGCAAGTGTTCAAAGTCTGCAAAAGAAGTGTTCCAAACCTATTTCAAATAGGCCGACGGCCTGATTAGATTTTGGTAAGGATTGAATTTTGGTATGGATTGGTCAAGGTTAAAGGTCAAACGTCTTTGATCCAGGGGTGGAGGTATATGTGAACCTCTGCGCACTTTGTTTTTATTGGTAATGATCATGAACTCGAAGTAAAACAAACCATAAACACAGGACTGTTCAAAGGGACACAACTCTGAAGTTACTGAACAAATATGCTACGAAAACTCGCATCTAAAATAAACAAGATTCGCACTTTAAAAATGTTAGCGTTTTAAAATGCAGCACACGTTAGTAGTGCGTTCTCTGTTAAAATTACTGGTGATCAAATATATTATTTTATATTTTGTTAAAAGGTGTAACAGCCGGACGAAATACGATCAGTACAAATGTAACATGCTTTCTATTACTGTCTACTATTGATGTTGTTGAAGAGTTCCAATATTTAATTAAATGTTTAAAAATGATACAAGGGAACAAAAACGGATGTAGTATGACAAAGTGAAGCCCACGGTAAAGTGAACCGCGGTTCATTTCACCATTATGGTAAAAAAGGTCTCCTCCCTCCCATGGTAAAGTGAAGCCACTTTTATATTTTGTTTTCAAATGCTGTTTCTTTTATATTTTTTTGATTTTATTATCAGTCTACTTAATTATGATGCTTATGATGCTCAATACATAAAAAATAGGGAAATTTAGAGTGGGGCAAGGCGTTGGGGGAGGGTGGGGGGAGTGGTTCGCTTCACCATGGCCATAGGAAAGTGAAGCATTACACCATTTTCTTACTAATTAACTAATTAATTATGCTATTCACCATGATTCAGTCATATAAGCACATATATAACAAAAATATGTCTGGAATGGTGAAATTATGGGTGGGGCGTTGGCGGGGGGAGGGGGGTTTCACTTCATTCATCAGGACGAATAGAAAAGAGAGAAAAAAAAATTGGTGCCCCACTCTAAATTTTCCCATCCCAGACATATTTTGTAGTTCACTTGACCATCATGGTGTTTTGACACCGGTTCATTTCCCAATGCTTCACAATACCATGCTACACCGTGATATATAGGACTATCTAAACAGTCGAACCAATGATTTGACGTCATTTAGGCGTCATGGCTTACATGTACGTTACGTCAATGTTTTGCACGTCGCCTTAGATAGCACACACTGTGTGGCTTTAAGTCAATAATCTAGATAATTTTGATTTTCAGAGAGATCTTTCTGCACTGAATGCCATGGGCGAGATAAAAACGTCATATCATTCATGTCTACCGAAATACATTCATACTGGTAATCTTAAGACCGTTCAGTGGTTCAGCGAACCAATTTCTTATTTTAATAATTAGCATTACTTTTAAAGGATAAAACTTTACGATTCATTCAGTGTTTTGTAGAAAATATTGGATTTCCCGTGTTTCAAAGGGAGTGTTTTGGTATAGAAAATTGTAGACTTTCTATCAACCAAGGTTTTTCCCCATCAACTAAAGGTTTTTTCTTTTCAATTAATGGGGATTCTCGATATAAGAAATTATCTACAACCAGAGTTATGTTTACAGAAAAGGTAAAAGTCGACTGCCTATTCTAAAATCATACAAGGCTAATTTTAAACAACGTTAATTTATTGTTCTACAGAAGTTTTAGGAGAAATGTTTATTCAGTAGTAATTTAATAAATAAGAAAATGTAATCTGGAAATAAATGTTAAATAAAGAAGCAATACAAATATTCATGCGAATAAGATTTTTTGAAGAAGCGAATGTCAATATAAAAAAAAATACTAGATACTGTAACAATGTTCTTTTTTATCTTAATTTGAAGACCAATGCTGAAATCTGAATGTTAACGACATACTTTGTCCACTGATATGTTATGCCATTTCGATTCAAAGCAATATCGTTATATAAAAATGATATTTTCATTAATAAACAACCTGCTAATTCCATTTCTCTGTGCAAATCTAACGTATATAGTCACAGCTGAATGCTTTAAAGGGATATCAGAATATTATTTTATTGTCTCCATTTAATAGTTTAAAAAGCTGGTGTGAAATAGTAAAATATCAAAAATATGTTATTTTAGAGACTGAATGAATATGTTGACAATGGAGGGTACCTGTATATACAATATGAATAAGGACACCAAAGTTAAATATACCTATTATTGAATAGGTCGTAATTAATATCCGTTATTACAAAAAGAATAGATTTATACTAATCTACTTACTATACACACAAAGTCATATTGTGTAAGTGCGAACGGTCTGTATACACGTATATGTCGAGATAACAAAGTGCCCGATAAAATAGGTAAAACTATTACAGTTCATGTATTTCACGTTCTAGGCACTTTTGTCCCTTATTTGCTCAAAGGCATACGCCATTTGCAGGACTGTTACGTCATCGAAGTGGCGACCCACAAACATCATCCCGACCGGAAGTCCATCTATACGTCCTGCATTTATGGATAGGGCTGGATGTCCGGTAGAGTCAAATGGAGCGGTATTCTTTATCATTCCGAACGTGAGGCGGATAGTTTCTGAAACGGATTAAATACAAATTAATATGACCAATATTTGGCGGTTCAAAATGCGAAGTAACGTCGAACCTCGATATCTCAACTCATCTTTGAGGTGTTCCGTCGGTCACAGCCAAATTTCACACTAAATATTCGAATTCTATTAAACTGAATACTCCCCCGGTCGCACCGACTTCGAGACAACGACGTTCGATTGTACTTCGACCGTGAACTAACTTCGACATAACCTAATCTAATAGTAGTTGGTACCAATACCTTGAAATACTGAGTTGATATATCGCGACTGTGTAAATGGCCGCTCTTACCTGAAAGAGATGTCTCGGATGTTGGAAGTACACTTGCTGTAAAAGGAAGTGTAGGCATGACCAGAACGTCGAACTTCCGGAGAGCTTGGTCGTATGCCTGGGTCAGCAGACGGGTGAGATTTTGTGCTTTAGCATAGAATTTGTTCTGGTAGTTCCTGGACATATACTCAGAGAAAACGGCCAAGAGTTTACAAGGCATGCTGAAGTCCTGCGGGCGAAGGTTGTAACCCCGTGCTAGGGCTTCCTGCATTGACAGGCAATAATGTCCCTTCCAGTTCTGTCCATTTCCTGTTCAAGTAAATAAAATTAATAAATAAAGCAAATAAGTAAAAAGATAGATAGATAGATAAATAAATAAATAAATATATCAATTAAAAAATATATGATTATTTGTTTTAACTCCAGTAATGGACTCTGAACTCTTATAAAAAAAGGAAATATGTTAACTGTGTAACTCGTGGCGATTTATGTTTATTTTGTACAATCCATCACATGGGTTCTGATGATTAAGCCTGTCGGGACAGCATATACGAAAAACTATTCACTTGGCATCATAACCTTCTGACCATTCTAAAACCTCAAGGTTTAGATCACTGCACAGCGTTCCATCGTCTTACACATCGAGACCAATATTACGACACATCCGTACATATCAGATGTAAACCTTACATTTAGATGTTTTCACTTTGTCAAACTTAGAATTTGACTATTCAAATATCCTTTAAAATATGACTTTGCAAGGGAAACATGACAACAGAAAGTTATACAATTCAGCAAAGTTATGATTTGTAAACTACTGATGGATATTATAGAATTTTCTTACCTGTAATCCTACACTACGGGCACCCTGCTTTACTACAGCTGAAGTACAAGATAGTATTTGATGTCTCTTGTCATCTAGCCGATCCGAGATTCATGGGAAAAATGAACAATAAAGACTCCGGTTTTGTACGTGATTAATGATTATGAAGTATAGGGTAATAGGAATGCTAATAACCGGATAGTATGATTCCTAATACCTTATGCGATATCATATTGTAGGCTCCTTCAAAACACACAGGAGTCCAGATAACAAACGGACTTACCGTTTCCTTGTATCATCATATTGTAGGCTCCCTCAAAACACAGTAGTCCAGATAACACACGGACTTACCGTTTCCTTGTATCATCATATTGTAGGCTCCCTCAAAACACACAGGAGTCCAGATAACAAACGGACTTACCGTTTCCTTGTATCATCATATTGTAGGCACCCTCAAAACACACAGGAGTCCAGATAATACACGAGCTTACCGTTTCCTTGTATCATCATATTGTAGGCTCCCTCAAAACACAGTAGTCCAGATAACACACGGACTTACCGTTTCCTTGTATCATCATATTGTAGGCTCCCTCAAAACACACAGGAGTCCAGATAACACACGGACTTACCGTTTCCTTGTATCATCATATTGTAGGCTCCCTCAAAACACACAGGAGTCCAGATTACACACGGACTTACCGTTTCCTTGTATCATCATATTGTAGGCTCCCTCAAAACACACAGGAGTCCAGATAACACACGGACTTACCGTTTCCTTGTATCATCATATTGTAGGCTCCCTCAAAACACACAGGAGTCCAGATATCAAGACCTGAAAGTGTAACAATAGTCTTTGTGTCTCCCATTCTTTTTACGTAGAAAGTAAACAGCAGTTCAATATTTACAATGTTTTCTTTTGGATGAAAAACTATGACATATCAATATATTTCTTCAATGTACAAGTACCATTTTTTCTGACCACCCATTTATCTGAAATAAAATGTACAAGTACCAATGTTTCCCTTACCTGAAGTAGAAAATTGGCCAAATATAATTTTTAATGACAATTAACAGATAAAAAGTTGTGTATTTTATTTAACCCTATTAACTTGCAGTCTTAGTTTTGCATGCCATCATCCTCCCCAGACCTACCGTCAGCATGTAATGGAACGGACACTTCTTCTACAACTGCTCCTGCCTCTTGCAGTCTGTATGCTGCCTCCCGGACACAAGTTGATACGTCTCCGTCCACTCCGTCAAACCCCTCGATCAGAATTCCAACTCTTTTTCCAGAGACACCCTTCGAGAGCTGAAAAAAAGTGTAGTTCCCAAAATTATTGCAAGACATGAAGTCTGGCATAGTTAATTTAAAGACTGCATAAAAGACATACAAGTGAATAGCACCTCTTCATAACTTAGAGCGAGATACAACAAAAACAAAATGTACATTAGAGTCAAACAATGAATTACACTGCATCATACAGCCGTTCGTGCTCCTATGACTCGTCAGTGATGCTAAGGGCCTAAACTTTGAAACCTAGAGGCGACTAATGAAAATCCAAAGTGATAAAGAGCAGTTTGTCTGAAGCACTGGACAGTCTGAGTAACGAGTTGTTACTAGAAAGGCGGAAAGTTATCGAAACTACCAGAACCTGTAATCTATGTGAGGATAGAACGAATCTTTAGTCTTTAGTAAGCCTTAGATCCTTCGTCTTTATTTATGCTTTGTCCTTACAGATCAAGTCATCAGGCTGTTTATCCTATTTTGAGTTTTGATCACTTACCAGGCTGGAGTAAGGAGGGACTACAATGCCCGGATGTTGTCGCGGGTCTGTTCCGTTATCATACCCAGCCAACACCTGTTCTAACGAAACATACAAGCTTGTATCATATTTTTAATTGATTATTTACAATATTCAACAAATGTTTATAACTGATATTAAATTCATGTAGACATGACACTAATGAGATATTTAAATTTTGTGATGTTAAAGGTGATTTGATGAGAAGAAAAGCAATGGCATGGTTTACCTACCTCTAGGAAGAGGGCACAGTCTTCCACTGTACGCGTTATCGGTCCCAAATGGTCTACTGTCATCTCTATAGGAACAGCCCCTGTGTACGGAACTAACCCGAATGTCGGCTTATGTCCAACCGTGCCACACCAGCTGGACGGTATTCGGATAGAGCCGCCCTGGTCACCACCAATGGCCATATCGATTTCTCTTCGCGCTACCTTGAAACACAGTTATTTATAGTTTCGTTTTTATATATAATATAGTGATAACTAATAGTTGTAAAACATTGGGATATCGGTACGTTTTTATATATAATATAGTGATAACTAATAGTTGTAAAACATTGGGATATCGGTACGTTTTTATATATATATATAACTAATAGTGATAACTAATATATAATATAGTGAGTTGTAAAACATTGGGATATCGGTACGTTTTTATATATAATATAGTGATAACTAATAGTTGTAAAACATTGGGATATCGGTACGTTTATATATATAATATAGTGATAACTAATAGTTGTAAAACATTGGGATATCTAATAGTTGTAAAACATTGGGATATTACGTTATATATAATATAGTGATAACTAATAGTTGTAAAACATTGGGATATCGGTACGTTTATATATATAATATAGTGATAACTAATAGTTGTAAAACATTGGGATATCGGTACGTTTATATATATAATATAGTGATAACTAATAGTTGTAAAACATTGGGATATCGGTACGTTTTTATATATAATATAGTGATAACTAATAGTTGTAAAACATTGGGATATCGGTACGTTTTTATATATAATATAGTGATAACTAATAGTTGTAAAACATTGGGATATCGGTACGTTTATATATATAATATAGTGATAACTAATAGTTGTAAAACATTGGGATATATATATATATATATAATATAGTGATAACTAATAGTTGTAAAACATTGGGATATCGGTACGTTTTTATATATAATATAGTGATAACTAATAGTTGTAAAACATTGGGATATCGGTACGTTTTTATATATAATATAGTGATAACTAACAGTTTTACAACATTGGGATATCGGTACGTTTTTATATATAATATAGTGATAACTAATAGTTGTAAAACATTGGGATATCGGTACGTTTATATATATAATATAGTGATAACTAATAGTTTTTATATATAATATAGTAAAACATTGGGATATCGGTACGTTTTATATATAATATAGTGATAACTAATAGTTGTAAAACATTGGGATATCGGTACGTTTTTATATATAATATAGTGATAACTAATAGTTGTAAAACATTGGGATATCGGTACGTTTATATATATAATATAGTGATAACTAATAGTTGTAAAACATTGGGATATCGGTACGTTTTTATATATAATATAGTGATAACTAATAGTTGTAAAACATTGGGATATCGGTACGTTTTTATATATAATATAGTGATAACTAATAGTTGTAAAACATTGGGATATCGGTACGTTTTTATATATAATATAGTGATAACTAATAGTTGTAAAACATTGGGATATCGGTACGTTTATAGCAAAATTGGAGAAAATGATACCAGTTATCTGAGCATAATACTTTAAGGATTAAAATCTCCTGTCATGACATTTATAGCTGTCATGAATGACAGAGCTTTACTGACAAACAAACATAAAGATTTAAAATGACATAACAGTTCAATGTTTTCATGTACACACGCTTTTGCTGCTTACTGTACATTTCAGTTTTCAAATCATTCAATTTTGGAAATTTAGAAAATGGTTGAGTTATATGGTTATTGTAATGTCTTCGTCAGGTTTTGAACATGTCTTTGGACAAATGTTACTTTTGTCGCGTCAAATTTTATGTCAGAAAACGTAACGTTGATATAACATCATACATATATCAGCTGAGCTGATTGGGAAGTTGTCACGACCACAGCTTTAGACACCGATTATCATAATTCAGATCGATCAGTGGCGAACCTGGGCACAAAGTCTTTTACTCATAATGTTGATAAATACATGTATACACAATCACGCGGTGTAGCTACCAGAGAGGCGGAACCGGAACTAGATCCTCCGGCACTCCTTGTTGCACAGTAGGGGTTAGGGACAGGTCCGGTAGAAGCAGTCCAGGAGCTACCCGAAAGACAAAGGTCTTCGCATGTCGTCTTGCCCAAAATACGCCCACCTGTTGGGAATTAAAAATCAGGATACAAGCCAAAAAATTCTTACGAAATTGAATCATGCTTGATCAAGGTGATAGGCAACTCAAACAAAGATTGAGAGCTGAAATAATAAAGGCACAAATATTGAAAATGCGTGTCCAATCAATGGAGTCTGTTCACTAAGTATGCAAAGCAGATGTATAAATAGTAACAATATATGGAGAGAAACAATATAAGAATTAAACTGAACACTATTGTTTTTTTTTACTTTTACGACAAATATGGCTTTACCGGCATCAAGGATCCTTGTGATAACTGTTGCGTCAAACTCTGGGGTGTATCCCTCAAGGTGTTTGTTGCCATTCATCATGGGCACACCTGCGACGGCCACATTGTCTTTGATTCCAATAGTTTTACCAGCTAACTTCCCAGTGTCGACCCCCTTGATGTCACATCGCCAGTACCTATGTCAAAAATCAACACCGCTTCATTTCGCCATCGCCAGTATCTCAATAACCGACACTACTTCATTAAAATCAGTGCCACTGTGACATATTGTCACAAATGGAAATGTTACACCAGTACGTACATTCATGTCAAATCACATTCTTTGAAAGATATATGTATCGGTCCAATAAATAGAATCACCAATATCAACTACTTGAGAAATAAGAAACTACCAAACCTCACTAATACGACCACCTCACTAATAAGACCACTTCACCACTAAGACCACCTCGCATATATATTGTACCAAATTTCACCTCACTAATCGGACCATTAACCAACCTATTGTGTACTCCACCATGTCCATCTTCAAGGTGTTAGACCAGTTAGCTAAGGTGTTAGACCAGTTAGCAAAGGTGTTAGACCAGTTAGCTAAGGTGTTAGACCAGTTAGCTAAGGTGTTAGACCAGTTAGCTAAGGTGTTAGACCAGTTAGCTAAGGTGTTAGACCAGTTAGCTAAGGTGTTAGATCAGTTAGCTAAGGATATTTAGGTGTAAAACTGATAACTTGCATATTACTACTCATCATTTAAAGTTACGACACCTACATGCTTGTTACATGGCTTTGATAAAAATGAACAAAAGCTGCCATAGGAGTAATCTGTTTGCTTAAAACAATTATCACGTGATACAAATTAAATATAGTATAGACACCCATGTAGTTCGTGCCATATTCTTTACATAACTGACCAGGAACTATCCTTTGTTTCTTTGTGACCTGGTGTCCTTGGGTACTTGACCGGAAGTTGTGGTTCTGCGATTTCATTGACCCTCTGGTAAGCTTTTAGAGTACCTTTGAAGTGCTCTGAAACACATATTTCTTTAATTCATTAAAGAGTCGCTAATACTATACGTCAAACCACGTGGCTTAAAGAATAAACAGTTAATCACAGAGGGATATTCATAGAAAGGATCCCTTTGTAAAATGGGTTTGTTTCATTCATGGGCCATTGGTTTCTTTACTTATATAATGTTATCAAATTCAGGTTATATCAGTAGTTCAAAGCGAAATCATAAAACGGGTCGTGGTTTCTCCAATAATATTATTTTCAAATGGTTTTTCGAGATTTTATTCGATTCTTGAAAACAGCAAAACATTATTTCACCGAAAACAGCAAAAATAGATCACTTCGAAAACTTTAACAATAAACATTTAATGTCACAGATCTAACACCACTCTATTTAACATGTAATGTCATCCTTAATTGTCAGACATTTTCATCCCTACCTAGCCAGTGTGGGATACACGTGCTCCATGTGAAACACCCATATGGAAAGAATCAACCACATGTAGGGGTATGGGATAATGGACATTCTAGTCGAAGTTCTGAAACCAAATTCTGTACCCAAGGGTAGACTACCAGTATCTCCCATGCGTCCATATGACTGACTATTTTGTAAATATTTTGGAACATAAACACAAAATTGATCAAGCTACAGTAGTGTTGTATACACATAGCACAATGTGACCGGAATCAGTGATAGCAGAGGGGTGACACTTGTTAACCTTCATTAGAAGATGTGTCACATAACAAATTATTGTTTGTTCCCCAAAAGGTCGAGTTCTTAAACTTAAGTTTGTCGTGTGACACATACATTGAACTACAGAAAGCCTCCATTACTTTGTAATCAGATATAGTAGATATGTGATTTTTTTTTCACGGTCGTTAACCGCTCTGACAAGGTAAGTCGAACCACAGACTTAATTTGTAGTTTCCATAGTGTGAACAACTCGCCCACTCAAGCGTAGAGAACAATGGAAAATGTCTCAAAAAAACCTACATGTCCTCTCCATAACTGTGTAATTGATTAATCTTGCTATAATGACGGGACCATCAGAGATGCTTCCTATCTCATTGTCAACTATGTTGTTATTTCTGTAAGCAAATGCCGAGCCTCCAGATATACGAGATAAACATTGCATTTAGTGTGCTATATATATGATACACTGAAATTTACACTGCATGTATGTAAATTTCTCAAATACTGTTCTACTTCCGCCTAGAAAATTTCCCAAAATAAACTTTATTCAATCTTTTATGATTCGTCAATTTTCAGCAGATGACATTAAACCAGTACATGTAGTTAAATTACGGTTTTTAGTTATGAGTACAAGTTGAAAATATCATTGGCTACCAGTAGAAGACAAGTAAATTTCACGACATAACGTTACAAACTTTAATTTCTTTTAATTGTTTTGAAAAAAAAACAGATTCAAATTTTTAATCTGAGCTCAACTTTCAACCAAACAACTAAACCCATTTAGTTCTTGAGCAATCGTAAACACCGTGTTGAGAAAGCTACATCCTGGGGTAACGCCTGCTAAACGGGTGTTTGTCCTTCTGATAAAAAGTTGCAGTTTTCATATTTTCATCTGTCCAGTTAGAAAGGCCTCAGTTTCTTGAATATTTAATTAATGATAAACTGGTCTTATAGTTCTGATCACTTAGGTAGATCTGATTCTACAGTTCTACAGGAAGTTAGAAAAGCTAGTAGACAAATTCAGCAAGGTATTTCTTGGACTGAGTAGCTGATAGTCTCCCGTCTAGTATAAAGATACCTTACCGTGGAAGGCATCAATCTCTGCTTCACTACACTTCAGGCGGAGATCATCCGATATTTGTGTTAACTCTGACTTGGAAGGAAGCTGAACGGCTGGACTCTTCAGGAGTTCTGTAAACGTAAAATTATAATTACGCGGGCTTTTTTCCTCAACATGTTTGTTTCGGGAATATTTCTGAAGTCACGGTAAATGGGGTACATTCGTTAACTGTCCCATGATAGGGTCAATGAACATAGCGCATAATCTGTCAGAAATATTGGTTTTGACCATATTTGAACAATTTAACAGAAGCTCTAGGGTTCCCTTCGTAGTCTTTCAACAGTTTATATTTTATGTACATAAAATCGCCATACTACTGGAGCGGTATAACAAAGGGAACTTTGATTTAACGTATAAGTTCAGTATTAGTGTCCTTAACTATGGGGTATTTGTCGGTAGTGTTTACAGTCACGTCAGCAACCACGAACAACCTGCGGGGCCGCATGCTTTCCAAAGAAATTGGGTTAAGCGTGTTGCCCTCGCTCTTTGCTTCCTTAGAAACAGGAACATTGGATTTGTAGCTGAGGTAGAACACAGCAGAATACAGACTGTTTGGAACCATTGCTAAAATTGGGTAAACCAGCTTCCGGTGGCAATTTTCTACCATCATTTGTCTAGTTATAATCATCACTTGTTACGCGGACAGAAAAAAACTAGGTTGCTAAAATGGATAAAGACCTTAACGTCACTGGACTTGTTTCCAATCATTTGCTAAATGCCTCTGTTATCTCAGTTGGGTAAGAAATATTTAAGGTGGACAATATTAGAAATATGACCACATGAAATCTGTGACCTCTTAAAAAGTATCACAGCTCGACAGATAACTACCACAGGCACTCGAGGCCAGTTATTTTTAATGACCGTGGACCTCGGATTTGTCAACCGGCACATAAACTTGAATTCTGCTGATATTTCGTTTAAATAACGTCAGTCATGAGTGCTAAAACAAAAATCAATGTTTAAAAAATAATATCCTGGCCTCGAGTGCCTGTGATAACTACCACTACAATCGATAACCATGGTCGGTGTCCACCACAGTGGGTGATGACCTTGGCTGTAAGCCGGCGTTTACACATAGGTTCACTTCAGTAAAATTATCTTATCGGTTATAACACAATAGGCTATGAACATATGTCACTATCTTTAAATGTCGAACATACAACACCTACACATGAATCAATTGTAATGTTGGTCACTAAACTACAATTCACTTACCAGGAAGTTGTTTGTGGTCGGCCATGCTCAAACTGTAGCAGACGGTCTGATACGACTGGGCTATACAAATAGCACATATACTTCAACACGTGTACTTGCAGACCTTGAACTTGTAGCAGCAAACTATGTAATATACTTGGAGTGGATCTGGACCACTTGTTACTGACTGGTGGCATGATTTAACAGATGTAGCGATGGAAATATAGATTTTTTATGTGACAGGTACTCCATGACTTCGACTGTCAGTACGAACTATTAAAGCATTTGATCATTTCATCAACCCAATCTGTAATATTGGTCTCCGAGTTAAAAAAAAATCATAGTTTTCAGCTTGATAGGTTTCACTGTAGTAGGTTGGAATGTACAAGTGATACCAACAACACAGAGTTAATGAAATGTTTGATAAAATGCCGAAAATGATTTATGACCATATTGAATTTGACATTTCAACTATTCAATGAAAATTGAAACTGAATATGGTATTTGTAATAAGATTAAAGCGGTGCCTGGTTTACCCACGTACCCGTATTTTTTTTACTAGAGGGGTGGGGGTGGGGGTGGGGGTAAGGGGTGCGGGGTGGTGGTGGAGGGGCGGGGTTGGGGTGTGGGGTGGTGGTGGGGGTGGTGATGGAGGGGCGGGGTTGGGGATTGGGGGTTGGAGGCCGAGGTCACCTGTCACACGAAAGGGAGTGGTTGTTTCTTCAGTCAAGGTGTTTGATAACTTGATATTTATTAAACACACATGCAAATCTCATAATTTTCGATTTTCCAAACGAAACCTCATATTTTCCTATCATTTCAAAGACGAAATCACATATCGGTATTACAATTTATAACTGGTGGCCAATAGGACCTGTATCGTTCACCTGGTTTAATTTGCTGAACTTGTTTCATCTTATCTGGCGGAAACGTATTTAAGACACGTGTATCTAGGATATGTTATAGACAACGTTGTCCTAATTATAGGGTACACTTAACACAGATAGGACATGTTATAGACAACGTTGTCCTAATTATAGGGTACACTTAACACAGATAGGACATGTTATAGACAACGTTGTCCTAATTATAGGGTACACTTAACACAGATAGGACATGTTATAGACAACGTTGTCCTAATTATAGGGTACACTTAACACAGATAGGACATGTTATAGACAACGTTGTCCTAATTATCACATCATTGTGAGAGTACAGATACACTTAACACAGATAGGACATGTTATAGACAACGTTGTCCTAATTATCACATCATTGTGAGAGTACAGGTACACTTAACACAGATAGGACATGTTATAGACAACGTTGTCCTAATTATAGGGTACACTTAACACAGATAGGACATGTTATAGACAACGTTGTCCTAATTATCACATCAATGTGAGAGTATAGGTACACTTAACACAGACACACAGATAGGACATGTTATAGACAACGTACACACTTAACACAGATAGGACATGTTATAGACAACGTTGTCCTAATTATCACATCATTGTGAGAGTACAGGTACATTTAACACAGATAGGACATGTTATAGACAACGTTGTCCTAATTATCACACAGATCATTTATGAGATTATAGGGTACACTTAACACCGATAGGACATGTTATAGACAACGTTGTCATTATTCTAGGGTACGCTTAACACAGATAGGACATGTTATAGACAACGTTGTCCTAATTATCACATCATTGTGAGAGTACAGATACACTTAACACAGATAGGACATGTTATAGACAACACTTAACACAGATAGGACATGTTATAGACCTTGTCCTAATTATCACATCATTGTGAGAGTACAGGTACACTTAACACAGATAGGACATGTTATAGACAACGTTGTCCTAATTATCACATCATTGTGAGAGTACAGGTACACTTAACACAGATAGGACATGTTATAGACAACGTTGTCCTAATTATCACATCATTGTGAGATTATAGGGTACACTTAACACTGATAGGACTTGTTATAGACAACGTTGTCCTAATTATAGGGTACACTTAACACAGATAGGACATGTTATAGACAACGTTGTCCTAATTATCACATCATTGTGAGAGTATAGGGTACACTTAACACAGATAGGACATGTTATAGACAACGTTGTCCTAATTATCACATCATTGTGAGAGTACAGGTACACTTAACACAGATAGGACATGTTATAGACAACGTTGTCCTAATTATCACATCATTGTGAGAGTACAGGTACATTTAACACAGATAGGACATGTTATAGACAACGTTGTCCTAATTATCACATCATTGTGAGAGTACAGGTACACTTACCACTGATAGGACATGTTATAGACAACGTTGTCCTAATTATCACATCATTGTGAGAGTACAGGTACACTTAACACAGATAGGACATGTTATAGACAATGTTGTCCTAATTATCACATCATTGTGAGAGTATAGGGTACCATTAACACTGATAAGACATGTTATAGACAACGTTGTCCTAATTATCACATCATTGTGAGAGTACAGGTACATTTAACACAGATAGGACATGTTATAGACAACGTTGTCCTAATTATCACATCATTGTGAGAGTATAGGGTACACTTAACACAGATAGGACATGTTATAGACAACGTTGTCCTAATTATCACATCATTGTGAGAGTACAGGTACACTTAACACAGATAGGACATGTTATAGACAACGTTGTCCTAATTATCACATCATTGTGAGAGTATAGGGTACACTTAACACAGATAGGACATGTTATAGACAACGTTGTCCTAATTATCACATCATTGTGAGAGTATAGGGTACACTTAACACAGATAGGACATGTTATAGACAACGTTGTCCTAATTATCACATCATTGTGAGAGTACAGGTACACTTAACACAGATAGGACATGTTATAGACAACGTTGTCCTAATTATCACATCATTGTGAGAGTACAGGTACACTTAACACAGATAGGACATGTTATAGACAACGTTGTCCTAATTATCACATCATTGTGAGAGTATAGGGTACACTTAACACAGATAGGACATGTTATAGACAACGTTGTCCTAATTATCACATCATTGTGAGAGTACAGGTACACTTAACACAGATAGGACATGTTATAGACAACGTTGTCCTAATTATCACATCATTGTGAGAGTACAGGTACACTTAACACAGATAGGACATGTTATAGACAACGTTGTCCTAATTATCACATCATTGTGAGATTATAGGGTACACTTAACACTGATAGGACATGTTATAGACAACGTTGTCCTAATTATCACATCATTGTGAGAGTACAGGTACACTTAACACAGATAGGACATGTTATAGACAACGTTGTCCTAATTATCACATCATTGTGAGATGTTATAGGTTGTCCTAATTATCACATCATTGTACACTTAACACAGATAGGACATGTTATAGACAACGTTGTCCTAATTATAGGGTACACTTAACACAGATAGGACATGTTATAGACACCGTTGTCCTAATTATCACATCATTGTGAGAGTAGAGGTACACTTAACACAGATAGGACATGTTATAGACAACGTTGTCCTAATTATCACATCATTGTGAGAGTACAGGTACACTTAACACAGATAGGACATGTTATAGACAACGTTGTCCTAATTATCACATCATTTCATTGTGAGATTATAGGGTACGCTTAACACAGATAGGACATGTTATATACAACGTTGTCCTAATTATCCCATCATTGTGAGAGTACAGGTACACTTAACACAGATAGGACATGTTATAGACAATGTTGTCCTAATTATCACATCATTGTGAGAGTATAGGGTACACTTAACACAGATAGGACATGTTATAGACAACGTTGTCCTAATTATCACATCATTGTGAGAGTATAGGGTACACTTAACACAGATAGGACATGTTATAGACAACGTTGTCCTAATTATCACATCATTGTGAGAGTATAGGGTACACTTAACACAGATAGGACATGTTATAGACAACGTTGTCCTAATTATCACATCATTGTGAGAGTACAGGTACACTTAACACAGATAGGACATGTTATAGACAACGTTGTCCTAATTATCACATCATTGTGAGAGTATAGGGTACACTTAACACAGATAGGACATGTTATAGACAACGTTGTCCTAATTATCACATCATTGTGAGAGGGTACACTTAACACAGATACATGTTATAGACAACGTTGTCATTTAACACAGATACACAGATAGGACATGTTATAGACAACGTTGTCCTAATTATAGGGTACGCTTAACACAGATAGGACATGTTATAGACAACGTTGTCCTAATTATCACATCATTGTGAGAGTATAGGGTACCATTAACACAGATAGGACATGTTATAGACAACGTTGTCCTAATTATCACATCATTGTGAGAGTACAGGTACACTTAACACAGATAGGACATGTTATAGACAACGTTGTCCTAATTATCACATCATTGTGAGAGTACAGGTACACTTAACACAGATAGGACATGTTATAGACAACGTTGTCCTAATTATCACATCATTGAGGGTACACTTAACACAGATAGGACATGTTATAGACAACGTTGTCCTAATTATCACATCATTGTGAGAGTATAGGGTACACTTAACAGAGATAGGACATGTTATAGACAACGTTGTCCTAATTATCACATCATTGTGAGAGTACAGGTACACTTAACACAGATAGGACATGTTATAGACAACGTTGTCCTAATTATAGGGTACACTTAACACAGATAGGACATGTTATAGACAACGTTGTCCTAATTATCACATCATTGTGAGAGTACAGGTACACTTAACACAGATAGGACATGTTATAGACAACGTTGTCCTAATTATCACATCATTGTGAGAGTATAGGGTACACTTAACACAGATAGGACATGTTATAGACAACGTTGTCCTAATTATCACATCATTGTGAGAGTACAGGTACACTTAACACAGATAGGACATGTTATAGACAACGTTGTCCTAATTATCACATCATTGTGAGAGTACAGGTACACTTAACACAGATAGGACATGTTATAGACAACGTT